ATCCTCAACGAAACAAGCGGTATTTTGTGTGAACTATGGCAAATGATGAAAGTGGGAATAAAATTCACAAAATTCTCTTGTCGCCTGTCAACCGCCTGGTGGTATACTCAGTGAGTTTTGAGTTTTCGGTGTCGGTGCCAGTGTAGATTGTCTGTTGTGCTTTTCTCTGCACTTCAGTTTCTTAATTTTCTGAACCTGCTGGCATTCCTGTTATTCTCCTTTTCCCTTCTTTTTACGATTGATTTGTCACTTTTATGTTTTGAAAATGTCGCCTCCTGCTAAGAAGCCAACCGCGCGAAAGACTGCGTCACGTACACCGCGCCCGAGTCGTGCAACAGCGGGATTAAGTTTTGGTTATTCTCCGGACAGCGATGAAGCTCGTTCTTCATCGCGTGTCACTCGATCTCGAGTCTCTCGCCGTACTTCTGCGCAACCAGTGTTTTCTGCGCAATCTTCTGAGTCATCGGGATCGGTGAGTGCAGCAGAGGCTCAGCAACCTTCAGACAGTTGGGCAGATGCAGTAGTCAATGCTTTACAGCGCCGATATGACAAGCAACGGCGACGGACGATTTTGCGACGCAATGCTGCTGTGGTTCGCCGCCGTGCCCGTCGGGGATCATTCCCTACCAGTCCAGACGTTGAGATCCCTCCGCCGTCACCAAAGAAGCTGCAGACGCAGGCTGAAAGACAGTTGGGCACTCCTGATTTGACTGAAGAGGAGCCATCATCTTCTGAGACTCCGTCTGTAAAAGCAAAGCGAGGTATTGCCGTGTTTGCCGTTGCTTTATTATAATGTTGTGGTTTTTCACAAGTCCGAATTCTACCTGTGGTGTTTTTCGCTTCTTGTGCAGTCGTTCTGCGTTACTACCCTCATGAGATGCGACAATCGTTGTCATGTCGCTTCATTTCTGTTTTATTGCTTCTTCTGCCAGTTTTGTAGTTGATCATGCTTAAGCTTTGCTTGCGCTCATTGTTGTTTCAACTGTGTTTAGACGAGGAACATCTGCGCAAAGGCGGAATTCTTTATGTGCCGTATAACCCGGATGCACCGCGGCCGGTCTTCAAGACCAAGCAGACGGCTCGCAAACGAGCGCATTCCGGAGTGTTTCCAAGAATGGCTATTGCGGACAAGCAGGGTGAGATGGCAATTACAAAAGCCTATTTCTCCGGTTTAAATCGCTTTCATCCTCGCTTTCCGGAATTGTTCCAGCTTTGCCACCTGTCGCTGCTGTCGCTCGGGAAGATTCACCTGAATTTGCGGAACCAGTAGTCTATGGTAACCAGCAGCCGCATTCTGATGAATTGTGAATTTTCCATTACTGATTTTTATCCTTCATGCTGTACATTTTTGCCAGAATTTGATGATCCGTCATTTTGTTTTTGATCTTAATTTGCGTATTAGATGACCAAATTTTGTGATTCGTTTTTCTTCGGTAGCCTCTATTGTTCAATCTGAGGAATTTTGCGTCTATTTTCATCCAATTTTTATTTTTCAATTCAATGCGCCGTACTGAGTCAATGAACTGGTCGTTTAATATTTTGTATCTGCGCTCTCGATATCAGTGCTGCATCTTTCGTTGCACCTGGATAGATCTGATCTTCGATTACGTTGAATTAAAAGGATATAGCGCGAAGCGCTGATTGGTTGTTTCTCTCGTCAGTATGGAATCTGCCGCAGTTTAAAATTTCGCTCCAGCAGACGGGTATAAAATCACTTGCGCGTGGTGTGCAGAAATCGGCATTGTGGATTTTTCATTTCGGCCTTCTGGTACGCTGGATTTTCGCTGTGTGTAGACTGTGCTTCTGACGCTTTTCCCCTTTACATCTTTAGCGTTTAAGGTCTCTAGTTTTCTTTAGTTTGGGCATGCCGCCTATTGATCCTAACCGTGCTTTTGACAAGTTAGTAGACGCCATTTTCCATTCGTCTTCTAACCAGCAGCAACAGCAGTATAAGGCCGGTTATAATCACCGAGGAAGGGGTGGAGCCCGTGGTGCTTACCGTGGCAACTTTCGTCCGTACGGCCGAGGAAATCATAGGAATTTTGGAGACAATAACTTGCGTCGTGGAAACGATCATTGGCGTCGTAATGGCCGACCTCTGGGCGCACCGGAAGTTATTGAAGTACCTGATGGAGACGCTCACCCAGTTGCTCCAGTGGAAGCTGCCGCCGCAAACATGGAGGTTGACGACCCGGGCAACCAAGCAGCGAATGCACCGAATCCGGTCCAAGGCAACGGAAATGTGGCTGCAGGTGAGCCCCATGGTGTCAACCCTGCTGTCAATCTACATGGCCCACCAGCCTTGAATGCCGTTGTCGTTCCTCCGGCTGTCATTCCACCTGTGCAGGCCCCGGCTAACGCTGAATTTCCCGGTTTGCCACCAAATGTGTTACCACTTGCCGAAGTGCCGATTGTCCGCGATGCCCGCGACCGTTCTCCGGCTGATCGCCCACGTGCGCCGTCTGCGCCTTCCGGTCCCGTTGGTTCTGCTGAGCATAATTTTGTACCTGGATATTTGGCCCAGCAACAGCAACGTGAACTGGATGTCGACCGCCGACGACAGATGGCTGCGGAAGTTTCTCGCCGTTTGGATGCCGCTGCATCTGGCTCTGGTATTACTGGTCTCTTTTCATTGGCTCCCAGTGCTGGCAAGTAACCTTGACTCACCTCTGACATTGACCTTGGTTGCTTTCTTTGATCTCGCCTTTTTACTGGCCTTGTGTTGTCTAATGATTTTGCTTTACCAAAGCCGTGTTGATCTTGTTGCTACTGATATTCTTTTGCTGGTTTAAATTTGCTCTCATCTACCAGTAATTTGTACTCTTGATTTTTGTGCGGATATTTTTGCTTGTTTGTTGTTGTTTACCGTTGTTACTGGATGATGTAGTACTCGAGAATTCGTAAGAATACTACTGCTTAGTTGATTTGGTGCTTTTGCTCGTTTAATCCATAGTTCTACAGAATCGCACACAGTCATATTTAAGATTTTAATTTCTCAACTAATAAAGCTTGATGCCGTATGTTGTACATACTAAAACACCATCTAAATTCAAACGGCACAGTATTAGTAACTCATAGTTCGTCTTCCTGGATTCCTTGGACCTCCGCCCTGCCAAACCCGTGGACTTCCGGATGCCTCTTCGCCAAGGATTCCACACTAACTCTCTGGGAATCGCGGCGTACGGTCACATTGGGCATCGGATGGACACGTGGATTGTGCGGTGGATCGGGATCAGGATGGATGGAAGTGCACAATCGCACTGGGATGTTGCGGGAAGGATTGCTTACTTTGGCACGGCCAAGCATCGTTCGTGGGGGTGACGTATGGGAGTAGGATCATACGCCGGATGTACGAACTGGATGCTGACTGTCCGCCTTCCACCTGCAACACAACGGATAATCTAGTCAATCTCTTCTGTGATTTGCTGTTCTCTTTTACTAGCGATGTATATGATGTCATAACGCGAAGTCTATATAAGTTCTTGTGATGCCTAATATCGGTATCAGTAGTCTGAGATTTACTTCTGAGACTGCTTTCTAATTACAATTTCCTAGCGTTGTGAACTGTGATGTGTATTGGATAAAGAGACAGCAATACTTGTTCCTACGGAAGTGCATAGTCGTTCCCGGATTATCGCTTAGTATACAGGTTTGCTCGTGACACAATCGTCCTAGCTCTTGCCGATCCTCACAGGACTTACGACCGGAAGTTGTGGTTAGCTCGTTCCTGAGGGATTCCTGATCTTCTCGTGTTCCTGAATCGTTCGTACCATTTCCACCTTAGTTCTTCTGTTACAGTTTGAGAGTACGAGTGCCTACCGACTGACAATTACAGGCGTGGAAGAGTAAAGATTGTTCATGGAGCCTTAAACGGCGTGAACGCTTATACACGACAATACCGACCAAGACTGTCCGAAGAAGTTCCAGTTGGCTGCGCAGAGCCGTGTAGATGCCAGTTCGGATCGGGCGTTTAAACATATCCCAGCTGATTTATGCCGGAACTGGAACAATGGGCGATGTGTCAACGAATCTAACTGCCGATTCAAGCACGCTTGTGGACTGTGCCGTTCATCTGACCATACTATCCGGGAGCACGAATCAGCGCAGTATAACGACGCCGAAAGCGGTCGCGCTGGTTCCAGGAAATGAAGCATACCACTGTTTTCGGGTAATTATGTTATATAACGATCAATGCTTGACTCACTGGATTGCAGATCCCTTGTTACCCACCAATCACAAATGGTTTGGGGCCTTTCCGATGGCTCGTCATTACCTACGATTCACCACGAAGATGACATCGCCATCCTTCAACGCGCATCCGTTCGCTACGCCCGCGCGTACCACATTGTTTGGGGCACCTCCTCACTCGCGCAGCTCTCTCGCTATGGTACGCGCAGAACCGCACCGGAAGGCAGTCTCATCCCCCTGGCCACGAATCAGGTGGTGGTCCCAACTCCCTGGGTGGGAGTCACCTGGCCACGTATCAGGTGTCGCCAACCTCCCTGGCCACGAATCAGGGAGGACACCTGGCCACGCATCAGGTGTCTGCGATGGCATACACGCGCATACGCATACGCATACACTCCTTCCCGGTGGCCGTGCATGTTCTGACGATACCCGAGACTCCGCGGCCGAGCTGAGGCTGGCCATTTGCCCCAAACCATTTGTCGGCGTTTCTCGAGCATAGGCGTTAATAGCTATATAAGTTATCGGACGAAGTGCACCACAGCTGTTTAAGATTATTTACGTACCTGAAGAACTTTACGCTATCAAGCAATACTAGTACTAGTAAGTATATATGTATGGAATTTTTTTGACCTTTGTGCGGCTAAGATGACGTAATTAAATGTGGTTTTCCATTTTAGAATTAATTTGATAAGCAAGCAATTACAGCATAATGTACTTACATATAGGTACATGCATGCGGGGGTTAATGAATATGACGATAACAACGGTAACCAAGGACTAATTTTGTGAGGTACAGGTCATCTTAATGGCAAAAACAAAATAGTACAGAGAAATGAATGGAAATACCTATTGGGATGGGACTGCAAGCTCCTAAAATTATACTCGTTTACTTAGTTTTTGCTTCCGATCTCTTAATTTTTTTGGTAAACATAACATCATGATGAGTCATTTGTTCTCAATGAAAATCAACTCGCGTCGTCTGGTGCCAAAACGGTTCATACAGGTCGTGTGTACGCAACTTCTGGCCTGGATGAGTAGTAGTGTAAAACGTCACCACGTATCTGGCCAATAACAATCCCGGATCGAATCTGGCGGAGGGCGTGTAACGTTGAACGGCAACCAGTAGTAGTATTGCGTTACTTGTTATAAAGTCTCGACGGTGTTCTTCCAGCCTGCCTGTTGTCTGGAGTTTGGGACCATCCAATGTCTGAACTATTGTTTGTCTGTTTTACTTACACCCCAGTAGCTACAAAATATTATAGTTTGCAAAAGCTGCAAAGCAGCAAAAAAACGTTGCAGAAAAATTCACTGCGCTACTGGCATTATGGATTCCTGGCTGAGTGTCTTCTATCGGCAGTTCTTTCATCTTGGCTTAATATTCCATTTGGTTGTCTCATGTCCACCTTCCAAAAAGGAACCCATGGCCAAGCCTTATCCGGATGCAACAGATGTTGTGAACGGTAAGAAAACCTTCGAGCATCGCAAAACTGAAATAAAATAAGCTTTAGGAGACAGAATTGTAATGCAACATGTACTAAACCATACCTAGGCCAGCTACCACAAACTCAAAGGTCAAGGCCATTTTCTTAAAGAGCGCTTTTTCTTTTATATATTGGGGTTGGGTTTTTGGTTGCCACTCTGGAGTTTAAATTTTTTTTAAATGCTGCAAAGCTAATATTAGATTAGTAACTGCGTGTGCGACGTTTTGTGTCCCTAAAAATTGAATAATATTTGTAGACAAAATTTAATGCAATTTCGCCTACGTGAAATCAGTTTCTTGGTTGAAAAAATTTCAAAACAAAAGTCTGTGCGTAGCTTTTCGAATTACAGAAAGCACGTGCCCCAAATAGTTGACAACATCAACTTAAATACGATAATATTAATGACCTTTGCAAATCAAACGTGCAAAGGTTATGTGTGAAAGTAAGTACGTGTATGTACTTTTTATTATTCAGCTTCCGTGTGTCTACGCATTTGTTAACCTTTTTTAAGCGTAAGCTCACTTATAAGGTAGAACTACCTACTTCTGTTTTTTATGTAATTTATTTTCTGGCTGGGTAAATTTATGGTTGAGACTCGAGAGTAACCTTTATTATTGACATCATAACTGGAATATTTTTCCGCGCATTCCATAAGTACTTGCAAATTGCAGTGATAACACAAAATATGTCAACAATCTTAAATCTGTCTGCAGTATAATTCTTTATAGGCTTACGTACTGTTTACGGCAACTACATTACCGGAAAACGTCTAAAATTCACATGCTTGGAGTATTTGTTTTTTTTTCTTGTAAAGGACGTTTAAGCTTTATCTCAGGCAAGATCAACAACACATTCAGTGTTATTATTATTTTTATTGTTGTTATGCATACATGCACAGAGTACCTCGAAGATTTATTTGACGCATGCTTTAATGCACATTGTTTTGCATTCCTCACTGCCATAAACAAAAAGCGCATGTTTAATAGAAATAGAAATAGCCTTAAAAGAAAATATCGCCGTGGCTCACAGGAATGTGTAATTACAAATTTTATGACTTCGAAATCAGATAGCGTATCGCAGAGGAATTTTCCTCTTGATTGTTTGTAAGCTTTGCAATTTTCTTATTAGTAGGTCTCGTAGTATCTTGTAAAATAGTTCATACTGCGACAAATTTACAAGCCATTCTCAAGAGTGAAAACGCTCATTGTTACTTTGTTTACAATTAGTAAAAAATATTTCTTCGTTGTAGCATGGGGATCCATTCAGTCGTTTCGGATAAGACCATTCTACAGGAGAGAGCATGTACTACTGGATTGTGCCGTTGAATTTTCCTACGATGCGACACGCGTCATTTGGATGAGGAATCACGTTCATTTAAATCTGGACGCTCACAGTGCCGCTGTGTTTCCCAATGGCACTTTAGTGCTCTCTGACGTGAATTATGGCGAGCAGGGAATTTATCAGTGTATTGCTCCCACGGACACCAATCGGTACCACCAGGAGACCCACAAGCCGCCGTTTACCACCAATCTCTATCCGGGTATGCAGTATATCCTCAAGGATGCAACGGTAGCTGGCACCAAAAACACTTCCGGTACGTACAAATGAACGAATTGTAAGCATTATCAGAATTATTCCAGCACAACATATGATGTTACTAGCTGCAATGTAATAAAATTTTATTTAATAAAATTTTTAACAAGTATGATACGGTAGTGCTTATATCTTTTCTTCTTTTGTTTGTGCTTTTGGTGCACTTATGCCTTTTTCATCCTTTTGCCTTTTTTCACTTTGTTCATCGGTTTTTTTATGCAGTGCTGCCGGCAGGACATATTGCAGCGAATTGTTGTATACTCTACGTGCAAAAAGTGCATAATTATCTTGATAGTGTTGTCTGCAGTGAAATTATCCGAATCAAGATCTGCGTAAGCATACTTGGTACACTTCATCCTGTTTCTACCGTGCGCTGTGTACTGTATTAAACGCATATACTGTATGTGTGCTAAACGCATATCCATATGATTGCATAGAGAGGTTACTTATTGGCCTTTTCAGATGACTGGCAAATGGCGCAGACACTGTATGATATCCCGTACAACCCCCGTCAAGCATTTCCACTATATTGCCGAAACTATCAAGAATTCCCGCGAAATTCCCACCATCCGCACCGGACGGTGTACTGGACGTACAACGATGTAGAACTCAGTTTGGAAGACAGCGATCGATTTGTACACATCGGCGAGACGGATATGTTGGTAGTGTTGGATGCCCGGAAAACGGACAATAAAGCTGTCTTGCAGTGTATTGCTGTATACCATCATTCGCCATCCGATCCCGATACACCACATCGGGAGAAATTCGCCTTGGTCAAAGCCGGTTACCGGTACCGGTTACAGTACGTGAAAAGTTTGCGACTGGTGCAGAATTGGGATTATTACCGTAACCAACCCAATGAATAGCTGCAGAATTCGAAGTGTTTACAAATGATTGGGAAAATGTTATGGTCTGCGGAAATTTCGCTGTTGTACTTAATGCGGCTTTTTGTGATTTTTTTCTTGTGTTTGTTTTGTGTATGCTCTATTGCACTGCAGTTCACTGCAGTCTACAGATGTTGTTATTATTTTGTTTTTATATAAGTCGTTGATTTATTTTGTCATTGTCAGTAATTAATTACAGTAGTCCAATTATAGAGGATTCTTTGTTGCGTTAACAAAGCCGGCCCGTATATGTCAAGCGCGGATGTTTTTTGCTGTATATAAACAATTTCTGAAGCCTGTGAACTGTAAAACTTAAAACAAAGAACTGCGCAAAGAGAAAAAAATAATTTGGCTAAAAAGAGTAGCCAAAATTTTGAGTGCAATTACAGTAAAGGCTTATAGGATGTAGTCAGTAGTGGCTAAGTAAATATTTACGTGGTATCGGAAGAAAAAAATTAAAAATGATTGCTGTAATAGAAAGGAAAGCGATTAAAAGCAGTCCCAAATCAAAGAGGCATGCAAGGTAATTACAGTGCATTAAACGATTTTGGAAAGAGGTTACCAGTGAATACGTGCATAATAGTAAATACGTGCATACCCAATTTATGGCCACAAGGTATATGTATATCAAATTTTTATGTTCTTTTCCGGTTTCTTGTTCTGTGCATTTTTCTTCGTGGTATAGTGGACACAGTGGACTCAGCGGTCGTGGTGGCTGTGGAACGGACTGGTAGTGGTAGAAACGTGGCGGTTTCGGTTTCCACCAGACCGGCTGTGCGCTGCATGCAGCTGCCATCGAACGAGCTGACATCAATCGGCGGAAGTGGCATATACGGACTAAAAGGGAACAGTTGGGCCACGGTCTCATTGACCGATGGGACCGGTGGATATAGTATACTGTCGACGATATGCAGAACACCATTTTGTCCCGTGTAATCCGATTCCAGCACCAGAGCCTGGTCTTCTTTGGCCCGCCCCGGCAGAACGGAAGGCGCTTTCACCGAGTTCGCTTCGGACGAGACAAACGGTGACTGGCGAGTATTCAACACTCGCAAGATGCGGTCTACAATAACCAAGAAAAAAATTCATTGTTTTTATTTGTTTAAAGCCAAAAAAATTTTTTGCCTAAAATGGTAATAAAATAATACTATTAATTTAAATCACGGTTGTTAAAGTAGATGACATTTCAGGAAAGTAGAGGTCTAATTAGGTGTCTAAAATGAAATACTTAACCATATATAAATGCTGTAATATATTCGTTTTCTACCTGCACTTCTTTGGCTTAAACGTAGTTTTTTACAAATTAACGAGTTCAAACCTAAACTAAAAAAATACAGTAACTGATCTAGAGTGCAATACTGGCAACAAACTCATTTAAACAAATCCAACGATAGAACAACAACATCTGCATACTTGCTGTCGGCACCGACATGCTTAAGCCTAATTAGTGCATGTTTTCCGTACCATTAGTGATGCGAATCAGTAAACTGCCGTAAATATTCAAGGTTGCCAAGGTGTCATTGTCTGCCCAGTCGGAAGTCAGGTACGATCCATTGGAAACAACAAGATTGCTCAGCAATTCTACATCAGAGAATAACAAAATAATTCCAACTTTATTACTAAATAGTACAATAGATGTTACAGTGGTAACCAAATATTTTATCGTACCGCGCGGCACTTAGCAAATTAAATGGCTAAAAATTAATTAAGTGACAATCGTTAAAAATTACATACTTACTGTTAATAACTTCACTTCGATTCACAATACACCGGTAAACAGAAAAATTAAAAATTGCAGGTTAACGAAAAAACCGCATTCAAGATGGTTATTCCCACCTTGCATGGCGCTAGGCCATTGCATCAGAATCTTGAATTTATCAGATCCGAATTTATCTATCGCTTCGTTGTTGGGAGCGAAAACGGTAATCTGACGGTTACCTGAAGTCGACAGCATAGAACAGGGCAATAAACTTTGTGTCAAAATTATGTTATTAATATAACCAAGACAAACATTAAAGTGGTTTGTACTTTAATTTCTCACATGCTAAATATTCTGGAAGTCCTGGAACGACGTGAATGGCTTTGTAGTACTTGGATAACTGGCGAGTACTGCGAATAATTTCCAATAATGTTCTGTTTAATCTCATAGTTGGCGGCGCAATATGTATGAAACCGTTTGGTACAATGTAATCGTTTTGATAAAGTACGGCAGAGGTGTCTTCCGTCGTTCCATTAACTGTCTGCAAAATACCGGTAAACCTAGTACATAAAATTATATGTACGTAATATAGTCTACTTCAATAATACTGACTGCAGCAAAAATAAAATGTTTCTTACTTACTCGAAATACTGTATGGAACTGAACGTGGCAAACTGCGGTGAGGTGATCCGTTAAATTGAAGACCATCTGAGTGGCATCTTCCACATCATCCACGTTGTAATCACCATTTCCAAATCTCGCTCTGAGCGGCAACACGTGAATTATAATAACGGATGTATCTCAAAGGAAATGCTGTGCAAATGCTAGGTTCATTATAACCCTAGCTTACCTCAATAATTTGCCGTATGTTTCTCTGTTTGTTAAAGCGTTCACGGTATTTAGAGGCATGATAAGCCGCAGGACAGCTAAAATTGGTATAAAATACACGCATCCGTAGGTTGAACGTCAAAAATGTGCAATTTTCTTACGCCTTTTCAGTGAACTGTCCGTGGTACTTATAGTCTGACCATAGGATTTAACTATTAAAGCAGACCCGAACAACAAACACCGCACCGGAAAAGATGCCATAACTGACAATGAGACAGGTTGTGCCGATTCTGCAAAAACTATTTCCCCAAAACAAACTCAATGTATCAACAAAAATATTAATGCTTTTGTAGATGCGAACAAAATTTATAAACACACAAATTATTGATATTATCGCGCCTGGAAGTGCCCACCTTGAGACTCGGGTAAAATGGTACAGACATGCCAAAACTGCGATTAACGGCCTTCTGTATACATCGTGGTCAATCTGTATAGAGTGAAACGAAACATGCAAATTAAAGCACTCGTAAGTAAAATTAACACAGCACATTTCACGAGTTAAGAGGGTAAATCACAACGGAGACTATTTAAACTGGACTGCAAATGCGTAGTATCATTTGTCGGTTAAGTACGAGTGTCTACGCTGTCGCATTACATCTGTGATTTAGATTTCACTCTCTGAAAAATTGTTTTCGTGCGTTAAAGCCAAAAGTGACTTTTACGAAGATATTTAACAACAGCAAATTCGTGGGTTTAATTAAACCCCTCAAATTTAGACGTCATCTTTTTGCAATCACTCAAAATTTACGGGCATCTTACTGTTTTTCATATAAACTGTGGTTTAATATTATTCGTGCTTTAATATTATTTAATATTATTATAAACTTAATAATATATATAAACTTATTGATAATAATATTATAATAGTATTAATGATAATATTATTATAAACTTAATTATAAACTGTGGTTCATTAGCGAAACACCAAATATTATTCGTAATGCCAAACCATAAAAACGAGTACATCAATATCGTACGATTATTGTGGTTATTGTAATTGCTGCTGCGTTTACAGGGCGAAGCATAATTATAATCCGAAAAACATGAAAGGCAAGGTTGCAAGCATGATCATTATTAACTATTATAGTACGCGAGCAATTACATACACACTCTGAACTACGTATCTGTTGACATATTCCGAACGCATAAGTCCTAAAATTTTGTCTTTCATGACCTTAACGTATATTTCTTGCAGCACCGGATATCTCGAGATAATTGTTCAGAGTATTTGGAATGAAAGTAATTTGGATACATCATACGCTTATAAGCGTATGATGTAGCACCCAGGTATTTGTGTGCGTCAACGATATGGTTCTATGCTACCATTGCGCAAAAATTAATTACAAGTAATACAATCTCTATTTCCTTTATTATGAACTGCAAGAAATACAACCTTTAAAAATAGGGCGACAGCGAAAAGATCCCGTCATTTGGGTTTCCCCAATCTAAACTTTGTGACCGTTGCCTGATAATTTGCAGTATATATAGGTATTAGGTATTTGCATGTACTGTACCTATATCAGTTTCCGCGTGGCCATCTCCCACATAAAAACTTTTTAAAGCGGTTTTGACCTTTTAAAATTCAAGAAAATGGTTAGCACTTGGACCTACTTGAACTTTTCAAAAAATGAAACTATGCGTATGGCTGGTAACGAAACGCTGAAATATGAATACATTTCACACTTTTCGGATGCGGCCCAAGGTTGGACATTTTTAATCTGCTTCAAGACATTTATTGGATTGGCATCATTTGTACTGAATATTTCCGTTCTAATTTTCCATATTATTTATCCGTCGCACATTACTTCTTTTACCGTATACTTGATAATGTTGTTTATTCTCAACACGGTTTATCTAACGACACTTGTTCCAGTGACAACGATTACGGAAATCACCGGAGTCTGGCCGGGAAACCATTCCTTGTGCGTGTTTTACAATTACTGCCAACGAATCCTCACCGTTACGCATGTTATGTGTCATCTGCTAATTTCTATTAACCGACTGTGGGCAGTTGCATTCCCCGTAACTTACCGAGGATACCACACTAAAAGAACCGCAATTTTTATCTGTTTTGGAATGATCGTCTATGTGCACCTTCTGGATCTGACCCCGTATCTTTTGGACATGCTTTACTACTATCAACTGCAACCGGACAAAACCCCAAAATGCCGGTACGCATCCGGTGGTATGAATGCATGGAATCGAGCGGAAATTATTCTGGACCGCATTAGTCCGCTTATTTTTATTGTAGCGATCTACATATATTTAATCATAACACGGTACAAGAAAACGCGACCCAGGATTATGGCCTCGGTACAGAATGAAGAGACAGATCGTCAAAATACTGCACAGTCCATTCGTGGTCCAGCGTCCAGAATTTCGGAACACACGGAAAAACCGGCTCCATTGCCGCAGCCAAGCAAAATGCCGCGTACACCGGTGCGGCCGTTTACGGTGCTAACGTTAACATCATTGAGCGTAATCGTCTGCTGGGTTCCCCTTTTGTTCTATCATGTTGCCGGAGCGTTTTTCAGCTACCGGCTTTCCGGCACGTATTTCAATGCTACATGGATCCTCTACTCCCTTCTAATGGTCATTGACCCGTTAGTTTGGATTTTTAGTTTGCGCAAGGCCAAGAAATTTCTTTTTTGCTGAAAAACCAGATAATCTTCACCTGCAATATTGTAATCAAATTTGCTTTAACAAAATTTAGCATCGTATAGTTTGGAAAGGATTGCGTCTCTTCGATTTCCACACTCGTCCGCGTGTACCGCATTAATTGCGACCTTTTGAATTATTGTGCTGTACTCATTTCTCCGACTAAAACAAATTAAAAATGGCAGTGTGAATGGTAAATTGTTATGCGCAATTTCGTTGCAGTAGCATGCCGAAAATTTTTCTAATTTTAACTATAAAAACGTGCATTATAACGGCGCAGGTGTATGTGTACAGTGTACAAAAGTTATTCCAGCTTTCCGGCGCAATACTTACTGCACTTTATAAGAGATTATAATGCAGCACTGGTATCATGCACTATTTCGACTACGGAAAGCCAACAAAATATCAAAATCATAATTACACAAAAAAATTTATCTGTTTCAGTACGCTCGTATTTTATGAAAGCTGTTTCTTAAGATTAACGATAAAAACACCACTGTACTAGTTTACTAAAATAGCCAATTTGCTGCATTAGTCCAGCACTGCTGCAAAACCCTCCAAAAACTTGTTCCATCTTGGTCCGAACCCGCGTACTGGTACGACGAACGAGCGCTGATTGGTGCATACACAACAGTGTCATACGTAAACATTAGGTCGAGTAGTTTTAGATCGAGGTTTACAATGGATTTATGCGAACGATATGAAGTCATCTTTGGCTGATCTCGGTGTAAATGTGCGTTTCGTTAAAATCTTTGACCGTAAAGAGGGTGACAAGCGTAGTACTACATGTGCACGTATTGGCACATTTGCTGATTGTGAAGAAGCGTTGATGTCTGCTGATTTGTGGCCAACTAATGTGTCGTTAAGACGATGGGAGTATAAGCCTCCTGCCCAACAGGCGGGAAATGTGAAATCGCGAGTTTTTCATCGCAATCAGCGTTGAAAAACTCGCGTAACGGTGCAAACTCAGATTCTGTTTCAGTTTCTGATAAATCTAAATTTTCAGCGTTCAGTAAAATAACTTTAAAACTTTGCAACATTAATGGAATACTTTCGAAATCCGCTTGTGTAAAACAGTACTGCAATGATTGTGATATTGTTGGATTGATTGAGACATGGGATAGACCTGAATATCCCGATTCAGTGTTTGCTGATTTACGAAAGTTTAACGTTTTTAGAAGACCTAGAAACACTGATCCGCACGGTGGTGTATGTATAGTTGTGCGCAAATGCTTGAAGGCCGTACGTCGTGCAGATTTGGAAAATACTGACCTTGAACTGATTTTTGTTGAAATACAGCAGATTAATGTTTTGGTTGCCGCATTTTACTCTCCACCGTCTCGTGTAACTGTTGACATCCCGAACTTTATTGAGCATTTACGAAATACTCCGCATGAAAATTTTTCGAAATTATTGCTCGTTGGCGATTTTAATCTTCCCGATATCGACTGGACGTTAAATTGTGCAAGTACCAAAACAAGTCGCGAATTTCTGGGAAGTTTAAAAGAGTTTAACCTGAAGCAATTAGTTCGTTGCGCAACGCGAAAAGAGAATGTTTTGGACTTGTGCATTGTGCCAACCGGGTGGTTAGCAGATGAACCAATAAGCATAGCTCCGCCATCAGTAACAAACGATCACAACGGTGTTATCGTTCGATTTCTAAAACAAAAAAGTAAGGATCCTAAAATTTTAAAGAAACGCTGGTTTATCAAAGAGGAGAATGTCCTCCAATTTCGCAACGTTCTATACGAAACAAATTGGACGGCAGTGTTGCAGGATATGTGTCCGAATGATCAGGCAATTTTTACTGAAAACACTATTCTGAGTGCAGCTAACAGGTTTTTTCAGCGGAAGACAATCGAGGAAAGGGCAAATAAAACTGAATATCCGTTTAAGTTGCGTAATTGTTGCAAGTTGCAAATAAAACTGAATATCTTAATTAAGTTGCAAATAAAACTGAATATCCGTTTAAGTTGCGTAATTTGATAAAAAGCCGGAACTTTGCATTTGAACGATTCAAACGCGAGCGAGATGTTTTAAGAAAAGAGAGACTGCGACATGAATGGTTGATAAGGTCTAAAGCAGCAGAGAAGGAAGTCAAAGCGCATTATCGATCTGAAACTCTGAAAATCGCGTCTGTAGCTGAACATAATAGCAAGAAATTTTGGCGATTTGTGAAGTCATCGGTAGATTACCCTAATATGCCAGTACTAAAGCGACCAAATGGTCTTCACGCTGTAACCGATGCGGAAAAAGCTGAATGTTTAAGCGCGCAGTATGCAAGTGTATTTGGCGAGTGTAATGAACATTGCTCAGTGTCTAACTGGAAACAAGCAAGTTCAAATGAAACAGCAGTGTTTATTACAGAATCGGATATTTGGGATGTTTTACGAACTATTAACACTAAGAAATCTAGTGGGCCTTATGACCTTTCGTCGAGCTTAATAAAAACTTGCGGCGCATCTTTAATTATACCGCTGAAAATTCTTTTTAATAACTGTTTGAAGCAAGGCACTTTTCCAGCATTGTGGAAAACTGCTTTCATCACTCCGATTAGTAAGCAAGCTTCAGATCAGACCAACCCTGCAAGCTGGCGACCAGTAGCATTGCTGCACCCTTTATCAAAAGTTTTTGAAAAATGTTTATGTGAAATTTTATTAATGCAAATTGGTAAGTTTACTGAAAAACAGTTTGCGTACCGCAGAAAGCATTCAACAGAGCTGTTGCTAACTTTGTTTTGTCAAAAATTAACCGATGCTTTAAGCCGCGGAAAACGTGTCGAAGTGGTACTTCTAGACTGTAGCAAAGCATTCGATAAAGTTGATCACGCAATTTTGATTGAAAAATTATCAAAATTAAACGTTTCGTCTAATATGTTGAAACTTCTTAGTAGTTACTTGTCCAACCGGTTTCAAGCAGTTATTGTAAATAACGAAAAATCTGTTTCTTTACCGGCTACCAGCGGAGTGCCTCAAGGTTCGCGCCTTGGCCCCTCTCTTTATAACTGCTTGGTCGATGACCTTCCCGAAGTTTGTGTACACGGAAGCGAGTTGTTGATGTTTGCAGATGACGTAATGATGTGTAAGATTATCGAAACGAACGCGGACGAATTAGCTTTTCAGAAAGATCTCGATAGTGTCGCTGAATGGGCACGAAACCATAGCCTCGTATTTAACGGTAAAAAATCTGCATGTATTAAGTTTTCGTCTCGTGCGAAGTCGTCTCACTGCTATCAGTTGAATGGAGAAGCCATTCCTATAGTTAATTCTGCCAAATATCTGGGAATTTACCTTGAGCGCAATCACAAGTGGAAGTTACAGTGTGAAAATGTTTCTAGTAGGATGCTTAAACGGCTAAGATACCTTAATACACTGTTTCGACGTCGAGACTTGTCGGCACGTTGTGTATTGTATAAAAGCATAGTTCTTCCTGTCTCCGATTATTGTGCATCTGTAACATTTCCCGCTCAAAAAGGATTAATTGATGCTGTCGAAAGTGTTCAGAAAAGATTTCTCAGATCGCTTGCAATCAAAGGTCAACCGAATAATTATGAAGGCAGGCTAAAACAACTTGAACTGGAACCGATTCTGCGGCGAAATCTCAAACACAGTTTACAATTGACCTACAAGTTTTTGTACAACATTATCCCCTACGGAGATAAATTATTCTGCAAGGATGTTACTGCGCGTTGTGGTGTTGCAGGTGCGACGCGTCATGGGCAGAGGATGGCTGAACACCCATGCCCGATAATCCCTACCGGATCAACGTTTTGTGGTCTAACACTTCCCCCGTCGGACAAATCTTTCGCCTATCGGATGGCTAGGATATGGAATGACCTACGCATGCCGGCAGAAGCTTATGGGAGTTTGAGTAAATTTAAAACGGCTTTAAATATTGTTGATTGGAAAACAGTAAAGTCGCTTAAAAAGTTTTACCATACTGATCATGTGCAGTTGTTACAAATTTGAGCGCTTGTTAATTTGTTTTGCCTAGCATTATTCGATGTTTGCTTTATTTTAATTATGACGAGTCTGCTGCCTCGGATTGGGTCTTACCCAGATTGTGTGCGGACGTTAAACGATTAAACTTAACTTAACTAGATTACATTTAGATTTAGTAAATTTTTAGAAACTTTTAAAATGGGTGCCATTGTGCCACAACTAATGTAAGCTAATGGTAAGTGCTGTACAGTCGTACAAAGTCATGTATAGAGGATGCAGCGTGTGCGTACGAATGCACAGCCGCCTTGAAATGCGCACTGTATCTATACGAGTACCGCTGCATCCCGATATTCGGTTTAGCACTGTACAACAATTGATTATTGTATACAGTTCCACAACGATAAGCCGATTCTTTCCCGAGATCTGTCTGCCCTGTTGGCGATATTACTGTCTTTCGTGTTGCAGTGCAATTGTCCAGCTATTTTTCGTATGCTGAATAAGGTGCTTGTTCTAACAGAATTCGTACCATAACACAAACGCGGACACACAAACATCATCAAGGAACGAATGCGTTCCTCGATTGCCTTAACCAATCGCGCTATCTAATCTGCTGGATTATGCAGCATATCTGTTTTCTTTTGTCTACTCCGTCATGTTTGAAGTGGACTACTTTGTCTCCAGCGCAGCATGCTGCTGTAGTATGTTTTACCACCGACCCAAACGACGTCACCTGATCGCGGCATTTGGGGATTGCAGAACAGCGGAAAGCGCTTAGACGGCAGATTGCTGCAGTTAGCCGAGTGTGCGCGTTTGAAGCGTGTGTCTGTGGGAAGAATCTTTATCCCGAAGTTTGAGGGTTTTGTTAGCACCATGAGCAAGTTATTGTGCAGTATCAGAGGTTCCAAACGACGTCCTCCACGGAAGACCAGCGCTCGCGACGAGAAGCCGGAAGGAGAAGATGCACAACGAGCCCAACAGCAAACGGACTGTAAGTCCACTATCTCAATATTGCTGTTAATAATATTAGATTTCGGCCGTAATGCATTGCTTATTGCTGGTTAAACAACCTTTTCGAAGATATGAATATTTTTGTATAATTTGAAAAGAACGGTTCCTGTACAAACGACGATCAGCTTATTGGCGCATTACTTAAATGCTGAAAAAAAAACAGAAGAAAACAGAAACTTTCGAAATGCCGGCATTGCATACTTAATGTAATGTACATAGTCTATCTACGGTATAAGTGCTCGTTTAGTTCAGACTGTTCAGTACAGCGGCTGGCTTGTGCTACGGTATTTAAACTATTTACTTAATACAACACATATTCGCTGCTTTGCTTGTGCATGAAATTATTTTACTTTTGATATGAGATTTTTGTAGCGTGTATGATATTTTGTGTAAATAATACTCCACTAAAAGTCTATATGAAACCAGTTGCAAAGGCAGCGTAATATGAGAGTTCGAATTTTGAATGGTTGAATGACTTTCAAAAGAGTGTGCAATATGGTTATTTTCTATGGTGTACATCAAATATATTTTGAAGTTCAAGACGATGCCAAAGATCTTGAAAGAGGAACCCCATTATGGAAAATCACCTCCAATAAAAAAGTTTATCAGCGGATCTTCCGGCTGGATGCCGACCACCAAACGATCCATTACAACGATATCGGTTCCTACCGTTACGCTGTCTGCCAGAGCCGGCCCCGAATAAGTAAATATTTAAACAGTGCACATAGGAAATACAGTAGAGAAACAGTTGTTGACACTTGCTGTAAATTTGTTAAATAATACGGGAATCCACAGGGGAATTGCTATAGGATACTTGTATTTTTACAGTTGATGTCGGACAGATTAGGGAAGTCCGCTGCGGATACAAGACCGATGTGTTCCATCTGTGCGATGATGATAAAAAATTTGTTGCCAAATTCCCGGAAGATCGCTGCTTCGCCTTTGTAATGGGCCGCGGGAAGACGGTGAATTTGGTGGCACCTTCTGTTGATACGCGTAAAAAGTGGGTCAATGTCGTGGAACATGTGATTGGGAAACAACAGAACGAAAACCGGGAAGCGCGGTTAGAAAGGTGCACATATATGAGCGGTAACATGGGTGTCCGCGTAAGACGTATTCACCTTAAATCGTGATTTGTTAATAAACAGCGCTCTGGCTGCATAGGAGTCACACGTTTTGTTATTGCAGTGCGACAAAACAGCACGTCGGCATATATGTATATAATAAGTTTTCATTGTTAATGCTTTACAGATTTTTGAAAAAGCAGTTTATTTTGGCGGATACATCCGGTGATGGATTCTTGAATTTGGAGGAATGTATGAAACTGCTTAGCCATTTGAATCTACAGTTCACACATGAGAAAGCCAAAGGATTTTTTCTGGTGCGTTTGCGGAACACTACCATCATACCGAAACGATGACATTTAAAACTCTTCGATAATTTCATATATAAGAACAACTTAACGTTTTGTAGATACATATATGTATACTAAAAATCTTTTAGCATAAATTTATTTTAGTCAGCGGGAGCCAAATTTCATCACAGCGAAGACGGAGCTTCGGTTTTAGTGTTAGACGCCGATGGATTTCACCAGTTCTACCGGCTTTTATCAGAACGTCCAGATTTAAAAAAGATTTTCCAAGAGTAAATGCCAAAAAAGTTCACAGCATTTGCGGGATAAAAATGTCAATTTTCTGGGCAGGCATACCGCAGAGAAATCCGCCGGTGCAGTGTGGAGTTTATCAAATTTGCAGACATTTCTGCAAAACACCCAGAAGGAAGCCGAGCGCAGCGTCGACGCCTGCGAATATATCATCAAGACCTTTGAACCGCTCGAGGAAAATCAAGCACGCAACGAACTGAGCCTACAAGGTGATAGATGAAGTTCCTGTTTGATTTACCACGAGATGCCAACCATTTTTCGCGCTATAGGATTTCGGAATTATTTGCTCAACCAGAAACAGTTTCTCTTCAACAGCCATCACCGGCAAGTCTATCACGATATGACGCATCCGTTAAAGGACTATTTCATAGCGTCATCGGTAAGTATACTCTATAGGCTTCAGTAATTACAACATGATGTACATATTTCGTTTTTAACGTTCGAAATTTCAACAGTCGTAAAATCGTGTCCAAAATGTTAATTAGTTTTTAATGGTGTTTAGCATAATACATACCTCATGGCAAACCAGCTCACCGGAAGCAGTAGTGTCGAAGCGTACGTGCTGTGCTTACTGCAAGGATGCCGTTGCGTGGAATGTCAGTGCAATGAATATACAATATTACCGCGTGCCGTAAAACGTACAATAGCAGATAACTGCAATGAATATATTTTAATTTTGATGGTTTTTATATTTTACTTTTAATGGTTTATATATTTTACTTTTGATGGTTTAATGCAATCTCAAACAATAAATTAAACTTGACCGAAGGAATAAATTTACTGTATAGCTGAGCCGTTTAAGTACAACTGTAAACCTATTTGATGCATATGATTGTAGTGGATTGCTGGGATGGACCGGAAGGTGAACCCATAATAACCCATGGACGAACTCTAACGTCAAATATTTACTTCCGTGATGTTGTAACTGTGATCAAAGAATATGGATTTCGTACTTCTCCGTAAGTCAAGTCTGTGTTTCTTTATAAGTTTATTAGTCAATTCTTTCCTGCCGCAGATATTCATAATGCCGTCATAGCGATTAGACACTTTACTACATAAACGGCACAATTATGCATGAATAAAAAGTAAAAATAAGCTACTTTCCTAATAAGCTCCTTTCCTGGTAAGCTAAGATTTCCTACTGCGAATTTTGCAACCTTGCAGCCTTATCAGACATACTGATATTCGTCTAAATACTAAACTGCAAATGCAACTGTGAAACAAGATGGCCGTGATATGCACAATCACTTGCTGATTCCATTTATTTATTGTCACAGGTATCCCGTAATTTTATCAATCGAAAACCACTGTTCGGTAGAGCAGCAGGACGTTATGGCTAACCATCTCAACAATATCTTAAAAGAGATGTTATACTGCGAGTCACCTAAGGACAGCGATAAACTGCTGCCATCCCCGGACAGCCTGAAAGGTCGCGTCATACTGAAGGCTAAAAAGATAAAACCGCTAGGGAAAACCGAATCCCTTCCCTCGGAAGGGGATGATGATTTAGCGAAATCCGCGGTGGACGGTACCGATATCGATGCCCCTCCGGTGACCAAGAAGGATAAACAACTACAGCTTAAAATTTCGCAGATATTGTCAAATGGAACATATTTACACGCGGTCAAGTTTCGTGGATATGATCATTCGAAAACGTCAGGTAAATTAAGCTGCACCTTTAGCGCGTATGCTGACCTATAAAAATTATGTACAGATGACGATGACGATATGGCGACTGTACAATACGTATACACAGACTGGTATATTTAAAAACCACTGCATCACCAAGGACAGGAGTGTACAGAGGACTAGAGTGTATTGTATTCCTAAAGAAAACTTTGATTTCAAGTGGGATAATTGAAGAAATTACCTGGCAATTTATTAAATTACATGGATATTTATTAATAATGTATTAATGTTAGTAATTAATAACAGGAAAATTTTTCGAGATGAGTTCGCTGTCGGAAACGAAAAGTTTGAGCTTAATCCAAGAGAGCCGTTCTGGATTGATTAGCCACACCCGTCGGCAGTTGGTCAGAATTTACCCAGACGGACTGCGCACCGACTCTAGCAACTACGATCCGATTCCCATGCTGCATGCCGGCTGCCAGATCGTCGCTCTTAATTACCAGGATCGTCGAGCAGAGACCCAGGTGTACAAAGCCATGTTCCGGGATAACGGCGGCTGTGGATATTTGCTCAAGCCGGAATACCTGCGCAGCGAAGACATGGATCCCGATGAGTACAACAATCGCATCATTCCCATTAAATTACGCATAACTGTCATCAGTGCACAGCAGCTGCCCAAACCTGATGGCATTGATGGACATGATATCACCGATCCTTATGTGACACTGCAGATTTACGGCTGCGCTCGGGATTGCAAGAAAGAAAAAACAAAGTACATAAGGAACAACGGTACGTCCCAATAAGAGTATTAATTAGCTTGTATATAAAAGAAAATATATTAATAACAAATACGAGTAAAACAAATAATATATATATTACAGCACGCATATCAATCTTGCATGTACTACAATACTCAGTGCGCAGCTGATTTTGAAATGTGAATTATTGTGGACAGCGATGCGTTATTTTAGAAAACGGGTTCCAGCTGTGTCATATTCATCTCTATCTGTAATAGCACATATAATAACACCGACATATTGTAGTAAGCGTAGTAAGTAACAGCATGAGTTACAGCACAAAATGTTTTGGATCCATCATTGTCGTTATTATCACCCCGGGTACTGATTTTTCCTGAATAATTGTCAACTTATTCTACTTTCAGGATTTAATCCATCATGGGAAGAGACTTTCACGTTCACGATACATGATCAAGAAATGGCTGTGATGCGTTTCGAAGTCAAGGATTTTGAAACGAGCTCAGTCAATGAAGTTATTGCACATTATACCATACCAGTCACCAGCATGAAAGAAGGTACGTGTATCTTTATTACGCGTGCTTAGCATCAAATGGTAATGTCTTTATTACTGCTCGATAATTTTTTAACCGTATGAGTTTAAAGAATCTGCGCCATAAAAGTTAATAAAATGAGAAACGTATAAAATTTTAATGCTAATCTTAATTGCTTATGTTCACAGGCTACCGGCACGTGGAATTATTTGATAAACAGGATGCTCCTCTTGACCCGGCCACGCTATTTGTAAAAGTGGAAAAAGAACCAATTGTTCCTCAACAGCTGGAAACGATTTAAGACTTAATTCGTTAGTTTTTTATTTTGCAGTTAGTAAATTATTTTAGGGGTACCGTTTTGGAGCAGATCGCAAAACTAAAAGACTGTCAAAGGTTGTGTTTTGTATAATGCAGAAAATCGTATTAGTCAATCCATCTGTGATTCAGAGTTTTATGCTGCAGTTTAGTTTATCGATATTTCGATTTTCATAATTTTCAGTACGATGTTTTAGTGTCTGCAGATGCACATGTGAATAAATGAAGTTTCTGATCACTGTAGCTGATAATTACGAGGTAATTACATCAAACCGTTCGATTAACGTGATACGTACGACCTGTACGAGTTCTGAGCTGACACAGCTCAATTTTTGGCACGAATGGTTGAACAGTGCTATCAGTTTGGGTTTTCATCATGATCAAGGTTGCAACCGCAAATCATGAGAATTTTAGGGTAAAATGTTGTTTCTAGTTACGTAAACTTCGATCCCAATATAGTGGTTATTCTGAATGCTGGAACAGTTAAGTCTTAGTACGTTAAACGCTTTACATTTGATCAAATAACAAAACTTGTAATCACGAACGATTAATCTTGATCGCTGTGAACTTCCGCTAGTTATCCAACGTTGCGAATGCAGGTTATCCCTTTGTTGTTTGTTGGTATTTGCCACACTTTCGGTTATTTATAATTAAAAAATGGCACTCGATTTTCGCACGGTTTTTAATTAACCTGATTAAAAAAATGGGAATGCTCGAGAACGACTTGCCAACACATTTTTCGGATTATCACAATAATGTGTCATACGCCGATCACGACGACGTGGACCTTAATTATGTTGATCATTCCTATACACAGTCTAACGATTCCTATACGCTGGACGAACCAAACAATTACGGCACATGGAGCGAACCGGAAGTCGCATTCTGGACACCGCACAATAAACTGATCATTGCATTGTATTTCGTACAAACACTGCTGGCAGTGACCTTTAATATTACTGCTATAGCGGTTGGTTCCAGGAGATGTCACGCCAGCAGAAAGAATCAAGTGGAATCTGTCCTCATCAACATTTGTTGTATAAATCTCTTGCAAGTCATCTTCATATTTCCCTTGGAATTTGCATCCAATTATATAGATGATACCTGGAGCTGGCCATTTTTGACGGAGGCTTGCCAATTTTGGTAGAGCACACTTTAGTGACCTTTAACATTTACTTTCCATATTCGTCATACAACTTAATTTTAGGCTGGTGACTGGAAATGCCCTCGCCGCAGTTAATTCATGGAACGTTGTGTGCATTTCATGCTTTCCAACAATTTTAAGGAACACCGTTTCGTGCATTAAGCTGAAGTGGTCAGCGGTTGTAATAAGTTTATGGCTGGCCGGTTTTGGACTATCTCTGTTCATGTATTTTACCTGGAAAGTTTCCGAATTTCCTGGTTACTGCGTATGGGACAGCATGGCTCATGAACATTGGTTAATGGAGACTTTATGGTATAGTACATACTATAGTAAAAAAATGCCTTGCAACTGTTTACATAAACTGCTTGCAAATACATTTTCTGTACGAAAATATCTAATCGAATTTTTTTATTTAGCGTGTTTTGGATACCAGCAGCGCTATCACTTTTTGTAACCGTGACGCTTTCGATACACTATGCCGCCACCAGAAAGAAGGACGAGTATACCTATCCAACACCGATAATGGCGTATTCCTGTACAAACGAAAACGTTGATCTGACAATGTTCGGACTCCATCGTTCAGCGGCATGCGGCGAGCATAACACCCGGTTAACAGCCACTTCCGCATCAGATCAAGCGGATAAACTGGATAAAATCATTCTGGCACTGGGCATGACCTTTAGCTTCATGGCCTGCATGGGACCGTATGCGTTTGGCATGTTACGAGCGCACTACCGCGGTATGCTTTACATCATCCCGCACGGTGTCAAATTCCATAAAATGATGATTACAACACTGCTGAAACCGCTACTGGATGCGCTGGTACTGCTGACGTGTTGGCGACCGTACAGGGAAAAAGTATTCGGTCGGCATTGTGGATGTCGTAAACGGTTCGGAGGTCGTTCATCCACGGTCGTCGTAACTAAATTCTAATTTTATTGTGATGATACTGTTGTGGTTTTATGCTAAGTGTACTTTGACTGACTGAGACAATGCACTGCATAATGATGTAGTATTGAACAACGAAGCATGATAATCTTTAATAAAGTTCAAAATCGAATCCTCTGTTCTTACATTTGCCTTAAAATTTTTTACGCACACGAAAACAGCTGCCACTTCAATTATTACTTTAGTATACAAAATTATTGGATTGTTTATTAATATTTATTTTCAAATCTTTGCTGATATCTGAAGTTATGTCATAACAATGGAAAAATCCCTTCCACCCTTGCATGGCGTAACACAATATATACAATACAGATTCATCGCAATTATTGAACTGCAAAAGGAAGAATTTATTGTGGAAGGTTTCGAGATAGGTCACGCGCGCGTGCAACCAGTAATCACACATTAGTCCAATACAAATTCGTAATAGCAATCACTGTTGCAGTTTCGATGCCACGACTGATTAATGTACGACTATTAGATCTAATTCGTTGCAGTTAATACCGTTCGGCAAAATGTTCATTTCTAGCCTGCAGAAATCACAGATTTGTTTAGGCGGACAACTGACCAATTAACCAAAACGTTCGCATCTTTCCTTTGCCTTTTACTTCAATTTCTCCTCGATCTTCCATAACGAAAATTCCGAAACTGTCTAAAAGGGTTTTGGTGCTGGGGCTCATCTGTATCCTCAAACCTGGAATTCGTAAAGTGTGTTTATAAATGGGCATTATATACAAACAATCCAGAATGTGGTTGTAAACAAACCTTCTCCCGTAGACTCCATTCTGCTTGCCGTGTTTACGGTATCACCAAATCTGTATAAAATTTACAAACAAAAGATTAGCACTTTAATTTTACGATACTGCCATAAAAAATTTCACATTTTTCGTCCACTTACAAACAGTATCGCGGGACGGCTAGGCCAATCACACTGGCAACTACGGGACCTAAAAATTTAACGTATATTGTACTACATAAGTATTTAACGTATGTACATTGTACATATAGATAAGTACAGACAAGTACTACAGCACTTGTACTGTTTTATATGCGCCATCACAATAATTATTAAGACACCAGGACAGCCAAAGTGACCAATCTCCGAAACTGTGTTACTGTAATAAATATTAACATATTTGCCATTACTGGTAAATTTGAATTATTCCAATTTTACCCAATCAGTGTCCGATTAGTAAATGTTTTATCCGGCATACCTGAATTCAGGCCAACACGCAGGCGGGCTTTCTCACCCGGCCGATGCCGGATTTTGAACGTATGGATGAGATCCATTAAAGCCAACGCCATCCCTGCTTGTTCTTTGGCGTGATTCAGCCCGTTCCGCCTGGGAAGACCGGATGCTACCTGTTCAACATAAAACCATTGCCATTACGCATAATTATGTCACAATCACTGCTTTTAGAAATACAATGCAAGTTTGTCCATGCTAACGGATATTTGCCATCGTTACCATGTAAGAGTCATGAATGGTTTCCACTTTGTACACGTCAAATTTCGGTATTGTGCTGTCGAATAATGAATCTGTAAACAAGCTGAAATTATAATCGGTAAGATAAGAAATAATTATCAAAGCATACATAAATCATTTAAAAAATCAAAGCATACATAAATCATTTAAAAAATCAACGATAATAAATAAAAATAATTATCAAAGCATACATAAATCATTTAAAAAATCAACGATCTGAATCGGGCTGCTTTCCATCGAAATGGCGGCAAATCCAACAATATCACTGAAAAATATCGTCGCGCTATCGAAAGCTTCCGGTGGCACGGTTTCGCCACGTTTCAGACGATCGGCGATAGCTCTGCGAAAAAGAAACGATTAAAAATTCTAGAGAATGCAAAGTCGGCACTTTTAATAATATACTGATATTTAACAGCAATCAATAAATAAGCTTAAGAGGCGCATTTACGTACTAATTCTACTGTGGGCTACTCACTGTGGAAGAATCTGATTTAATAAGGCATCGGCTTTTTTCTTCTCTTCTAAAAAGGCTTTCGTTTTCTCTTCTACCATTTCTTCCAGATCGGCGGTATACTGTTCCATTCTGGCCACAATAAGATCAACGAGATTGCTTTTTTCCACATCACCTCTGTAAAAAAATTTAGTTCAATACAGATACTGTTTCTGCCAAAAAAACAGATACAGATAAAAAATATTAAGAGTTGTACAGACATACAGGTATATTAAACAACATACGACTAGCAGCTTGCCCATTTATAAACTACGCGTACAAAACCTGCTTAATCTTAAAAGTACTGTAACAGAACTGAAAATTCAAAAGAGATATGTTCTACGTACTTTGTGACAGCTTTCATAGAAGTTTTTATTTCCGGAAATTTCGGCCTGTCTAGCGGTTGTCCTGACCAGCAACGCTCCATAAGAGCTGATAATGTTGCCGGACAATCTGGATTGGTAACGCGTGGACGGAAAGCGTCAGTTTTCTTAATTTTTCCTACGATCTCTGCAAAACAAATCAAATGAAAGTTTCCTCCGATTTTGTCGAGTAACTTTTTTCATACGTACCTTTTGGTTCATAGGGATGCATGGCATATGGCTCTTCCCGGAGGATGATTTCCTGTAGGATAATAGCAAACGCAAAGGTGTCGCCTTCTTGCGTACCGGGACCATACGGATCGCGCAACAATTCCGGTGCCGTCCAAAATAAGGCTTTATAATCTTCGTTGGTCATTTCTCGTGGAAGACGTTTTTCATAGAAAGTTGGCAGTCCGTAATCACCCACTTTTAACACGAATTTTCCATCCACATAACAACACCCGGAATTTAACCGTCCGTGATATATGAGCGGCGATTGGTGGATAAAGCTAACGCCTTTAATGATATCGTTAATTAAGGCGTAGCGGAAAATCCAGTCCAGTTTGAAGGATTCGTTCGCCAACAAATCCTAGTTAAATGTAACTAATTTATTGTTATTAGCTATTTTGTAAAGTATGTAATAATCAATTATCTGCATCGGAATACCGTCTGCTAGTCATGAACACCAAAACGCCGGACGCAAAAGTGTATATGCCACAGTAAAAACGTGACACAGCATACGTATACAGTACTAACAAGTCAATTAACAAATAACGAAAAATAAAAAAGTACATAAATACAATAATTTCTCATTAACAAAATTAAATTATTCTGCCGAAATTACCAGCTCTGGATCCATATTCGGTTGTGACCTTTACCACGTAAAGCGCGTACCTGCAAACTGCCTTTTGAGCAATATTCCCCAATAACAGCCAAATGCTCCGGATCCAGTACCGCCCCGATAAACCGCAGCAGATTATCGTCAATCATGTTTCTCACGACCTTCACCTCGTTCAGCAGCCGCTTGTCCAGATGCACACGGTGTTTCTCGCACAGCCGCACCATCACCGGTCGACCCTGCCAACTGGTAAAAAACAGCTTCCCGCTACTGGGCGGCGGTTTGCCGGTCCGTGTGCGCTGTGAACTGCCCTCGCTGGTGGGCATGCTAGTTTTGGAGCCGCTGGTGGCGGAGGCGGTGGTGCCGCTCATCATGGACATCCGCGAGGATCCCGTACGGGCACCGTGATCCGACTGCAGATCGTCCCATTCGGCGATCCACACGCTGTTCGATGCTTTGGCTTCCCGACGGGCCTTGATGAACAGGACGAGACCGCTGATCAGACCGATCAACACCAGTAACGAACCGATCGAACCGGCAACAGCCGCGGGTGTGGCTGAAATTAAATATGTTAGAATAAAATCGTTGTCTTGAAAACAGTTTGGTGATTTCAGAATACCGAAAAAAGTCAGTTCGGTCATATATACGAGTAACGTGTTACGACATAAAAGGCGTCCTTTTCCACCTCATCAAAGTTAGGTAGCTACTTATACGAGTATCTTACTGGTGTCAGGACATTTGTCGTTTTCGTAACCGCAAAGGGGTTCGTCTAGAGGCGTTTGTCCATCCGCTGTGCGCCAAGAAATCGGCGACACTTCTTCGTATGCGTGATTATATCCATAATAATTCGAAACAACCTGAAATGGACATTTTCCGTGTAACCGTGTCTTAGAATAAAGTGATTACCTTCAAAGATGATTATTAAATTTGATCAGCTTACGGAGGAGGTACTTATATACATGGATAACTGGACCACAGATTGGTGCAAATTGTCAAAATTTTACGGACTTACCGAAAACGTCCCTGTGATTGGATTGGTCATGTAGTAAAGGCTTAAATCATCGGTTCGATCCCCTTCTGGATTAATGTGCACGTTGCCGCTCGCTCCTGTAAAAATAGTGCAAAATTAAATACGGAATTTTCCAAAAACTGCATGTGACCTTCGATTGCGTACCATGAAAGGTGGTATTCCATAAGCCCAGTGTGACGTTCTTAGCATTTCCGGCATTGTCGTTGATATCCATGTCATCTTCACCCACAACAGCTAAAAACTTCCGGATAGCCAACGCCAGCATCAGAATGGAGTCATAAAAACTGGCGGAGTAGTAGTTAATCACGGAAGATCGCTTGCGATTTTCAGCTTTATCTTGTGCTTTAATTTGGTTGTAAAATATCAGGTACTGGTCACTCTGGGTGTAGTCCTTTAAAGTCAATACGAGCAGGTTAGCATACGCTTTCAGAGCCTCCCTGTCGTAACCATCCCCTGCAAAATGCACGATTGACATAAAACATTCTCCACCTACTCAACGTGTATAAACACCGTCACAGCAGTGCAAATACCCATCAAACTTTGGTAAATGTATAACTTACTCTGTCTCCAGTGACCTTGGTTCCCGCGTGTTACGACGCCATCCAAAAACAGATCGGTAGTGACGAATACATAATCGCCACCGGACATCCCCAGACGGTAACTCTCGATCATAAAGTACCGGAACAAGGCGCCTTTCAGTAGTATCACAATTACTGAAAAAAACACAGTTTTTAACTTCAGGTGCACAGTAAATAATTTTGCATAGGATGCTTCATCATACTACAACAGAAGCGGTATCATTTAGCTACTGTGCCAAGACGCGCAGATATGCTGTAGTTCCTCTTAACGTTTTCGAATTAACTTTGTTAAAACTGAGTACGAGTCAGGAGAAAATTTAAATTCGGATATCGTAGTCGGTGAATTATTATTATACGGATTCTAGTCAAAGTTTAACATTATCACGGTACAGCCTGAAACCACAGCACTGCAGCAAGCCGCATCGTGTAAACAAGTTGTACAATACCTCCTATTACGCTATTTTATCGTTGAATCAATACATTTTTCCCTTTACCAGTTAATGCGAATAATTAATAATAAGGATAGTAAACATTTTCAGCGAAAGTTACCCAATAATTTATTAGCGAAATTTTCTTGAGTGCATCGGTACGCCTTGTTCACATTCGCTTTCGTCGTATTTTCAGTTAAATGTCTTACCTCGTGAATTAATGGACGCATCCCTCAAATAATCCGGCACAATGTCGTAATTATCAAACTCTGTGGCATTCAGACGCTTTTCAAACACCACCTTATTGTGGTTGCGCAGAATGGCGGACAAACCTGCGTAAGGACACTGTGTCAACATATCAATATTGGCACGCAATCAACGCAGGCAGCGGGTACTTGTAAAGGTCACTTCCACATCTTTGTCGTCGTAGTCATAGATCACTGAGGCATGCTTCCACTGAAATTTGTCCATTATTGTCAAGAAAAAAGTCCACATATCGGCCGTGCTGAATCCGCAGCGGGTCAGAAAGGGAAATTCCGCAGTGCTATCCACGTAGTTTGCGGCCCCGGTCACGGTCGGAACATTGAAATATGTCGTCAGCTGATTAACGATCTGCATGTCTTTTGTACAAGCTGCAATTAAAAAGGCACAAATATTATGCGTTACACCAGTGCTAACTCGTCATGCTTTTACAACGACGCATTTGTATTAATATATGGACACGCACTGGCCCTTTAAAGAACGACATATATTGTACACGTCTGTTAATAAACAGTACAGAAGTACAGTACAGTACAGAATCTGTAAGTGGTTAGAAATCGAATGGCTTGAGAAACTATTGATAATTTTTAAAGAACTGTCTACAGAACATTCATGAACAGTAATGGGAAAACATCACTTGAACGAATCGATTAATCCTTCCACTCTGAAATGCATGACAACAGACAAAAGCGTCGCGCTTCGCTGTTCCAAACCGTTGCAAAATTTTGCACAGTCACTAACAAAAAACTGATCACGTAAAAAAGCTTACTTCTTATAAACATTGTTCGGAAAACTGTGCTTAAAGTAAGCCAAAGATCGTTAAGTACTAAATAAAGTCACTCTATCGCGACCGCAATACTGAAATTAAAGGGCACTTACCTGGTCCTACAATGACGTCAACCGATTCATTAACCGCCTGGGCCGATTCGCCACTCGCATTCCACATCCAGCAGCCCTGCGTCTTGGCCAATCGCGGATCCGGACTAATATCTGACCACCAGACGACCTCGTACAAATAATTCCTCGGCTGGAAATTAATACTGTAATCATGTCGCGCCCGGGAGAATGCGGCTTCGATTGCCGGTTTGAGTATATCGTAGTCGTAGGATGTTGTCGTTCCGATGGTCAATATGACACCGACCGTGACATTGTACAACGGATCGGTTGACGGCTCACCGTACAGTGCCGTCAGGTTCATCGTGTGATTACTGCCGGTACTGCTGAATAAAGTGCTGTTCTGCGCCATCACTTCCGTCGTGTTCAAATACTCAGCAAGTGTCGTTAGCGAGGATGTTGTGAATACGGTGGTCGCATCTAACCGGAAACAGCGCAGGTATGATGAGTGAGATATCACCGTAATGCCGCTATACAGAGCTAATATGCGCCGGTCGATATAAGGTCATCCATGGTCAAAGTCATTGCGAAATCTAGAGATATTTTTGTTTCGCGTTGGTGATTAATATACGTCAACCTGATGACGGAATATCTTGCACGTATCTGCAGCTGCGTGGTACACATGCTAACAAAGGTCAGACCAGTTTTCTGCCAGCTGTAGCTGGCACCGGCACCCAGGGTGACGGCAATGTTAATTACCTTCTTGAGCAATGCAAATGGGAAAGACCGTAAGAAATGCCAGCACGATTGATGGTATCCACGCATGATGACATTTGTGGCGCTGCTTCGGGATCCGGCTTTTCATCGGGAACATTTCCCGTTGAATTGTTCGCGGAAATCGATGAATAATCCTGGATAGCTGTAATATATATCAGGTGACAGATGGAACGATGTGCATGTAACAGGAAGCTGACAACAAAACCGGTTAATGGGATGCTTTTCCGGAAACGCTACGGAAATCTTTCCACACTATACATATGGATTATGCTAATCATGCATGTCCCGAACAAGCAGCACGCGTTGTAGCCCGCTTGCTCTGCCTTTAGTTATATTACAGTATATTCGGTAATTCAGGAGCCGCGCCGTTAATGCTAAACCAATATGCATAGGGATTACCTACGATTAACTATTCTGATCTTACGTGAGGTTTTGTATACTTCGGAAGAACTACTCGCTAGGCGCTATCGTATAGTTAGCTATTCCCTTAGCTGTTAATTTTTTATTGGCAATAATCATCACAACAACAGTAAGTGGCTCGCGATCACAACAAAAAGTAAAAATTATAGACATTGCAAAGCAGCCATGGGAGACTGTCTCGCTTATTTGGCCTACGCGCAACATTTTGTTTTACCGAGAAGAGCATCTCAGTTATAAGAGGTAAATCATAATCTAACCACTGAAGCTGCAGTGTATACAATGCCAGCCTGCTAAAAGTAGTATTTAAGGATTTGATAAATTAAAGAAATGCAATATGCTAAATGCTTCCTGCAACTATAATCTAAATTCACCCGCAAGAGTTTCATTTAATGGCTTTAACAAATGGCTGCAGTATACGATTGTACTTAAAGTAATAATATGCATGCTGCATAGTGTTCTGAAAAATTACCTAATTGTAATTTTGCTGATCCCAGTTACACAGTCGGCTTGTAATTATTATTTCCTGAGTATCGTCAGTATTCGGAGATGTGCACGTCATAATAAATTCTAATCGAAACCAGCCACTGGATAAAAGATCACTGATCCCATAATTACTTACATCCAAAATACACAGCGAGATATTATCACAAAATGAGGCAGATCATTGACAGAAAATTATTCCCAATTCTGTTGCAGATACCATTCCATCAAGAATCGAAAACCGCATGTGCCAAGCAAATTTGTCGGCACTTTCTCATGATCTGAATATTTTGGAATACTGGATGAGAGGGCGTGCACACAACATTGTCATTGTACAACGCACACTTTTCAATATACGCCAGTGATAAAGAGTGTTCTTCGAATTCACACAAAAGTTGCTACAAGAGAGCGAACGACTGAGCGCTGTGATTGTGGAAGCGGGATGCAAAAAAAGGGAAGACATGAGAACATTTTTGCACACTGGAATACTCACCTGTACCGGTGTTCAGTGTACACATACCACGGTCTGTGTGCAGTGTATTGATTTCCATTAGCCGCACAACTTGTCCGTTAGTAGCAAACAAGAGCACCATTGGCACAGGTTGTATATAATGAAAGGGAAAAAAGCGTTAGGAACTGCTCGGCTGCAGTAACCGTTATCGTCATCAGAATAATACCTGACAATTCGAATTCCCAGCAGCAGCAACCGGTATTATTGATTTTTTATTCTCGACAATATCATAGGGCAAAATAAAATTACGCCGCAGTGGAGACAGAATTAGTGGGCTATGGGATGAAATATGTAAGTACAGAGTACAGACTACAGAGTACTACTTATAAAATGCGGTATCTGTACGTAACTACGTATTACTCACGCTTCCACTACATCACCTCATATTTCCTCGGATTGACAAACCAAACAGATACAGTAAGCGCTCCACTTGATTCTCAATAAAAAAAAACGACCGCCAAGGAAAGCCTGCTCGGTCATGTCACTGGGAATCTGGGATTGATTCATAAAAAACAGCGATTCTACCGACCACTGAGGGCATTTTAAAAAGCAGCACCAGCACCCAATTTGATTTGTATTAATATGGTAAAGCACTTTAGCTAGCTGGTGAAGTATATAAGTACGAGGACACAAATAGTATGTACAGATACAATTTATTTACCGCATCTTTATTACAAGTTAGTCTACTTTTCTGCATGTCCAGTGTCTGTTTATTGTATAGGCGAATGTGTTTTTTAACAAACGTCGAGAATAAGTCAGAACGCGCCAAAATAAAAGACCCGCGATATTCATATTAATTTTAATCTCGGTAATTAGGGATGAATAATCCAAACCAGAAGTGCCAGACTGTTTCCGCACAATTAATTGTAGGTCAAGAACAATCATTATTCTAGCAACAATCTCCGTTCATTCGCAACATAACAACCGGTGCTCAGCTTTCACAGGAAATAAGCACTATTCCGTTAAAATCTACTGCCGTAAAAATGGACTCATCTGTTCCGACTGCACTAGTAAAGTAAATCTCCGGATGCTTTCACCACATATTTTTAGAAACACATTTACTCAACGCAATAAAAGATTACAACTATAAACAACACAAAATTTAGGACAGGAGAGAATAAGAATACATACAAATCATTTGTAACAACTAGGCCAGATTAGCGTCTTTGGCCAGCCCGTAAAATATCGTATTTCGATCACGAAGGAGGTTTTCAGGGGAATCCAGTTCCTTTATTTTCCCTTGATCCAATACCATAATGCTAAAACACACGTCATTTATAATTATTGACTATACGCATAAGTAGTGTGAACAACGAATTCTCATAAATAACACCAGAAAAATAAAATCCAGCAGCACAAAATAATATTCGTTTTAAAACAGTAAAATTCCAGATCTTACCGAGTACTATCCATAATGGTATTCAAGCGATGGGCGATAGTTAAAATAGTGCAATCCGCAAATTTATCCCGAATGGTACGCTGAATCAGATCATCTGCAAAAAAAAGAAACAATTACTAATATGCAACTGCAAGCATTAGAATATAAATTTCGCAAAATGCTTCTTACCTGTTTCTAAATCAACAGCTGCCGTCGCTTCATCCAGAACCAGAATTTTCGTCTTTCGTAACAGTGCACGCGCTAAGCAGATCAGCTGTCGTTGACCAACACTAAAAAAATTATATAATAGATGTAAGAATCACATGGTAAAACATTAAAGGTAAATACAACCATAATCAAGCGATGAAGGAAAAGATTACACGGGAAGCATAAATCCGCCAGTTATTTTATAGTTTCAATAAGCACCTTAAATTTTCACCGCCTTCGGCTACAGCATGCTGCAACCCATCCGGCAGCGAGCTGACGAAGCGCTTTAAATGCGAATTTTCCAGCGCCATCCAGACATCTTCATCGGAATACGCATTAAAAGGATCCAAATTCAACCGCAGCGTTCCACTAAACAGCACCGGCTCCTATAGCAAAAAAAGCACCCGACATCCGGATTAGTCAGACACAGCGTAATGCGTTTTTTCAAGTGACACATACCTGTGGGATAATAGTTAAATGGGAGCGCACATCGTGCAAACCCATGGTAAATATGTCGATTCCATCGATAACAATCGAACCGCCAGCCGGCTCAATAATGCGGAACAGGGCCAAGGTGAGTGAACTCTTACCGGCTCCCGTTCGTCCAACGATGCCAATCTGCAAAAAAGCAAACTTCACATTCTGCGTAACATAATATTCCAACCAGCGGAAGTACAGTGATCGCTTTCACAAATATAATACACAAATTCCAACAAGACTGTCATGTTATCGCAGTTTTCACTCGTACAATGCGGTAACATAATAAATCCTTTGTGGGTAAGATAACGTCTGTGACCGGAAACGAAGATGCTTAGAAGCAAACAACATAAAAATTCCCGAAATAACACTTTTCGTTCTTGCAACGGCTTCTGCTTCAAAACCACTCCATATGTAGCAATAACAAACGCTCGTTTTTGTATAAGGTACACAATTTATCACAAACACTTAACGAGCGATCACCCGATTCGAATGAACTAAACGGTACCTTTTCTCTTGGCTGGATATTCGCCTTTACACCACGCAGCACCAAGTCCAGTCCTGGACGATAGCGCGTCTGATAGTCGTTAAAGTCGATAGCGCCGGTTTGTGGCCAGTTCTGCGGAGGTCGCTTGCCGTCAATAATCCAGTCAGCCTCCATTGGGATTTCGGTGTACTCCTTAATTCGCTCCACGGACACCACATTAGTTTCTAGTTCACTGGTCATCCGCACCATCCAGTTTAAGGTTTGTGTCACCGTCATGGCGTAGCTCACGGCCAAACCCATGTCTTTCGGATCCACCCAGTGCTTTCCATCAGCATCTTTCCAATCCCGCGTAATCACAGCAAAAAAGGCGGCAAAAAATACAATCAAATTACCGACACTTTCCAACCGCACCGCCAGCCACCTTTAAAAACAAAACGTTATCAAACTTCCACAAAATTTATGGATTACAAGTGTTTATAATACCTCTGGGATGCAATATTCGGATAATAAGATGCGTTATTGGTATCCACACGGTTCTCGTTATCATGGATAAAACGTTCTGTCTGTTTAGTTGCTACGATAACCATAGTTCCGGTAACTGATTCCTGAAAATGTGAATAAATCGGAGAGCGAGAGACCGATTCCAAGCGTTTCAGCTGTCGGCTCGTAGCAATATAAAATCGTTGCACGAAGTAGTAAAATATTCCCAGGGGTAAGATCACCGTAGCGAAAAGCGGAACACTGTAAATAATCTGCAAGCAACCGCAAAAATTAGAAATAGTCGAGATTCTATTTTGTCCAGAAAAGCGAGTGCTAAACTGATTAATATGAATAAAACTATGTCAAACTGCAATGAGAATACGGAAGCGGCTTATATACTAGGAAAAATGCACGTTGGCGTGCATTTGGCAGACCGGAGCGCAGCATTTCCTTTGAGTACAGCATGTATAAAATACACTTTAATAATTTATTACAAACTTAATTATTTGCTGTCCGAGTATTACTCTAAACGAAAGTATTACTCTTGAAGTAGAGGACCTTCGCTTCGCTCCGGTCGATAAGTTACAACCAAGAAAAAACGATAAAACGTCTACGGTAAAACCAAGAAAAAACAAATTTAGCGAATCCATCCTAGGCTCAAAAATCGTTAAATGGAATAATTCGCTAATTTATCAAAATCAGAACACTAAAAAAAGAATTCAGACTTACCACAACCACAGTCGAAAGAACGCTGAAGACGCAATTCAGCCACATGCGAATATTCATCGGCAGCATGGTATCCACCGTATCCACATCTTTACTAAATCGGTTAACAATTCGTCCCAGTGGTGTAGTGTCGAAGAAAGCCATCGGCGCGTGTAAAATCCTCACCAACATATTCTGATGCAAATTCCTGCTAGCCCGAATCTGTCCGTACGCCAGCACAAGCGCTGACATAAAGACAAAAATTCCCTGAATAGCACCCAGCGCTCCATAGATGCCCAACCGATAATCTCTCCATTCAGTACTGTTCCGTCGTTCAGGAATATACGAATCGTTTGACCATTCACCCAGCCACACATTCGTGCCCACCGCCACTCCGTTGAATGCGGCATAGAACAGGATGATCACAAAGGAAGCTCCGTAAGTCATATGCTTCAGATACATCATGTAAACATTCCATTTGACACTTCCGGTCTCCGACGTCTCCGCCCCGACCAGTCCAGCCCGGGGGCCACCCGCACCCGCTTTGGCCGCGGGTCCACCGTTCTTTTCCGGCTCTTTTTCGGGAGACATACTCTTTCTCGGGGATAGATTAGACTTTTTCGAATCCTGTCGCGACACTCGCGATAATTGCTGCTTGATTTTCCTCAGCGACGAGTTGGAGGTCTGGCTGGTGATGGACGCGGTGCGTTGTGCCCGAGCGTGATCTGGTGGCTGATCACCGATTTCTTGGAGAACTTGCTGTTTAATGGCGATGGCGTCAGGATCGTCTTCGGCCTCGATCTCTTCCTGTAAGTACGTTCGTAATACTTCGGCGAAGGCGCCTTTTTTCTGCAACAATTCCTGATAGGTTCCAACTTCTGAGATTGTTCCTTCGTCAATCACCACAACCAAATCAGTCTGAGGTAAGAAACTGATGCCGTGAGTCACCAGAATGCGGGTTTTTCCCGCCAACAGTCCCTTCGGGCCGAGAACGTTTTCAAACAGATGCTTTCCACTGCAAAATTTTACGCAAGTTTAGCAAAACGATTAGACTTTAAATAACGTCAGATTTTGTAAAGCGAAAATAAAAAAAAAAGAAGCAAAACTAATCCAATCAAAGTATGAGAAATTCCCATAATGTTAACAAATGCCACCTACACGTGTGCATCCACGGCACTGAGCGGATCATCCAGGAAACAGACATCCGCTCCGCTGTAAACCGCTCGGGCCAGGCTAACACGTTGCTTTTGTCCACCACTTAAATTGATACCCTTTTCACCGATTTCGGTCTGATCGCCTCCAGGAAGCATTTCCAAATCCGGCGCCAAAGCGCAAGCTTCAATGACTCGCTTGTACCGGGCTTCATCCAGAGGTTTTCCAAACAATATATTCTCTTTCAGTGTCAAGTTCTAAAAATAACAGTTCAGCATAAAGAATTAAATATCGAAGAAAAACCTTATACCACAAAAGAGCGCATGCATTATCACATGTTCATGGTTTGCTAATGAGGCAATACTAATAAACCTTACCTGAATCCAAGCTTGCTGACTGACGTATGAGATGGACCCCTAAAAAATCATAAAAATTCAGTCAGATACCGAAAGTTACACAAACTTTTTGGCTAATCGGATGAAAATGAAATTAAGGAATAAAACGGTTTACTGTTACACGAATATAGGTAACTGTGAAGTATTATTTTTAGGTAGCACACCTTAAGCGTAACGTTTCCTGATCGACGTTCCATTAATCCCAGCATAGCGGCAATCAGCGATGATTTCCCCGATCCAACTTGACCGACAACCGCGATCAGTTTTCCTTGTTTCACGTCCAAATTAATATCTCTCAGTACGATGGGATCATCCTTTCCCCATGAGAAACTACCCTGTGTAACGGTTACCGCCGAATTCGAGTTATCGTCCGCTGGGATCATCTTCACATTTTCAGGATCCAACTCCTCGTTTTTCAAAAACTTTGTCAGGCGTTCCACCGACACTTTTGCCTACAGTTCGATGAATTTTCTTTTGCTTCACAACAGTTTAAGTTCTGTTATTTCCCATACATACCTGCACGACGGACGTGATAACCATCGGCAGCATGGAAAGAGGAAATCGCAGAATATTGAACAACGATAGGCTGACGAAAGCTTTTTGTGAATCCAAAACATTCTTCTCGTCCACCAATACATAGGTGGCAAAACTAACAAGCGCCACTAAGAACGGTGACAATATCCATGTAAATGATGAAAACGCAGATAAATAGGCTGCTTTCTTCAGTGTCTCCAACTATGAAAGGACGAAACAAATTTACAAAAAATCTTCATGCTTTCAGAGGAGAAGTTTACCTCGTGATCTCGAATTCCAAGAATCTGTTTCAAGAACGACTCTTCCCATGCATACAATTTCAAAACTTTCATTCCGTTGAGAATTTCCGTTATCAGTTTGATGCGCCCGTCTTTTTCTTTCATTTGAGCGATCTAAAAATGGCCATCAGAAGTTACAAGAGACATGCATTCCAAAACCATAATAAAATAACGGTATACATAAATTTTTTAAATTCTGGATGTACGAGCGCACACTTTCAGAACCCAGTACAAATTTATTTGCTTCGAGTACACATAATATCGAAATCTCCTCATGATACTCGTACCTGCAGTGCACGAGTCTTTGATGCAATAACGGCATTTATAGGAACCATCAAGATCATGACACCCAAACCAGCGAACACCGAAGGGCCCAACTGATTATACAGGAAATATATTGCCAACGCCATTTGTAGCGGCGAAGACCACAACAAATGCAAGAATGCCATCAGATCCATGAAGCGCTGAGAATCCACTGACATCAAGTTCACAATTTCACCCACTGTGCTGGATCTCTTAGCAGCACTTGTTATTCGCAGGGCCTACCAAGACACACAACCGATTCATCACAATTGGCTTCTGGTAATATGCTCCAAATAAACTCACCTTTCGGTAAACGGTGGCAATAACAGCTGACTAAAAAAATAACGAAATACACAATGACGTAAAAGCAAAAAACGTCAAACGCAATCAACTTTTGTCTTACTCGAATATGCATCCCAATCCGCATTGACATGTGGAAATACTGCGCCAAAATGATCGTTTGTCCAAACGAAGCAAAAAGCAACACAACCGCGTAAAAGTATCCTTTCCAAGAGTGGGCATTCTTATCCGTTGTAAACCCAATCAACAACCTGAAAATCAATCGCATAAGGATACAGCACAAAACCAAAAAGCGCACGTACGGTTCTTACTGTAAAATTTGCGGTGCCACAAACACAAATATGTCGTTGCCTAATTTGAGGATGCCGCTCAGCAAGACCGGCAACCAGAATGTTTTAGCCAATGCCAGAAGCAATGAAGGCTCTTTATGACGCGGTCTACATAGACAACAATCAGTACAATACAGCATACGACTGATCAGCTGAGCGATTACCCTGTGAATTCAACCATTTCATGTCGCCAGTATTTTTCCAGTTTGTTCGTGGAGACTTGGGTGCGGTCGCCCGGATTAATATCCCACAAGTCTGCTTGCACTAGCGGACGTTTCCATCCCAGTCGAGCTAGTCTAATGACAAAAACCCATCAGAAAGATGCACAACTGATAAGCAAAAATTGATAAATATTTTGCTTCACAAATTAAAACCAATAAAACCATTAATTGCCAAATCAACCAAAGTTATTTATTAAAAGAAATACAGTACGTTGCATAATTATTTACTACAAAAGCTACAAAAAATATTTACCCAGTGAACCACCCAAAAGCCAGTCGGTTTGGAAACGAGGCAAATAACTCCGGGCATGGTATCTACGAACATAAAACGCAAGCGTCAAAATGAGGTAGCACCTACAGTCCCCTGAAGGTAACTGCCGCAACGCATTAATTCGTTGCAAGCATCTTCTGCGTAACGCACTAATACGAAGCAGTATATCACCGCTTTTACTGATTCTGTTTTTTTTAAATTTCGAGGCCGTTATTATGAACTGCTTTCCATGCTACTCTCATTTTACCGAAAGTTTTAGATGAATTTAGCCTGTGCCTCGTGAGGTTACCACTGCCAGTCTCCAGTGCATGTATACTGTACTACATTCTGTTAAATACTGTGCAGTGTGCAAAGAACCTTTGTTTACCTTTCCTTTACTTATCTAAACATATCAAAATGGACAAGTTTCGATAGGATTGTTATGCAATCGACGCAAGTCTGATAAAAATAAATACGGCGAACTCAAGGCACTGCACAATAATAATATTAACCTATCGCAATTTGTTGAATAATCTCTTACCAGACCGCCATGCTCCCGTTCCGGGAAGTATTCCGCCCAGCATGACAGCACAAACTGTGCCAGGGTGATGGGAAAGTACAGCATGGTCGTAACGAAGAGAAAGTGATGATGAATGCCCTGTTATAACAATCACCATGAAATGAGTGAAATCTGATCTGGGGAACCGATGCCGGATAAACTCCTGCAGTGCAAAACCCACATTCTGCTGGGCATGTCTGATCCGTTCTTGAAAGAGCACAACGCTCTCGACGAGTATTAACAGCCAGAAAAGGAACAATATCGCCGAAGATGGTCGGGCACTTCGTTTATCCGTGTAAATGAAGAACACCGATAATAACTGCAATAAAAAATGTCAATTCTGCAATAATTGATGTTATCATTGTAAAGATTGGTTGGTTCAATTTAACTACAACTCGTTTTGCTAAAACAAAATTTAATATTCAACTGTGAATTATAATAAAGTACAATTTGTAGCTTTTATTGCGACAAGAATGAGATGCAGTGGTTACGTTATCAGATTCGCAGTGCAAACAAACTAGAATCTTGTATGAAAATTATTTAAAAACGACACTGCTAAGTTAAAAAAACCCAAAACTATTTGAAAAGCAACCGAATTTTTATATCAGAATTTTTATAAGTTAAAATTTAAAACAACAACCAGACTGCCTGGGCAAAAAATTCGGCTGAGTTTCAATTCCAAAACAAACATAAAAACTTAAATATCTCGCTTTGCTCATCATGTGATCGCCGCGCTCTGATTGAATATTTCCTCATGAATTTGTTACTTTACTATTTTCAACTGTAGCCTTTGACAAACTTACAAATGTGGCTGCTTTAATGAGTGGCGCAATGAGATCAACATCCGGGAGGCCGCGGCCTTCTACCGTATTCCACTGGTGCGCCACATAGCTCATATCCATCACAGCCAACACGAACAGCAGCAGGGAAAACGTCTGCAAACAAACACACAGTTCACCAACACTATCAGATTATGCTCCTCCACTAAGCACAGAATTACGGCGTACTGTCTTGGCAATGGAAAGCCATGTCCATCTCCTGATTTTGAAATGACTGCTGAGGATGCGATACGACTGAAAGGGTAGCATCAGCCACAGGAACACACACGGTATCCACACCAAGACAGTCTTCTGGAAACATGGCGTAAACTGCGGATTATCCGTATCCCACGTATAAGCGCGATCCCACAGTGCTTCCCTACAAAATGTCTCAGGGAAGGGAGCATAGGTCGCATTGCCAGCAGGGGGAGGACCGCTGGTGGCCTGCGGATCGGCCATGCTGTTCGAAATTTCTTCGCAATCAGCAGCAGTCAACGCGGGTGCTTACTGCACCGTTCACACAGCACTAAATGTCCCCCACGAAAAAATCCTGCTCGCTGGCAATGATAGTAAAAAAGACTTATGAATTATAAAGTCAATTATAATCAACATGAATGGAAATAACCGCTCCAAGGCAAAAGAAGTCCGCGCTAATGCAGTGTCAAATAATTAGGAGATAACGTACTGATGGCTGGTACGCATAAAATATCAGGCGTCAATTAGAAGGATGCCGCTGTTCGCCGTACATCCACCTGTAAATTCATAGCGGATGGAAAGCGCAGGGCATGAATGACGCGCGCGACGCGAAAGACTGATAAAAAGCATATGAAAGGAAGTGAATAATCAAAACGGGAGAGATATCAAATGGAAACAGGTTATGATGCAGCAGTTTTCCATGCAGGTTCTGCGGCTCAGCTGCTGAGTGAGCGCGATTATTGAATGACGCAGCGCGCTGTGTAGCGTCCAAACGCCGCCCAAATTGCGGCGCTTTCTACTAGTTTAATACTACTAGTTTAATATTACTAGTTATTACTACTAGTTTAATATTACTAGTTTAAGGGTACCGCCCTTAAACTAGTAATATTAATATTGAGGCCGATAATAATAAATATTAATTAGCGTGACTATATTAATGGTAGTGACAACCAGTTACTTTCTGGTAGTGACAACCAGTTACTTTTGTGGTAGTGACAACCAGTTACTTTTGTGGTTTGTGGTGGTGACACATCTCAGAGTAAGTTGAGTCCGGTAAACATCAATTTTTCCTCAGTTGTATGCACAGTTTGACGATTTTACGATCAAATACAGTGTCGCCCGATCAAAAGCAGTATGTTAGGGTTCGGGAGAGTGCAAAAAGGAAGACGGCGAGAGTAAGAAGCTGGCTATTCGGTAATGCCGGCAAGTGTTTCTTAGTTTGCTGAACCTCAGTTTTGATAAACTATACAGAATCGTTATAAATTTTGACCATGTTCCCAGAGATGTAACGAATCGGGGGACATGGTCATATGGAAAACGACGAAATTCTTGTATGCTTGATTTGTAACATTGTAGTATTGTTTGGCACAATATAGAATGAGATTTTGGTATAAGGTTATGGGTTAGCTTCTCTTAAGCGATTCCGAATCCTAATTGTTCGCGGAATCTGGCGTGGTGTAGAATTTATTGTCAAATTTCTGTTTTGGCCATTGACCGCATATGTGGCGGCACAGATGAAACTAATGGAAACTAAGAAAAACAGATGAAACAAATTTGTTTCATTTATTCTAATATTTCACTGCCTTTCTGAGTATTGAACAAGATCATAATTTTACTGAATTTTATGAATTTATACACGGTGTAATTTATACACGGCCACAGTAAGTTATGACCTCTTTTTTTGGTTGTGACATCCACAAAAACATGCGCGATGGTAGTACCCTGAAAACTTAATACATGTAGCGTGTCATAACTCTTAACTGTAAGAGTTTCTAGATGTGACCTCCAGTATCGTTTTTGATTATGTTAGTTGATATAATTATGGACGATTTCGGACCACTCCAAAAATTCGACCCAATATTTTTCGATGCGTATTCCTAATGTTCTCGCGTATTCCACCTGTATCATGCTGGAAGGCGGGCTCAATTATCGACAGAGTACAGACGACATGCCATGATCTCACTGCAGTCACCAGTCAAATAAGAATAGGGAAACGCTATGCGGTGCCCTTCAATTTCCATAAGCAAAAAACGCTTCGTATGCGGTATCCGCATTATTCGGTGGTTTTTAAAAATTCGCAGACGTGTGCATTACCAACGTAACAAGGTAGTGAAGGTACGCCATATATATTCGAAGCCATGTGTATTTCAGTTAATCAAAGCAAAAATTGGCTTTGCAACTCGCAAAAGGAAAAAAACGAATACAGACCGCGGCGATGAGTTCACAAAATTATATTCCACGTGATTGTAGTTACTGTAACTGACGATTCTCGCCAGGATGGCACCCCCGTGGCGGTTGGGAGCCGTACGCCCACGCTACGCCCAGAAGTCATCGTAGGCCCATAGCAACACATGCATTTCGTGACATTGTTTAAGGCGATCTATTTGTTTTGCTTCATTCCTAGAAAAGTTACAGTAACTACATTTTATAGAATAGAAAAAAATGCTCTTTAAAATGAGAGATCTTTTGAAAAGCATGGAAACTGAACAGAAACAGAAATCTGTCTGACACCAAAAAGTACCGGGGGTCTAAAATGACGCACGGGTGCAGCAGCACGATTCGATTCACGTAGCTGCCACCACATTTCGAATCAAAATGTATCCAACCGCACGCGGGCTGCGTGTCTGCGTAGCGCTATAACCGTGCGCAGGCTGCGATTTCATGAACGCCATGCGCAGCCTGCAGGTAGCGTGGTTGTCTCCTCAAAGTCGTGCACCGATGCAGCGGACCATTTTCGAAACACGAAGACCCTAATTTACTAGGAATAACGTTTGGACAGTTCTACGCGTTTTGTATTCCATTGCCGCAATGGAATTGGATGTTCTTGGTACCATTGGAAACAGAAAATTATTCTACATACTGGGTTTTCTTGGTTTTGCGATAGAATCTTTCGAACTCCAACGCTCAGTGGTTTTATCGGTAAGAACAATTAGTTCTATGTTTAAAAATTCACATCTTTTTAGCTTTTCATTCAAAGTTTTTTTCAAATAAACCCAGTATGTAAAATAATTTTAAGTTTCAACTGAAAACATCAAACCTGAAGATGTTCCATTTACTGCTTGGATGGGATTTTTTAAGGGCAAACACAACATAAAAATTTTTCTAACATTTGTGCTTTTAGCGCTGCTTTTGAAAATCTATCTGTTGAAAAGCGCGATTTTTGAGCTTTCTAATGAGCCTATACACTTCTAAAGCGGACCAAAACAAGGCACAAAAAAAATTTTCAAAGTAGCCATAAATACTGGCATGTTTCAAACAAGTATATCCCGTTAAACAGCGCGAGTTCGCACATTATTCTGCTTATTAATGCGGCAATTACATAAAAATTAATAAAACACTAAGCTCTACCAATTGGGCGACACATGCCTGATAAAAAAGTGTAATGTGCCCCATAAATTGTGCGGCGATGCCGATGGCCGTGGCATTACAGAACGCCTCACGTACGACCGTTTTCGCGTGTTACATGGCGCATGCACATTTCCCCTTTTGGCGCACTGCAAAATTCCTGTAGTTAGTGACGTCAAAATGACACACTGCCAGTCTGCAGTCCCGGCGAGAATCACGAATACAGTATCTTCCGTAGAATGATTTCATGGTCAGTACTCGTACCGAAGTTACCGAACGCGTACATCCCGTACAGCGAGCCTTCCTCAAGCATCCCCAAAAGCGCTTTAAAAAGGGGTATCCAATCCGTATAACGTATTTTGCGATGTCCAAAAATATTAGTCATGCATTACCAAATATAAGTACCTCATAAATAAGACACTCACGTTTTGTGTTTTGGAGCCATGTTTTATTAAATCATTCGAAACGAAGATCGGTATTCAAATACTTATCGTTAATAAGCATACACGTATAATATAGCCCGAAGGCGGTCATAAGCTGATCCATATGCATTGCTGATTGCTGAAATGCTATACCTCAGATGAGGTATACTGTATAATTATATACGAACTGTACTCATACATACTTATCTGCAATCCCAGGAGCACAGCAATCATTCAAAAGCCGAGAATGCACAATAGGCATCGCGCGCTTCATTGCAGCGTTGCTGAAGTAAGGTGATTTATTGCTCCTTGTTGTATTTATTATTTATTTATTGTTTCTTTACTGCAGAAATTGCACATAAATACTTACTTAACTGATTGACTCTTATCATACATCACCAGCGCATTCTGAATGAGCAGCAATCTGCGAAACTGAAATCAGATGAAATTTTATCGAGAAAACAGGACAGTACTGTATTATCGAAAGCAGCATTAAATTTTCTGAAATTATCAAATAAGTTTGTAGAACGGCCGAAGAAAAACGATAGCACATGCATTTATTTTAAAATCAGAAGGAGCAAACTCATAAAGCATAACAATGACCCGTATAATCCAATAATTTCGATAATTGCAGATTGCAAATCTCTACGCGATTCCATCGTTATATCACCGCGGTCGCGGTACCGGTGCTCTTTTGAGCACATCGCAAGCTAGGAATACTAATAGTCACCGGCACACTGGCCGACCCGGCGTTGGAGCCGTAAGCAGTAACGGTTATAGAATAATGGCCTCCCAACGCTCCCGTGGTGGCGGTGCTTAGTGAGATCTGTCCTGAGTGGGAAATAGTGAACAGGCCCGATGGTTCGCTGGTTACCGCATACGAATGCGCGTTGAAGGCGAATACGTTCCCAATGATGGTGCCCTCATTAATACATGAATCAGAACCAGCAGGAGCCGATGCGAACGAGTAGCTGGCCTGCTGAAAAACTGGATTCGCCGAAATGGGGTTTGCGTTCCCGTTGCAGGACAGATATACTGCGACCGTTGTGCTGGATGTCAGTCCATTTGACCCGTAAGCCGTAACCGCTAGCGTGTAGTAGCTATAAAAGTCAAAATAAAATATTATATACGCGTTACATTCAATATATAGATATTCATATCTTACAAAACACAAATATTTATATATACACACAATATATATATGTGTGTCTATTGCATCTTACAAAACTATATATATACATACTCGTATATATATATATATATACATATTATGTTTTCTAAGATAATTTTTTTAAGACAATACTAGAATTTTTTTAAAAATAGGTTATGATATGTAAATTCCTACTGCTTGGTTTTGAAAACAGTTTGATTAGTTTGAGATTCAGAAATTTATTTGAAATTTATTACCGTGACATTGTTGCGTTACGAATTCAGAGTACTTAGAAACAAAAAAGGTGGTAATTTACATCGAGCGCAGCGAGATGCTACTATTAAGCCTTCGTCAAGAGGATAAAATGTGTCTGACGCTACGAAGAGTATTTTACTATTAAATTTATGTACTATTAAATTTTATTAAGATCTTACTGTAGTACTTTTTATGGGTTTAATTTCACACAACTTTTACAAACGTTTGTACGAGCATTAATTAGCACGTATATCTTCACTGTTTTATGATTATAAACTGGACAAGTATTATTGACAAGACGGATATGTTGTAGTAATTCAAGTCTGTCCAGAATCCAGACTCCAGATTAATTTTATAGTAAAAATTATAAGAGCAGTTAACTTTTCCTGAGCAGTTTAATTCTTTTACTAATGTAAATGTAGGATATTTGGCTTACCCAGTGCTTGCGTATCCATTCATCGTGATCAGCCCACTGGGATTGATGTTGAACGTAGCACCCGGGCTGTTTCCGTTTCCGGCTGATAACGTATAGTAACTGGCTCCGTTGGCGTACACCGCTCCGACATTAGCATTGGTATTGTAGTAACCCGTGTAACAGTTGGTTACTGTGAAAATGTATGATGCCATCGAAAAGGTGGGGACCATGGTTTTCCCCGTCACGGAGTTGCCAGAGCAGTAGATGGTTACTGGGACCGTTCTCGATCCGTGCTGATTAGTAGCACGGAACGTTAAATGCTGTACGTCGTAAGAGACAGTGGCCATCAAGATCAGACCGCTGTTGATATTTACTGTTACAGAGCTTCCGGTTTCCGAATCGACGGTATATGCAATATCACCTGCGCTTTCGCTGTACGCCGAGATCCTACCAACAGGCTGGTTGGGAATGCAGTTAACATTGCTGAACTGGTAACCGGCTGACTGTATAAATGTGGGCGCCAACTGGCGCGATAAAGCCTGAAAAATTTTAACGATATCGGTAAACTTGCGAGAAACATTCTTGGGCTAAAGGGAGCTTTTGTGATGGTCCTGTTGTACGAAGTACCGGAAATCAAATACGTCCCGAAGGAATTGGACAATGCGTACGCAATATCAAGGCCATCATATTACTATAGTCTACAGTAAAACCTCTCTATAAAATACAGGCACGGTTCGATCAGTTTCGTATTTTATACCGGGGTGTATTTTATAAAAGGCAACTGTCCCCAGGGGCGCTGGTGTATTTTTGAAGTGGGGGATTGGGCATCGCATTATTACATAAATGCAACATTACGGCATTAGCAACTAGCAAGTACCGAGTAATTGTAGTACAAACTGCAGATACTTTACTAATTTGAATTACATAAAACATTTAACAAACTTCGTTTAGAGTTCATCAAAAAGTATGATTAGTACTTTGAGACTGATAAAATAAGAATATTCTGTTAATATTTATTTTTACATAAGTAATTACGATTAGGCATTAGCACAAACAACGTTTACGCTGCTCGCTATTGTTTGACGATGTTAAGATAGCTTTGAATTGCATCCGGTTGCTTTTATATAACAATATTTAACCGGATCTGAATGTTATTCACAGGTTCTCTGCACTGGTAAAACTACGTTTGGTTCCGCGGCAAGTGTATGTAAGGCTTATAAAGAGGTGAATGTTATAAAGAGAATCCCCCCTATGTTATACCATGCGGGCCAATTCGGTTCCTTACAGGTTGTATGTTGTAGAGAAGTGTATTTAATAAAGAAGTGTATGTTAGCAGAGGTTTTACTGTATTGTGATCAAGGCATCTAACAGTTATTAGCATATCAGCTTTCTTACGTGTGTACAATACTGCAATGTAATACTACTACAATGTTTTTCACGATCAGTTTGATCTTTACTAACTTAACTTGTCCTATTTCTTCGTGGAGCAGGTAGCCCATTTCCGGCTAGGGTGACATACTAGCATGGGATTTTAAACCTGGCCAAACAGTAACTGCACAGAGAAATTCCCAGCACGCTTAAACAAAATTTACACTGCGCAACGCATGCTTAAACGCACTAACAGATCGAACACTAAAAATATCAGAAAAATTAGAATCCACGAAAAATTTCCACATTTCCTAGTAAATCTGCAAACCTTCGCCTGTTTGAATTTTGATTTTTTAAAAACATTCCAGTCAGAAAATTTTAGAACTATGGCAACATGCAAATGCAATACAGTACTAAGAATACTAAGTCTTAAGTAGTATTGTACAATAGAAGTGTTAAGTATAGTATGTGCAGTGCTGCGCTGTTGGCTTGCACTAAAAGACCGAAGCAAAGCGGGAAACAAAGTTTAATAAAATGTTTCCCGAGTTTGTTTTAGAACTGTTTTAAAATATTTCTTCATTTTTATTTATCACTTTGTACTGGTGTGTTCTTCCATATTTTATTTAAAATATTGACGCGTGACCGCCATGACCCAAGTGACCGACAAAATTTCTGTTTTCTTGAACATAGAGGACCTTTGCTGCGCTTCGGTCGATTAATAATCTGCCGGATGAATGCCGGAACAGTCCATAAATCCAGACCTGACCCTTCCAATACAAATGTGCAAGCGCGAATGCGCGAGGCTTACCTTGTATTGTACATCATATTATATACGCATGTGTTGTACTAACATCTGTGCTGGGATTTTCGTTTCCGGGCCAAAACAGGCTTTGGGAATAGCAAAATCAAGTTGACAAAAGGTCAACAATCTAAAATCTGCCAATTCACTCAAAGGATTCTACACTAGCTCTGAAGCAACAAAATTGTTGTATTAGAAGTTTTTACCTAAATGTTTCGAAACCATCATAAATTTGTTTCAAATTGGTAAGTAACTACTTAGGTGGAAACGTTTATCCGTATGTATTTAAGTACCTGCGATTGCGGGTGTCTTTCATCGTGGACCACTATAGACACCACAAGGCCTATTCCACTAATAATTCCTCCTCCGCAGATCAATCGTTTAAGTGTCTGTCCGCATTCACAGTCGAATATCGCGCAAATAAAACCACCAATTACAAAAATACCAAATATAAACAAGAAAACAATGGTGAAAAATAAGCATGGGTCAGTGCCTAACAGGCTGATGAGATAGTGGGCCAAATCCATGTCAATGCAACTTTTACGATGAGCACACTAACAAGGTGGACTTATGTGTACATAGAATATTTATATTGGTAACGCGGCTGTCTCCCGTCCCAAGCGGAAATATCTATCGGGAAGTAGTTTTTTTAACAACTGACGACTTATTGTCGGATCTGATGACTGCTGCCGGAAAAGCCGGCTTTACCAAAGGAACACACAGATTTTTTATGTTCGCTGGATCATGACCTTTCATCCAGGAACTTCCCAAATGCTTTATGGCATATTGATTCTATAGTTTCGAAAAAACATCCAGCAAGAAGTAAGCGGAATATGACTCTCAATGTCGATTGCATATTCGGTATTTACGGCGATAGACTGCACCAGAAGTTAAGTTGACTAATTGAGCAAATGAAATAACTCTTGCCAGCGACGCTATAACTCTTGTCAGTTACGTTACCCAATTCCACAATATACCAGCCCGTCCCCGGAACCGGTGAGCACTGTATTAACCGCGAAATGTGAAAAGTTGTGGCTTGACCGCTTGATTCATCTACAATATTTAGTTGAATTTCCATTCGTTTGCACCTCTCTTGCTGGAAAAAAAGCCATGACGGACTCGTAAACAATTCCATAGAATACGTTAGTAACGTTACTGCTTTAAGTGTTCATAACATTGAATTGTACCGTTTTAACCCAAAATTTGCGCGCATTAACCGGTTCCTGTGTAATTCCCCAAAAAAGTGTAAAACCTCCAACGCGTCAAATAACTCAGTCATCAACTCAAACTTCATGAAACTCAGCAATATGATAAACCTACGTATGAAGTACATTCTGAACCAAAATTACGGTGTTACAGTATCTGAAAAAGCAAGGATGCGTGAATTTTTGAATTTTTATACTCTTATAACTTCGTGAATATGCTTAGAATAAGGTTCCCGCCACCCAGAACAGAGTAATCGCCTATATTGCGCATTAATACAACCATGCCGAACATTTTTGGACTATGATAGTTTTTCAGATAAGTAATTGTGTACAATCTTTCTATAAAGACGTAATTCACATCATTAGATAGAGAAATGAATTCTATATCGATCCTTGCATAGTTTCATATGGCCTAATTAATCTGCCACTGCGAATGCGGCAATGGTTGTGTTACAACGTAAGCCAATACAGTACAACATAATAATTATTAATTCATTGATCTTAAAATATCGTATTTACGTAATTATTAGATTTATTATCAGACTTTCTACTTACTTAATACAGATTTTAGGTGTTATTAACAAGAATAAGTACATGTAAGAATAGCAGCGCCGGCTAAGACCCAAGACTACATCATCTAAATGAAGAATTCATTCCAGTTTCTCAAGAATGGACGGTACCTAACACACGCTAAGCATTCCCACGTTGAATACGTACGCTATGATAAGTACAATGTGCCATTATTGCTGAAAAACCCAGATTGGCTTGGTTGTGGGCTAGCACAGAAATTTAATTGGATGCTAAGTGTGGACTGAAATGCTTAAGTGGATTACGCAAGTTTTTGAGGATTAAAAAATATTTTAAGTAAACTTTTCACAAGCGGTTCCGTTTCCTCAACGGGATGAACTGATACATCTAAAATCAAGGCACATCTAACCATCCCGGTTATATTCGAAAAAAGCGTTCGTGATCATTTTTCCCCATCCAAAAATGTTTTCAATATGGGTGTAATATTTATAAGTATAAGTAATACGAAGAAACCATTATATGGTTCCGTAGATTATGTATTTTAAACGTGAAAATGTATAACATAAAAACGGGGCCCCATAAGTATACCGCAACATACTGTTCTAAAGACAGTGTGTTGTGCTCCGACGCTGTCAAATCTAAACTGTAAAGCACGTGAAAATACTGCTTACCCTAGAACCGGGCATGGTCAGACTATACATATGGGACTTCTGTCGTGCTCTTTGTGTTTCCCGTGCCGGTTATCTTTAGCCCGTACGTGCATACAAAGGCTCTTTCGGTCGTACAGTAAATTAAGTACTTATACAACGACAACATTTGAATTTCTCTGCAAAAAAACTAAATAGAAAATGAAATATTCGCCGAAGGTTTTCCGTGGGTGCCATTAAAGAGCATTTCTGATGATATGGTATTATAGCGGGCGCAGCCGATTTGATCGTTTTTGCTTGAAACACGCACAGAAATGTTTTTTAACTATCCTTTAATGTGCATTTCTTGCACAGCCGGATGCTTGGCAACTCATGACCTGCTGGTACAATACTAACTCTGCACCGATACGCACTGACCTAAAGAACAGTGAGCCGTGAACATTTTTTGTTTCTAATTTCTACTAAGACATTGATAATTTAAAAATGTTGTAGTGAGAAACACATGTATGATGTATGATCTATACCGGAACAGCAAGATAAGAATTCATTTCCCATGGAACATGCTTTCTGGACTGTTACCCTTGTGATTTGGTTCAGCATGTCGGTACCTATTCAGTGCAAATCGTGTTATTGTATAATTTTCATAATACTACTACACAAAAGATTATACTCGCAGTTTAGTACTGCCTGTCCGGTCTCCGGTAAGTTATTCGTAAAAAGGACTACGGATTAACTATCCATTGAAGTCGGATAAATTTAAGTCCTGCTCAGCCAAGTTGGGGCAGATTTTTTTATCCGGCAACTCTTAAACCTGGAAGCACCTTTGCATGAATTGAGGGGTGACCTCTCTTGCACGCTTGCCGTGCAGCCACGGAATGTTACGGATAACCATTTTTGATAAAATCGTTTTGCGAAGCCGTGAGCGTCGATAAAACGTTTTCCACCCGTACAATACACCCGAAACACTCCGTTACGAGACAGTGTAAGAGCAACCATAAGTAATTTTTGCTACCGCTTTGCTGATTCTTTCTTCTTTTCATCCGGCCGTTCCATTTCTCCTCCTAGGCAGTTTATGTCCGCCTTACCAGCAAAATTGTTTATGATCCATGTATATAACATTATCCATGAACAATACACATTTTAAAGTTACCTAGGTCTGTGCGGAAGGCAATCGCATTTTTCAGCAGGTACATCTTAACATACAAGCCTATCGGAAGTGCACTTATCGCGCGAAATTTTGCTACTCACCCATAACGGACAGCCTTTGGAATTCACGTAAATATATCCGTAAGTGCATTCTTCAGAGGGGCCGTTATAAACATCCTAAAAACGACCACTACCCCTTCCCCTTAACCAGTGCTCGGCTCACTACTGGCACACCAAAGGGTGCTGGTTTTGAAACTTTTAGATTCGCAGTAAAAAGTTACCCTAGATACTGTAATTGCAAATGAAAAACCAAAACGGTGTATACAGTTATTTATAACTTATTTAACAGAACTCCCCAACTTGGCTGAGCAAGGCTGTATATTAATCAGTTAATAAGCATTAATAAACTTGTTTTTCAACTGGACTAATGCTGCAATTTCTTCAAATAATACTACCTTCTTTTTAATGGAAGTGGGAACAAAATAATTACTGTTTAATTATTACTGACTTATTACTGTCTGAGCCTAGAGGGGGCAGCCGCTCCGTGCAAGGACAATAAACGTACATTATTCTAAGGAAATGGCTATAAGCACTCCCTTCCACCAACATCCGGCCGTTCCTCCACCAATAATAGACCGAAACAATTGCAGTATACAATAAAATTACAAAGAATATGAACGAATAAAGAATCGTAAGCAATCCGTGCTCGGCTTGTGCAATAATTTTTTTTAACTCGTCATTTTAGCTTGCAAATTTCGTTTCGGAAATTTTATTCATTTACTCGCACTAAGGTAAATTTTCATCTATACCTTCCAGATGGATGTTGTGCCACAAACCATTATTACAGCTGTGCTTTATGGATAAAAACCATTTGGCTTTTTGTGCAGAGTGCAAGAAACGTCGCAAAAGATTTAGCGAAGAGACTTAAATCTCAAATTTGGAAGCTTTGCCAGTTCTCTCCTCATACTGCACTTTGCAAATCGATCAAAACTTGAGCTGGCCGTTAGGAATGAATAATTGTTCTAATTTTTACAGTTTCGACTGAAGGGGACCTGGACCGATTGATCCGCAAAGCGGAAGAACAAACGCAAAATGGAGTAATTGTCCTGCCCGTTTTCCAATGGCATACATCACAAACCAGTGAAATCGAAAATGTAGTGCGGATACCTACAGGCATGACCGCCACGTTTGCATGTCCTACGAATATGGCAGCTGATACCGCAAAAACGATAGTCTGGCGCCACCAAAATCGAACAATTGCTGCTAATAACGACGAGACTGCGAGCACCAGTACATTCTTTTACAATCGAAAAGATCGTGCCGAATTCAGTTATTTTTTCATTCATAACGTGACATATAGCGCACTGGGTAGTGTTCAATGCCTGCATCGATATAACCGAAGTGATGACCTTTTCCTTATTAAGCGCTTTGAGCTCCGACCGAAGCTGCAATCGGTGGAAGAGGTTTTCCCCGAGGTTATGCTCAACGTAACGAGTACGCAGTCCAAGAATGTGTCGGTATCGTGCACGGCAAATGTTGACTGTCGATGCACCAAAGGACCATACTTTTTAATCAAATATGATAGGATCTTCGCAGTCAAACCACGAGACCTGTCGCCTGGCACACTCCGACCATCAAGACTGTTAAGCTATCCGCCTGATGTAAGCCATTATAAATGGTTTTACAACTGTAGAACTATGATAGAAAGGGATACTATCCCTTGCACGGCTACACTGTTCGTCTTTCTGTCTAAACATTCTCAGCATCGCTCAGTACCGGTAGAATGTTGGGCTCAACCAGATGTCAACTCCAATGTGTGGTTCGTGCAGAAAGCTTATGTCAATTTTGTGTAAAGTTATTTTATAAGGGGAACTGTCAAATGCTTATAATTTCTTGTTTGTTCTGTCCAAAGTTTACTGGGATGCCGGTTGTGACACAGATCTTTTCCTTCCGATCATTTCTTGTATAGCCTGATGCTTGGCAACTGATGACTTGCTTATTATGAGGAGCCAAGAAAAATGCATTTAAAACCGCGCTTTGTATCCACGGCGTCAGGATTAAAATTAAAAAGTGAACACTGAAGCTTAAGAGAAGCTTAAGAAGCAGCTATACGCATAATACGATGAGGACTTCAGTTTCTAATTCGTACATGGAAGATGTTTTCTGGACTGTCGCGCTTAATTTCAGCAGTCTGGTAGATATTCATTGCAAAACGCGCTACTGTTTGATTTTAATATTATTATACAAGGGGTTATATTCACAGTTATGTGCTGCCTGTGGTCCGGTTCCCCGTAAGTCCAGTTTTAGTTTAAACGGACACGATTCAGCAGAAAATATGATGAACTTTATGGTGCCGGTATAGAATATTCGGTGTACGTAAATATGTATATATATTGTAGAAATATATGTGCATACAGCATACTGTATACGTTTTTACGTTTGCAAATCGGGGAAAAAACCCCATGCAGGAACAGCATGCAGAAAGACGACTATAAACTGCGATCACAAAGAATCTTGTTGAAGCGGTTGCAGCTTTGCATGCAGTTTAAGCGTGAGAGCTAATCTTGTTCTGGTTTTCGCAGCAACAAACGAAGGTGACCTGGACCGATTGGTCCGCAAAGCGGAAGACGAAGTGCAAAATGGAGCAATTATTTTGCCTGCGTTTCAATGGCCTAGATCCCACAAAAATGAGATGAAAAACGTAATACGGACGCTTACAGGCATGACAGCTACCTTTGCATGTCCTACGAACATGTTGACTGACACGGTCTGGCGACACCAAAACCGAACGATTGCTGCCGATAACGAGGAAACTTCCAAAACCAGGACATTCTTCTACACACGAAAAGATCGTGGAGAATTCAGTTATTTTTTCATTCATAACGTGACCTATAGCGCACTGGGTGGTGTCCAATGCCTACATCGTTTTAACGGAAGTGAGGATCTTTTCCTTATTAAGCACTTTGAACTCCTGCCTAAACTGCACTCAGCTGAAGAAGTTTTTCCCACTGTTATGCTCAACGTAACCAGTAAACAGGCCAGGAATGTCTCGGTGACATGCACAGCAAATGTCGACTGCCGATGCACCAAAGGGCCCCATTTGTTATTTAAGTTTGACAGGCTCTTCGCAGTCGGACCGCGCGACTTGACTTCCGGTAGAGTCCGACCATCTAGACTGCGACGTCGTCCGCCTGATGTAAGCAAGTACGAAGCGTTCCACAACTGTAGAGATATGCCAGAAAGGGATACTGCGCCTTGTTCCGCTACGTTGTTCCTTATTCTGTCTGCACATCCGCAACATCGCTCGGTACCGGTAGAATGTTGGGCTCAACCTGATGGCAACTCCGATGAGTGGTTCGTGCAAAAAGCTCGTGTTAAGTTTTCGTAGTCGTCAGTCCTCTATTAATTTGTATACAGATGGAGTCTTTCAGTTATTATCAGTAGCGGTGTAACACAAAAGGCTATATAGGCCATTTTTGTCACTTTTTTACAAAGCCTCCACGTTAATTGAGCTGCTTGTCTAGCGAAATTTTACACCAGTTAACAGATGTATTGTATGGAAGCTATAGCAATTCAGACAGAGGTACAAAAAATTTGACATGCATATAAACTGTGGCAAATTGTAAAAGTTCAAGAGAAGTACTTTTATCTGTAGCGCCTGTCACGCGCTTTCACGCGGCGCTTACTTTTTTACCTCGGACGTAAGTTCTCAAGCTATCCAATTTTAAAGCTCTCACAAACCGTACTATATCTCATCTTATACGCAAAACTGTCAAAAGATCATAATTTCTTGTGCGTTTTGCATTGCCGTTTTTGTTTTTCGTCTTTGGCTCAATAAAAATGTCCAACTGGTCACTGAACAACACTTCTAACGTCACCGGTTCCGGTCACCTTATCACTTTGAAGTTTTCGGACGTTGCACTTCTAGATGTTTATTTGTGGGTGGTAATCCAGTTGCTAACAACAACAGCATCGTGCATCGTTAATGGCATACCAGTTGTCGCGTTTTGCCGATATTTCAGAAGACTTAATAGTTTAAAAAACCTGTTAAGTTTTAACATTATTTGTGTATCATTTGTATACAGCTTTTTTATCATTCCCATTGGTACCCTTTTCACACTTTTTCGTATCTTGGACCTTGTACAGACGCAATGGTGTCGCATTTTTACGCATTTCCGCTACTGTGTGACCTTTATCATCAGTTTGTCGTTGCTGGGTTTATGTCTTAATCGTTTGATTGCCGTCATGAGCCCGCAGAAATACAAGAGCACAAGTCGCTATATCTACTTGTTTAATTTCATCTGGCCTTGTTGGATTTTTCCATTGTTAGCATTACTGTTCGGTATGGTTAATATCGGCGATTTGCGGTATACGCTTATCCCACTGTCAGTTCCATTCTGTATACCGCCGCACAAATTTCGAGCAATTTTTTGGGTGTTTCAAATACTGTTTGTGTACATCCCTGGTGCTATATCGTGTGTGTGTTATCTAAATATCGGAATGAAACTGACTACAGTCTCTGCGAACAACAAAATTAATATTATCGGCAACACTTCCACGTTTGCCAGTACGCTGCGTTTAACAAATACCACCGCCATAATTAAACACACGGGAAAATCGTCATTTGACGTTTTTTTATGTTTTGTGTTGTTCTGTCTGACTTATTACCCCGGCGAAATCGTTGAAAGAAACGATAAAGTTAACCAAATTGCTTTACTTTGGATTAACTCGCTGATCCATTTCGCTGTATCGTTATTTCCGGTACGTGCATAAAAGCATGACATTGTTCTTTTTTTGAATATAATGGTGTTTCTAGACTTGTAATCCATTTTCGCCTCTTTAGGTACTTCTGACAAGATCCAATCACCTGCTCCGCTCTACCGTCAAAGAAATGCTTCGACCTTTATCTGACGCAAGTGTGTCGGTAGCGGAAAACTGTCCGGTTGGAGCAGCAAAATTTGATTCCGGTCTGGAGCTCCAGTGAATGTCCGCGGTGCCAATCCATAGCACGTAGTTGTCTATTCGTGGGCGTCAAATACGTACTCGTATGATAATTTAAAGTTTAAAGGGCCACTATGCTGCACGGCACTTGCATCCTTTCGTGCATCAAATTATTCGAACGCAAAAATTTTAATTTATTTGGCTAATTAAATATTTTTTTGGTGTATTAATGTCTCCACTCTCCAGTAAATAATATCGGAATTGATTTAATTGAGTGAAACAAATTATCGTGTGGCCTGCACATTTTTAGCATGAAAGTGTTTAGCATAAACATGATTCCTCAGCGTCTGCGGTAATAGATTACCGTAATCACCAAAACCTCAGAGGTTTTGGTGATTAAGTTTAACAGATTTGCGCTGGTCTGACTTCTAAAAAGTACACAAACGACATATCAGCGGTTACCGTGGTTTAAAATCCTACCGAGTACGGTACAGCTGGCTGTAAAAATAAGGCGACACGTCTAAAAGTTTAAAACTAGATTGACCTGAAGCCTTATTACTAAAGCTATACGAATTCCATGTAGAACGTAATAATTATACGATTATATATACTTGTAATTGCAAGTACGGCTTTTTACACTTTAAGTAAAAACATATAAATTATATGGAAAATATCTCACAAAATAAAAATGAAGTGCTCCTTTATAATACTAGTACTCTATACACCTGCATCAATACGCTAATCACTTACGTACTAAATGTACTTAATCTTTGCAGCTGAAGTTACGCAAAAATGCTGTGTGGGGAACATAAATATTATTGGCAGTCAAGAACTCACGATACAACATATTATTGCTATAGTTAAAATACCGCTCCTTTTTTTTGAAAATTAACGGCGCCACCTAAAAATGCAGTTACAATTTGTAATACTACGTAGGTATTTTGGATTGTATAAAATTAATCTAAACTCTGCTCGTCCCTTTCATTTCGCGTACGTGTCCAATATTATAGAAAATGATCATTTGATTATAACTGCTGAGCGAAGCTCACTTTGTACATATTGAGAAATAAACTGGTTATAGGAAATATAATCATGTATGTAGTAAGTACTTTTTTGTATATACTCGTATTGCGCACTCTCCGCACAGGAAATGCAAATCTGTATCGTATCATAGTATCATAGTGCGCTCTTTCCTTGCGTCATAATGAATGGCGGAACTGCGTTCCGTATATCTGTTCTGTTCCGTTCTGTGTATCCCGATTAATCCAGTTTAACGGCTTCCAGCATATCAACTGTTTTGTTCCAGTGCTGGAACTGATATTTGCCGGTACAATGATCCGGTCTTATAAGCAGCCCTGAGGACTATTATAGGAAGGTTTTTTCCATACTGACTTTTTGATTGATGTGCAATTACAGTCCGGAATTACACACATCAGCCTGGTATGTGTGGACATCTGGACAATCATGCAGATTGCGCCTGTCTCCAACTGATTGAATTGTTTTCCTCAATAACCCATATAATTTTCAATTTATTCCATACGTCAAAATCAGCAGCAAAGTATTGCATATACTGTATACAGTGTAGAAGCGCAGCTTTGCAACTGCTGTAGTAAACTCATCAGAACCACTTGAGAGGCAGAATGCACAATGCCATGATCAATCTTCCCCTTGGATGCCACAGGAGAGAGCGTCAGGAAGAATTGTGCAAAACTTGCCTAAAAGATCGATTTCTTATTGGTGACACTTTTACAATTTGACATACTTATCGGCCTTGATCAAGCTTACTGATTTGCGGTCCGTACTGGTATAGCGTCGACGTCGGAGATCGCTGCACCAGCTCAGAAAGAACAACTGCTTGGCCTCAAACCCCCCTGAGGATGTAATGCATATTACACACTATAATATTCCTTCCTTCATTGCGAATTTCACACATTCCATGCCGGTTTCGCCATTTCCGCGTACCGCGAAGGGTTTCGTTCAGCGGGACAGAGCTCCACTGGACGATAAAGTTAAGCCAGCGTAAATATTGCAAAAGGCCGTCTAGATCTGCTACATATCCGGGACCGGTAATCATATTAGACGGCATGACGATTACACTACAAATCTCTGGACAATTTTTTTACAAAACAAAAGCAAACCTACGATAATAAAATTGTCACTGTCCGAACGACAATAAATTACCAGCTAGGGTTAGTAAGGGTATATTCAATAGTTAGTGATAAAAATCAAGAATTTGTGGACTTGCGAAAATCAGAAATACATATATCTCGAGAATTCTTATATACGAAAGTTAAACAGAAAACCGGCGTCCATCTTTACCGCTACGCTGGGTTTTTCGGTTTCCCGTTTTTCTTACACAGTACGCCTCAGCTAGAATCAAATCGATTCAAAAAACGAACTCAATGTAAATCGACTACAAATATAGATATTTTCTTTTTCCAAAAACTGCTATACATTGTGCGCGTAATATGTACTTAACACTTCGTACAATAATTATATATTTGAACGTATCAATTTTGTGAGCGATGCTCGCCTTTAAAATTGTTGCGAATAAAGTATACAATTATATGTATTATCCATATGTACGTAATTAAGCGTTACGCAGTACTGTTTTTGGACAAACGCTGTTAAACTGTTTATGTTTTGTGTTTTTTGAATTTCTGTTTGTGTATTTAGCAACGATTGCCTGAGAAGGCTGAGATTCGCAGTGTGCTGCTCACGCCCATATTTTTGCAGATGGGGATGTTGTGGAGGATAATATTACGATGTGGCAAGTTGAAGTGGCAGACTGTAAACCCGGAGGGCATGATAATTAGCCAGGCATCGTTGATATGACAGTTTCTGAAATCAATCAAGGCGAATCAGACAGTCGATACTTCAAAGGAAACCATTCTGCGTTTTTAATTGGTCTTGTCTTTTTACGCAGCAGGAGACCACACCGCCACCACGCTCTCGCTCTCTTATACAGCTTCCAGGCATGTTGCCGGTCATTTGGGTTTGGTTTATTTTAAAGTGCGCCGTTCAAGTATCCCTAAGAACAAATGTCAACTTGGTGTGCACACTTCAATTGCCAGCATTGATAGAGAGATATATCGGCCCGCGACGACGTCGTCATCGTCGTCGGTCGGTAGAAGTCTCGGTAATCAAATGAGGAATGTCATGTTTCTTAAGCCAGATCTGATTAGAAGTGCTATAATAGAAAAATTCTCCCGCAGAATGTTGACGAACATTAGAACGGTACAGTTAAGTAGTCGGTCCCGCGCCAACTACATGCACATTAAATCAGTTTCACGTGGATGCATCACAGGATTCTGCGACTTCCGCCAGCTGCATAACAACAATTTGAACGCATTACGATATTCCCGGTTGGTCATGCCGTATACAAAGGGATTGACAAAGGAATTAAAGTACCTACAAAACGACACCATAAAAACCTCGTTAACGCGATACAATGGGATCTTTTGTGTGTGTTAAGAAGAAAATAAAAAGCGTTTTATAGTTGCCGGTATTGAATGCAGCGTTGTAATGATTTTACGGTGTCTTTACGAACCACTACTTTACACCAGTTACGCGCGTACCCCATCCATAAAAATATTTCGGCCACCAGCGGATCCGGTTGAGTGTGAGTTTCCTCCAGCCGGGGACTGATGGTAAAAAGTGTAAAATACGGCAGCCAGCAGATGGAGAACGCTCCCATAATAATAAACAGGGTAATGGTAGCGCGATGCTCCCGTAACGTATTACTATTAGACGTCTGTTTATCGGCATTACCATCCAGGTTATTATTATACAGGGTCGTTTGAGCACGAATGGCTTTCACGTGGGCGTAGCTGATGGTGAGAATCCGTATATACATCAAGTACAGTATCAGTAACGGGATGTAGAAGGTGCCCACGCCGATCGTTAGACTGTAGGGTAGACTCTCCACCAGAAAGTCACACCGGATAGGATTATGTCGATTCTGGACAACACCACTGAATGTATTCCATCCAAAGTAGATCGGGACAAAGGCGATGACGAAGGACAACAGCCATACAAAGGTCAGCATGGCCGTGGCGGTGCGCTTGTTGATAATGGTCCGGTAGAGAAAGGGCCGCGTTATGGCGTAATAGCGATCGATGGAGACCTACATGATTGGTACTTTACACATATACATGTATGTATCAGTGAGCGGTCTGTAAAGTTAACCGGCAAAACGCTGAATTGGTAATCATCGAGCGCTCTGGATGAAATGCATGCTATGCTAACAACGAACGTGAAGCGTCGAGTGCATGCTTCACTTAACCGAGACCGGGACGATGGGACTAACGCGAGTAAACCACTGGTTAATGTCTTGTCATCTTGATCCCAAAAAAGGAAGCCGATGTGAGGTGATCAAGGCTAATTACGGACTTGAAGTTCACATAGTACGGCGTAATTTTAACTTTTTTAGCAAATCGAGAGGCAGAAATATATCCTCATTGGTAACGTACAGGACTGCAGCAACAGAACCATAAAATTCTTGGGATGAAAATATTTAATTTACTACTGCATTTATATTATTCACATCTTTCGAAGAATTTAGTCAACTAAATACAGAATTCAAAGTCAAGCATCGATTTACGGGGATACTTTTGCAATAATAAATGACAGGAACATTTCGTCGGTGCTAGACTGCTAACACATTTTCAATTAGGTATTTGACACAGCCAGTTCATAATTTGAAATTTCTGTCAACGGACATTACGATCAAAGTTACAAGGAGAAAAAGCTATATTAGGAGGTGAGATTTTATGCCACCAAAAAAAGCTGAAATCGGCTAATAGATTTTACTGGAAGAAAAGAGACAACATATTAATTAAGTAGTTAAATATGGTATTTTCGAATTTGTATACTAATAGTTACAAACTTATAGGTCAATCCTTTCCTAATCGCTTCTGACTTTGGCAATGAACTGTGAGAATGTGGACAGCTTGCTTTGCGTTGTAACTCATCCTCTGATGTGTAAATGCCGAAAGGTTAAAGTTTACTTTGAATATTGATTGTGCGTAAACCGTACAAACAACTACTCCAGAAAACTCAACCATCAGAGCGTTAAACCAAACACACTTACAATGAATAAATTAAGAATCGACGCTGTGGACAGGAAGACGTCCATGGAAATGTACACATTGCATAATATACTCCCAAGTGTCCAGTTATTGGTGAGCAAACGGCCAAAACTTATGGGCAAGACAAAAATGCCCAATAGGAGATCGCTGCAAGAACAAAATGACAATTAACGAGTTAATTGATGTTAATGTTAGCTGGAGGACATGCGCTCCCGCTCTCTCTCCTTTCGCCGTGTGTTGCGAGTTACGTGAGTCTGTTGGTGGCGCTGCGCGTCGCCGTGGCGCTTAGATCAAAGCGGCCGCCGTCATGCACGGGCATGCTGTTTGCACTTGGCACTGTTTCGTGTGCTCGCATTGCATGGTTCTGCAGTTCTCATTGCTGTCTGTCTGTGCTCCTTCGATATCGTGTGCGCGCGAGTGATCTCTGTTCTTTTATCTTGATCTCTCGCGAGTGATCTCTGTTCTCTGGGAGATTTTTCATCTTCCTAGATCTGCATCTTGGATTTCGGAATGTTTAGCCGTTCCGCGCGCCGTGTTCCGCGCACCTGCGACAGCTGATATCTAGCTGCCATCTGTGCGATGGTTCAGCTCTTCGTTTATCGCTCTCTAAGTCTGTCAGGCTGTCACCATCGGTAACTGGCTATATCCTCGCCAGAATTTCAGATCAGCTCTTTATGCGTCATCAAAATCCACACCGCATCCGAAGAGCCAAGCCGAAGCGAACAGCTGCACTCAGCTTGAACGCGTTACGTCGCTCACACGTTAAGCGGCCTCAGAGGACCATCAGTGCGAAGGATAAAGCGCACACGATCAACCACTGCTCAGCGGACAAGTTACAGCCGTCATCAATTATCTGCTGTGGCTGGCCAACGGGAAGACAGGCCACGAAGGAAAGCTGCACCACTTTTGACGCGAGCCTTCATTGGACGGCAGGACAGGCCTCCAGCTACGGTGGCGACTCGCACCACGACGTCAGCCAAGCCACCGACGACGGCAACACAGGCCTTCAACTACGGCTGCATCTCCACCGGACAGCAAAGAAGGACCCTAACTACGGCCGCTCTACCTCCGGCAGCGACAACCCCTTCAACGGCCGGGCACCAAGCTAGGCCACTGGCGAAACTGCACCATCCTCGGACGGCAAGGTACCGCACCTCCCATGGACGGCTGACAGGCTCGTTACCCTCGGCGGCCCACATCCGACAGCAAGCTGGGATCTAGCAAGGGCACTTTCTCGGACACCAGACAGGTCCCTACTCAACGCAGGCGTGCACCTTCGACGGCCGGTGTGCCCCGCCAACGTCGGCTGCACCTTCCTCGGACGGCAGACAGGCCCTTGGCTACAGCGCCCTCCTCCGACGGCAAGCAGGCACAGCAACAACGGACGCATCTTCTTCGGACGGCAGACCGGTCCGCTAACGGTGCGCCTTCCTCGGACGGCTTACCAGGCCACCAACTTAGGCTGCGCCTACATCCGACGGCAAGCAGACTCCCAGCGGCGGTTGCAACTTCCTCGGAGGTATACAGGCCACCAACTTCGGCTGCGCCTTCCTCCCACGGAAAGCAGACCCCAAGCTTTCCTCGGACGGCAAACAGGCCCCCTAGCAACGGCGCCCTCATCCGACGGCAAAGTAGGCCACCAGTGACGGCTGCATCTTCCCCGGACGGCAGTTAGGCCCCTTCCAGCGGCGGCGCCCTCATCCGACGGCAAGTAGGCCTAATGACCCACCAATGGCGGCTTCTTCCTCGGACGGTAGTCAGGCCCCTTTCAACGGCGGCGCCCTCCTCCGACGGCAAATAGACCCTAATGGCACAAATGACGGCTGCATCTTCCTCGGACGGCAGACAGGCCCCCTTTTAACGGCAGCGCCCTCCTCCGACGGCAAGTAGGCCCACCAGTGACGGCTGCATCTTCCTCGGACGGCAGACAGGCCCCTTCAGCGGCGGCGCCCTCATTCGACGGCAAGTAGGCTTAATGGCCCACCAATGGCTGCATCTTCCTCGGACGGCAGACAGGCCCTTGGCTACGGCGGCGCCTCATCCGACGGCAAGCAGGCACAGCAACAACGGACGCATCTTCTTCGGACGGCAGACCGGTCCGCTAGCAACGGTTGCGCCTTCCTCGGACGGTTTACCAGGCCACCAACTTAGGCTGCGCCTACATCCGACAACAAGCAGACTCCCAGCGGCGGTTGCAACTTCCTCGGAGGTATACCAGACCACCAACTTCGGCTGCGCCTTCTCCACGAAGCAGACCCCCAGCTTTCCTCGGACGGCAAACAGGCCCCTAGCAACGGCGGCGCCCTCCTCCGACAGCAAAGTAGGCCACCAGTGACGGCTGCATCTTCCCCGGACGGCAGTTAGGCCCCTTCCAGCGGCGCCCTCATCCGACGGCAAGTAGGCCTAATGGCCCACCGGCGGCTGCTTCTTCCTCGGACGGTATCAGGCCCCCTTTCAGCAGCGGCGCCCCTCCCGACGGCAAGTGGAAAATGGCCCACCAATATCGGCTGCATCTTCTTCGGACGGCAGGCATGCCCTTCAACGGCGGCGCCCTCATCCGACGGCAAGTAGGCCCACCAGTGACGGCTGCATCTTCCTCGGACGGCTGACAGGCCCCTTCCAGCGGCGGCGCCCTCATCCGACGGCAAGTAGGCCCACCAGTGACGGCTGCATCTTCCTCGGACGAGAACATGCCACTTAGCAACGGCGGCGCCTCCACGGCAAGTAGGCCACCAGTGACGGCTGCATCTTCCTCGGACGGCAGACAGGCCCCTTTCAACGGCGGCGCCCTCATCCGACGGCAAGTAGGCCCACCAGTGACGGCTGCATCTTCCTCGGACGGCAGACAGGCCCCTTCAAGCGGCGGCGCCATCCTCCGACGGCAAGTAGGCAATGGCCCACCAATGTGGCTGCATCTTCCTCGGACGGCAGACAGGCCCCCTTCAGAGCGGCGCCCTCATCCGACGACAAGTAGACCTAATGGCCCACAAGTGACGGCTGCATCTTCCTCGGACGGCAGACAGGCCCCTTTCAACGGCGGCGCCCTCACCGACGGCAAGTAGGCCTACCAGTGACGGCTGCATCTTCCTCGGACGACAGACAGGCCCTCCCAGCGGCGGCGCCTCATCCGACGGCAAGTAGGCAATGGCCACCAATGACGGCTGCATCTTCCTCGGACGGCAGACAGGCCCCTTCAACCGCAGCGCCCTCCTCCGACGGCAAATAGGTTCAGTGGCCCATCAATGTCGGCTGCGCCTTCCTTCGACAGCAAGACCCTTAGCGGCGGTTGCACTTTCCTCGGACGGCATAAAGGCCATCACCTCCGGTGCGCCTACCTCCGACAACAAGCAGACCACCAGCGAGGCTGCAACTTCCTCGGACGGAGTCAGGTCTCTTAGCAACGACGGCGCCCTCTTCCTACTCCCAGCAGACCCTAGCGGCGGTTGCACCTTCCTCGACGGCATACTAGGCGATCACCTCCGGTGCGCCTGCCTCCGACGGCACGCAGACCCCAAGCGGCGGTTGCGTTTTATTTCCATTTCCGGTGGTTGCAGTTTCCTCGGGCGGCATGCAAGGCCAACACCTCCTGTGCGCCTACTCCGACGGCAAGCAGACCCCAGCGGCGGTAGCACCTTGCGCGGAAAACCTGACCGGATCCTGACATACCGCGGATCCTGCCATACCACATCGGGATCATCACGCTACACCGCTCGTATCGGCAACGACGCCGTAAAGATAGCCGAATTTTGCCTACTCCCAACGGAACTCGAATCTTCTCCAAATACATCCGCAGAACCGTGCAAACTGCTGCATCCATCCTATATTGGGTTGTTTGGGGTTTGTTTGGGGCCTTCGGTTGCGCAGGGCACTGGTCGCTCTCTTCCGCCGACCCCGGTCGGCCGGCTTCTGCTGACCCACGGTCACCGCACACAGCCGATCACAGAGAGCACCAGCCTCCCAGCAGCCGGGGCTCCAATGCCCCAGTGGAGTCGGAAGCGGTAACATTAAATGACAATTAACGAGTTAATTGATGTTAATGTTAGCTGGAGGACATGCGCTCCACTCTCTCTCCTTTCGCCGTGTGTTGCGAGTTACGTGAGTCTGTTGGTGGCGCTGCGCGTCGCCGTGGCGCTAGATCAAAGCGGCCGCCGTCATGCACGGGCATGCTGTTTGCACTTGGCACTGTTTCGTGTGCTCGCATTGCATGGTTCTGCAGTTCTCATTGCTGTCTGTCTGTGCTCCTTCGATATCGTGTGCGCGCAGTGATCTCTGTTCTTTTACCACCCGCCACCCCTGCTGTTTTCTGCTGTTATTTCGCACTTGCTCAATAAAGGGCCTTCGGTTGCGCAGGGCACTGGTCGCTCTTCCGCCGACCCCGGTCGACCGGCTTCTGTGACCCACGGTCACCGCACACAGCCGATCACAGAGAGCACCAGCCTCCAGCAGCCGGGGCTCCAATGCCCCAGTGGAGTCCGGAAGCGGTAACATTAAATAACCATTGCTTACTACCCGGCATCTTTTCTGTTTGTTCTTTAAGGTTTTCTTGTAACAGACACATACAAAAGTCCTCATGTAAATTACTTGCATTATTATGTTAAAGAATACAAACTGTTTCCTTAACTAGCCATTGATAAACCATAGTAAACTGATGTACGTAGCCGTACATAATAACTGATGTACGACTTTAAACAGTACAGTATATCTGAAGGACACAAATCTGGAAACCGTTGTTTCTGGTTTCATGCAGACGAATATAATTTATTTATTAATACTATGTGTTATCATCTGTTGTAGATTAGCAAAACTTTTATCTGTAGCCAAAAATCTATGTGCTATATATAACTGAACTGCCGCACGCTCTGACATCGTCGTGTATCCAATACGACCAACTTATACGCAATTACTTACTGCATTCCGCCAGTGCATTTTCAAGTGCTTTCGGGTACAATCTCATCGGAACCGCTTTGTACAGTTTATTTTATTTAATACAGAAATTCCCATGGGGTCTTTACCGCTGGAAACTGAAGGCAGAAAAACGGTCCAGTTGATTTATTGTTGCTGACGCCATCACGCTACTGCTTATTGCATATCGTAGTTAATAGATGCTGTGCATCCAGAACATCATGCAATGCATCCAGCCGGGAATTATACTACGAAGAAGTTTAACCTAGCCCTTCCCTGCTGCGGTGCACCATTTAACCTTCAATATGAAAAACGATGTCATTTCATTTTATAATGGATACCATAGATTACATAAATAAAACTACTTTCGGTTGCCGTTCCGAAATAGCTGCCCTTGGGAAAATGCTGTCGTTACTTCTGGATGAACGAATAGGTGGTATTTGTATAATGGCTATCTCCAACATAAAATGTTACTCTACTTTTAATTCGGCAATGGCCATAAAATGTTTAAGTGATAATTATATACGTGAGTAAATCAAAAACTATCCTGCAGGCAAAGATGTTTAAACTTAAAACATTCAAAATGAATATAACAGTAGTCAAAATTGTTGAAAGAATGTAACAAATAGGCCAACTTAATAATTTTGATTTTGGTTGTAAATGATTAAATTGGCTCTACCCAGCCGTCGACCATTCGCTCCCGGAAATTTATGGGAAACTAACGGAAGTGGTGTCAGTTAAGGGAAAAGGATTACCAATTACAGTAACAAATGCTGTTGACCCATTTTTTCCAGCAAATATTTCGTGATTTCCCGTTTAAAAGTATACAAACAAAACTATTGATTAACTGTTTCGACCCGTTTAAGCTGGATGCACTTGTGCTTTTTACGATTCAGACAAACATCGAAACTTAAGTGTTCATATAGGCATTTAGCCTATACTTATACAAGACGTCAATCATTATAATTCATACAAATTGGTTGTGCTTTTCATGTTTGCCAAACACCTTTGCTAATTTCGGTAATTAGTATGAACAATAGGTAAACTGAAATCGTTTATAATAATTCGAATCACAAGAGCCGTACACGTAATTGTACACTTCAAATTCTTCGACGAGATCAGTCGTAAAGCGAAAATTATTTAAGCTCACCGCCATTCAGTCTGGCTTTAAATAACTCTGCTTACAGCAATTTCATTAAATCATTTAGTTCAATTATTTGATTCTTATCTTCTTCACTAAGTACGGTATCAAGCAATAATCTGACCAATAAATATAAACTTCAAAGCATAATATCGATGCTTTCATACAGTAATTATACGGTCAGAAATACAGTGGTCAGCCTAGACCAAACTACGTATAAGTCAAGAGTATTTCGATTCGTGTACAGTAACTCATTACTGATTCAAAACTGCAGTTTTGCTGAACCGTCAGCAGGACGCCAACAAATTAAACCAGAAAAAGATAATTTTTAAATATGACAGTAAACTAAACCGGTATTTCATCTGTAATTTAAATAAAACATTTCGTGCAAGGCGTTTGTGTCCAGCCTTCGCAGTATCTGTTCGTGTTAACCTTAATGTGCTAAATCGCAAAATCATCAGTGCAAATATTTGCACAAAAAGGAAAACCAATACGAGTGTGTCATAAGCCTGTAATTCTATTCCCGTCGATGCTGTTATATATTACATTTTCTTTCTTTTGCATACAACACTAGTTTTGCTAACCTAATCGCCAGCGATGCACAAAAGGCATTTGTAATGTTCTTCCGCAACTGACGACTATAGCCAATCGCCACACAGACCAGCACATTTCCGGCCACTGTTCCAATGACAATAATCAATGTGGGTATGATGGTTAAGATAAGGATATACAATTCCCGATGTCGGGCATTAATGGATGAATTTTCTGGATCAGATAGCGCCGTTGAGTTATCATGTAGGGAATCCATATAACAACAATCGGAATGTGTAATCGTCCGGCGTATTATATACGGGGCCGCAAAATTAAACAGTATTTCGTTCGCACAAGAAAATCCTAACTAATCCACAATTTTTTGGCCGCTATAAGGAATCCACGGCGCGGCAGTCGTCGGCGACACACACCAGTCGGCAAGTAATTTGTGTCCGCACCAGCGCTGACACACGCAAAGTAACGATTATGTTTCTTTTTCCGCCATTGACGTAAAAAATAGTGAAAAGACCCGTCGGGAGCGCCGGGACGCATGCATGCACACACGGACCATACACAGAAAAAGACCAGCATGATCTGTCATGTCACCCGAAAATCTCTATGATGAGTGCCTGCCGTTGTGTGCCGCAGTACAAGTCCACAACCAACCGCCACCAGTGGTGTATGACAGTGGCAAATTGGGCTACGACTTTTCCATTGCTCCCCGCTATCAAAACATTCATTTTTGCATGTTTTTGTTAAGGAATCATGGGGCAGTACACGCGTCACAGTGCGCCAGACCACATCCAGTGAAACGGAAGTGTTTCGTTGAGATTTTATGAGTCAATAGCACACTACAACTTATCCGGCTATCCGCTCAACAAGCTCCAACTAGAGAAGATATCCGCTGCGCGCTCGTACAGGCCTGTGTGTGAAGCCGGACCCATGAGATCCCCGATTTAATATCAGCTGATGGGATCTAGCTGCTGGATCAGTTTAGCAATGGATACACGTTTAGGTCTTTGATGTGTCCAACCAATGTGTAATAACGGCTGTTTGCTACTTGTACTTGTACATACGTACGTGGCTCATTCAGAATGCACTGCAGCTAACTTTGACGTGACAAATGTAGCACTCAATGCCAGGGATACAACAAACACGCAGTGCGCCGTAGCGCCTTTTTTCTTTTTTGTGGATTACAAACGGTAGTCAACACAGTTAACGGGGTAAAGGGATTGTGTTCCATGTCAGAATACCACTGTAATGTCAGCGTCAGCAAAAGTGATTAAAAGCTTTTAGCATGTCAGAAACCTACCATGGCAATGCTAGCGTACACGTACTGTAAACCCGTACTATACGTAGGAATTAGCGCGGTTCTTTTCTTTTCTGGCACCAGCTCAGAGTCGCCACTTCACACTGTCCCTTACAGCAAAAATCATTGTACGTAGCAGTCTTTTTGTGGTTACTGTTTGGTCTGGGGGGCTCGAGTGCGATGCGGTATTCATGTCGAAATGTAAAGGTGATTGATAACCGATCTGCCGACAAGGCGTTTGTGGATGTTTATTTGAAATAGAAGGACTTAGTGCTTATATCGTTATTATGCAATAGCCAATCGTCTTTTTGTCGCGTGCTGTCTTTTTGATACACTTTTCTTTTTTGTCTAGACTTTTTTCGAATAGAATTACAAAACACATTAATAGAGTGTCGCTGCTTCAAACCCTGCCACCGGAACAGTTATTGGAAAATGTACCGGTGGCAGGGTTTATATGTTCATTAATGTTTGACGTTAATGAACATTGCATATGTTGCGTGCACACGCTTGAGTCTACTTGTGCAATGGGCACAGGCTAAAAAAGTATGTGGATAAGTTTTTGCAGTACAGCACTTAAATACACGTCATACGATATCGCGATCGGATACTGCAGTTGCAGTTCTGACTGTGCAGAGTACAATACACCGGCCGGAAATAACAAATGAATCTGCCGTACGACGTTTTACATAAACTTCAAATCTTTCGTCCGTCAAAGTTTGCAACCCAAATCTGCAATGAATCCCACAAACGAACTTGCAGATTTGCAATCAGTCCCGTAAACAGATGCGGGTTTAGATACTGCTGGCTTGAAATAGCCTCTGGTCAGCCTTTATATTGTATTTCCGTTGCAATTCGTTGCTAACTGGTAAGCTTTGATTCTTAACACTATTATTTAACTTGCGCGCAGTACTGACCACTGACTTGCCCGCCTTTTTCTTTCACGTGCATAATTATATATATAATCAGGTGAGCTCTTCACCCAAGGGTTGCTGCAAGCACTATTTGGTGAAAACATGTTTATTACAGCTGAATACAGTTATTAATACAAACCATACTAATGAAAAACCGTTTGCATGGTCAGACCCACCAGGTTCCACCTGCTGAAATGCTTGGACGCGATGTGGCTGTAACAGTGCAGCAGAATTATTATGCTGACATAATAACGTGTGGTAGAAATTCAAAAAAGCTGGCTGGCAGCCGTTAAGCAAAATTTTTAACCTGGAACATGTCACAGTAGCTCCTATTTGTTGTTATTTATACAAGTAAATTTACCCTGAGAACGGTATTTGTGAAGTCCTTAATTGCTATAGCTGCCTGATATACATTAAAAACCTTTTGCACTAAAGCTTTAAAATTTAAAGTTCTGCATAGTTTTGCCTGATTAACTGTGGTGTCCGATTGAGAACAGTTTTATTTTCATTTACTGTTCAGTGTGCACAATTGTAAAGTACCCTCAAATGGCGCAAACACAAGACGGCGCAATCGAGCATCCTGGAAATGACGTACCCACATAAACCTGGGTTTCATGTAAATTTCCTCCAAGTAACTTCGTTGAAGGCCCAGACAGGATCCCACGGCGATCGCGATGTTTCTTCGACTCAACTCGTAGTAGGTAAATGGTACCGTAGTAAGTATTACAAAACTGATTTCATATGCTAGCGACGAAATGACGTTGTCGCTAGCGTAATTTTGAAAGGTACACTACCGGTAGCTCATATTGTACTCGTGCAATACAGTAAATATCTACAATAAGTCGTGCATCTGTCGAATCCTTACCTTTACTGCAGATTTTCATCAAAAGGTTTTCCGCGTTCCTCGCGGTTATTTTTGTGGTATTACTTACATTGATTTGCATAAGCGTGCGGGCGGGTACGGGGTATTAGTGCACAAGCACAATGTAGGCACGTCTGTCATGCAGTAATACCATCCAACACACCGGCGTTTTTTCAAGAAAACCGTGGCGTCTTTAGGGGACCGATTTGCAACTATCATTCCAGTGATAATATATATATTGTGAAAGTGTCGTTTTCTTTCATCGAATTTGCGACCTTTCCACCTTAGGCAAAAGCCGCGAGACGGACAATAATTACGTAGCAGTCACTGCGGAATTACATCGAAATTTAGGTCGATATTATCTGAAGTTCATGTTGATACAAGAAGTCAGACGAACACTGAATATGATGGCGTTAATTCACGCGGAACAAGGATCAAATTAACCGGTCGCCGCCATCTTTACTGGATAATAGGCTCTTCTGTAAAAACGATGGGTACCTGGTAATGTGCATGACAGGATGGTCTCTCGCAATAAAAATGCTCGACTTACTGTACTTTTACACTTAGAACTGTCTAAGAACTACAGGTATCCGAAATTAAGAGTACGGTTACATTGTGAAGTAGTGTCATTACGCTCGCCATTTTGTTATTTTGTGGGCTGATGCCTATTAGAATAATCTTTTCATACATATTAGATTTGTAATGCAAATCAGTCATTGTGGTCAAAATGGGAGGAAACTCAGGAATCAAAACAGTTTTGCATACTTTTATCAAAAGGTTTATGTTCACACTGGCGTACTAACCGGCGCGACCCATTCGCTTTTTTCGTTGTTTCCCTGCATGTGGCCTTTTGAAGTTTATGTGATAAAGGTAAGCTGACTTTCGTTGAGGAGGGTTCATAAAAAGACAGACACTCTAAAAGTCTCCCTCCAGCTGCCACTGTCGAACTGGGTACACGGGCTTGTAACGTGCCCTGTTTACGGCGAGACGGGGAAGGAAGACCAGAAAACGTGGAAACATACTGTAGTTTTAATCCTCTTTATGAGGCAGTTGTCATAAAAGTAAGAAAAGCTTCGCTCGCGATAACACTACACAAATACAGCATGGGAATTAAAATAACAATTTTCTATTATAAAAGCGCTATATATTATAATTTATCTAGTAGCTCAAACCTCAAGTTAATGTTTTTTTTCTTCATTGGAAAAGGTCTTGCAGTTTAAAACAAGTTTAAAGTAATTAAATTTATATATGCAGAAGCGTGACAAATAGTGAAATATATATCATTAATGAAGTTTCCGGGCATGGTGTAACTGGTACTGCTGGCCTGTCGCCGCCGCCACTAATGCACAGAGGATGCGTACTTTGCTGGCTGAAAAAACCGTAAATGATACTTCCCTAATTGTTCAGCCTTTGGTGCTTTTACAAATGGACAAAAAATTTGTGTTTCGGTTGTTCGTAGTTTTTGGTGTGTTTTATCCGATAAAAATAGATACTGTATATTTTGTATTTGTTGCTGTGTGATCAGCCTCCATGCATCGGGTGGCCGTGTCGACAAAAGGGTAGCAATGGACCTTCCACAATACTGACTGTATAATGCCGATTTCGTACTGGATTCCCGGCGAAGGATTCTCGGAGATATTCTTGTCTCAGCTAGTACTGACCAGAGTGGGCGTCTGGATGTCAAAACATGCACCGAAGTGCAGCGAATAGAAAAGGCGCGCTCGGAATGGTACGTACAAAATCTGTGCTAAAATTAGAACAAGAAAAATTGCTAGTCAGTCGCATAAGTAAGTAACTCTTTCAGCACCGTGCGAGCGCGTCCCCGCCATCTGGTGTAACCTAAGCACCTTGGCCGTAACCGCCAGTGGCACTGTCGTAACCTATGTCGTAATCCTGCCCCCACACTGTCATTTGCGACGACGTTGTGACACTGGTGCGTGCACGCACACTGAGTGACCGGATACCAAACTAACAATTCGGCTGCACACAAAAAATGCCGGGCCCGGCAGACGTATATATATACACGTCCTCCTATAATTGGAGGAGTGCTTATTTATAGTTCCTAAATGAAATCCAATGCCAATCAGCTAAGCGGCACCAACTGAGCCAAACCGCAAGTACTATTTAGACCCATTAATTCTGTGAATTTTGACAGTTATAGATCAGCGTACAGACAGCAATTCTGAATATTAGTTTGTCAGCTGGTCGGGCGCTTAAGCTCCGGCTCAAAAAAGTGTTCATGCGCAGATACACCAATTTTAACTTGGGATTCTGTGGAGCCGCTTGCAAAATTATTCATAGAAGTCGTAACGGGTTGTTTTTTTGAAATTAGTTAGAACTGCTGCAGTAGTCCATTAGCTCGCTGCTGTGCAGTTAGCTGCTGTTTTCCAAACTGATCAATGCGCGCGTAGAGTGTGTGAGTGCGAGTGCGTGTGTGTGTGGCTCGTTCTACGCAGAATGTCGCTCCTGATACAAGAGGCCGCCAGTTCCCACCGGATACACCATACCAATACCATTCTGGGCGCAGTTAGCAACGCACTCACCGTACACTCACGCTCACGGCGATCCATCTACGCCTCGCAGGAGTCACTGCAGGCCATCGACGTAGGTGGCCCGAATTCGAAGGCGCGTAGAATGTTTTCGGCGACGGCGGATCTGATTACGAGGATAGGTGTTGATCACATTATCATTGGATTTCTATCGATTCTTCTTCAGATTATCGGTAAGTCAAATAAAAAACATAAGTCTTTGCGCTAATTTTTACAGGTATTTTCGTATTCAGTTTCTCTGCAAACGCCCACTGACCACTGCGAAATGTAAATTACTTGGGTGGTACAAAAAGTTTTATAGAATCAGTCATTTTGAAAAACATCATCAAGCGTTCCTTACGCTAAAAAATTTTAAGGTAACTGTGGATGATTTATAACATTTACTTACTTCACTCTGCTATGACTATGTTTTGCAACGATTAAATTAGTTGCGGCTTGTACTGCAGTTAAACGTCATGGGCAATGTGATAAACGATAATTTCGTATTACTTGCATTACATTTTTTTGCGCCTATTGTGTAATTTTAAGACCGTAGTACATTTCTATGTTAATGGGAATACTACGTATATTGTTAAAATCGCAATGCAGCAGTACCCGAGTCGAACAGTTGGTATTATAGCTTAAAAAGCGTTGGACAAGGGAGCACAGCCAGGCGCCGATAATTTATGCTGCTTCCCACTGCGTTACATTATGAACAAATCAGCGTCGGTTATAGCTCCTAATTATCGGAACCCTAAGAAATAATACGAGATGTATGTAGATGCGAACGCTTTGGGTAAAAGACGCAGTAGCACTGTATACCGTATCTGTAGAAGTGTTTTTGATGATTAAATTAGTATCACAATTAATTATATAGCGGATTACTCTTACTTGCGTGCTTCTATTAATTTTAACCCGAAAGTATCAACATACATTTGGATTTGCCATATATATATATACTGTATGTAACATACGGTATGGCAAATCGAAAACGAGTAATCTTTCTGGTCACCAGCTGACCAGTTTTCACTTTGTTTACATGGTATAATATACGTTTGTCACGGCGATATCAGTATTATATCAAATTGTTAAAAAAAATTAGAAATCGGTTTCTATTTGAGCTTTGAGTTTTACGCCAGATCCAGCAATGTACTAATCAGATGTGATAAGCGAAATTCGAATAATCATGATGTTTAAGCTGTTAATGCACCGTGGACCATAACAACTTTTCACTACAACAACAGTCCGTATCATCCATTAAGTACTCGTGTGTCAGCGTAAAATGGAATATATGAGTATATCGCGTGATGATGAAAAGACGGTAGCGTCCTTGCGTGGTTTCCGCTATGGAAGTGCGGCAGCTGTTTCTTTAGCACGAAAACGGAATCTTTGAGTTTTGTCTAAATAAACAAATTGCTGTTCGCCTCCAGGATCGATATTATGAAAGTGCACTTACGATTAGACCGACATATCATAAAATCCACTTGGGTCGCTTTATTTTTGCTACTTTCATTCCTGAGCAGTAACAATGCGAAACATGAGGTTTGCATGCATTATACGGTAATTGCATATCAAGTTCAAATGATGTTGTGAGTTACCGGGATTTATTAACAAGTACTTCAAGATGTCTATCTAAAAGCAGAGTAAAACGGTGCGCTGCTGCAAATTTGCATATTGTAAGGATAAAAGTACTGCATTCCTGTGTTTTTATCCGCCATTTATGTTCGAGTATGTATGTATACTTAATTATATTGTACCATACACGCGGCACGCAAATACTATATGAGTAAATCGACAATTATTTTAAACAACAATATTTGGTGATTGGACAGGTTTCTCCTAGAAGAGTTTTAAGAAGAAATTTTAATATCGTACAATGTGCGTTTGGTAAACTTTAACTTACTTGTCGGTCGGCGAGTAATCTATACGTATACATTTAGTTTTAAATGTGCATTACAGGAAAAGCCGCTGCTTAGTCATCAGAAACCGTGCAGTATTAGTTTATAATATACTTCTAGCGCTAAAGAGTGTAGACTCTATATATATCAGATTTTAGCCATGTGAAATGTTTCGACGTATTTTGTAGAAGATACTAAGAAATATTTATCTTTTACTGAATTGCAAACAAATCTTAAATGCACTCAAAGCACTGCTGCTTAATTATACTGTATTAATAACTGGCGCACAAACTCGTATTATCCCGTAGAACGCAACATCATTCTCGATCTGCATGATCGAATGTTTCTATAAACATCTTCTCACGAACGTCCCCCCTAATCACATCTGTCAGCAGGAAGCGTACATTAATTAAAGCCCGTTCGTTGTGCTCCATGATTATTTCCTGTCACAGGAAGTTCCTGCATAACAAATTGGCAAAGAATGCGAAATAAAATCAGTACTTACGTCTTATGGCTAATGAGAATCCCAAAATTCCGGCTACGCTTGTCATGCGGGGCTTAATATCTTGTTTATGTCTCCTTAAAAACTGATCCGCGGATCAGCAGTATCCAACTGGTTTTTACGAAAAGCTTTGCTGTGCGCAACCGTAGTGGCCGACGAACAACTCTCTCACCTGTGGTTTCCATAATATTTCTTTGAGTTACTTACTTACTAGTGATTTTAAGGAGGAAGAATCGATAAGCTCTGAACTGCATCCGCACTTTGAGCTAGGATAATGTAGTGAATGATCTACGCAATTAGTAAAATATGCGGACGGCGCAGTAACACTGTACATGTAGATTGTACAAGCAGAGGCTACTTGAATGCACAGCTACGTTTTTAGGGAAACACATTCCATTTACATCAAAATAAATCATTTGACTAAGAAAGTTATACAGCTGCAGTATAACTCAAACGAAGCTATTCTTTTGCAGTGGATTTGATTCATCATGTTTTCCTGGTATACGAATGTGACCTTTTCGGACCACATTTGGTATACAGCCAGTTGGGCATCTTCTTCGGTATATTCTATATTGTCATTGGTATCGTCGCTGTACGAATAGGACAACTGACGAAAGGATCACCAACGGAGGAGATGAAAAAGCGTTTCTGTACATTCCATTTTTTCAATGTTCTAAACTTTCTGCTTTCCTTCCTGTTCCTAACAGCCAGTTGTTTCCTGATGTACACACTGGTGGAGCGGTATTCGTACAGTGGATGCACGAGTTTCAATTGGACATTGCTGAACTTCATGACCACTTCGTACAATCTACCGATCGTGTTGCGGATGCAGCCACCGGTAAATGTCACCGAGTCGCTCAACGAACTGACCATTGGTCAGAAAGTAGAAATTGACAACGCAATTATGTGCGCAATGATTGCAAATGGCTTTCATGGGTTGATAGCTGCATTGGAAATGTTACTGACTCTTGTCGGGTGCATGTGCCGAATTTCTTAATTTCTCTAACTATTCCATCGATACAAACTGCTGTGGTATTACTAAAGCATAAGTATTAAATTTTGCATATGTATATAAACCAGTTATAAAGAAGCGCTACGCATTAAAAAAATTGTACAATAGGTATATTATGCAACTTCATGCTTTCACATATTTTACGAAGTAGAGAACTGTAATTCTTGAGCGCTGGAGCTTTTTGTGAAGTTTTAATCTGGAAATTCAATAATAATTACTCGACAAAATTACCACACTGACGTGTACCAAAACAACCAGAAAATACATCCATGTTCACGTGAATTACGATTGCTGGGATATTACTGTGTCTAGTTGTAGGGCAAGTAATAAAAGGCTCTAGCAGTAACCCGAGAACCAAATATCCTGCGGCAAATAACCGTAAATAAAACAACTCTCATATCGAAGTCAAAATATCACAATGCGGAGAAGACGTTGTAGTTTGATGAAACAATATCTGCGCTGACTAGATAGTGGCCTGCTGCTGCTAAAAATAAAAATATAAAATAAGCCAGCATAGATAAATATAAATTCTTATTTTGCTGAAGATCTACGTCTTTCATGGTCAAGCGCGCCGTTTGAATTTTCACTGTGTATCGAAACGGGTGACCGCTCCGAATATGCGGAAACCAGTGAGCTTCCTCTCCGATTTTGCGCCTTCATGTCGTCCATTAAGGTAAATTCGGGACCAAGTGGTCTTAATGGTTCCAGGTGCTCAAATAACGAATTTCGGCGATTTCGGTATCGCCTCCTGTTTCTTATAATATTCATGATAAATAAGGAATCCGAGGCCAGCAACATGATGCTCAGTATAAAATACAGGACAAGCATGGCAATCTTCAGCTTATACAGATAATCCAGATTGGTTTTGACATGGTCAATTTCCATCGATGCGTTCTTACCGCCTCCTGCAATAATGGTAGGATCTGAAAGATTTCTGGCCGTAGCAGTGACCAGCGACAGGGTATTGGCGTTGATCACTGCAATACCAATTGTTTGTGCAGCACTTCCGGTCACTACTGCGATAGCGAAGATATACAACCAGAACCGGGAGCGAGGTTTCATGTTTTCTTTGGCTGAGAAAAACCCTACTGATCCGGCTATCAAAGAGCACACGCATGCCGCAGTCCCAAATTCCAGATAAGTATTCTTGCTGCAGTTTGGTGGTTGACAGTCTGAAAAAAAAATTCAACATATCATATAAAACTTAACCACTGCATGGTTGCAGAATCAACAGGTCTTTGGGGAGAACCTTTGAACTATTCGTAAACATCTGCCGGCGACACGGTGCACGTTTACTGACAACAGAACTAACTCTAGTACACGCTGAGTCATTAAAATTAACTACGTGTAACGTCTGGACAATGAGAATTGTTTAATCTTTAAGCTAAATTAAAGAAGTTTCAAACGGTGATTTAATTTCCGAAGTTTTATCATAATTTTGCGTCAATAAAAGGGATAGATTATAATCAACAAGGTCAAGCTGCTAATTGTATTATCTTGTTGATGGATTAGAGTAAGGTTACCATACAGATTAGTACCGGACATTAATGAGTACATACCGCCGAAATCGTACCAGTCGAGATGCTGCCAGAGATGTATGGAAACTGCAGCATAAAAACACTCAATCATAGCCAAGTTTTCTTATGGTGATCAAAGCAGAGCAAAAATTAAGGGACCTTGTGCATATAAACTGTATTGACGGTTAGGAAAAACTTTCTGTAGAAATTCCTAAGCATAAAATGTGTCTCTTACATGTCATTTGTATAGCCGACATGGCAAAAGAGAACAGAACTTCCGTTATGCCCAGTGCAGCAAGTGGGACACGACAATAAATAATTGGTATGTAATCATCCCGAGTCTGATCGCTATTCCGCTTGCGCAAGCCTTTCGGTTTGGAAAGTTTGATTATGTGGTTGGCCAGCAGTTCCTCATCCTTATCGAGCGCCGCTAAATAATCAGGATTCCGCTGCAGTAGTTCTTCCGTTGCGTTGCGGAAATTCTTAACGTTTTGCATTTGCTCGTGAGCTCGAGACATGGAAAAGCTGGAAGTTGCGGTGCGTATTTCAAGTAAAATTAAAAAACTGTTGTAAGCTGTTTAGTTGCACCGCATACGATAGCGCAACATGCAGTGAATCACAAAGCGCAGTGCAATTTCACAATTTCTTGCAAGATGCTACAATATTTTACGTCGAGCGCCTCGAGCATTGGCAAAACAGCCGCAAATAAAGTCTTCTGCACGGGTCGGCAGTGATAGAGAACAATATGCATGGATTTGCAGAAGTATATACAGATATGTCCTCGTACTGTATCTCGAAGGTTCTTTGCCGGTTGGCAAATTTTATTTACACACATTTTCTTATTACTATATAGTTGTGCTATGAGGTAATAATTACGCTTACTCAGTTAATCTTTTGTCCGTCATAATAATATTATACGCTCTTGCTGGCCGGAAGCAGTTGGCCAAAACAGCAACACTCGGTAGGACTTTTGCGCACATCGTTTGTATATGTACTCTGTAGTCTCTCGAACGATATGCCGGTTAGTTAACAAGACCCCTTTCATGCCGCGTGGAAAATGTCAATAAATATAAGTAACATCCTAAAGGAAATTTTTAAGATTGACTTGCAGCTGTCCAAACTACTACGTACAATGAAGTCTGAGTGCAAAAACTAGTAGTAGTAGAAGTACAGTACTTATTATATTCTGTCGCTATGTCATATTATACTCGTATATAATGCCATCACCAAACACTGCTTTTCTCAATGGCTGGCGTTTACATCTCCCTTTTGCAACATGTTAGACGATTCAGTACACTCCTGATACCAAGTACTTCCTCATAATAATGTTTGTAATTTACGATTGTTTGTTTTCCTTTTCCCGCCTTAAAAACAAATTACTGTACATGCGCACGGTGCATATCTTGCTGTACTTAATCGATCCAATCAATCCCAAGAAACGTAGATGTACAAGTGTACAAATGATTATGTGTGTACGTTGCAGCGCACTGCAGGCTGAAGATCGTACAGCATGAACGGACACTGTGAAATTTTGCCGTTTCGCCGTCTGAAGGTTGACCTTTGATGGCTGAAGTTAAAATCTGATTAGTTACGATCTTGAATCCAAAAGCGCCATATGCACAGCAGCGGCAACATTCTGCTGCAGCAATCACACCACGAGGATTTCATTAAATAACAAAGCACTACCCCGATTAATCACGCTACTACGAGTATCGTAGACATTCCAAAAGTACACGCAGTCGCCAGTGTAATAGATGTTTCTAAGCTCTTTGGTGAGCAATCGGACTCTTTTGCGGGCTACGCAATCGCTTTGTTATGCAAAAGATAATCTCTATCGCCATTAGTTAGTAGTGGCATTTTCTCGGTTATTACTAATACGCCTACTGCTTTTTAACTCCAAAATGTTGATGCTGAATGGAGAGAAGTTTGGGTGGTGTGGATATTTGGTGCTAATTTCTTTGGTTCCACTGGTACTAACTGCAAGTCTTCATCTAACCCCTTTTGTAATTAATATATTACATTCAATACCTGTATACGTACACAGTTTTGGATTTTTAGAGTCTTTTTAGTCCGTTTACGGATGCAGCTGACCGAATTGGGAACTTTTACAAAATCGAAGTCAACTTCACAAGGTTTGAGAATCCCGACGGCTTAACACGAGGCGGATACCCATGTGATCACCTATCAAAGTGTGACCCGCACATTTATGCTTATATTGACATGTAAGTTATTTAAATCACAAAATTCGAGTTAAATAAGAATGAGTTTGCCTCGGCGCACCTGTACAGATTTTTCTGTTTTAACGCTCCAGCTTGTTGTAATCGTCATGTTTTCCAGCATATCTCCAACGGCCAAATTTCCCGGTCCATCCCGTCAAAACACATCGCATTACAGCTACGTAACGGGACAAACGGATAAAAATGTTGCGGATTTCACTGAAGGAAATAATGGAATAGTGCACATTATATGCCAAGTTGGACAATCAGGACATGTATTACCAAAGGTCCGAGTAATTTTGTTAGCGATACCTAATCACATTCAACTCCGTTCGCTAATTTAATGAATGCTATACAATCACGAATATGTTTCCATAAATATTGAAAACTTCAAAAAAACAAATTTTTCCAAAACAGATGGTGAATGCGCGGGTGGAAGTACGCGATAAGGATCCGCTTACACCGGATGACATAATTGAGCAATTCGACTGTATTTTCCCATTTTCTGTATCCCGAGACTTTAATGGCGGATGGTCAAGTGTCCGTGAGTGCTCCGGAGTGGGTCATATTAAAGATAAATTTAAGTAAGCTTTGATAAGTGAGAGCGCGATACTTTGCTTGTCAAATATGAATATGATACTTTATTGTAGATTATTCTATCGATGGAGAGTTCGTCCCATATACTCCACCCAATGCTACGCTCCGCTCTGACAACCACATTTCACGAAAAATGTGGAGCTTTGATATCATGGTATCTTAAGTAAACATAAGAGCTGATTGTATTAATTAATAGTCTAATTTATTTGATTCTCAGTGTGAATTTCTAAATATTCTTGTGTGGTTTGTAAACCTCTTGTTTTTGCAGTGGAGATCATGTACAATACGCTTTTGATAATAAATAATCATGCAAACGTTAGCACGTAAAAACTTAATTAGGCGAAATGCTGCAAAACAGGTGATTCCGTGGGTGGACGGATGACAGCGCCCGACCTAATGAATGCATTAAAAATTTTTGGCAGCTACCTACTGATATTTATTAATGGTGCCATAACAAAGCGGCCACTTGTGAACCACAGAGCAGTAACTATACAACTATAGCGCAATTGGCATGAAATATTACACATTGCAGGAAAACATACCCCGAAAGCTGGTGGTCAGTCATATCCGGGTTTATCTTGCTAAATTTCTGCTAAAGGAACTGTAAATATCATGTAACCGTGTACCGATTAAACCGTAACATGAGATCAGTATCGATAAGATAATTGTACAGTTTACGTACAGTATATATTACACTGTATAATTCCAACAGTAAATATTCCTGAGCACCATTGAATGGAAAATTGAGAACCACTATCACTCGGTTTCTTCTGAATAGGAAGAGGCCGGCTGATTATTTCGGCCCTTGTTATAATTTAACTTTTGAACACGACCCGAAGAGTGTTCTTCACTTTCTTCTAACGAGTCCTGTTCAGTGCCAGAGCGAGCCGAAGCAGCATCCACGTCGGATCGTTTAGTGTTGTCGGGTTTTGTCGCATCACTTTCGTCCTCGGATACCTGGCTAACCGAAGAATCTTTGCGCTGCTTGCTTCGTCCAGCGAACAGGCGATCATCGCTGACCTGCCGCTGCCTACTTTGCATCGCCTGTTGGGACTGTTTCTTGTCAGGCTTTTGCGGCTCCTTCACGTCGGACGCCTCCGATTGGTCAGAATTCTCAAGCTCTGAAGAACTCTTGAGCTTTGTTTTGCGTGGCTGCGACGCTTTCGATTTACTTTCGATGTCTTTTGACTGCTTTGGGTCACGTTGCTCAGTTTCGCGACCTTGTTTGCTTTGGGCGTGCTTCGTTATCCGCTTGTGCTCAACTGGTGAGGGAGGCGATGCCGTTTCATTGGTTTTCTGACTGATATCGCTGATGTCACTAAGCGAGCTTTCCTCATCCTGATTTCTTCTGCGTTTGTCATAATTCGCTCCTTTCGTAACTGTTTTGGTCGGTTTAGATTTCGCATCGCGAGGAGCGCTTTCAGGGCGCTTCTGCTTGCTAAACTGATGCATTTCTTGTTCGTCGTCGGAAGTACGCCGTGTTCTAGAACCTGATCGACGGCTTCGGTGATCTTTGTCGTGCTTGGTTCCATGCTCTGACCCCGTGCGGCTTTGCTGTTTGCGTGTCATGGTTTGGGATCGTTCGCCGTCACGGCGTTCACTATCTTCTTCTTCCATAACAGACGGTTTCTTCTGTTTTCTCCCTTTATGGTTTTCCTCCCTTGCCTTTCCACGCACATCGCGATCATCCGTTTCTTCCTCGTTATTTCTCTGTTCAGTTTTTGCTTGTGACCTTTTCTTACTTTGATGTCGTGAACCGTGTTCCTCCGAAGATTGTCTTGATTTAGACATTTTCTTTTCGGGCATCTTTGATTCTGTTTCTTGGTGACTTTGTTTTGTTTTTGACCTTTTCTCCGGTTGGGCACGTTCAAGCCTTTCATGCGCAGCAGATTCATCGTCGGCGTTTTTCTTCGAACTTGCTTCATTCACCACCGACTTTTTGTTTTTCTGCTTTATTTCCTTATTTTCTTTCTGCGATCGGCGTTTAGCGGGTTCGGGCGCATCAGGTATTTCTGAACCTGTCTTTTGCATTTGAGTTGAATGCTGCGCTCGATTTTTCGCAGTTTCATCTTTGCCGGTAGTTGCGCTGCTTTCCTTTGCAACAGCTTTCGCGTTCCTTCCTTCTTCTTTGAGGTTTCTATCCGGTGTTACAGCCGAACTCGATTTTTTCTGGTCATCGTTTAACTTAGCCGCAGCGCTTTTTCTGTCATCTGCAACTGCTCCCGTTGCTTCTTGGCCTCCCGATTTATCCACACTGCTGACAGGCACTGCATCACGTTTTTCCCGTTCGTCTTTCTTTTTTCGTTTTTTATCGGACCGTGTTTGGTATATCTGCAGATCAGCTTTCAGGGAATCCGCGCCAACGTTGAAATTACTGAGAATATCTTGTTCATTCCCGCTCTGACCGCCTAACGAACCTTGCGCTGAAAGCTTTTTAGTGCGTGATCCTGATTCGAACGGTAGCTGTAAGAAATCTCCCGGTGCGCTCTTTTCACGGCGTTGTGCCGTCGAATCCTGTGTCTGATCTGTCTTATTGTTAGAACGGATGACTGAATCGTCAGATTTATCACGTTTAATTTTGCCCGGTACGGATGGTTTCTTTTCTTGGGATTTCCCCGTGTTTCGTCTGACATGGACGGGTGTTTTCACTCCATCATCTTTAGACTGCCGGGATGACTTGGTGTGATCATTGGCATGGAATAAATCAGAGGTCATGGGGAAATATGATACTTGCGCGTAGCCGCTATCGTCAGCTGGAAGCAGTGTCGGTTTGTAATCCTTGGGATGCAGCGGTGAATGGACTTCCTCTTTATGCCGAACATTATCAGCAAAGTAGCCCAAGTCTTTGGAGGTGTGTTGCTTAGATCCACGGCGCTTCATATCCACTTTTTTCTCGGGGCTTTTACTGTGGCCTTCGGCCGTAAGCAGTTTTGATTCGTCTTTAGTTTTCTTATCTTGTTTTTTGTCGGATGCAAATAACTCAAACTTTTTCTGGCGATTGTTTTCTACCGGTTCGGAGGTCTCAATTTGCGGAGCCGGTCTGGGTGATTCCTTATTTCTCGTTTCGGGGATCGACTGTGGTGGATTCTGATAATCATAGTTTTGCGTTTGCTGTGTATGCCTCGATGCTACCGACTGTTCAGATTCGGATTCTTCTCGCTTAGCGTGCCGATAACCACTTCGGTCACCTTTCGTCGTGCCTCCGTGAGGAGATGCTTGTGGTCGTCTGGAGTGATGACTGATGGGATCCGTCCACATATCGAAATCGTCTTTTTCGTGCTCTTGCAGCAACCAGTAGCATTTTTGTGGACCTTTACCCTGCAACAAGTACATGTGACCTTTGCGTTAGGCGAACAATGCAGTGTAAAAACCTTGATATCAATGACGCCACGGCTTTGGAACCGAAAATCGGCACTGTGCATTTCCAAATGATCCTTTGCGGCAGCACTGAACTGAATCTTCAGGGCTGCAATAACATTTTGCAAGTTTAACGGTTTCACAGTTTGCTGTCAGCTTTAAGAATAACCACAAGCAACGTTTTACCTTTTCCAAGGTTGTCAAACGCGAAGCGTAATTAACAGCGTCACCGAATCTGCAGTGAAACACTACTCTTTACTCAAATAAGATGTAGTGATTTTAAGAATATGTGGTTTTCAATATTTTTTAAAGGCGCAACATTTGCACTAATCCTTTTAAAAATCCATAAAGTGACCTTACAGGCAGTAGCGAGGCATTCGATTTCCAACCACACCAGCAACGCACGATCCGGTATGGCAGCCAATTTTCAGAAGTAAAATATTTTTCGGGCGAGGACGATGCTTAATTTTGAATGCCTGTGCTTGTCGCATCATTTCCAGAGACAATTCAGCAATCTGCCGCGAATGTTCGTTATTATTGCGCACCGGCACACCGCTGGCAATCTGGAAATATGTTATATTATTACTTTGGCTCGTGCAGTTTGCTATTTGATTCGGGCGGTTAACCTACGTAATGTTAAAAGCAACTGCTCTCGCTTTAAATTATTTTCAAATTTTTTAAAAAAGTTTTGTAAGAAAGTAATGATAAATTTGTTCCCTGGTCAATGCTTCGCTAGTTTTGCTTTTTTTGTGCAACGTGTACCATGTATGTGTCGGCTATAGTTTCCACTTTATACACATCAAATTGCTGGAGGATTGCGTCGAACATGGAATATATTTCGTTTAAAAGCCCCACTATCTGGAAGGGGCTGCTGGCCGCTGCAATTAGTCCAAAGTCTTCAATTGCCGTAAAACCGATAGTGGTTTGAGTGAAGAGTTCGGGGTCCATTTTGAACCCTCTGGATAAACTTGTGGCAACCGGCCTAAAATCGAAATCATAATCGGTTGAGCTATAATTAAAAATTAAGAACTTTATTCAATTTTTCCATACTCGCACTGTGCTTTGCACTCGGAGTTCTCTCACAAAAACTTAAAGAAATCCAAAAGACATACACGAAAAATATTTTTCGACAAGATTAGCTCCTGTGGTACCATTACTTCTTGCCGTTGAACAAAACCTAACCGGTGCTTTTGAAAAATACGTATTACGTATTACGCAACTTAATTAAGATTTGATTGAAAGGGTGTTCTGGCTAACACTAAAATTAAAGTCATAAGAACCGTATGTCGTTCAGCGAAACAATGTCGCGCGTTTTGCGTACGCCATCCTGAAGGGCACATGTTGTAATCGATTAGGAGAAAGCTCGTGGAGGCGTGCTCAACGAGACACTGCTGAGCGTACACATACTCGGGTAGAATCTGGAAGAGCAGCTGCTCAGCTTTCCGCTTCTCCTCGAATGTTGCTTCCTGTGCCCGTCGGATGCGTTGTTCCAGATCTTCCGCGTATGCCGCTAAACGGTTGATAAGGTCATCCACGAAATTGTGTTCCTTTTCAAATCCAGGCACCGATTTCAGGTAACTGTTGATGTATTCAATGGTCGGTCGGGCAGGAGCACGATCGTCCCAGCACTTCTCCACCAGCGAACGCACTGGAGACAATAACGCCGACGCGGGAATTTTGGGTCGGAATGGAATAACACTTTGCCGGCATATGCGATCAATTATCCCTGTGGATTACACATAAGAGATGCATTAAAATTATCAACAACTGAGAACGTTGCTTTTTATGAGTAACTCCACTTTCATCATTATTTTTGTTGCTGTATGGTGTACGCTACGTTCATCGTTTTTGTAAAAAAGTCCTACATCAGATTCTAATATACTGTACACAGAAGTACTAAGTACTTCTGATGAAAGGTTATGCTTAGGCAATCGTTTTGACCTTAACAAAACACGAATTGTGGTTTTGTCGGGCTGATTCCTTTTAAAATCGTGTATCGCAACCAAATTTACCGTAATATATGCATTCGCTGGAATCATATATTCAAAATTATATACGCAATTTTCATTACGATATATGGTGTAATCTAACAGTACTACTGCAATTAAGTGTACAATTTGACCACAAGTTCTATCAGAAAAATCATAAGAAAAATGTCAAAATGTCCATATTTTCTTAGCGACCCAGGTTTCTGTTTATGAACCAGATATTACGCACCGCCGCACACTGAGTTAGTAATATGTGCGCATACGTAGTCTGTATAAAACTGGTTAATTAATCATGTCTCTGTAAAATGGCAAAATGTCCAAATTCTCATGAGATTAAGGTTTCTGCTTATGAACCATATATTGCGCTCACGCAAACTGATTTAATTTAATGTATTAAGCAATATGCGTAGTCCATATAAATCTTGCTAATTACCTAGTGTCTCTATCATTACTAATTAATATGATATACCGACCTTTTGCCGTAAGTCGATCAACGTCTTGTTCGTTTTGAAACGGCGCTATTTCGCACATGATCTCAATGAGAATGTGTCCGTATGCGTAGATATCCCCTTCCTTTGATCCTTTATAGATATTCTGTGAGCGAAGCTGTTCTGGAGCAAACGTAAAAAATCTTCTAAACTCTGGAGTGTCTTGAAAAAAATCTGGCTGCGGTCGAGGGAAGATGTCCAAGCGGGAATATGCCACTTTAGTGACGAAACGATTGTCCATTAAGCAATTATTACTCGATAGTTCGCCGTGGAATTGGATAGCGGAATTATGAAGAAACATTAAGGCCTATAAAAACATGTTTTCATATACGTATTGTACATGTGTTTTACTCTGAACGTTTTGAAAGGCAATATATGCTTGTTACAAATATTCGAACCACTTACGCTGGTCAGATCCGATAATGCCGAATTCTTTAGTGACGATTCAAAACGAATGGATTCGCCTTGTATTATGTCACTGAGGCTTCCTCTGTGTGCTACTTCGTAGAGCAAACCAACCTCTGTTTCCAATGGGTAAATTCCAAAAAATCTTGAAACATTTGTTGAATATGTCTGCTTCATCTGTAGCGCAAAAAAACGCGATCAGTTTTTCTGGTACATTTTATTAGCATTTATTATCATACCCTTTTAATGAGCTTTTCCTGGGATGAACTGGGAGCGAACTTTTTGGTAATTGGTATCCGGCGCACCCACACCGGTCGCTGCTTGTACATGGCCACATTTTCAGACTCCATTATGCTTCCGGTAAAAGTGAAACTGTTGTTTGTGCCTTGTCGGCTGTTATTGGCGCTGGTTCCGGTGAACTGCGTCATCTGAACGCTCATGCTTTTATTTAGCGAGGCAGTGGATTTCTGTGGAAGGTAAACAATGAAATATTAGGTACGTGCGTGCCAGGGGTAAAGGTCATGGTGCAAGGCTAACTGTCAAACACATACAGACATTCATTGTCGTATGTATATTAAGTAATAATCACTGATTAGCATGATCCCTAATGCCAGACATTCCACATAAGTTATATGTAAAATCGTGACAAGACAACAGCACTGATAAGCACGGGCGGCTGAATGCGGCTCGGTTTGGCTAGAAAAGTTTTTGGGGAGAGCCATGCATGGCCCTCTGGCCGAGGGATTCCAACTGCCTATATGCTGACATATATAACTAGATTTACCACGCGTTGTTTTTTTATGCTTGAATACGTGGAACCGGTGACTGCATTATTTTTGAATACGATTTCTTCCGGCAAAACAAACCAACGCGGGTCATCCGCATCTTTTTCGAAGAGTCCGCTTTTCCTGCAATCATTGGAATTGCCGAAATTAACAATATATAGTATCTGTACAGTACAAGTTAACAGTTTAAAATGCTCTTTTTGTTTACTTCGCCGTGTAGTAAGTAACCGGCACCAAAACTCCCAACGCCGCAGATATTCCCAGAACAATGCCGATAATTCCGCCAGTTGCTGCTAAAGCATAATATGTGGTTACAAAAATATTCTGTCTTCAATTAAATTCTGTTTTTGCGCTCCACTGCGTTAATTTAGTCGTCATACTATCGAGGACGAACCTTTTTCTTTACATATGTATATCTGATAGTTTTTTTATTTGAACGTACACACAGAGCAGCTGTTGTCAATGCCGCCGAATCCGCAGGGTGGTGTATTCGGCGGAGCAGAATCCCGATAAGCCCAAGTAATTCTCGTCCCCGGTACTGGCAAAAGCTTTCTAACAATGGTGTCGTAAGAAAAAATTTCCTGCAGCAAAAAAGGACTTTTTTTCCTATGAATGCGTTTTATTTACGCCATATCCACATCCATATCCATAGCCATGTTCATTTTATTTATATTTAATTTACCGCAAAATCGTAAGTGGTGTGATTCATTGCCACAATCACATAAACATAAAGAATTCGATCTCCATCATTAATTGAGAAATTCCCAATTACGGACGGCACTTCCCTGGGATCGAAACCACCATCCATAATCAGATCGCCATCATTGTCTTCGAGATGATCATTTTCCTGAATTGTTTCATTTATGAGCTACAATGACCAAAAGAAAATAAGTATGACCAGGCCGAAAAGTATCTGCTTATGAAATATCAATGACCTTTCAAAGCGCAGGATTATATTTAAGTACGAATATAAGTTCAACGGCGACCAACCTGTCCTACCAAACGAACCAACGTATGCTGCAGTGCAGTAAACATTGATACCTGCAAAAAAAAGACAGCCGTCAGGTGATCTTTTATTTTGGCGAATTAAAGCAGACTAATACTAACCGGTTCATTGCTTTCATATTTGTACCCATAATTTTTGTAGGCTCGATACTTAACTTCCACTTCAAAATCTTCAAAATCCGGACCTCTCATAGGCCGGATAGAAATAAAATAAAGCGATTTAAATGCAAGCTTGGCTTCCTAAAAAATTTAAGAAATATCAGTACTTCTACAGAAATTTTCTTAATTTAGTGCATGGGATAATTCAAAATTTTGTAAGTCTTATTGGAAAATTCCCTTCTAATTAGGCGGTTTAGCTTTTAGTAGCGCACGATCGAGCTTACATCATCTTTTTCATCATGGAATTGCCAACGATAGTAGCCATACAATGGATGTTCACCTGGATAGGCGGTGATGTACACCTAAATGTCAGCAGAAGAATCAGGTTTTAAAGAAACAATTAGATCTGAATGATCGTCTTTGACCAATATGTATTTCGCCAATTCATGCGGTCACGATCCAGACTCATAAGTATTTTGTACTTACGTAATCGCCTTGAGCCATACCTAGCCCATAGGCAGTGACCTAACCAAAAGCCAAGAAATGACATTACGTGTTTAAAATTTTCTTTATCGATGCGATAAAAATTCTAACTTTTTTTGAAAAAAAGTTAGATTTTTTTTTAATTTCCGCACAAACATTGAAGCTCACCAAAATTTCACGGGTAGTATTTCCATGAGCAATAATGACGATCACTGAAACACAGAAATCTCTTTTAATATGTGTACTAACTGTACATGATCATACAAACAGATTAACAGATTCTAAATACTAACCATTCATTTTCTACGGTAATAACAAGTACTGTATTAACCGTACGTAAGTTATTATGCAATATAATAATTATTATGGTATACTTGTATGTACTGTACCTTGAAATTGAGCATAGGCTACTAACCTCGGCTGTTCTTGGACGCCGCCAGTAATGTGGGCCGGAAATCAATGTTTTTTTGCTGCATGTTAAACCGGTACGCCACAATATTGGAATTCTGTATCCGTTTCATACCGGTTTCAAATCCATCACACGCTAACTGTTCAAAGTTTTCGAGAGCGGGATTCGTATCACAGAACAGCGATATGTCTCGGTAATCGTACTTTCTCAAAAACTCTAACAACACCGCCGTTAAGTCTTTCTGCTGATAGGTTAACAGACGAGACATTGTTGGAAATCGCTTCTGATCATTTAGAACTTCGTCAGAACCACCGCTAAATTAAGAAAACAGCATGTATCAAAAGTCATTAAGTCATTTTATCCTGACTAACTCCAAATCCTACCTTGAAATTATTGGCATGTTTAATTCTGTAAAAGATCGACATCTTGCAATTAGGCTTCAGAGGTATAGTTATGACACTCGCGATTAAAGAGTAAGGTTACAAATTACAGATATAAGGTTTAAAAATTTTTTTTTCTGCCTGCGTCTAAACTATTGAGATCTTTGGTACTACCTTACTGAGTAGTTTCAGTCTTTTTGAAATTCAACTGAGACAGAATTTATCTGCAACTGCAGTATTCATTCTACTATATTTACCAACCTCTAGCCACATCTCCAAGCATGCGGAGAGAAGCACTGCACGCTAAAAAACAAAATTCCAGTTGTTACATTCACGCGTTCTGCAAAACACTTCTAAAAAAGGCGGCATTAATTATCTTCATCATTTATTAACGTTTTAAAGCAACACATTTATTGTTAGCACTGAAACTTTGTGTGTTGACGCAAATATCTTACTCGCTATCTTTTGCCGATATACTGGAACAAGTGTTTATGCGGGTATTGCAACTTCTTACCAGTTGCCACAAATACATTCAACTGGGTCATGTCATCCCACATCGCGCTGCCGATGGGGTCTCGCATAATATAGTTGGACACAAGGTCCACCACATTGGCATCCATATCCGCGCAGGTTTTCATCCATTTTGGCGAAACATTAGTTTTGTGATATTCAAATCGAGGATATAATTCTCTGAGATCTTCAATGGCAATGTCAATTGCTGGACCGTAATAATTGTAGCTGTAAGCTAACGACGAATAAGACATGCACGTGACAAAGGTCACGTTAAAACTTTCAACAGATAAAACCAACAACCAGCTTGAAACAATAAAACAAGTAAAGGCAGCGTTTGGAGTTAACTGAAAACGTTGCATCGTAAACGCTTATTATCGAGTTTAGCAGCCGAACGCATATAGTCGAAGCTCCCTCAAAAATTGGTAGATATTTTCAGATTACAGTAATAACAGTAGGGAAGACCGAACTGGAGATACCGGCAAGGAATTTAACGGACAACGTCAGTACAGTGTCGAAATTTCTAATTACCGGATATATGCCGGGTTTCCCCAACTCATTATACTGGTGAAGGTGTAGCACATCATCCTGTTAACAAACAGGAAGCACAAAGTGTACAATGTATTCACATGCGTACGTGATAATGTTCGTTGGATTTAATTGGTGCTCCGCAATTTCTTCCTCTCAAAGGAGAAATGGGCGTATTATAAAACGCCTCTGCTACCGTTACTCTTTTGTGAAAACTAAATCTCAGATGTAATTTTCGTGGCATACACACCATTCTTTGTTTAAGACCAAAGTTCAGTATTTTACCATGTAGTTGGTATTACCTGAAAACAAACATGAATCTGCTTAAAACATTTTGAATAACTGCAGTGACTATATATTATGGCGACAATAAGTATGTACTATAAGTATGTACAATATTATAAGATATGCGCATATTCAAAGGAAGGTATCGCACTATATAATATGGCCATAATTTATTCAGTATACTGCAGAATAAACAGATTCTGTTAACACTGGCTTTCAGACGATCACAAAACAAAATAGATTCACATAAGCGGATATCATGCATTGCTGAATAGCTTAAAACAAATAACTGGTTCGTGAGCACGCTGAAATACAATGATATTGGCGGTCAGTATTAACAAGCTATAACTGGTAAATGTTTCTAGTGTAATATTAATTTTTACGTCTTAAACGTTATGCATGTGCGGGTTTTGCATGAAATACCGGCATAATATTATAATATATGGTCGCGTATTAAATAATATCGTACGAGCGCAATATTGTATTAAACTATAATGCTATCGATGAGCGCATTCATACCGCGCTCACCTGCATCATGGGAATACTGGTAAATGACACTACGTTTTACGCTACTGCAATGCAACACGGTTCCGGTTTATTCATAAACACAGTTTCCAGTGTTGACTGCAGACGTCTGCGCTATTACTCAGCACTTTCAGCAGGACCCAAGAAAATCGAGAAGCACTACTGAACCTACGAGTATTGATCAATGCGCACGCAGTACTGAATAGTGCATACATTTGTTCTTTATCGTAACCAAACCAGAAATGTCAAGTCTGAAGTCCAATATCTTTAGAATAAAAGCCTACAATCAGTGTGAATTATTCTAGTTTCTGAGATTAAGGGATGTACAGTGAGTAGACAAAAATTTGTCAGTGAATTTAATGTTGACCCGATGTACGAATGCGTATGTCTATTCTGTTTGCGCACCTCCAGGTATTCAGTATGAATTTATTAATCACTTGCAATTTTCTTTTCAGTGCAATACCGACGCGTTGTACAATACGAGTACAATCCACGAGCCCGCAAAATCGAATACATCGCAATACTGAATAATTTTGTGATAAACCACAAGTACAACATGAGCGAGGTATGTACGTCCTTTATACTCAAAAGCGAAGTAGCAAACTGAGAAAATTGCGCATGTGTGTACAAGTATTCACGAAAGTAAATGCTACTGTAAGTAATTGTGTGGTTTGTCGCAATTCGACAAATACAATTTTCTGTACAGTTTTTACCCACTCGAAGCAATTTTCGCATAGTTTCCCTTGCGGCAACCGCTGTTCTTTTTTTGTAATAAATCATCCGTACTCAGTTAACCGGTGGAACTAATCCACCCAGAACGTACGGCATATTAATTTTATTCTTGCTTGTCAGAAGCGCACTGAATACTTTGTCGTCGAAAGATGATGGATGTGCTCTAAACATGCCCCACTGTCTGACATAAGTGCCGGTATTGGTTAGCGCTCTCAGCAGGAAGGGTTACTGTTTTGTTGTGCGTTTTCCCATTAAGTGAAGATGAGCGCTAACGAGATGGACAATATGACCTATCATCCATTTCCGGAAACCCTCTGCCGGGATAGATTCTGGGATTTGCGTACGACATGGTACACGACAGATCCGGACTTCACGGAATGTTTCCATTCCACCGTATTGGTGTGGGGGCCGTGTCTGTTCTTGTGGCTGCTGCTGCCGCTGCAAGGATACTACGTTTTGTCCATACAGTATCGCATTGACCGATGGACATGGCAATCCTTGGCCAAATTGGTACGCAAAAATCAAGCGATTTGAATACAATAATTACGATATGCACAAATTGGTAAACAGTTGAAAACCCGATGCGTGCTGGGCCGTAAAAAATTGCTATATATCTGTACATATTCCTAAAAAACTAAAACTTCAAATAGCTCGCATACTTCTACGTTTGTACATACGCGTATTAATTACTGTATATACATAAATCGCGCAGCTGTGCGTAATGGGATAATAAGGTACCGTTTTTGTGAAATACCGCAGCTTATTTATGCCGGTGACTAAAGTGTTGAACCTTATATGTTTTAGGCCATTTGTTTTCTGCTAATTATTTTGTGCCTCGTGGATGCATTTGATGTTGTGGCGCAGTGGAGTTTGTATGGAATCAATAGTGTTCCATCTGCTGAATTCATCGCCCAAATTGTTCGAGTTGCAACTCTGGTAATTTTGTAATGCACCAACTACATAATATATGAAGGAAGCAGCAGTAATGAACCATTGTTGTGCATACAATTAATCTAACGAAATTCTTTATGTTGTACAGCTTGTGGCAGCTGGATGCATTTATATGGATAAGCGGCGCGCTCGATCGACATCCGGTATTTTGTTCTTCTTCTGGTTTTTCCTGTCGGTAGCAGCAATACTGGCGTTCCGCAACATAATTAACAAGGCAAACACGGCGGTAAGGGTAACAACCGAGAATTCTTTACCAGGAAGCCTTACCATTGCTCACCAGTCAGAGAATAACCTGCTAAATTGTTTGTTTGCATTTGATAACTGTATTGCAGGGTTTCGGAAACGACCAAGTCCACTTTGCTACCCAAGTGATCTACATGCCACTGGTTGTAATTCAGTTTATCTTATCCTGCTTTGGAGAACGATTCAAAGAGACGGAAAATAACGATAAGGTCACTATTGATATCTCCATACATGTTACGCAAATACGCTTGTCACGATTATTACGGCAATGTCACTTGGATACATTTTGTTGAACTCGTAGAATCCCTGTCCGGAGAAACATGCATCGTTTCTCAGCCAGCTAACGTTTTGGTGGTTCAACCCGTAAGTAAAAAAAAACGGTGAAAACAATCTTACTGCATCTAGAATCCGCTTCTTCGGTGATATTATTATTTAATTATAATTTGCTTTACACAAACCTGGTTTCTTTAAAAAATATTTTTAACATTTCACAGATATCCTTCACAGTACGTAGTTTAAATGTAGATAAAATAAATTAATCGCGAAATCTAATAATTGTAAGCTACAAGTATATACGGAATATACAGAATATATAAATATGTATACGGTATATACAACAGTTGATGTTGTTTTAAATTTTTAGGATGGCTATTCTGGGTTGGAGACGACCATTACAGTTAGCCGATTTATGGGATGTACTGCCTTGGGATCGAACCGAAATAAACGTAGAAAATCTGGAAAGAAACTGGCGCATCGAGACCGAGCGCAGGGCCAGGTAAAATGCGCATTTGTTTTTTACATCATCTAGACCGAAACCCTGAAACCACGTGAAACATCCGCACATTTTGTGATTCAGATCATTAGCTCAGCGTGCAAACTCTGGCGCACTTTTGGAAGATAGTCCTGGTCGAAAGGATAAAAGTATATACGAGCCATCCCTGACGAAGGCTCTTTGGAGAACGTACTGGTGGGGCCTGACATCCAGTGGATTACTAAGAATTCTCAGTGACCTTTGCATATTCATCAGCCCTCAAATTCTCCAGTACGTCGAAAAGTTTCCATTAGTCTTTGGTGTTCTATGCTCATATTAGGACGACTGTTTCATCTTGGAGTTACTGTACCCTAACCCTGCACTTGAAGGAAATTTGTACAGTGCAGCCACACACACTTGTACGAGCGCATTCATCATTCACATACGCGGCTTGCAGCTAGTGCGTGTTCAAACGTGAATTGGTTGAATGTTTATCCGGCTATACAGCACCGTGCCGCTCATAGCGTACAAATTTCCTTCAAGTGCAGGGTTAGGGTACAGTAATACGTCGGTGGCATATAAGTATGTCAATGTTTTGTGTCATTTGCAGGCTGCTGATTGGATTTGTTGACGATCCAACACAAGCCGCATGGAAAGGCTACTTATACGCCACGATCATGCTGTTGGGCGCCGCAGCCCAGACGATCCTTCTCAATTACTACCTGCATATCACTTTGCGCCTTGGTATGCACGTGCGAGGGAGTGTTGTGGCGGAAGTATACCGAAAAGCCTTGCGTATCACTAGTGAAGCCAAGCGCACAAGCAATATCGGCGAGATTGTCAATCTGATGTCCGTGGATGCGCAGCGCTTCATGGATTTTCTAGCATACATCCATGTCTTATGGTCGGGTCCACTGCAGATGGGATTGGCAATCTTCTTTTTGTACCAGATCCTGGGTATCGCGGTTTTAGCCGGTTTGGGTACTATGGTGGCATTGGTGCCATTGAATGCGTTTATTGTCGGCAAAGTGCGAGCGTTGCAAGTGAGTGCATATATTATGCTTTTTCCTGCAGACATGGTGACCAGTAAGACTTATTTACTGCAGATATCACAAATGAAAGAAAAAGACGGTCGCATTAAGATCATGACTGAAATTCTCAACGGAATGAAGGTGTTGAAACTATATGCCTGGGAAGAATCTTTCCAGGGTCAGGTTACGGAAGTGCGGGAACGTGAGGTAATTAGTTATGCAATCGCAAAACTCAGTAATATACCGAAGGGATTGCCTGCAGTATGACATCTTTGCAGCTAACGACGCTTAGGAAAGCAGCCTTTCTCGGGGCAGTATCCTATTTCACATGGATGATGTCGCCGTTCCTGGTCGCACTGGCGACCTTCGCGACATACGTCACCACTGATCCTGAAAATAATGTTTTGACGGCGGAGCGTGTGTTTGTTGCTCTGGCGCTTTTGAATATCCTACGCCTGCCATTGACGCTACTGCCCACCACAATTACGATGGCTGTCCAGGTAAGCACAATCTTCGATAACATTATTGCTGCAGTTAAGCAACAACATAATGCCCTTAATGGAAATGGCGTATAAATGGTTACAGGGTATTTGCGACCATTCTTCCCACTAAAATAGCTTTGTTGTTGTATGCAGATAACAGCTAGTGTTATCTTAACTTGACCGACATATATGGTCTGTTAGCGAAAACAGTGACACTGATTCTAATGCGATATGGAAGGGTAGGCGGAATAAATTTCCCAAGTATCACTAAACACATTGAAACAATGATGCAGATTTGGCACCTGTAATTTTAGCACTTTTAGACAGTCCTGTATCACAAGACCTTTTTAATAACACTACAGGATAATAATAGTAAAGGCGCAATTCACAGCTATGTACATCGAAAGTTACTTTATTCGTTCTATAGGTTAGCATTTCCATTAAGCGATTAGCCAACTTCCTCCGCAACGAAGAGATTGACCCTAACAATGTGCAAGATTTGCCTCCATCCAGTCCATCGTCAGTTATTATCTCCGACGCATCATTTGCGTGGGGCAAAGACGACCCGGTATGCCTCTCAAAAATTGATCTGGCCATCAAAGACGGCCAGTTGGTGGCGGTGGTGGGTCAAGTCGGGTCTGGCAAATCCTCGATGTGTTCCGCCATGTTGGGCCTCATGGAAAAGCTCAACGGCAGTGTGGCCGTTAAAGGCAATGTGGCGTACGTTCCACAGCAAGCCTGGATTCAGAATTTAACGCTGGAAGACAATATTCTTTTTGGCAAAGATATGGAACGGGAGCGGTATGAGAAGACGTTGGATGTGTGTTCGCTGCGCACGGATTTGGCCATGTTGGCCGCCGGCGACAAGACGGAGATTGGTGAACGCGGAACGAATCTCAGCGGAGGACAACGACAGCGTGTTAGCCTGGCGCGGGCTGTGTACAGTAATGCGGATGTAGGTTAGCTCGTTTTAAGCGACAAACTTTAAATTACTTTTTTTGGTAATTTTATAGTGCTTATGAGAATTATTGTGAAATTTGTAGGTTTACATTTTGGACGATCCGCTAAGTGCGGTTGATGCTCACGTGTAAGTACAGTACACAAAAAGTAAAACTATTAGTTGTCACTGTTGTACGAGTACTTGAATTGTTTTATTGCATAAGTAGATAAGTTTTTTTGTTTATTTTTGCTTATTGGCAAATGGAATTTACTAAAAACTTTATTTAGAGGGAAGCACATTTTCGAGCACGTTATCGGTCCAAACGGCATGCTGACGGGGAAGACACGAGTTTTGGTGACCCACGGCATCAGTTACCTGCCGCAGGTGGATCTGATTGTCGTTTTGGACAATGGAGCCATCCGGGAAGTGGGGACATACCAGGAGCTCTTGACCACGAAGGGGGCCTTCTCTCAGTTTTTGCGGACATATTTAATGGAGGAACGGGGCGACGACGATGCACAGGAGGATCCGGAAGCAGCCAAGCTGAAGGATCAGATACTGCAAGAAGTGGCAGATGTGGAACCGATTCGGCGCGTATCTGTAGTGGTGCCGACTGGTGAAAAAGACAGTCGGGGACGATCAATGTCGATTATCAGCCAGACCTCTGTGACGTCAGCCAAGAAAATCAAGGACGTTTTCCGACGGGATTCCAGGCGAGAATCGAAGGCTCCAAAGGTCAGCATAAGAGGCTGCCAGTTTAATTTGAGTTCAAAATAACAAACAATCTCTGATAAAATGAAATAGATGACGAATTCAGAATTATTTTTTAAATTTTTGCAGACGGAAAACAGTGTGAATGAAAATAATAAATGTCTTTGCAAGCACGTCATTTATACTTTTATTGCAGGCAGCAGAAGAAAAAGTCAAGGAAAAAAAGCCGATTTTATCCGATACAGAACGAGGCAAACTGGTGGATACGGAGAAAAGCGAAGTCGGCTCCGTGAAGTGGAGCGTGTATTTTATGTTCATGCGGCAAATGTCCTTCCCGATTGTCATCGCGGTTGCCATATTTTACGGGATATCGTACGCCATGAGCATGGGCACCAACTTTTGGTTGGGCAGCTGGTCACGAGATGCAGCCAACAAAACTCTGCGCAATTCCAGCGAACTGTGGATCGCACAACGGGATTATCGTTTAGGTGTCTATGCGTCCTTTGGTGGTTTACAAGGTGTGTCACGTTCAGCATACAAATCTCAGTTTATATTGGCGAGTATACAAACTGCAATTTCCAGCCGTGTTCGTGGTAATGGCCGCGCTAACCTTGGCTGTGGGGCGGATTCGAGCTAGCCGGCTACTGCATCACGGAATGCTGAAGAGGATCATGCGCGCACCAATGGCATTCTTCGATACGACACCGCTTGGTCGGATTGTCAACCGGTTTAGCAAAGATGTGGACACCGTGTACGTCACCAACCGAACGCATACAATCTTACAAGATTCGTTGTACTTATGTTTTTGGTTTTGTTGACATTAGGGATACGGTCATTCCTGCCACACTAGATGTTTGGATGTATTGCGCATTTACTGTACTATCTACGGTCGTGGTGGTAAGTTATATAATCTTATAGTTTATTCGACCGTTATGTGATCATTCAAAATTATTTATAAATCGACTGTTTCAAAGCCGGTGTACGTAATTGTTTTGTGATTGATACTGTAGATCTGCGTCAACACGCCATTGTTTGTGGTTCTTATCGTGCCTCTGGGAATATTTTACTTCTTTATGCAGGTAACGTAATGGATCTTTGGACGGTCTTGCTTATTGAACGGCTCGATAATATATTATCTTGAAAAAATGTCACTTTTCTTCTTTTAGCGATTTTATATATCCACCAGTCGGCAGCTGAAACGCCTTGAATCAACATCTCGTTCTCCCATTTACTCCCACTTCCAGGAGTCTATTAGCGGAACGAGCGTGATCATTGCCACGAAACACATTGATCGGTTTGTTTTGGAAAACGAAAGGCTCGTCGACGGCAACAATGGCTCTTACTACCCGAACATTGTATCGCAAAGGTAAGCATTATTTTTATACACCTTGCGGGCAAGAGTTCATGACCTTTGTTCCAAAGATGGATTGCTGTACGGCTGGAAATTGTGGGCGTATGTGTCAGCTTCGGTGCAGCACTGTTTGCTGTTATTGGGCGTGACAATCCTGGTATTCTGAACATGACCGCTGAACAGATTGGTCTGTCCATCAGCTACTCGTTAGCCATCAACCAAGTGCTGAACTGGTTCGTACGGATGACCAGTGACCTGGAGAGCAACGTGGTATCGGTGGAACGGCTGAAGGAATATTCCGAAGTTGACAGCGAAGTATGGCGCAGGGTTACAATAATCACTGCAATATGTAAGTCTATTATACTTAATCTGCAGGCGGAATGGATCATCCCAAGTAACCGGCCCGATAAAGACTGGCCGACCGCCGGACAAGTTCAGTTTGTTGATTACAAGACACGCTATCGACCGGGACTGGATCTGGTTTTAAAGGGCGTCAATGCGACGGTCAGTTCTGGGGAAAAGGTACGTACAAGGCTACTGGATCCACCTTAATTGACGGGATTTGGTTTGCCTGTTATGCGACGTTACCGTAATTACGGCAAAGGTCACTACGGTTTCTCCGTAAGGGGAGAAGTCACCACAGTTCTCATTAAGTGCTAGATTAGGCTTATCTTGTTCTGGAACGATTACGGAAAAGGTCACCGCGCTGTCAACCTAATGTAAAAGCGCTACCGCAGTGTTGATAACGTTGGTTTAGCTCTTTTAGCTAACAACACTTAAAGTTTGTCCAAGAATTTAGTTAATTTGGAAGCAGTACAATTTAGTAAGTTTTTTTTGCGCAGATTGGAATAGTTGGTCGCACGGGAGCGGGTAAAAGTTCCTTGACCTTGGCTTTATTTCGACTGATCGAAGCTGCGGATGGGCATATCAGCATTGACAACTTGGACATCGCCAGCGTGGGTTTGCACGATGTTCGCTCCCGAATAACCATTCTTCCACAGGTATTAAGCAGGACCACATTGTGTCCCACAAGCATAACCACAAAAATGTGTGGTTAAAGGAGGACAGTAACGCATACTGGTGTTTGAATGCTCACGTTTAGGAACCGGTCCTGTTCAGTGGTACATTGCGAATCAACTTGGATCCCTTCAACAAATTTAGCGACGAAGACGTCTGGCTTGCATTGGAAAATTCTCATTTGAAACGCTTTGTTAGCTCCCTGCCGCAGGGTTTGAACCATATCGTTGCGGATGGAGGCGAAAACTACAGGTCAGTTGTTGTTTCGAATTTTTAATGCATTATCAATAACTTTTTTCTGGTATCATGGTATGCCTTTGCAGTATTGGTCAGCGACAACTGATATGCCTGGCTCGGGCTTTGCTACGAAAAACCAAAATTCTCATTCTGGACGAAGCAACCGCGGCGGTCGATTTAGAAACTGATGCTTTAATTCAGGTAACATTCCGAGTTAAGGTTCATTTTTGTATATTTTTTCGTATCGGCACTAAAAACTACTCCGGACAAGAATAACATCTGACAAATTCTAGTGCGCCAAATAAACATTGTGCTTGTAGCAAACAATCGCCGAAAAATTCGCTGACTGCACAATCCTCACCATTGCGCACCGGATAAACACCATTATGGATAGCACAAGGTAGAGACAACCAACATTCAAATTACAAATTCCTGATCGGTGTTTCCATAATTAATTTTATTATATTAGGATCATGGTGCTGGACCAAGGTCGTGTCAAAGAATTCGCGCCTCCCCAAGTACTTCTTGCGGATCGTAACAGTATTTTTTACAGTTTAGCTAAAACGGCAAACCTGGTGTGACGTGAAGTGCCGTTGTAACCAAATTTTTTTGCTGTGATTCTTTTTACGTAAAGTTAGTTTAAGTTATCCACATATTTATTGACATCTTTCTAGCCGTTAGTTTAAATGGTCGATGGTAAATAATTTACAGAGTGCCTGGTTTCATTGTTGCACCTTGTCGTAGTTCACTACTTTCAGATGTTTTTGCAATTACTGTAAATGTTAAAAACGTTGACAGACGATTAACAGATGCACCGCGTCCGATGTATCAAAACGTTCAATTCCTATAATTTTATATTAAATGTGACACCGGCCATATTAATGGTATTTTGCAAAACTGCGAAATGATATGCCGTAAGTGAAAAGCAACGCGGTGCACAGAACATCATCCAAGACGATCGCTTACAAAAATACAGTTTACCAAGTTGCAAACGTAAACTGTGTTTAGAGAGTTTACAGTAAGTTTACCGTAAAGTAGTAAGTTTACCGTAAACTACAGAGTTTAATGATGTTACGGAAAAACCATCTGCATTTTTATTATTCCGTTTACTACTGGTATCCACACAGGATCGTGGCGATCCTTTTGCAAACCAGTCTCAAAAAGGCAGTTAAATTTTCCATCACAGGAAACAACAGCCACGTAAAGCACATCCGGTAAAATACCACAGCAGAACAGTTTACAGCAGGTCCGGGTCAATCACCAGTAACAGTAACATAACCAAATCACAGCCTATCGAAAACCACAGTAATCCAGGCACTTTGATTACAAAGGTCACAACTGAGAGAACGGAAAGGAGGGGCGGTTTAAGTAACAAATAAAACAGTCAATAATAAATACAATACAATACTGTGTTACGCACGAGGCTAAAAAAATCAAAGCATTATACGGGAAAATGCGTCAACCGTAATCTCTTTTCATGCGGCCAGACCGGCACTTTTCGCTAAACTGTAAAATATACTCTTGGGGTCAGCTAGCAAATCATCGGGGGATGCAAACTCCTTTACTCGGCCTTGGTCTAATACCATCACTCTGTAAAGCAATATCATGGAAAACTGACACTTAAAGCAAAAACAATCAAGCATGATTCAGACATTCAGTTACACGAATTTATCGTTTGGCAGTTCAATGCAACAAAGTTTACTTACCGGGTGCTGTCCATAATTGTGTTTATCCTGTGAGCAATTGTTAATATCGTACAATCCGAAAATTTATCTCGAATGGTTTCTTGAATCAATGCATCAGTTTCCAAATCAATAGCTGAAGAGAAAACAATACAACATGATTCACCTATCAAAAGAAATTACTTGGTGCTGCACAAAATTACCGGCCGTGGCTTCGTCCAAGACAAGAATCTTGGTTTTTCTCAGAAGTGCTCTGGCAAGACAAATCAGTTGTCGCTGGCCCACGCTAAGATTTTCTCCACCTTCCGCTACGAGATGCGTTAATCCGTCTGGTAAAGCGCTCACAAAAGTCTTCAAATGCGAATGTTCCAATGCCGACCATATTTCTTCGTCGTTATGCTTATCGAATGGATCCAAATTTAACCGCAAAGATCCGCTGAACAAAACAGGCTCCTACGTTTCAGAACACAAACAATTAGGTATGGATTGTCAAAAATGTATCAAACCCAAATTTCAGCATCACAAGCAAGTCTACATAACACATATTAAAATAAAAAAAAACTATTTGTATTTAGTACCTGTGGCAGGATGGTTATCCTGGACCGAACATCGTGCAGCCCCATGTCACCGATATTCTGCGCATCAATTTCAATCTGTCCTCCAGCTGCTTCAATAATCCGGAACAAAGCTAACGTCAGTGAACTCTTTCCGGCTCCTGTCCGACCGACAATGCCAATTTTCTCGCCCGGCTGAATATCACAATCCACACCACGCAGCACCAAATCCAATTCCGGTCGATAGCGGGTCTGATAATTCTCGAAGCGCACCCGGCCCGCGGGTGGCCAGTCTTTAGGAGGACGTTTACCATCAATCACCCATGAAGCCTAAAACCATGAATCACCTCACTCATGACCTCAGTCACCCATATGAAGCCCTGTATTTGTAATAGTTGACAAAGATTTTAAATTTTACAACCAGTTTTAACCAGTGTGATAGCGAATGGCTTTTGTTATTATGCGTGACAGAGTGTAGAATTTTAACCAAGGAGACAAAAGATACGTCGTTAAGCATTAATTGATACCTCGTTGGGAATTTCGCTGTATTCTTTGATTCGTTCCACCGAAACAACATTACTCTCCAAATCACTAATATTTCGCACCATCCAATTCATCACCTGCGTCACACTAAGGGAATAACTGATGGACAAGCCGATATTTTCGGGATCTGCACCCATATCTAGGCTTTTTGATAAAACAGCAAACACAGCGGCAAAGAACGTTATTAAATTTCCCACACAATCCATTCGTATGGCAACCCATCTGCAAAACGGTTTAGGTCAATTCACACAAAAAGCTATAACCCAGAGCCGATAACGGGAACACTGAATGTAAGATATGACATCGACATCTTACCGTTGCGAAAGAATGTTCAAGAAAAATGACATATTATTAGCATCCACTCGACGCTCATTTTCCACAATAAAACGTTCGCCCTGCCGAGCGGCCAAAATCACACTGGACCCTTGGACAGATTCCTGGAAGTGCGAATATATCGGTGACCGGGAAATGGCTTCCAACCGTTTCAGTTGTCGATTCGATGCAATATAAAACCGCTACAAAAAAACTACCATAGTGAAAACACGATCAATATCTATTTTAATTTCACTAACAGAAGGCATTTTTTGAACGAGTAATCATACCTGGACCAAGAAGTAAAAAATCGCCAGCGGAATTATTACCGGACTGAATATTGGGGTACTGATGGAAATCTGTCATACAACAAAATATTCAAGTATTTACATAATATTTCAAATCTGCATTCAACGACTCAGTTCAAGAGTATGACACGTACCACTACTAACGTGAACACCACACTCAAGAAGCAGTAGATGACACCTTCCATGTTCAGCGGGATCATACTATCCACAATCTCCACATCCTTCGAAAATCGGTTAACAATACGGCCCAATGGTGTCGTATCAAAAAAAGACATGGGCGCCCGCATGATCCGCATCAACATCCCTCTATGCAAATTTCTGCTGGCCATAATCTGTCCATACGCCAGGATCAGGTACGAGCACAGGATAAATATTGCTGTAAAAAAGTTGCACTTCCAAATTATGCATTCAAGCAAATGATAATGATTAATAATATTGAAAATGTACAAAACATTTACATTGTAAGAATCCAAAGGTAAAGTAGACGCCCAACCGATAATCCCGCCATCCGGGATCGCCTCTCCTATCGGTATAATTGGCGTCCTTGGTCCATTCCGTCAACCAGAAACTTCCACTGACGTTGAACGCATTAAACAGCGTATACGATCCCACCATACCAAAGGCCGCCAAATACGTCGCATTCTTGAAATACGTATGGAACACTTTCATCTTCACCTGCCCAAACTCCGCCGTCTCCGACTCCACCAATTTCCCTTTACCCTCGTCCTCATCATCTTCTTCCAACAATTTGGCTTTCTGCTCGGGTAAAACAGTTCCGTTCTCCTGCTTCTTATTGGTCAGCGACACCCGCGATGCGCGACGGAACACCTCGCGGACTTTTCGTTCAGCGCGCATGGAAGACGTTCGTTCTGTTCGCATGGACGAGACGGTGGATAAGGATGAACTACTCCGCTGTCGCTCGTACGGCGGCACTTGCAGACCGCCCACATGGGATATTTCCGTAAGTATTTCCTCTTTCTTGCTGACGGCATCTGGGTCGTTTTTTTCCACGGCTTCCAGTTCGTCCAAGTAGTACGTGCGCAGGAATTCCGCAAAGACTCCATTGTTCTGCAGCAGCTGGTCGTATGTGCCCACTTCCGAGATGTGCTTATTACCCAGCACCACGATGCGATCCACTTGAGGGAGGTAACCGACACCATGCGTCACCAGGATGCGTGTTTTGTTGTTCAGCATTCCATTCGGTCCAATGACATGCTCAAATATGTGCTTTCCGCTAAAACATTACCATGGTAATTTCCGAGAAAACTCAGGAAAGGCACGACACACTTACACATGAGCATCAACAGCACTTAAAGGATCGTCCAAAAAATATACCTGAAACGTTTACACGCACAAATTGAACGTGTCCCACACACAAAACATGTTAAAGTTACAACTTACATCCGAATCGCTATACACTGCTCGCGCCAAGCTGACACGCTGCCGTTGTCCACCGCTTAAATTTGTTCCTTTTTCTCCAATTTCAGTCTGATCTCCAGCAGCCAACAATTCCAAATCGGTGCGCAATGCACACGCATCCAACACTTTTTGATACCGCTCTTCATCCAATGGTTTACCGAACAAAATGTTTTCTTTTAGCGTTAAGTTCTGGATCCAAGCTTGCTACAACAAAAAGAGAGATTTAAAAACCAAGTTAACGCACGGTCTACAACAATACCAATAGTTTTTATACCTGCGGAACATATGCCACGGTTCCTTTAACAGCCACATCACCGGACAATTTCTCCATCAACCCCAACATTGCCGCAACAACAGAGGACTTTCCGGAACCCACTTGTCCAACAACGGCCAATAATTCTCCATGCGCAACGTCCAAATTGATATCTTTGAGACAAACGGGCTCTTCTTGTCCCCATGAAAATGTACCATTCTGGATGCGCAGTGCATGCTTGATGTCGGATGCCGGTAGTGAGCGCACGTTATTAGGATTGAGTTCATCGTTGCACAAAAATTTCGTTAAGCGTTTCAAAGACACCCGCGACTAAACAACAGTAAATTGTTCAATAATTTTAATCTATTAACTGTCCACGTAACATATTTAAACAACTGTGGGTACCTGGACTAGTAAAGTAACACAATGCGGTAACATTGTCAGCGGTAATCGAAGGATATTCAGCAGCGACAGGGCCACAAACGCCTTATCGGCATCCAAAACGTTCTCCGATGACGATAAGACGAAGGTGGCAAAAGTGACAAAAGACATGAGAAATGGCGTTACAAACCAGTTGAAAGCCGAGATGGCTTCCAATCGCGCGGCTTTTTGTAACTGTCTTAGCTGAAAACAAATTACCGTCAATTTTAGATACTAATTAAAAAAATTAATATAGCTGTTTATTTAACACTAATGTAGTACATGAACAATTTGTTGAATATTACTCGTAAATACAGATGATGCTAACTGTAAATAACGTAACTGGTAAGAATGTAACAGGGCCACATCAAAATAAATGTTTCCCTGTTTGAATTTGTCACTACTAACTTCAAGTTCTCTCAGTTCCAGCACTTGTTTCTCAAACGACTCTTCCCATGCGTATAACTTCAAGACCTTCATGCCGTTTAGAATTTCCGATGTAAGCTTGATGCGCGCGTCCTTATGCTTCATTTGTGCTAACTACACATAAAAATACAGGAATCACTCAATTTATCTCGCAATTGCACGCTAAGTATACAATGTAAACACAGAGATCCTCGTCTCCACAGTCCACACAATGTACCTGAATGCGCTTATTGCGGCTAGCCAGGAAGTAATTACTGGGAATCGTCATAAGTAACACTGCCAACCCGGCAAATACCGAATAACCAACGACATCATACAGGAAATAAATCGTCAACCCAATGGAAAATGGCGCCGACCAAAGCAAGTGCACGTATACCATCAGATCGTTTAGACGCTGTGCGTCCACAGACATAAGATTGACAATTTCACCCAGATTGCTAGAACGTTTCGCGGAGCTGGTAATCCTCAAAGCCTGGAAATAGCGGCATTTACCATGTAATCAATAAAAAAACTGCGGAAGTACAAACAGATACGGTGGCAAATCTAAAATTAAAAAAATATATTTGTGGTCGTATGTCTAGAAACTTCGATTCCATCTAATGATTCGTGAATGATCTGAATAAATCCAACGATATCGTAATCTACACCGGAAGTAACGCCTATCACAATAACTCCGGATTAATCCGATCAGTCTGTTAACTAGCTACTGAATAATATTCAAAAATGAAAGACATGAAAATAATTATTGTGTACTGTACACGGTACACACCTTTCGGTACACGGCAGCCATGATTGAACCCCGAATTTGCAGCCCCACCCGGCTTGTTTTAAAGAAGAAGTGATTAACAAAGAAGCACTGAGCAGTGCCAGCGACTAGCATGATTGCCGCGTAGAAATATCCTTTCCAAACTTCCGCACTTCCATCTCCAATGAAATCAATCAATAACCTAAAAAGCACTTAGGCTATCAACCCTACTCACTTCAAGCACAGGTGACAAGCAACCTGTTGTGTACCTTAAAACTTGCGGTGATACAAACAATAATAAGTCCTGCAATATTCGATAAAATCCAGCCAATGATGCCGGTGCCCAGAATGCGCGGATGAGAGCCCAACCAAGCGATGCTGAATAAGGTTTCTTGGGAACCACTTCCGCATCCACTGTATATGTTTCATCGTTTCGGCTAAAAAAAATTTAAGCGCGGCGTTGTGAACCTCCTCTATAATCACAAATTTTGGAGTAAACTCACTTTTTTGATTTCTCCAATTCTCTATCCCAGAACTTGTGGAGTCTATCGACGTTCTTCTTCGTTCGATCCTGCTCGGTCAAATCCCATAGATCACTCTGCAGCAACGGCTTTTTCCAGCCTTTATATGCCAACCTGTCAGATAAAACCAAGACTCAAAATTATTAACAAGAAAAAAAACAAAATTACTCGGTTGCACACTTACGTTGTGAAGTACGAAAATGTAACCCAGCTTGGTATCGATGCCAGCGGTTCCGGAGAGGGTTTCTATTAACATATACCAGTGCAGTTCATATGTGCTAATTACCTTCTAAACGTATTACCATTTCACCCTCGACTCAAAAGACCTCAATAAAACTATCAGAAACAATAAGGAATAAGTAGGGTAAAAAACAAAATATTTTCAGTATTTAACTGGAAACAAAACCAGTGCACAATAGATGCAAACTGCAAATTTCTCAAGTTCAAGTTCATTGCTATTACTACGTTTACGTAAAGCCAAGAATGCCACTGAAAAGCTTTAATTATCGCTTATCAGAGACCTACGTAATTCGTACTTTGCCATCTCCGAGCAGCACGGAGAAATATTCTGCGAACCACGACAAAACGAACTGCACGACAACAATGGGAAACGATATCACCAATGTGATAAACTGTAGTTGTACCGGGCTCGATAAACCCTACAAATCAGGCCACAATTAACACCCATAAATTTATCGGGAAATACCTATGCCATGCATCGCATCATGTTGTGTCGTACCGTATTAATCCGTTGAACGATACCGTACCGGAAGGTAATAATTCCTTCAATGAGCATTAGCAGCCAAAAAATTAGGAGTATTCCCGAAGAGGGTCTCGCGGCCCTTCTGTCGAAGAAAATGTAAAGTGCCGCCAATATCTATAAATAAAAATAAAGTAAAAGGAGACGCCACATCGAACATGATTGCTTAAGCAGAGAAAACGTTTTGAAAATCGGCGTACAAATGTTGCGGTTTTGATGAGCGGAACCATGAGATCCACATCAGTAAAATAACTGACGGAGCTTGTCCTCCAAACATCAGCGATATAAAAGAAATCTACGAGGTTCAGAATGGCCAACGCACATGTCAATATCTGCAACAAAACAACATGCCATTTTTTAACCAATCAGATTTTTAATTGTTTACTCGTACATTGTTTTCAACTGAACGATACAAAATGCACATGGTCATGGACCTGTATCATGGAACTGTATAAATAATTCTAACTTAAATAACTGTAAACTGTAATGTGTTGTACTGTAGAATAAACTGCACAAATTAGAAATTATATCTACATCAATAATTGTATTTATTCTAATATTTTTTAAACTGTAGTTCTCGTACAGTTTTAGCGACGGAGACCCAGGTCCAGTGCTTGATTTTGTACTTGGCCGAGAGGACGTTGTACGCTTGCACCGGCAGCATCAACCACAGAAACCCGCACGGGATCCACACCAATGCGGTCTGCTGGAAGCAGCGCGTAAAATCGGGATTCTCCGTATCCCATGTCACCGATCGGTTCTACAACAAAAGCGCTCGGATCAGCACAAGGCTAAAAAAATACTGCTCGTTTTCGGTGTTTTTATGTCGATGTAGCAAGATCACCACTTGCACAGATGATGCCGGCTTTTAGCTGTTCAGCCGGCAATACATCAATCATAATTTATTGACCCACGAAATGAATGTATCACGCAAACCAACAAGAGCTTTCACAGCATCAGCAAAATAAACATATCGTCCATAAAATAATTCCGCAATCTGCCGCATGAGAAAAGTACTTAAACAAAAAATTTTGGGTGTCATCCAATTAAAAATCAACCAGTTAATCATGTTTATAAAATGCCGACTATATCAAATAGGCGAAAATCATCGCATATTTATTAAACATAAAAAAATTTATTTTTTCAAAAGTTAGTAAACGATTGTACTGTCTCAAAATATGTTGCGATTTTAAACGCTATTTACACTTTCTTTTTTAACATTTACAGTTTTATATTAATTACCTATAAGCAAAAAATAATTAACAATAAAATGCGCCTAAAAGCTCGTAATCTGAAACTGTCGTAACTCTTACCCAAAATGCATCGCCGTCGGGACAAAAGTTCTTCGGAAAGGGATGATAAATCCCTTCCAAAGCAGATGTATCGCTGGGGAGTTCTTGACTTCCTACTGCGTTTTGACTTGGACGGAACATGATGGCTGTCCAGCAATAAAACCATCTGTAACGTCAGGTAGACTGACTGCACAAATAAATTATCAAGTTTGGAAGCTCAGAGCACAGCTCGACACGGTGAATCTCCACAATAGCAAACAACCGACCAACAGACAATCATTAATTAATGAAAGCGAGCAATAAGTCCTTGGTCCCAAACAATGTGGCGATATCTTGCAGAACAGGCACGACTGCTGACAATGCAGCGACTTTAATACTGTGGAGAAATGCTGTTCCGTTGCGGATAAGCATAAGTGATAAGATAAGGCTTTTTGACCGAGAGACCCGACGATAATTCGATGCAAGCTGGCCGTATGAAAACTGTCAACATTTCAAAAGCACAGCACCAACACCAAAGACTATTAAGCATCACTAAAAAACTAAGAAAGCGGAAAGCCGAAAATAGCTTCCAGGTTAACTCTGAGGGAGAATTATTTGAAATGTGTGCTCACGGGCTTTTGAACCCACGTATTGTAATGTACGTACTCGTTTACTCGTACTTCCGGAGGCAAAAATACGTCACTGCGGTGCAGTGCAGCCCAGCCCACCGCTCACAAATACACCGTTTACCTAACTTCAATTACAGTACGAGCACTTTAATTAATAATTAGCAGTCTGCCGTTAAAAAAAATATAGATAAGCGTTGTTTTACTGTTGCCGGATTCAGATGGAGATAAGTTAATAAATACGAGTGTATCATCATGCGGTTGTAACTCATGGTCAGATAATGTGCTGAAAATCAAACATGTAACAGTAATAATTTAAAATTTATAAGTGTTTTTAAAATTTTAATCAATTGTAATGGTACAATGTCATATCCTAATAATAATTACTTTTATATTGTAGCAGGTTTAGAGTTCGTGTTTGTTGTACGAGGGTGTTTTATTATTTTGTACCCGTATAAATGCTTGCACTGTGGTTCTGCAGACCCTGCTTTGATGAATAAATGTTTCGATTGATTAATAATCGTAAAAATAAATGTAATTTTGTTACAGCGCGTGTACGCGTGCATACGTTTCGCTAGTTGCAGTGCCTGTTTGGGTCGCTATTTCAAACATTCCAAACTCCTAATGACATCATGCAGCCATGTGGGACATGCGTGCAAATCTCTGCCAGCTGTCCGGCACGAACAACGTTGACTGGCACCAGCAATAATTACAAACGCGTGCCGCATGGAGAAACTGTTTAAACATTAGTAATCATTTTATCAATACACTGGCTGTTCGCATAAAATCGAAATGAGATCGAATCGAAATGATTTGGCCCTAAAATCCAAATGAGATCATCGCATTTTACAATTCCCAACCAAACTGTAGAACATAAATTTATTATATCCTGTACTGTCTTATCCGAGCCGGCTTTACTTTCAAGCAAGCACCTTATTTATGATGGTCACAGATAGTGTAGCTCGACTTCAGGTTTAACCTCGTACTTACATTTACACGGTTTCGTAGGATTTTAAAAAGGACTTGGAATCGTAATGTCAAGCACCCAAATCTTATTTGATTCAAAATAAAAAACAGGAAATGAAAAGAGCTTATATTTTACGGTAAAAAATTTGGAGATGCGGGGTATCGATCCCCGTACCTCTCGCATGCTAAGCGAGCGCTCTACCATTTGAGCTACATCCCCTAAGTGGTAACATCCGTAAAATTTATCCTTAATGATTATTAATTTTGACTTTAACAAATACGACTTAAATTACAGTAATAAACTTAGGCGATACTTTTAAGATATCGCCCAAGTTTATCAATATGCGCAATGGATTAACTGTAATGGAGTTTTCTATAACCCTAATGGATTTTTTTATAAAAGTAAATTTCTTATTTTAACAATATCCTTATCACTTCAGTGTCTTGTCCGTAAGAAATAATTGTAAGCGGTAGTAGATAAAGTCAGCTTCGGCTTTTAGGTAAGTATACGCCAATCATTCTTCCATCACTTGCATAGCAAATACCAATCTTCCGACGCGTCGATTTCTTAGATGTAGTGTACTGCAGCTAGTTTCTCAGATAATTAATAACATCTTAGGCTATTTCGTAATTGCACTGGTCTGGTATTTGCTTTTAAAGTACCGGGAAATCAGCACTGCAATCCGCTTTGTTTTATTGCTTTTTATGAGTGCTCCACGTTGCTTCGGCCCATTACATAAGTACTACTCGTAGTACTAATTTCTGCAAAGCTCGGAGCCAGATTCACAGTTCGAACAGTACAGCCCAACTACTGAGTCGTAGTTATTAACGTACACATTTAAAAATTAAAATAAAATTTTTTACAGCACCAGCATCACTAACTCTGACTGTACCATCTAGTAATAAATTACTGAATGTCAATTTTGTAATATATACAAACATACAATAAATCAGGCTGCCAAAAGAAGCTGGCACAGCATTAAATATTTCATCTATTCAAGTTTCCATAAAAAATTAATGCACCGGTATAGATGTGACGGAGTAAGCGGGAAAATCACAGGAATTAAAGTTCAGGCCTTTGTTATAACCTTTCGGCCGAATCTATCACGCCGGAAGTGGGAATCAAATTTGCACTACGCGCCAGTCCATAGAAAACGCTTGTCTGATCTTGTAGTAAGTTATCGGGTGAATCAAATTCCCTGACAACTCCTTGGTCCAACACCAGAATCCTATAAACACAATTATAAAAAAATGCGCAACAGTATGTAACAATCAGTCGTTAGCAACCAAACCAGAATGTAAAAAAATATCCGTTTACCGTGTGCTGTCCATAATGGTATTCAGGCGATGGGCAATTGTTAAAACCGTGCACTCGGCAAATTTTTCACGAATGGTCTGCTGAATCAACGCGTCGGTTTCCATATCAATAGCAGCCGTAGCTTCGTCAAGTACCAAAATCTTTGTTTTCCGTAGCAGAGCACGTGCAAGACAAATTAACTGGCGTTGTCCAACGCTACAATTAAAATTCTGAGTTACTTGCTAAAATAATCTTTCGATGCCTGTTACAAAACGAATAAAAACGTTCCTTTAATTAAATTTTCATTAAGGGCGTCGCACACTTACCTGAGATTCTCTCCTCCTTCCGCTACAATGTGCTCTAACCCCGAAGGTAACGTGCTAACAAAACCTTTCAAGTGAGAGTTATCCAACGCATTCCACAATTCCACGTCTGTATAGCTTTGAAAGGGATCCAAATTCATCCGCAAAGTTCCACTGAACAAAACCGGTTCCTGTCAATTAACAACAATGCACTTGGGATTCTACAACACTTTACACCATCACATGAAAACACAGCTTTACCTGAGGAATGATAGTTAAACGCGATCTGAGATCATGTAGGCCCATCAGGGAAATGTCTTTATCGTCAATAACAATGGAACCACCACTGCTCTCAATAATGCGGAAAAGGGCCAAGGTCAGCGAGCTTTTTCCGGCTCCAGTTCGACCAACAATGCCCACCTTTCAAAATAAAATAATTGTTTAGAAAGATCGGAAGTTACGGTATTCTTTTAGTACCTACGGCATCGACTAACCTTTTCTCCACCTTTAATCTGGCAATGGATCCCCTTCAACACCAACCCAAGTTCAGGGCGATACCGTGTTTGATAATTTTCAAACTTCACTTGACCTTCAACTGGCCATTCCGGCTGGGGTCGATTACTTTCAATAACCCACGGTGCCTAAAAGATGATGCATGTGTTTAACGAAAACGCGATTATGAATCACAGATTCTGGACAAAATAACGAACGATTGATTTAAGTCCGCCAAGTAACTATCCCAATTGTGTCATAGCATAAGCACTAGCCAATGTGCAAAAAGCAAAAGACAAAAAGAACAACATACCTCGACACTGATTTCCGAATATTCCTTGACTCGTTCAACTGAGACGATATTGGCTTCCAGATTACTTGAGATATTGACAAACCAATTCAGCGTCGATGTGACCTGCATTGCGTAGCTGATGGATAAACCAATATTCTTCGGCCCAATGCCCCAGTCCTTATCACGTCCGATAACCGCAAACAGCGCAGCAAATATGGTAATACAGAGCCCCAGCAATTCAACTCGAATCGCCAACCACCTACATATTTAAAAGTGTAATTAAGTTACTCCAGTATCTACATTTCAACAAGCCCGATACTTACCGTTGAGAAGCTAGAGTGTGAAAATACGATTTGTTGCTATAGTCCATTAACCGCTCGTTCTGTTGTACAAATCGTTCACTGGACTGAGTAGCCACAATCAATGTGCTGCCAGTAAGCGACTCCTGGAAATGGGAATAAATCGGAGAACGGGACACCGATTCCAGGCGCTTTAGCTGCCGATTACATGGGATATAAAACCGCTACAACAACAGATGCCAGGTCACAGAATACTGCTACCGAAGAAAAATAAATTGATAACCATGCAACACCAACCTGAATTGCGTAGTACAGTAGGCCCAAAGGCAAAATCACCGCCAAAAATGCGGGAGTATTAAAGGAAATCTGAAACAGTAAAACCGTACATTTACGAAACGGAAAAAAAAGAGTTAAAAATTACGCACCACAGCAACGGTAGAAATAACGTTGAAGAAACAAGCCATCCACATGCGAAAATTCATCGGAATGGTTCCGTCAATAACATCGATATCCTTGCTGAACCTGTTGATTATGCGTCCCAGGGGAGTCGTGTCAAAAAATGCCATCGGAGCACGCATGATACGCTTCAGCATGCCTTCGTGCTGGCGTCTTGCCGCTAAATTCTGTCCATAAGCCAGAACAAATGTCGATCCCAGAATAAAAGCACCTGCAATCCATGAAAGCTTTCGATCCATTCATTCCATCAAAAATGTCAGGCGGGCAATAAATAGTAACAGCAATTTATAAAAATATACAATCAATATTATAAGCAACTATAAAAGCGATACAAACAAATTAACAGGGCTAAAAATGTGCATAAATAACTACACGTAAACTACATGCACAATTTTTTAAACATCCATGTAATGCGCAATGGAAGCCATTCAGATCGAATGCTACGTCCGTTAAAGCCACATTACTACGACTCGCTCCGCCAGCAAAAGATAATCCTTACAATTGACATTCTTCTTACCCTGCACGGCTCCCAGCAAACCATAAATGCCTAATCTGAAATCCCTCATTGCAGTACTGTTGCGTCCTTGAATAGAATCTTCCGACCATTCCCCTAGCCAAACATTCGTGCCCACGGCTGATGCATTGGAAAAGATGTGCAACACAAGCACACCCATGGCCACCGGAAACGTTACTTGCTTCAAATACATCATATAAACATTCCATTTGACACTTCCTGTCTCCGACTTTTCCTTTTCCACCAGCTTGCCTTTGCCCCGTCCTCCGACACCGGGACCTTTCGTTGGCATCTCTTTATTCTCCAAAAGTGCCTTCTTCTCCACAGATTCCCGGCGATTCTCAATCGACTCGCGTTTTTGCAAGGCCGCTTTGATCTTTCTCATGGACGACTGCGATGTCTGGGATAATCCTCGCTGCAACGCCGGTTTTTCCCCGATTTCCTGGATCAATTGCTCCTTGACAATCAACGCATCGGGATCGTCTTCCGCATGCTTCTCTTCGGTGAGATAAGTAGTAAGGAAATCAGCAAAAGCGCCTTTTCGGTGTAATAACTGCTGGTAGGTTCCCGTTTCCGAGATGGAGCCGTTAGTCAGGACCACGATATGGTCCATTCTTGGAAGGAAACCGATACCATGAGTCACCAGGATTCGGGTCTTGCCGGCTAACATCCCATTGTTGCCGATAATTTTATCGTAGATGTGCTTCCCACTGCAATTACTTCGATTTAATTGTGAAATCTTGAAAAGCCAAAAACAGGACAACTTACACATGGGCGTCGACAGCGCTTAATGGATCATCCAAAACGTATATCTGTAAGGAAATTTTTCGATACTTTTAATCAATTTTCGAATACACTTAATTATTATTATCTCCTGATCCTTAACGTTGAACACAATAACATTCTCAGTATAATTGTACGAGTACTCGAAACATAATCACAAATTCTCTCAAAACATTTGACTTACATCTGCATTGCTGTAAACAGCTCTCGCTAAACTAACACGCTGCTTCTGTCCACCACTGAGATTAATTCCCTTTTCTCCGATTTCCGTCATGTCTCCAGCTGGCAGAAGGTCCAAATCGGGTTGTAAAGCGCATGCTTCGATCACCCTTTTGTACAGCTCTTCATTGTATTCGCAGCCAAATAGAATGTTGTCTTTCAAAGTCAAATTTTGAATCCATGCTGCAATGACGTTCGCAATTCTTCAGAATTAATACACAATAATATATAAATACTTTCGGAGCAATCTTACCTTGTTGTGACACATATGCCACTGATCCCTGTAAAGAAAGTTTATTGTTAAAAGAAAAGAAAGATTTTTGAAAGAGCGTTGTTGTTTTCTCGGCAACCATACTTTGCGAACAACCGCTCCTGAAACTCTCTCCATCAATCCCAGCCCGGCAGCGCATAACGACGATTTTCCGGCTCCCACTTGTCCCACAATGGCCACCAGATCTCCTTCTGGTATATCGAGATTAATATTCACCAGGCAAGGATTATTTGCCGTTTCCCATGCAAAGGTTCCACTGCGAATGGACAACGCATTGGTAACGGTGCTGTCGGATACAACTTGTACATTGTGCGGGTCCAGTTCATCATTTAGAAAGTATTTTGTCAATCGTCCAACAGAAACTTGCGCCTGTAATGCAAAATTCAATACTTCAAGTACGAAAAACTGCGATGCTTAACAAATAGATCGCGAAATGAAATCTACCTGAATTACAGCAGTGATGACATCCGGTAAGTTGTTCACAGGTTGACGCAAAATGTTAAACAACGATAAACTGACAAAAGCCTTTTCCGGTGTCAGAACATTTGCCGAGTCGACCATCACATATGTCGTGAAGCTAACGATCGCTACCATGAACGGCGAAAGGATGGAGATAAAACCGGACACCGCATTTATATACGCACTCTTGAACAAAGTTTTCAACTGGAAGAACAAAAAATTTATTTTTATTTCACCACTGCAGCACACAAAAATTTTGTCAATCACCTCTCGTTCTCTGACATCCAGGATCTGCTTTTCAAACGACTCCTCCCAAGCATACAACTTCAGAATCTTAATCCCGGTAAGGATTTCCGTCATCATTTTAATTCTGGAGTCCTTGTTTTTCATATTTCCAATCTATCGAACATAACGATAATTCAAATTTCAGTTCAACCGTCTCCAGCAAAAAACAGCTTACCCGCAAAGTCTTCAATTTGCGTATGATAATAGCATTGATTGGTATTAAGCAGACCATAACCAACAGACCGGCCAACACAGATGGTCCAAGTTCTTGCCAAAGGAAGAACACCGCGGCACAAATCTGTATGGGAGCCGACCAAAGAATCTGAATACGACCGATCAGTTCAGAAAATATCTGACTATCCACTGACATCAAGTTAACGATTTCACCGGTTGTACTGGCACGTTTAGCAGCATTTGACAGTTTTAATGCCTGTAAAACAAAATAAAAAATGGAAACCGATGACAGATGAGCAGTTCGAAACGTTACAGATATTTATTAAAGCTCATTTCAGGAACACTGAAAAGAAATAAAGCATTTTAACGCATCCATACCTTCTGATAAACGAGATTTATTAGTGCTGACCGCATATGCATTCCCGTTATATGACTGACGTAGAAGTAATTGTTGAACAACAAAATCTGTGGAAATGATCCAGCAAACAATGCACCGATATACAAATATCCTTTCCACGATTCTTGAGTTCCATCGGACACAAATCCAATGAGCAACCTGCACACACACAAACAACAGATGCGCTTTTCCCAAACAGATGAACGCTTTTCCCAAACATGTTTTAGCACAAAGGAAACCTTCAACTTACTTGAGAACCTGTGGTGCAACAAAAACGCATGCATCGTTGACGATACGCAAAAAAGCTGTCAGAATGAACCGCTCCCATATTGACTTGAACAACGCCTTTGTCAGCGACGGCTGGTACGGCTTTTTACGTTGTTTGGCAGTTTCCGGCGTGGAAAAATCTGGTGCCGATCTGCAACACCAATAATTATAAGAGCAAACCTCCAGAAGCCGTTTCCGCTAAGTTTTACTTATGCATTCGGTCCACCTCGTGGAGCCAGTTTGTTTCCAGGCGTTGTGAATGGACTCTGGTTCGGTCACGTGGCTGAACATCCCACAAATTAGCTTGTGTTAACGGTTTCCGCCAACCATGATAAACCAATCTACGATACACCAAATCAATAAAATTACGCAATGACTAACACTAACCAGGTAAGATAGCGCTACAGCACTTAGTTATGTAAACACATAAGTAACAGTTTAAACAGTCACGCTTACGATGTGAACCACCAAAGGCTAATTCGATTGGGAACCGAAGAAAACCTCTCTGGACAAGGATTCTACGAAGGAAGATGCATCAAGTTTTTATAAATATGCAAACGACAAGCCGCATTCATCATTCGCTCACCTTCTCGCCACTTTGTAACTCGGGAAAATGTTCTGCGCAACATGCAAGTATGAACTGCGCAACAACCAGTGGAAAATACACCACCTCCAAAACAAAGGGGAAGACGTCTTCAATTCCCTAAAAAAGCAAAACCTTTACAATTTTAAATACACAAGGAAAGGGAAAAAATGCGTTTCACCTTGTTAACTGCACTTTCGATTACAGTGCGAAATCTCACAACTCCAGTGAGGAACATCAACAACCAAAAAACAAATAAAATCGCCGAAGACGGATTCGCTCGACGCTTGTCGATAAACACAAAAACTGCGGTAATCATCTGAAATGAAGATAAGAACAACGTCACAAACGGCAAAAACAATGGCTGTTCATATTATCCATCTAAATTCAAATTGTATTCCTGAGGATAAATGCTCCAACTAACTAACCATAAAAAAGTTGGTTGAGGTCGATCGCAATATCCCCGCATCCATTTCTTATACATTTAGGAAAAGTAATAAATAAAAACAAAATGCGTAAAATTTATAAAAACGCTACGGAATTTTTACCCTTAAATACGCGTACTGTACATAAGTATTTTTTAAGGGACTACTATTCCACAATAAAAAAATTAATCACCCATCAAACTTACAAATGTTACGCTCTTCATCATCGGCTCGATAAAATTCACGGCTGGAACTTCTGTTAAACTCCGCGTTCTCCATACATGCGCCACGAAAAAGAACTGGGATAAGGAAACACATACCAGGAGCAGAGATATCGCCTATAAAGTAAAATCTGAATTTTCTTAAATAATTTATCTCCGAAGACAGCAATTAATATACTACAACTGAAACAGAGGTAACGCCTATAATGTAGCAATTACATGACTTTTTTACGATCTTATATTCCTGACGCCAGCAATAACGGCGAAAGACCGTACCATTTTGGCTGTCGACACAGCCGTCCATCTCTTGATGCGGTAAATCCCGTTGCTGGCCTGATACGATTTCACTGGCAGCATCAACCAAAGAAAAAAACATGGTACCCACACCAGGACCGTTTTCTGGAAACACTCCGTGAAATCCGGATTGTGCGTGTACCAAGTCACTGATAAATCCTGCAGCACACATCAAACTTTAGAATCGATAAAAAAATTAAAAAAAGGAAATATTTAACAACTCCGAGGCGAGCCTAAAACTGCTTACTGTAAAATTATTGCCGCTAATTTCTGTTTTCTGTTCATCGGTTCAGAACCAAAAAATACTGATCCTTATCCATTAATAATGGGTAAGGATCTTAAAAATAAATTAATAAAAATAATAACAAACTACCTTTCTTAATACGTCAATCAAACAAATTCAAACCCACCCAAAAGTAATCCGCACAAAATCCTTGTGGAAACGGATGAGATGTTCCGTTCTTCGGTTGTAAACCTTGGGAGATGGATTCCATGCTGCCAAAAGATGGAATCCAGCAGATTCTGCGACCAAAATAATTTCCGACTGCAGACAGAACGATCCAAGAACAACGCAGCTGTAAGGTGCTTTCCAAATCCAGAATATTCCGTAAATAACTCCGCTGAACGCTACATCTTAGCAGTTGCGATTTGCAGGCATTGGCTTTTCGTAATAATCAGCATGGTCTCCGCATTATCAGCACTGGCCTTATCATGGCCTCCTTGTAACACAAAAACAACAGAATAAAATGAAATCTCCCATGTCGCTCAGGTTTCTGCGATAAATACCAGCAGGCAAGCAAACCTAATACTACGAGTTGTTATTGATTGACAACAAAAGGGCAAAATGTGCACGTCATGATTCAAAACACGAAATGTGCTGAGTCAGCGGGCGGAAGCATTGCTTTATGCGCGTCAATGCACCGACTTGTTATTTATCGCTTTCAGCCGCATCAAAATGTAAATTATCACCATGATGGGCCAAAATTCATAACGGCTGCCGCGAATGCCGGCTGTTGCCCCAATTTGTAATTTGCGGATCCACCATGAAAAGCGTTAAATTTAACAGGTACAGTACCCATTATTATGCAGTTTCTTATTAATATTCGGTTAATGTCTATGCAACAACAGTACAATACTGTACTTTTTTGCTTTGTGGTGAGTCATCATGATTCTTCGCGTCTCTTCCTTAATTATGGCATAAGTATACAGTTTGTATACTTACCGTAAGCCGCACATGGTGCAGCAGCGAAATCATTTTTCTTTTGGCGGATGTTGGAACGATTTGTAGTTCCGTACATACTGCACTTCACTACTTTGTACTTTGTATTTAACACTTTCGCGAGTTGATTTTCAAAGAAACCGGCTCATGGTATTTTGCGTAACACAGATATTGCTTATTAATTTTGCGTTTTAAATTACCGTTTTTGGAGACATTTACAGTGACCGAAAGAAATGTAGGAGATCATGACGTCAATGACTCTGCAAAACTCGCCTGGTCCGGTGCGTATTGTGTTCAGGCACCGGTTTGTTATTACGCTCTACATATGTGGGTAACATTGCGCATCCGAGCAGGACATTTGAGGACAGCCCGGAAAAACCAATAATGCCATTTTTTTATTGCACTTGCCTTTCCTGAATTCACCAAAATTAATACCGGTGATCATTCCACTTCACACGAATCAATCAGTCAATCACAAGTATTCACAATCACAACAGATGCAAATAAAATGTAAGAGAATACAAAACAACAGTTCACAGAACTGACAATGAATTAAAACAACAAAAAAGATCTAACATCATTTTCGGGGCACAGCAGTAATAAATAAATAATCTCACATGTGTAGACTAGCAAAATGAAATAAAATTCACAAATATACTACATGTGTAATGAAAGCCATCACGTTAGCTGCATCACAAAATTTAAGGCACATCGTTTCGGAAAACAACGCAATCAATTTCTAATCTGCAGCATGGCAGGCAGACACAGAAGAGTATCAAAACGGAACTAAATGAAGAAACATCCTTCGCTGAATCACTGCTCACACCGGGGCCAAATTTGCACTTCGGGCAAGACCGTAAAAGATTGTGTTCCTATCCGCTAATAGCGCACTGGGAGGAGCAAATTCCACAACCATTCCCTGATCCAGGACCATAATCCTATGAAAAATAATAATTAATTACTGAACACAAATGTTACACAATTATAACTGTAACAAAAATTAACAACTTAATTCGATATTTATGAAAATAAGCGAACAAAATCATTAGGCAACCGATAACTACCAAATTTTAATGGCTTAACGACAAAAATATCGTCCACAAAAACCGGTATATTTTTTCAGCAGCAACCCAGAGTAAAAATTCTAATTATCCAAAATTTTACGTACAGTGTGCTATCCATGATCGTATTCAGTCGATGGGCAATGGTGAGCACCGTGCAATCACCAAACTTTTCCCGAATGGTATTCTGAATCAATGCGTCTGTTTCCAGATCCACTGCTGCCGTTGCTTCGTCCAGTATGAGAATTTTTGTTTTTCGCAATAATGCTCTTGCCAAGCAGATCAACTGCCGCTGTCCGACACTATACAAGCACAAATCCACAAGATCAAAATTTCACTCGCAGCAGGTCAAACTGCAACTTATGGTGTATTACTATACCTAAGATTTTCTCCGCCTTCGGCGACTGTATGTTGCAGTCCATTCGGTAAACTGCTAACAAAACGTTTTAAATGCGCATTCTCCAGAGCTCTCCATACTTCTTCATCTTGATATGCGCCAAAAGGATCGAGATTCAGGCGCAGCGTTCCACTAAATAAAACCGGTTCCTGTAAAAAAAGTCAATTGCAAATCATTCCAGAATATTCAGAGCTGATAGTACCGTATATCATACCTGAGGAATGATTGTCAAACGAGATCTAAGATCATGCAGTCCCATATCGGCAATATTATGGTCATCGATGACAATGGAGCCGCCAGCGGCTTCGATGATGCGGAAGAGCGACATGGTAAGAGAACTCTTGCCGGCACCCGTCCGGCCCACAATTCCCACTTTATGTCCGCTGCCGATATCGCAGGATACGCCACGCAGCACCAAATCCAAACCCGGTCGGTACCGAGTTTGGTAGTCGTTAAAAGCAACGTGTCCAGCGGCAGGCCACGCCGGGTCTGGTCTCTTGCTTTCAATCACCCACGGAGCCTGTCATCAATACATTTATGAACAAAATATAAACGCGCACCACAAAATTCTATATTTTATCTGATAGTTAATAAGTATATTTTGTCAAATCTGCTAGAACCATAAATAATCAGCGGTCGTGAAATTTTATACATACTTCTTGCTCGATTTCGGTATATTCCTGTATTCGTTCAACAGACACAATATTCGCTTCCAGTTCACTGGCCACGCGAACCATCATGTTGAGAATTTGGGTGACGTTGAGCGCATAGCTGATGCTCATGCCGGTCTTTTCCGGTTCCACTCCCCAGCCTCGATCGCGACCGATTACCGCAAACAGACCAGCGAAGAAAACCGCAGCAATCCCAATAACTTCCACCCGCACTGCCAGCCATCTGCAAAAATTTCGACGTGTAAAAACCAGATTTACGAATGGGTCTACCGTTCAGTTTAGTATACCGACCTTTGTGCAGTTATGCTAGGATAATAAGACCGATTATTCACGTCCATTAAACGCTCATTCTCCAATATAAAGCGATCGATTTGGCGCTGAGCCACGATAACACTGGCACCGGTTAATGATTCTTGAAAGTGAGAATAAATTGGCGATCGCGACACGGACTCTAGACGTTTTAGTTGTCGACTGGTGGGAATAAAGAAGCGCTAAACAACAAAACACCGCGTGAATAACAATTCACATCCGTCTACTAATGCCTAATTCAATTCTTAAACAGCGATCTACTCCATTAACTCATTCATAAATACGCAGCGCATTCAAGCTCATTAAATCACTGACCTGAACAACATAATAAAGAACTCCCAGAGGAATGATGACGGCAATAAACTGCCACTGATTGAAAACAATCTGCAATTACATAAAAGAATTAGTAAATCAGCGCTCCAAACCATGCGAAATTTCAGCGACACCATAACTATAATTTTATATGATGTACCTACCACAAACGCCGTAGAAGCGACTTGGAAAAAACAGTTCAGCCACATTCGAAAATTTTGCGGGATTGTAGTGTCCACATAGTCAACATCTTTACTGAATCGGTTGACAATTCGTCCAAGTGGAGTTGTATCAAAGAAAGCCATCGGTGCTCGCATAATACGCTTCAGCATCCCTTCATGCTGTTTTCTGCTGGCGTATAGTTGCCCAAAAGCCAGTGTTATCATGGAAAGAAAGATGAAAAGACCTATAAATTAAAAGCATTGACGCATTTGCACATAGAAATTTTCGAAACTTTCTTAGCTCTGACCTTGCAGTCCTCCTAAAGCTCCATACACGCCCAATCGGTAATCTCTCTGGGAGGTATCACTCACAAGCGCTGCATCCTTACTATCATTTGCCCATGCCGACAACCAATAATTTGTGCTAACGTTAGCCGCATTCGACAGAATGTAGAAAGCAAACACCATGGACACGATCGGCCACGTCATGTGCCTCAAGAACAGTATATAAATCCCGGCCTTGACCTTTCCACTTTCCGTGTGTTCGACGGCGACCAATTTCGCTTTCGATTGCTTTCGTTCCGCCATTGGTATAGCACCGTTTGCTGCATGTTTCTCCGATAGTTTCTCTTTGATGGATGGCCTGGACTCCTGTCTGAGAACCTTGCGGACTTTCGATAAGGAGGAGCTCAGCGAAGCAATACTGCCGTTACGTTCCCGGCCGATCTCGTTTAGTATATCCTGTTTCACTGCCGCTTCATCGGGATCAGTTTCCTCTGCGGTTTCCGCCTCCTCAACAAGATAGGTGCGAACAAATTCAGCAAAAGCACCGTTATTATGGAGCAGCTGTTTGTATGTCCCGAACTCCGATATTCCACCGTTGTCGATCACAATAATCTGATCAGTACGCGGCAGAAATCCAATGCCATGAGTGACCAAAATTCTGGTTTTATGTGACAGGATTCCAGAAGGTCCGATAACTTTTTCGAAAATATGTTTACCGCTGCAAACAGTACAAAACCGTCAATTAACAGAAAGCAACGAGAAATGTTGAGAGATAATGCACTTACACATGAGCGTCGACGGCACTCAACGGATCATCAAGAAAATACACCTACAAAAAATTTTGGTCAAGCACAGGAATTCGCTTTACATATTCAGGTATAGAAGATTAACTGCACAATGATTTAAAGGAGTAATGATTCAGACTAACATGGTTAATGAGTTATTATTGAACAAAGCAAATTACACCAATGAATTATGGTTCAGACTTACATCAGCTCCGGAATATACGGCACGTGCCAAACTAACACGCTGCTTCTGTCCACCGCTCAAATTGATGCCCTTTTCTCCAATTTCCGTTTGATCGCCACCCGGAAGCATGGCCAGATCTGGTTGCAGAGCGCAGGCTTCGATAACCTTGTGGTAGCGGCGCTCATCAAATGGTTTGCCGAAAAGAATGTTATCTCGCAGGGTCATGTTTTGTATCCATGCTTGTTGTGTAACATAAGCAATTGTGCCCTGATAACAGCAAGACAAAATTGACAAACCAGTCTAAGTGAGCGCAACTTCATCCATGCTATGAAACCATACCTTCACACCGACATCCCCGGATGTTTTCTCAAGCAATCCCAACATGGCGGCACAGAGGGATGTTTTTCCTGAGCCAACTTGTCCAACAATTGCTGTCAACTGACCATCTTTGATGGTCAGGTTCACGTTCTGTAAACATGGACTTTCATCCTTCCCCCAGGAAAATGTCCCATCGGTAATTTCCACAGCATTTGGATGTCCAAATCCCAATTCGCGCACTGCATCGGGATCCAGTTCATCATGACAGAGGAATTTCGTCACACGTTGAACGGAAACATTGGCCTATAATAAAAAAGAAACCATACAGCAAAACCAAAATCATGACCACATTGTTGATAGACATACCTGAATAACGGCGGTGATCACATCCGGAAGTAATGCTAACGGTCGGCGAAGAATGTTAAATAATGTCAGGGACACAAAAGCTTTTTCCGCCGTCAGGATATTGTTTGCGTCGATCAGCACAAATGTTGTAAAGGTAACCAGCGCCACGATGAAAGGCGATAACTGCATCGCGAAGTGCATAACGGAGTTCAAATAGGCAGCCTTCCTCAATGTTCTCAACTGAAAAGCCGTTCACACAGTCAGAATGATAATGAAACTGGCAATAAGTCAACAGCGACAACTTTTGTCGCCACCGTGTTTTTACCTCTTGTTCCCGGACATCCAACACTTGACTTTCAAAGGACTCCTCCCATGCATATAATTTCAAAATTTTCATTCCATTCAAGATTTCATTCATCATTTTTATACGGCTATCTTTTTGTTTCATTTGTGCTACCTGGAAAAAGAATCAAAAATGTTCAAAACTGTCTAACAGACATTTTAAAACTGCATGTGGATTACATGTAGCGTTCGCGATCGGCTACCAATAAAGGCGTTAAAGGGAATCAGCAACAGCGTAGCACCCAGACCGGCAATCGTCGCAAAACCCATTTCTTGCCATAACATCCATAACGCGATGGCAATCTGTAGAGGCGATGACCACAACAACTGGATATGGCTCATTAAATCCATAAACCGCTGAGAATCCACTGCCATCAGATTGACGATTTCTCCCAATGTGCTCGACCGTTTAGCCGAACTGGTCATTTTTAAAGCCTATCGAAAACACTGTTATCTGAGCCAAAAATGACCATGTTGCACCTTTTTCTACCTTTTTGTAGATCGCGGCTACCACGGCTGATCTGTAAAATATTATTATAAGCATTGTTAATTAATTAACGTTTACAAATTTATAGCCTATGAAACGTTAGCTATATAGGATATCTGAAAACATCCGAACAATTGTAGCCTGACAGTACCTGATGTGCATTCCAGTGCGTTGACTCAGAACGAAATAATGTGCCAGAGTGAACACTTGTCCCAATGAACCGGCCATCATGGCCACTGAATACAGATATCCCTTCCATTCCTCTTGACTTGGGTCATCCACGAACTGGATCAATAACCTGCAAAAATTTCAAATTTCAGCAGAAAAAAAATTATTTTTTGTGATATACGACGTACTTCAATAATGACGGTGCGATGAATACCAGCAAGTCATTCATCAGGCGCAATACCGCTCCACATAACAGTGCGAACCAAAAGGTTTTAAATAACGCTTTCGTCAACGACGGTTTGTAGCTGTATGGCCTCTTTGAGGCAGCTGGATCGGACGTTACATATTCAGAAGACCTGTAAATTCGCAGCTGTTACAGCACAGCTGAAAAATTTACGCGAAGAAAATTTTAATATTAGTTCCTGTATCATACTTGCGCATTAGAGCCTCCTCCTTTCCCCAAAATTTCGCCAAACGGATGCAGTGTGTTTGGCTCAGATCTTCTTGCTGCAAGCTCCACAAATCCGTTCGCAGAAGGGCTCGCTTCCATCCTTTGAATATCAGCCTGTGAAGAAAGAAATTACTTACATATCAGTTTTAAACACTAGTGCAATGCAAACGATAGCTTAAGCGAGATATTTAGCATAAAAGGAAAACTGAGCCACTTCCTAATATTTCCAGTGAAATAGCAACGTACGTAATTATTGTGCAAAACAACATTAATTTTAATGTTGTGAGAAGCATTCACTTACGATGTCAGCCACCAAAATGTCAGTCTGTTCAGAAAAGAGGAATACTGTTCCGGACAAGGTTTCTGTAACCAAAGTACAGCTGTTGTGCATTTCCGCTGTTGTAGTATGTTTTCATATTCTTAATGTGTTTATTCCTGCTTCATCCAAACGTAAATGAGTTAACACAAAAAGAAAATCCCCATATCTCTGGGAAATTCTGCATTACTGGCACCGTGTAGAAAACTGTTGCATATCAAAAATTATGTTTCCTGCACAATATGTTAGTGTTATAAAAATTATCTCAATATTCGAACTTCGAAGCAAGCGATAACCCGAAACCTGATCTCAGTAACATCGTAAGCAGGAAACCGCTACAAGCACATCGGAATATGCATGGTCATTAAGTAATTAATTCTTCTGAACTGGTTTTAACGCCTTTCCTGTCATTCACCTGCCCGACCATACAAAACCTAATCATTCTGTACCCTGCACTCATTCCGCCGATTATGGAATGCGTAACAAAGTCACCGGGCAAAATCAATACCGCAAATTGTGCAAGTCACTCCGTCTGGAGACGGTCATTAAGCAGATTTACCTCTACACCGGCAGTCAATTCTGGGAATCTTTCCGCGAAACAGGACAGGATAAACTGCACCGTAATCAGGGGCAGGTAGAACATATCCATGACAAAGTGAAACCGTTCCGATGCCGAAGCAGATGAAAATCCCTACAAAATTTTTACAGAAGGAATTAAATTTCAAAACAATTACAGTGCACTTGCGTTCTTACATCGTCCGGATACTGGCGGATTCGTGTACGAAATGAAATAATGGTAGCCAATTCCAGCAGGAACCAGAAAACAAAAAGCATAGCAGACGACGGTCGAGCATGCCTCTTGTCGGTCCATATATAACCGACCGTTATTAGCTGCAAAACACGTGTAAGAATGTACTCACATATTATTGTAACTTATATCTGTACTGACTTATCTGTACCTACATTGTTAGTTATTCGTAAATACCGGTATTTGTTTGCCACAAAAGTGCTTCGTACGCAAAAACTAACAAAAATAAACTGTGGCTAAAAATTCACAGAAATAAAAGTACGCATATGCTTGCGTCACGCAGCATAATTATGTTGTTTCAGATTAAAACAGATCAAAGCTGTCGCAAATATCAAATTTACGGTTTTGCGGTTTTGCTAGCAGGGTATTCGTATACACATGCAGTATATCGCATTATGCGTACACTTTTACAAAAAGGATCTACGAGTTGCAAAAAAAAATTCTAAATTTGAATACATAGCGCAATCTTACAAATGTTGCCGCTTTAATTATCGGTGCGACAATCAAAACATCGGCAACCGACTCCACTCCTCCAACCCGCATCAGATGGGCAACGTAAAACACTTCCAGCAATGACAACAGTGTCAACAACACCGACAGCGCCTACAAAGTCACACTCATCAACATAACGATCGCAAGCACGTGATCGGCCTAATTCAATAAGAAGGTAATCTTTAACCCAGAGATGAAAATACTGTTTAAATAAATCCGTGTACTCGTATCGTAAATAAACTAACCGAGTTACACTACAAACCTATTAACTGCCACGTAAAGTTTTATCGTTAAATAAACAATCTTTATGATATTTCCGACATCTTTCAAAGCAATTGTTCGCTACCCAATCTGTCTAAAAACTGAGAAGCTTTGTACTATACAGTTTATATCTTATGCTCAATCCAGTTTGCAACAAAATGCTCACAAGTTAAAACGCTTATTGAAAAATCGGATTGTACTTCGTAGTTCGTATTGTACAAATAAGCTCTGAAAAAGTAAATACTTCTGGACAAAAATTAACCAACTTTAAATTTCAAGAAGCAAAAAAGAAACTTGCAATTTTTGCTGTGGATAGCCATGTCGAGCGCTGTATTCTGTAAGGACTTGAGCCCAGCAGGAAGTACTGAAGTGGAAGACAAAGCCACAGAAAAAAACACGGCGCCCATATTAAAACTGTGCGTTGGAAGCATTCCGTAAAATCGGGATCTTTTGTGTACCAAGTGACTGCGGTATCCTGCAGAAATAAAATTCTTCCATTTGGATGTGGTAGAAAATAGATATGAAACCTGACAATAAAAAATATAATATCTATACATAAAATAATTACCCAAAAATTATCTGGGCAGAATCCAGGATAATAAATCTGTGATGTCCAGTTTGCAGTAGGAGTTGCATTGCGCAGCGCAGCGCGCATCCGAGGAATCATATTGGTAATTAAAAATGCGAGTATTCATGAACAGATAAACAGCGCGAAATATTGCGATTAATCATGTAACGCTAAAATCCCGCAGACAGTAGAGAATCAGCCAGTGTTGCATAAGCGATATGAGAATGATGATGCCGAATCGCCGATGCACAAAACAATCAAAGGAGGCAATAAATCCGAATTCAAAATAATAATAATTATGCAAACAGCAAACTGCAAAAATATGCTCCTGTTTGGAACTTCTGCAGCGTCAATAACTGACTTGCATTTTACAAAAGCCAGACGAAATACTGTACATACAACAGAAGGTGTCAAAAGGATGTATTAATAACAAGTAATAAGAGTATAAAAACTTTAGCCGGAACTGAATGCGTTTAAACCCATTAATGCAGCGTATATGAATATCAAATTTTAATTTCCACCATGAGCCTGCACTTTCACACGCAGACTCTCGGAGTAAAGCATATTCAAGGCTGTCCATTGCGCAAACACCATATCGCCGTATCAGTAAAGCGTCGGATAACAAGCAACAGTAATGATTCTCGATACCACCAGCGGGCCAGCAAAAATTCATCGATTATGTGGTTGTTTTGTTCATCGGCATTCCGTCAGCACAAACGAGAAACCCGGTAAACGTGCGTGCGATCATGAGCTTGCAGTTTTGCAGACAAACAAACCGCTCACTTCACGGGTTATTAGTGCGTGCTGCATGCCGTGCTGACTAGTCACAACTGACTAGTTATAATCCAGAGCAGTCACTAGTATCAACTGGACTCACGGTTAAACTTTAAAGCATGTCACAATTATCCATCTCCATGGATGAAGGCTCACTGGATGCAAAAATCAGATACTTATTGTTAATCCCAAGCATTTTGGACTGCGTCCGAAAGGCGCAACATTATCGATCGGCGCAGCTTTTGTCGGACACTGGACGTTCGTCAGTTCCGAACTTTCGGGTAGTAATTAGTGCTGCTGTATTTCGCTTTGAACCACGCTTCATACTCGTACAAAGCATAATGTTCTCCAATAATTTGGAAATAAAAAAAGATAATCATTTTATATAATTCTTAAGTTTAATAAGTGCTGTTCAATCCAAAGTAGTATAATTTTCCAAAAGGTAAATTAAATGAAACTTTTGGTAGTAGTATACTAGCGCCAACGTTTGTGGCGAGAATTAATCTGCTGCTGTATTTCGCTGCCCCACAGTCACAGAGATAGAAAGTGTAGCCGTGGGACACGCAGTAAACGAAACGGCATTGCGCAATGGTCATATATCTATATAATCCCAGGGATGTGCTGGAAACTGCAAGTGGTACATATTTTAGCCGTAAAAGTTAAACAACTTTGCGAGTGTGCTGATTTCCGTTTGTTTTTAAATGAAGAAGAGCTATCCATGCGGCTAGGCTTAAAGAAATATTCTCGTCTCAAAAACAACTGCAAAACTCCAAAAGGAGCTTACCATACATATTGCTATACTGCTTATTAAAAATTACTGAAGCCAGATAAGTTTAATGCATTCCACTTCACAACTAACTTGTATGAACAGATCCAATGATAAAAACAAATAACAAGTAATCACATATCACAGATAAAAACTGAACCATTTGCATGTCAGATTTTTGAATGTCAGTCTGCTCCAAAACAGAAATCACAGGAAATTTGGGAGGATGTAAGTCTGGTTTGGCGTCATCGGGATTCGGTTGATGCCGGCTCCGTACATTGGTATAACATAATGTGAGCCATCTGCTGGCCCCAGTGCCTGTTCCAGTAAAACATTCTTACCGTCAGCCATAATATATTAAGATATATCCATATGGCTCAAATTCCGCCATAATCTGTTATTCTTCACCAGAATTCGCATGTACAATAAATAACTGCGACCACATCCGGTTCATTAATGATGTTTTGAAGTCAAGTGAAATGATTACATTTACAAACTTCAAACTTGTGAGCACGCACTTACCCCGCTGGCAATCAGTATTACATCAATCAACTGAAAGATGAAAAAACCTCCCAAAGTGCAGAGCTTCAAAATACCTGCAAGATCATATCAGAATGGCAGTTATTTTTTGGAATTGCTTACTCGAGAGCATAGCATCGAGTGATCGATGTTCAGCAAAAACGTAAATGAAAAACTCAATGAGAAACGAAAATAAAATAAGCATCTACCTATTCATCTGTTCGACCGTACGACCATAAAAGGTGCAGTGTATCAATACTTCTATGATTTCTATCTGAAATATGTATCTGACACGAATAAAATAAAATAGACAAACGAAATTGATGCTTACTGTATAAAAAAATTGCACACATTCTTTAAAGATAAAATTAAATATCAACCATTTACGTATAAGTTATAACCCTACTTACCCATTCCTGGATAACCAAGATAAAACCTGTCGACTCCAAACATTCCCAAGAACACCGACAGCAGCAATGACGTTTCAAAGGAGTAACCATTGCTATAGCATTCGAACAAAGTCAAGCCTTTAAATCTACAATGCCCTCTTAAATAAAAAACTATCAAATTTATGCTCAAAGCCGAATTACTGCCCGACCGTTTGAGAAAACTTACGTATATTTACAGGGAATATATTTATAAAATGTTCTATCCTCAAGCAGACCCTCGCACACGATTCCAGGTGGTACGCTACACCGTGCTATAAAAAAAGAAAACTAGCAATGCAATACAATAGCAAATTTTTTTGTGTTGAATATTTACTTCTGGCCATATTATTAGGCTGACATCCAGCTAGCTGTTGAGTTGAAGAGTTCACATTCATTTCACCACAGCGAAATCTAAAAATTCAGTTATTATAGTGTGAGTGAATGTGGCAAGTGGGAAGATCACGAGAAAAACTTCCGCTTACATCAGGAATGAAAACATCAAGAAACAAATGCATAGAGAGCCGCGTGCGGTACACATGTAACATACAACGAAACTTACTGTCCTGGCAAAAGGTTCACGCATGGTTTCATAGTCGCGGAAGAAACCATCTCACCAGCCAACAGGCAGTGCATAAGGGCTACGAATCCGAATTGTCCAGAAACGCGCATGATGTAGGTGGGGTGTCAATCCTGCGATAGAACAGTCATGAGACCATCTGCAACTGACTCTTGACTTCTCCATATTAGAGACAACACAACACTGTGACAACAGTTCTTACTTCCCACACTGCTCGATCAAAGTTTACAACTTCTGATACTGACTACGAATGTTGCCGTTCGGTGCCAGGCTTCAGTAGTGAATATTAGCGATATCCGTCAATATTAACTGATGCAATGGTCAATTTGTAAGCAGTAAGTCATAATAATAGTGCGATCATCCTCCATCGCCGTTAATCGTGATCCAATATCCACTTCGTTCCACAAGGACCACTACTGACTACTGCCACTGTCTGCCAGCATACTACTGGCACCTATCCAGCGTAATCCAGCTCCTCTTTTACAATTTCTAATCGATTATCAATAATTTATCACAAACCGTGTATCATATAATAACACACACCAGCAGAATGCACTAAGGTTTCTAGTACTAAAAAAACAGAAGTCTGAAAAACTTTTTACTGCTTAATTGCTTAAACAACAATTTGCCTACTGTACTGATGCAGTTTACGACTTTACGGGGAACGTACTGACACAGCTGACGGTTCCGCAATGTCTACCCGCTACGGAGTGCGGCTGTAGAGCAGTCAGGCACAGTATCGAAGAGAGGGCATATATCGAAGGCACACACTCATCAAGAAAACACTAGCGTGGCGACCCTCGTAAACGTCGGGACACTTCCGGAGGCGTGAGTGTTTTTTGCAAATTTTTAACTCTTTTTACAAATCTTAACTCTTTTTTTGCCAGTTTCAGCAAGGCAGCTATGTCCAATTGCCCATTGCCCTGCCTTCTTCCACATAACATGCATCTCCCTTGCATTAGCGTTTCTGTCTCCTCAGTCACAGAACTCAGAATTTCATTGCTGTCTGTCCAGTGTTAACATTAACAGAGCTACGTTGTTGTCTGTCTTGTGTTACAGAATTACAAGTTTACACTTTCTTAGGGCTACTCTCAAAGTCCAGCTAGATCTGGTTACGGTGCAGCAGCTCCACCTCATGAGGTGGTTTTGCGAACCGTATTTGTCGGCGTGGACACTTCATGTAGCTATCTCGTGCGGTGGAGCAGCTGCATCATACTTAGCTACGTTCAGAACTTGAGCCGGCCTTAACAGTTCCCAAGATAGGAAACGACCTGAATTCATGCCTAAAGGCAATATATATGTTAAGACTAGTCTTACATATATATATACGTACGTACGTAAACGTACGTATCTTGCCTTTAGACGTACGCACTATACAGCGCTACGCCTCCGGAAAATATTGAAACTTTACTACTTTAGTCTTTAATAACTCTTTATAGTTAAAGTCAAAAAGTTAAAACCAGAAATAACATTTATGGGTTTAATATAGAGTGCAGTTTTTTAGACTATACTCGTATGGTTTTTGATACTTTTCCAGTACTTTTGCAGAAGTTTTGCTGTATCCGACGCAAATACGTTTCTGAAAAATGAAGACTGCATGTTTTCTTAGCATCGTTAGGGTTAGCTCTCTTTGTTTGCCTAAGGACTAACAGTACGTGGTGGTCGCGATCCCACACTGAGCACTTCTGCACAGGAATGCAATGAAACGCCTTCCCTTCACGCTTCCTCGCTTTGTGAGCCACAGCTTTGGCACTAACGGCGCTCGGGAACCACCATGCACATTCGACGAACTGGCAAGTCTCATGGACCCAGATCCAGACAAGTCGACAGTGTGGAGGAAAGCTGTTGACAGGGAGAAGAAAGCACTGCTGTTCTATCAACTGGATCTCGGTGGTGAATTACCCAAATTCTCTAAATGCGTCTGCATCGAACCGGAAGCGTTCCGGTTGAACAACCATACGAAAATCCAATTGATTCCGTCAGTATTCCTGGATGACGATCTCGTTGCAGATACCAGTGTTCAGACTGCACTGACTGTTGCGCCAGTCATTAATTCTACTATGGACGTTGTCAGACTGCTGCAGTATGTCGAGCTGTATCCTGAGACGCCAGATGATGATCCGGATTGCGGTAACCTGGAAAACGCAACTCACGACAATGTCGTCGCTCCTTATATAAATCTGGCGAATGGAGCCAGGGTGGAAGAAGAGAAACATTCTGAAGTTGAAAATGGCTGCGATGACCGCCTATCAGTATCTAGCTTGTATGCTGACTCGGATGTTAGACCATCTGCTACGACCACAAAAAACGGTAATATCGTAAAAACCTTCGAGCGACTTAAGTCATTTGGTGTTTGCAGAATACTTAATATATTTTTAGGGACCGTCCATCTTAGGGACCGTCCATCTTGATGATGGCTGTTTCATTTTTTACTAATCGTAAATAGTAAATACTATATATAACCTAAAATTTTAAAAAGTAAAAATTGGCGCTGTAGACTACGGTGACTACTCTAGTCAGTACATTATTCTATACGTAGCTGTGATTTGCGTGTTTTTTCGTCTCTTGCAGCATATCTTTGTGCGTATCCTTTACTCCTCGCATATTAATGTTTCATAAGAATTTAATCATTTTTTTCCCTGCAATTTTGTGGTGTCGTTTGCAGCACCCCGCAGAATTGTGATAAAAGATGCGTCGAAACCCGCACCAAAGCGACTTCCCCTACCGGAACCAGGTGTGCCGCACTTGCCTGAAGATTGTGCGATATATATATTGCAATAGCAATAATATTTTTTAGAACTGAACGATGCTCAGATTGCCTACGCTAAACTGGTGAAACACAGTTTAACCCAGCCTGGTCAGCGTAAAGAAGAAATTTATCCCGGTGCCGGTCTTCATGCTCCCACGATGCTTCTCAAGCGCATTCGGGACAAATATCTGAAGCAGTGCACAAAGCAGAACAACGACCGTGTGAGGATCCTGAACAGCAAAGGTCCTGGCTCGATTTTTGCAGTAGAACTGATCGATTCTCTTGGAAAATTTACCGACAGAGTGCACTGGAATTACACATCACAGGTGTTTGATGAGGAATATCTGACAAAAATAGCTCGTGGGTGGAAAGCACGTTAGCCACATCCTGACAGCGCTTTTTACGAGCTTTAATGGTTTGGCGCGTTGTTGCTACAGGTTTTATCGACTTGAATCATCCCGAAATTCTGAACGGTAACAGACCGCTAGCATCCGTACAGGATATCCGAAAAGCCATACGGGCAAAATTACAACGATATCATCATTATCGGGAGAAGAGAGCGAAACGGCTACCGGTTAAAACACAAAAAAAGTACGAGAACATTTACAAGTTAATGAGCATTTTTTACTATACCTGTTGATCGGTTGGCATTCTGTGCATTTCTACGATTTAAACACAGCAAGGTTTATGTTCTCCAGAACGTCCCAAGTGGAAGCCCGATAACCCACCCGTTTCAGATTCTGCCCTTAGCGTTTCACTAATTTCTCCAGCAGAGAATATTTTGTGGAACCCCTTGCTCCCATTCAATCATCCAGGCGTGTAGTGTGTACCACAGTATTGTAGATACTCTGAATGCAAATATAACAACAGAAATACTCTAAATATTCTTATTAACTGTTGCCGCATTGTAGAGTTTCGGCCGTCGTACTTGTTTCCCAGGTTGGACTATGTTCCACTAATCCAAGATGGAAATGTTCCTCCAATATACGTTAAGAATACATGGCGGGATTATTTTATCAGTGCGCAGTCGCGTGTTGACTATCCAAAAATTAAACGTTGGATTCGTGCGATCATGTATCAGATTGTGGACCAACAAGCCATATTTCACATGTGCTATCTCTATAAAAAGGCAGAAGACGGAGAAGGACCGAACTATACTTTTTTTCATCACTTTGTCAGCACAGGATTCGTTAAAACTCTCGAAGGTAAGGTATTTTCTAATTCATAGTTGTTTTTTTTGTTATTGGTGAAAAAGCCCTGAAGCAGGTGATCAGATTTTGGCGTATTGGTAAACTGTGAGAGCGAATTTGCTTTTTATAACCAGAGAAACGCGTGCAGTAATTCCGAGCGTTTTCATGCTAAATTAACCGTGGACTTCGTGCATGAATACGAGACTATACGAGTATTGTATTTAATTTTTGGTAATGGTACAGTATACGGAAATTTGATTGTTTAGAAACTGGACCAAACTTATGCATTTCTCGTTTGCTTTGCAGAGTTCATAAACTACCATACCACCAGTCGCGAACTAATAAATAGGGATACTTTGACCGGCATCCTAAGCAAATGGTTTAAAGAAAATCGGCTTACGGTCTTGAAAAGGAATATTTTGAACGCTGATCCATTATCTGTCAACGTGCATAGCAAGATCGTTGTTGGATTAAGGTACAAGAAAATTGTTGGACTGAAATAGCTCGGCTATTCGATTTCTGTACTTCCCATGTGCCTACTTTCTGGCAGCCGCGTGTGCAAGCATTAGTATTCATAAATTGTGAATCCTAATTGGAGCTTATAAAAAGCTAGAGTAGAAATAGACTACATATTTTTTTAATTACCTAAGTTTAAAGTCGATAACTAGGAGTAGCCGAGCAGGGATGTATGCACAAAATAAGCAACTGGACATCGTTTTAATACGAAGAAACACTGAATGAAAAGTTCTCAGTGCGGTTGTTTTAAACTTCGAAACAAAAGATGCCACACCCAAAAGAATATTCAAAACTCAGAAGTGGGATTTGAGCAATATTAAATGTACAGATAAATGGTTTACAAAACGATGCACCACTTCATGAACGTACTGTGCAAATTGTTACGTACTGTGCAAATTCAACTTCAGTTTCTCAGGTTTGTGGCAGACTTTTGTCTTACAAAACTTTTGTAGCAGACTAGCAGCTTATGTGCGCGAATGCCAAACATTCAACTGCACCTATTTTCGTTACGCGAATATAGCGACAAAAACAATTGAAATGCACATTGCAAAATCAGATTGAATCAGTAATCACTAGTCGCTAGTGTTCGACATCTGTAATCGTGCGTTTCCTAATTATGCCACGGGTACTGTACAATATTTTAATTAGTGCTTTTAATCTGATCTGATTCCAACAACAACAGGGCGGTCTAACTGTGAGAAGTGGATAGTGGATACAAGCCGGTCTAGTACGACGTTGTTAGAAGTTTTGAAATTGTACTGTAATTTCGTCAACAACAACATACCACTACATACCAAGCTGGTAGTGGTAGTTGGCAAGTGGTACTAAGACTGCGCAAAACAGCTGACGGTGCCGCAGTGTCCACCTGCTGCGGAGTGCGATTGTGTGGCGTTGGTGGTTGGTACTTGGTACAATGCCTCTTCTCATCGTCAGTATACAAATTCTTGTTTTTATTTTTTTAAATCCGTTTACGGTTTATCTTTTCAAAATTTGTTGGTTTTCGTCAACTTTTCTGGTTTCGATATAGTGCAGTTTTGTAATGTGTACCGTCTTACCGTCCATGTTTATTTTCGAAGCTCTTCCACCTTTCCAGTACTAATTTTATCAGACGCAGAGGCTTGTTTGCTTGGCCAGTCTTTATGTACCTTACATTCCTTTTGCTTGGAAGGTGTTGATTTTTGGACCCCTACTCCTGCCCAGGGCTCCTGAATTCAAGTTCAGCAGTTTATCCACAAGACTACAAGAGTGCAATGAGGCGCCTGCAGTTCACACTTCCTTGCAGCCGCACACCCCTAGCCAGCTGCACTTCGGGGTCCAACAACGGTGCGGAACCACCCTGCACATTCGACGAACTGGCCAATCTCATGGACCCAGAGCCAAACACAACGGCAACAGTGTGGAGGAAAGCTGTCGACAGGGATCAGAAAGCATTGCTGTTCTATCAACTGGATCTCGGTGGTGAATTACCCAAATTCTCTAAATGCGTCTGCATCAAACCGGAAGCGTTCCGGTTGAGCAGGCATACGAAAATCCAATTGATTCCGTCAGTATTCCTAGATGATGATCTCGTTGCTGATAAAAGCGTTCGGACTGTGTTGCCTGTTGCACCTATCATCACTTCTATTATGGACGTGGTACGACTGCTGCAGTATGTCGAATTGTACCCTGCGACACCGGATGATGATCTGGACAGCGATAAACAAGTAAAAGTAACTCACGAAAAAAACGTCACTCCTCCTGTAAATCTGGTGGAAAAAGTCAGCGTGGAAAAGGAGACACATTTGGAAGATGAGGACAACCGCTGTGACGATCTTCTATCTGGCTTTGACGTTGACTCTGATGATGCAACACCGGCTGCGCCCGAAAAAAATGGTAACATCGTAAACTTTTGAGCAGTAAAAGCCATCTTCAGATCTGGTGTTTGAATCTGATTTTTAGTAAACTTGAGTGTTTGGTGATCGCAATCTGGTATCTGTTCTGTCCCCGTGATTATGTATTGCAAGATAAGACAGTAATTGTATGAATACCATAATGAAATGTAAAAAGTTGGTTATGATTAATTTTACTGCATAATTGTTGTTTGTAATTTTTGTCCCTTGTTAAGCAGCATGTATATCTTTGTGTATATTGTTATAGATGTCTTATAACTTAGTCTGAGTTTGAACCTTCGAAAATTTTTTATCAATACTTTTTTTAGCATTGCAAGAGTCTTTTTAGGCCAAACATTTATGGTATCGTTTGCAGCACTCCCAAATACACCGAAAACTGCATCCAAGCGTCTTCCCCTACCGGAACCAGGTGTGACTGCATTTATCTGAATTTTCTTGCCTGTACTGGAAGGTTGATGTCTTTCAGAGCTGAACGATGCCCAGATTGCGTATGCGAAACTGGTGAAGCACAGCTTAAGCCAGCCCGGAAGAGGCAAAGTGGAGATTTATCCTGATGCCGGTATTTATGCTCCCTCGAAGCTTCTTAAACGCATTCGGGACCGATATCTGAAGCAGTGCACAAAGCAGAACAACGACCGCGTGAGGATCCTAAACAGCAAAGGACCGGGATCGGTTTTTGCAGTGGAATTAATGGATTCTCTTGGAAAATTCACGGACAAAGTGCACTGGGATCATACGGCTCAGGTGTTCGATGAAGAATATCTGACAAAAGTAGCACGTGGGTGGAAAACAGGCTGAGCTAGTAACTACAGATCGTTACTGCGTTGTACCAGCGGGCATTTTGCTGATTCGGGGCGTTGTTGATGCAGGATTTATCGATTTAAACCATCCGGAAATTTTGAACGGCAGTAGACCTTCAGCGTCCGTGCAGGAAATCAGAAAAGCCATACGTGTAAAACTACGACATTACCATCAAAATCGTGAAAAGAGAGCAAATGGTTATAAGTATAAGCCAAAAAAAGGTACAGGAGCATGTGCAAGTTGATGGGTATTTTATATGGCTGCTTGCTTTTGGTATCAGATTCTTAACCTTTATAGTTTATACAATTTGTAGGCCAGTAATCAAAATCGGTTTGTAGGTCTTTTTTATTTTTAGAGCGGCGGAACCCCCGTACTCAGCCCGTTTCGGGTTCTGCTCTTAACGTTTCCTTGATTTCTCCAGCAGGAAATATTCCATGGAATCCTTTACTTCCATTTAATCACCCAGGTAGGAACTGCGTAGTGCGGTACCTTTACTTGTTGTCGATAGTACGGCGGAATTTTGACAAGCTATATCCGTATTTCAGATTTTTGGCCGTCGTACCTGTTTCCCAGGCAGGACTACGTCCCGTTAATCCAGGGAGGAAATGTTCCACCTGTATACATTAAGAACAGCTGGCGGGATTATTTTATCAGTGCGCAGTCGCGTAATGAATACCCAAAAATGAGCAGGTGGATCCGTGCCCTCATGTATCAGATTATGGATCAGCAAGCCATATTTCACATGTACTACCTCGAAAAAAAGCAAGAAGACGAAGGAAAACCGAAATATGTTTATTTTCACCAGTTTGTCAGCACAGGGTTCATTAAGACAATTGAAGGTAGGTGAATAAATATCTGTTTCACCTGAGAGTCGATATTTTTGTTATCAATAACTCCGGAGCGATTAATCAAACTTTGGAATATCGTTGAACTGTCAGAATTCGCTTTGTTGTTTGTAATAAGTGGAATAACTCCAAGCGTCTGCTGTTTGGGATTGTCCAGTGAGGGCTTTTGTGGATGATTATTTGATTTTTCTTATTATGGAGGATATTATTTGTTGATATTATTATGGAAGTTTGATCTTCAAGAAAACTGGAACAATCATATGCATTTCTTTTTTGTTCTGCAGAGTTCATAAACAACCACACCTCCAGTCGTGATCCGATAAACAGGGATGCCTTGACCGCTATTCTGAGGAATTGGTTCAGAGAAAATCAACGTACAGTCGTGAAAAAGAAAATTTTGAATGATGATCCTTCATCGGTCAACATTAACAGCAAAATCGTAGTGGGTTTACGATACAAGAAAATTGTTGGATTGAAATAGATTGGGTTTCCCTCTGTACCGTACGTTTGTTCACTTTCCTGATTTGTATTCCTTTGCAACTTTCGTTGCATATGACAATAAATTATGCTTTTTTCCTGATTGCAGTGTTGCTCCGTAATGGTAATAGATCGGCCAGTTGCATGTGCAGAATAGTAATGAAAACCCTCGTTCATACTGCTTAGTGTTTGTAAACTTTTGGAATCCATAATTTACTTACTCAATTTTTATACGGATGGATAGATTTTTATACGAATAAACCTAATAAGTCCGAGTACAGCATTTTGTATCAAGTATTTGCACTGAAAGAAACACTGTAGAAAACACTAGGTAGAAATAGAGCAGACAACTGGACAGGATGTTACTTAAAGCTATAAAACGGCTACAAAAAAATCTTATGCGATTGTTTGATTTTTTTTGTTTGTCAGATGTCCACTGGCCCGCATCCAAAAACTGTATCTCGTATTCCAAAGTACCACAACAAGATTAAATACTAGTAGTTTACAGATTTTTTGATAATAATGCATTTCATCAACCAAATTACCAAACAACATCTCACTGTACAAAGTAACGGCATGTGCGCAACTGGCAAACGTCCAGCATACGCGTTTATCAAATAATTTCACCCATTTTCCGTATCCAAATAGTAAAAGACAGTTGCTGGTAATTCAAACAACCAGTCACCTCGCTCGAAATATACCCCTGAAATACGATTATACGGTTCACTGTTACCGAGGTGCCGCTGCGGTTTGCAGTTGCTTCATTGCGGCTTCGTCCTGCATGGACATAGCAGTCAGTTTCTTCCCTATACGGTCATGCACTTCCAGATACTTGGCGACACAGCGATCCACGCATACTGATTCACCCTTTGTAAGCTCTGAATCTTTAAATTTCAGGGGAAGACACTTCTGGAAGCATCCGTTAGTCATGCGATGGTACATATCAGACATCATCTCGATTTCCAGCTCCGCAACGATGTTCAGTTGCTCCGGAGTCAAGCCCTGCATGCCGGCCATGCTTGCAAATTGTAAGCGGGAGTAATAATTGCAAGGAAGAAGCGATAATAACTAATAATGCAACAAAAGAATGGTGGCGCAATCTCAATCACGAAGCCTGCTCAAACATCCACTTTCGAAGTTAGGATTAACGAGTAGTCACCCCTTTTCGCGGGTTCCAGCGGTCTGTCTCCAGAATAACCATCGAACACACCAAAGAGCAAATCAACCATCTACTGCTTACTGGTCAACAAAAAAACAATAATCTCTGTTCGGAACCGAAAACTAAAAAGTTTCAAAAGGCAAAAATTCTTGTAAGTACGCCACTTACTGTATGCCAGGAGGCGCTTTTGAAAAGCAGTTTGTGGAATTACCAAAACAGCTGCGCATTGGGCAACCCCTGCAGGTTTGGTGTTTTTTCGATTTGTTCAAATTCATACAATCCGTGCGTACCATAGCTTAAAAAATGCAGAAAAAAAAGTTAAGTTTGAAAACGAAAAGTCTATAAGCAAAAAGTTTTGAAAGAAACGTTTGATTTGCGATTTAAGAGAAGCGGTCTATGGCAAAGCGTTCAGCAGAGCGGTCTATGGCAAACCGCCTCGTAGACCTCCATGCTGAACGAAATTCTCTTAAATCGCAAATCAAACGTTTCTTTCAAAACTTTTTGCTTATAGACTTTTCGTTTTCAAACTTAACTTTTTTTTCTGCATTTTTTAAGCTATGGTACGCACGGATTGTATGAATTTGAACAAATCGAAAAAACACCAAACCTGCAGGGGTTGCCCAATGCGCAGCTGTTTTGGTAATTCCACAAACTGCTTTTCAAAAGCGCCTCCTGGCATACAGTAAGTGGCGTACCTTGTAATGCTGCACGGAAAAAAGAAATGTCCTCACAATCAGTAAAAAGTAAAAACTGTACTTACTTGTACGCGACGCCCGAAGGGGAAAGAAACGCTTACAGTGTGCGTTTAGCGCTTCCGCTTACTGTTACAGGTTACTGCACAAAGTTGACAAGTGAAGGGAAAATTAATCAGAAAAAAACCTTTGTCGGGTTATGAAAGCTTTGTGACTTTGTCAACACATTATTAGTTTTGTACCTTTTGCGTCAGAATTTCTGTCATTTCGTCACGAAGTTTTTGAGGTTATGTCCTTTATCACTCAGTTTTATCTGATTCACTTTTTCAATCATCGGCCAACAAATGAGGCGTTTGTATTTTACTTTATCGCGAAGATCCGCAGCAGCTCGTTCAGTCAACTCCCGAAGCAAAGACAAGAGCGATTGCGCACCATCTTGCTCATTCGAAGAGCTGGCCAATCTCATCGATCCTGAGCCAGACCACTCGACGGTGTGGAGGAAAGCTGTTGATAGAGAAAATAAGGTTTTGCTGTTCTATCAGCTGGATCTCGGCGGGGATGAGCCCAAATTTGCCAAGTGTGTCTGCATCAGGCCAGAGTTGTTTCAACTGGGAAAGCACTCCGAAGTCAGACTGGTGCCTTCGGCCTTCCTGGCGGAAAATGACGTTCCGGAAGAGGATGACGTTGTGCAGAAAATTTTGCCCCTGGCTCCTCACATCTCGTCAGTCATGGATGTAGTCAAATTGTTGCAATACGTCGAGCTGTTCCCTCATGTTCCGGACGATGAATGTGTCAGGGAAGAAGTCCAACAGCCAACTGTTGCACAGTCTGATCGTACGGTGGACTTTCCGTGTGATAATGACGCTGCTGTTGTTGGCAGCTTGAACTACGGCGACTGCGAGCCCAGGGATATGGATGATGCGGATTGCGATTATGCTCCTTCTGAAGATAACAGTTCTGCAGATTCGGAAACAAGTATGTCGTGTTTAGGGTTGTTCATGCGTTAGCTTGTTGTTGTATCTGTAATGTTGTTATAGAATCTAGACTACACTAGCTGCAGAGCTAGTAAAGAGCGAAATTTTGCGCAGTTCTGACAAACAACTTTTTGGATGTCGTGTTATTTCTTGAAGCACCCATATCATTTGCCATATGCCGTTATGTTGATGCAGTGTATAAATTGGTATTTTTATATACAGTACTTGTTATTTCTTTCCCGATTAGCCTAATATCGTGTATATAATTTTAAAATTGTGCCTGCAGTGCCTGCACTACTGGTATTACGACTGCGCATATCAGTTATTTCAGTGATGAATATTTAGTGAATTATTTTTACATTAAGTTAAGTGTTAATATTCATGGGGTGGAGTTGTAAAATAAACTGTAAATTCCGTGTGGTTTCGCTAACTGATACTAATTATTAATTATAACGAGAGTATGTACAGCGTTTATGTTTTTTTTTGCCTTCGCTTTCTACTTTACAAGTAGGCTATGCTTTCTTGATCTGTAGGTTGTACTTACTTAAAATTTTAGTAATGCTACTGGTTGCAGACGATGGCGAAAAATCGACTGGTTCAAAACGTCAACCGAAACCAGGGCCAGGTAACCTTGCTATTACGCCAATTAAGTACAAACACACATTCGGAATGGTATTCGCTCATGTTTGTCGGTTAAAGCTGTTTCTTTTGTTACTTGTAGAACTGAATGATTCGCAGATCGCCTATGCTGATTTAGTTAAACAGTACCTAAGACAGCCTGATGGAGGTAAGCAGGAGATTTATCCCGGAGCCGGTATTTATGCCCCCAGACGAATACTTGAAAAAACCCGAACGAGGTACCTTCCCAAAACACAACAACGACGTGTGAAGAGAATGGCTGTTCATATACCGGCTGCCCACTTCGCCATTGATCTCATGGATTCGCTGGGGAAATTTACCAATAAACTGCCTTTTAAGCGAGCAGACATCTGTGAAATTTTTGACAACGAATTTCTTACAAAAATTGCCGGTATGCATGAAAACGAATTGGCTCTTCTCTATTCACGAATGAATTACCGTGTTTATTAACGTGTTCTTTAAATTTAGAATTCGTGAACCTGAATCATGGTGGTGTTGTTAATGGCGAGCGACCACCTCTTGATGCCGCGCGGATCATCAGAGCGATCATGTCTGTATTGCGACACAAGAATTACGTACAGAAAGTAGCAGACAAAATGGCTCAACTCGGGCATCGAAGTCAATATCTCATGAAAAAAGAATTGAGTAAGGTTCTTGCGGTGCTGTGTCCACGTCCCTGATGTATTTGATTTTGGTGAACGTCTGAAATCTTTTCAGATCTGCTGCCACCGCAGGGAAAAAGGGCAAAACAAAGCGGAGATAATCAGTCTCATTCGCTCATTCCTCCCATCGGTGATGCGCAATTGAATCCTCTTCTTCCTTATAACCATCCAGGTATCTTTTTTTTAGTGCGTCATCGAATCCCGTAATAAACGTGTTTGGCATAAATATACATACGTCTGTAATATTATTATAGATTTCCGGCCGTCATACTTGTTTCCACGGCCAGGCTACGTTCCTCTTTGGCTTCTTGGCGATGATCCGCCAGTGTACATTCAGAAAACCGATCTGGAATACTTTTGTAGTGAACAGTCTCATACTGATTATCCAGAAAGTTCCCGATGGATCCGTGCATTGTGTTATAAAATTTTCGATGAACAGACTTTGCTGCACATGTGCTATCTCCATCGGAAACAACAGCTACAACCCGGAGCCGATTCGTCCAAAGTTCTTTTTGCTTCGGTTGTTAGCAAAGGATTTCTAAAAATGCTTGACGGTAAATGATGATGATAGATGGCTCCATCAGCCTTCCTGCTGCTTATTGTTAATGTGGTATCTTTTCTTTACTTTATAGAAATTATTTTTCCTTTCAGAGTTCACAAGAAATTCTGGTCGGCTGCTCGAGGATGTGGGTTTTTTAGCCTTAACAGTGGGCTACTGGTTTAAGGATTACAAGAGAACGGTCCTGAAAAAAGGTCTCCTGACTGATGATCCTTCTTTGGTCAAGGTTACTAAGGCACCTGTAACGCGGCAAGTTCGCAAGAAAAGAAAGAAATAATCTACAGGAACGCGGATTTACTTGTTCTGGATATTATGTATTTATGTTTGTTACGTTATTTGGTTCGACAAGAATCAGTTGCTTCCAATTCATATTGTTCGAAGCGTGTTAGTCGGCATTGTCCCAGTCGGGCTGACGAATTGGACAGAACGAGGCAAATTAAAATTCCTCTACCTGATTTACAAACAGCGCTTCATGCAAATCCCTACGAGTAGTTTATCAATGTGGTTAAGCAGCTAAAGGGGAAGAAAAATGGTCTACCACTCTACAGCAACCGTTGGGGTGGATGTTTCGGCTTATTGACTTACGGAATTCCTGCGACATGGCTTGTATTTCTTTTTGGTTTTACAGCAAAGACTTTTCCGAAGCTATTGCAACATTTAAAGGAACATAAATCCTAAGCAGCGCAGTACAAATTACTGTTGTACGTTATCAGTACAGGGGTCGGTCTTGAGGCCCTTTTTCAGGGTCGGAAGATGGACTTTGTGGTTTCTTTTCAGTACCCGGGCTTCCGATTCTGGAATAATATCCTTGCCATGAGTGATATCCATTCTCATGCAGAACTCCGTCTTCCTTATCCGTGTTATCGTTGTTATTGTTGTTGCTGTTATCATTTCCCCACCATCTCGTTTGCTTATCCAATGCACTTCTCGTTCCTACCGCTCCTGTAGAAGTACTAGTAAACTTAGAAGGCTTCTGCTATACGGTCGTGTACGATTGCGGTTAATACTAAAAATAACCGGCATAAATAAAAATCTCATGCCGGTTACTATTATTCACAATATTATAATATAATATCTATCTTGCACATCGCGCATAAAGATATATACTACAAGTATAGGTCGCGCTAGCGCGCGACCAGTTGTGTTCGAGGTATGGAAGAATGAAAAAAATACAAAATATACTTCGTACAGCAATAAAAATGATTTTGAGAAATATTTCAAATATGAAACCCCAGCGAGGCCAGCTACGAAAATATTTTAACATGGTGAAATGCGGACAGTTTTCAAGTTTTCCGGTAAATTCGACCAGTGTTATAAAACTGTAAAAGCCTCCGCAGTTTTTCTTTTTGTTTGCATTTTTCACGGTTCTTTTTTACGTTTTTAATGTAACTTTATATTGCCGATCTAACGAACTGAAAACTTGAATTTTTTTGTACGACCGATAATATTTAAACGGTGATTAAATGAATGGAGTGGGATCATTAACACGATGCCCACAAAAACCATTCAGCCGACATTTTAGCGCAGAATTAAAGGAAACTTGTGAGAAACAATTAACGGTTGTCCAGGGTGACCTGGCAGGCTGCATCTTTAAATACTAATTGTAAGATTTTCAGCCATTCAGTCAAGCTCTTCAGTATTTATAAAAATAAAATAAATACATATTTATTAGATTTTGAATTTAGTGAAGCTACCTCCAGTATTACAGAGCAACGTAGGTTAGTGAATACCCAAGCTACCACCAGTATCACAGAGCCGCTATGTGAGTGAATACGGTAAACGGGCCGCAGGCTGGCTTTTAGTTTTAGATACCTCGTATTTATAAATAAATTATAAATTAGACAATTTAGACCGTGAGATATTGAGGTACTCAAATTTCTAGATATTTTTAAATTCCGAAATTTGGGAATTTTGGAGGCTCAAAAAATTAGAGGTAACGGCCCCGCTGCGCGGGGCCGAGTCGAAATATTTAGAAATTCTTGAAATGTAAAAGCTTTTGGAGCCGACTTTCGAAAAATTTATAGTTATTTTGAGGTATTCAAACAGATTTAAAAACATCTTAAAGGTTTCAAGGATTAAAAAAAAATTATAAGTTTGATGGGATTGACAATTTTGAATAACTATAGTTTAGGTTGCTAAGTTGCGAAACTTGTATTTGCTCATTCGAGACGTTTCTAGAATTTACTGGAAATTTCTATGAACTTTAAACGCTAAGTACTGAAAGTTTGAAAGGGTTTTTGAAAACGTTCCGGAAACCAAAGTTTTTTTCCAAGCTGCAGGTAGGAAGCTTCAGAAGATGCTGGATTTTATAAAATAATCAAAAGCTTCACAAATGGATTCTCGAATTAGGAGATAATTTCCAAAACTAACAACCTTTAAGTACTAACAACCTTTAAGTACTACAGCTTCTGAAAATTTTTTTAGACCTTCTCCAAAACTTAAGATTTTTTGCAAGATAAAGGTAGGAACGTTTGCGCGATGCTCTATTTTATAAAATCATCAACTTATCGAAAAAACCAATCTTGATTTAGGAGATAATTTCCAAAAAATAAGGACGTAAGGATATATGAATCTATTGACATCTGTATGTTCAAATTATCACTAAACGCAGTCGTTCACTTACCTGTTCCGTTTCCTCTAGCATTCTCAATCATCAGATCAAACTTCTCCAGCACTGAAAACAGATTTGCATTAATAGCTCCTGACTACTGTTGCGTAAAATTTTTCTTATTATTAAACCTGCACATAAACTGTTTAAGCGCTGAATCTCAAAAGTTTTTCAGCTTCTTTTCTGACGGCTCCATAAACCATAAACAAATTAAAAACTGACAAACGTATTATTATTCTTCTTACAATCCTTCAAACCATTGTGTTGTAAGCTTGTTCCGGTGTCATTGGAGTTCGGCTTCGCAGGTTTTGTAAGAGGCGACCCAGCATCCCGTTTAACCGTTAAAGATATACGATCATTATCCACAGCCGATAAAATGGATTTGCAAAACACATTCTAGAAAAGATAACCTTTTAAAATTGGCGTTAGTGTAGCTTGGACGTTGCATACCCGTAAAATAAATAGGGAGAACAAAGCCAGGAAGAAGTTGGTGGTAGAACAGGATATTACGTTAATCATGATTTCTGTGATTTATTGGTTAAAATATACGTGCAAATACGTTGTACAAAATTTGTTGCTTAAATTGCTATCTTGAGAACTTCTAGTAATTTATGACAAACTTGCTTAGTGGAAAACTTGAAGGTGGCTTGGCATACGAAAGCTGAAATTCATAAGTCAGCATAAAACTCACGTGGTAATGAAATCAGCGTTGTCTATTTTATTTGTAATTGTATGAAGTACAAATGTTTAAAAATCATTACTAGTATGAACAGGCTAAATTGGCATAATTGGAAATTTTTTTATTTTTGCCAGAGCGTGATTTTTTCATTTACGCGTTTGGTATTACCAACAGCCAATATTGTACCAATATTATTTTAGTCGTAACAACCACTCGCAGATGTGTACAGATCGTGTACGTTTTACAATCTGTTAGCGCGATTTATAATCTGTTAGATTATAATTCGGTAAACGAGTGATGACCTTTCGTGGCTTTATTTGTGTTGTTTTGCCACTGCGCTTGAAAATTTTGGCGAAGATTTAAAAAACCGAAGATATAAGTAGAACTAGAAAACATAACATTGCACAAAAATACGGTCACAGGCAAACAAAAGCGAAAGCACTATATTTTCATCACAGTCATTGTATGTACTCAACAAAACGCAGTTTTCATTACTCCCGTTATAAAAGCTGTTAGCACTAAACAATGAAGTTTCCGCATCAACTATCATCTCCACCTGGACGAACCGGCAGGAGCTGCAAAACCTGCTGGGCATTTAGAGCCGCAGTAGGAGTACCGGAACCGGCAAGTGGTGGTGGAGCGTCTTGTCGGCCTGGGAAATACGGAGGGGCGTTTAATGGCATCACGTTCGGATACAGCAGCGAAATTATGGAAATTAACTGCTGCGGCGAAAGAGCACGGGTATCATAAGCTATAGGAGACTGTGGGACAGGATTCGCACCTAATCAACATATGACAAAAAGGTTATTGATAATAAAATATTTGCCACAGTGTAAAGAAAAAAAAAATGTCACAAAAAGATATACATACGAATATCCTTATCCGCGGAAGAAATAATCTGCAGTAAATAAATATTTCGAATAAATAAAAACCACTTTTTGGTGCTCTTCCAGTTATCAAACATGCAGTTACACTTTTATTAGCCAGCTAGTTATGTAATTCGCGTTCTTTTACTTACTGCTGTTACGGCGACAAAAAAGAAACCTGACCGCATTTTTAGGACGTCAGAAGTGCTTTGATAAAGCAAAAACGTAAAAAATTAACCAAAAATTTAGTCGTTTAGAATGTATATTGGTCGGCGCTTGACCTTTTGTATTTGCGTCTGGACCACCACAGTCGCAAATGTTCAAAGAGTTTTCACATCTTATAGTCCAGACAAGATTACAATTGCACCTCCGACCCGAAATCTATTTCAGTGCGGGAGTACGTAATGTAAACGCACCACTTGAAATAGCCTGTATCGTTCCTGAATTTTGCTACAGCTTGCCGAAATACATATATAATATGCACTTCTCACCCACTTTTCAGGTTATTGGCGCTCTACTTGTCAGATAAGCGAAACCCAGAGAAAATCAAAGCCTAATGAATAACTCCGTCAAAATATTTGAACTTTCTCCAGTTACCGTAGGAAATGCGTGTATTTGTTTATTCTATTTTAACGCTGTCTACAATAAATTCAACGAGCTACTTGTGCTCATATTACTGCCTCCCAAACGGAAGAATATGTAGCTACCACCCAATATGTAGTCCGCTAATAAGAAACTGAATTGTGCATACATTTACATACATTATACATTATACTGTGCCCGTAGCTGGTTATCCATTAATGATTATTGAAGGACAGCTGGATATTGACACACCATATTAAAACAAATAGAGGACAGAAGAACAGAATAGCGTCTGAATGATTTCCCAGTACTTTATTAGTATGAATGATGTTATGAATTATGAAATGGGGCGTACAAAACAGCGCGCCATATACACAGGAAAAACTCGCTACTTTCGATTATTTAGATTTACTGCACAAATCGGCAAAATGAAACGGCACTGTTACGATGTGAATTCTGACCTTTGTAACATAGTATACGTACAGCAGCTCACATTGTTTGAAACATTTGATTACAGTACTGTAATGCAACATCTTCTCGTCTCTAGACTTCCAGTAAGTAATTTAATATTGACCCACGAAGCGAATTACGGGTATCACATGTGCGATCCAGTTAATGTGCATCACAAAACAAGATATCAGTGCATATACGATTATATTATATGCGCAATGCGTGTAAAGTACTTGTAGTACACAGTAACGAATGCGCGTGAACAATAAAAAATTCTACGAGGATTTCCCGGCATTTCCCCGGCTGCCCATTGATCCCGCTAACATGGACTGTACCAACTGTGCCGCTGCCGCCGACGATCCCGCATTATTAGTACCGGTGGGTGCCGGTGAATCCTGCCGGCCGGCGCCGTATTGCCCGTACATCATTGGTAAAGGTCGTCCTTGGAGCGCGGCCAGAAGCGCCACGGTGGGGTTCATGGGCGCCACCGGCTGCATAGGCAGAATGGAATGCACCAGCGAGTTGGATGACAGGTAGGGCCGGCCGGTTAGAGCCTGCAGCAGCGCCGATATCAACTGCACAGCGGAATTGTTCGGTTTTTTTGTGGTACGTCTCGTTGTAGTTTTCTTCGTCGTCGTTGCTGTAGTAGTGGTAGTAGGCGTGGTTGTGGTGGTAGTCGTCGTTGTTGTTGTTGTTGTAGTGGGCGTGGTTGTTGTCGGCGTGGTTGTCGTTGTTGTAGTTGTGGGCGTCGTGGTTGTTGTTGTTGTGGGTGTGGTCGTGGTAGTCGTTGTTGTTGGAGTGGTCGTCGTAGTGGTTGTCGGCGTGGTAGTTGTGGTGGTGATCGTTGTTGTGGTCGGGGTGGTAGTGGTCGTGGTGGTTGGTGTGGTAGTGGTCGTGGTGGTGGTCGGTGTTGTTGTCGTAGTCGTTGTGGTAGGAGTGGTGGTAGTCGTGGTAGTCGGTGTTGTTATGGTGGTGGTGGTCGGTGTCGTCGGTACCGGGGTCAACTCACGCTTACGTCTGACCAACACCATTCCATCGTCATCCGGTGACCCCATTCCCATTCCTTCTGGCCACTGAAAGGCGCCTTGGGAATTCGAGTCACTGGCTGCTTCCAGATTGGCCGGCTACAAATAAATGAAAACTATTAGAACCACGTCTCCCACTTTTTTTCGGGTTTATCATGAATATACCAATATTTATTGAAACTACTTCTACACACAATTTTGTATATTTATTATACAAAATAATAGTAATCTATAAACACAAATACCGGTACTTACTGTATTACTTGTATAGTATCATGTTTTTAGGATTATAACTACCGATATTAAGACAGATAAATATAAAACCAAGCAAACCTTTAATAAATTATTAAAACGGATGAAGGATGACAGGACAGTAAGGCAGGAAATTATGAAAACATGATGATGAGAAGCACCAATGAGACCAAACAATTACAACTATGTATAACGTGGTAAACATTTCGCATTGTACGTTTCTGAGTGTTCGGATTTCTGATGTCAGAATACGAAATTTCAGACTGGTTTCTTACTTCTGAGGAACTTTTGACGACACATGCAGCCAAGCAGGCCAGTAAATAAATGGCACAGTGCATTGTGATAGTGTACGCAACAGGTACTCGGTATCTATTCAGGAAAAGTGTTAAATGCGAAACTGTTACAACGACCGTCTTGACTAATTTTGAAAATGAAACTCCGAGCGGACTGACGGAAAAGGGTTTTCTTGACTTCCTCTCGCTTTTGAGTTTTGGCCGGTAATCAGCTGGATACTTCAAAATAGCTGCTGACCTTTTTAAAATATTGCTATGCAAATGGCAACCTCAAGCATTTTTAGCCGTATCTGCATAAATTATGACCAGATAAACGGATATAGACTGCAGAGTGCATAGCATTTGCATACGATGACTGTAGAAGACATTGTGCCGACTTCTTCCGATATAAATCATGGTCGGGTGTGTCTCGGAGTCTCCCGACCTGCTGATTCGTAACCTATACCTTTATTTGTATTGCAGTTTTGGGAAAAATTTTTCCAGGGTCAGTAATTACGATAGGAATGCTTTTCTAAACAATATGCGCATAAGCAAATTGCGGTACAAACAACAAATCGAAAGGTCATGAAACAGTAGATGCAAATTAGGTCGAATAAATAGTTAATAAGCAGTCGATGTTGGCATTAAGTCGCCGAAGTATAGGTTCAACTAGCATAATTAAAATTTCAAAATTTCAGATTTCTAATTTTATAAATAAAGCGCGGGTCATTAGCGTGCTTTAAACAGTACTCCTACTACAAGAGTATTGTGCGGTGATACAGAACATATATGCTTATGGTTAGGTACAGTATCTGACGATAATTCGCTGTTTTTAACAATGCTCGCAGCACTCTGGTGACTGTCACGTTTTCATCGAGTGCTTCGCGGATTCACCTACCTTATTGCAAATAAATTTTGTGAATTTTAATGTCCTTCAGAAGGTGCGCTGTAAGCATGAATTTCAAGTAACCTTCCATTTAATTATTCACGAACTTCGTAAGCATGAAGGATATACCCGTTTTTAAAATTCCGAAGGTAATTCTGATGTCAAACTTCACTATTTACGAAACCTAATATCATTCCGCTGCACGCAGGCCTAGTGGTGCCGTGCGTTCCGTTCACCATGACAAGCGATTCCACAATATCTGCTTCAAGTGCCGATTCTGGCACTGCCCGGCAGATGGTGACCTAAGAAATGCGCTGTTTAACTTTTTATTCCACCCTCGTCGCAACCGTTTTGCATTGTTTCCACAAAGCAGAATCAACAGGTGCATCGGCGTTTTTTGATTCCCTCCTGAACAATAATGGCTCAGATTTTACCGCTCAGAGATCGATGTACGAGGAGTTTGCGCAACGTCTGAGAAAACCAGCGGAACCATCTTCAGGACCTCCCCCAAAACCGCCTGTAATTCCAGATTCATTTGGCAAGTACCAACAAGATGGTTACTAATTGTCAATAATCAAGATACCTATATATTTTGAGCTCAATTTAGCATATTTTTATTATGCAAATATTCTGATAGAAGTGCCGTGTCTGTGTGCCGTATCTGTGCCGGTGCAATGGAATCCGTAATAAGCGAGTGCGTATAACTAACTGTGATGCAAAATTAACGTAAAGGTCACGCGTACAGGTAATCTCACTGATCGCGCTACGTGCCCACATTGCAATTTACGCATAAAACATATGGTTAAAACACTTCACCTAATTAACCAAGGGATAATCTAGCTTTTAAATTTCATGAATTTCAGTTCTCTCGGCAGCCAGCAGTGTAGTACCGCAAGAAAATAGTACCGACCACGGATCGAGAGCCACCCCGGAGCCTTCACAATTAGCACTCGACCAAAAAGGAAATAAAGATGGTGGTGGATACGGTTACTATCAACCATCCGCGGGTCAGTGATTATTTAAGCATTTTACCAATAATGGCGAAGTTTGAAAAAAATAAGCATGCAATACATAGTACCTACTATTATTATTATAAGCATTTGCACTTCCAAACTTTTTATGTTATTTTATTTTTGGAGTTTTTTTGTTACAGGGTATGATGTAGCAGCTTACTCTGTCTTGCTATCCATGCTCAACGGCCGACCGAATCCGCCGGCAACAACAGCACGACCAGGTCGTTATCCCAATGGAAATATCCCGCGGCCACCAGATCCACCCAGCCGCCCAGCAGCATCTCGTCCGAACACTTCCCGACAGAAAGTTCCCGCTACAACTTTGGCGATGCTCTTGTCGCTTATTCGACCAGTCTACGGTTATGGAGGATATGGTGGTTACTATCCATATAACAACGGCGACTAATTTATTGCAGTAAATATACACGTAACTGGTCTCATGATTTCATGGTCTGATTTTAGCGGTAGCTTTTATGGATTTGGATGCGCCAGTTTATGCACACTGGGTTGATCGTGAACTGATAAAGTGACTGCTTACGCATAAATTACAATCGTAAGTTCGTGCAAAGCGTTAGGTGCACTAGCATAAAAAGTACAGAACATCTATCGTGAGAGTAGACAATTTTCGTTCCAATTAAGATCGAATATAACCGGTGAAAGAATTGTTTTGTTAATCATCAGTACATGCACTAATATATTAAACGTCATCTATAGATAAACGAGACTGAAAACAAGCAGAATGATACAAGCAAATTAGTATTTGCAGTAAACTGGAAAATCCTTTTACAACAAAATACATATACGCGTCCCGGTTTTGCACCTCTTGTCGGTATCCCATGCAATCGTAACCATAGAAGTATACATATATACTGTATACTATAATTTTAATACTCGTATGCTATATACTGTGTATACGCGCCGCCAATACGGACGCTGTTTGCCAATCGAAATGCATTTGGCAATAACGTCTTCAAGTTTGTTTATCAATAAATGCCTCATCGCTAGAAATCCTAATTTACTACGATCCATTTTTAATTCCAGAAACAATCTTGCTAGAAAGGCAAAAACTATACCAATTATCTGTTAAAATAAACATGTAGGTGGCCTGTTAGGCACGCACAAGCCACTATCGAGGGGAAACATTCAGGTGCAGCAATATAAAAAATCTGGTAATCCGCGCTGATTGATTGAGACTTTGTATATTTCCGCGACGCTCTTTGAATTGATCATTCAATCTCCACCGAACTCCACCGAGCTAAAACGGGTTATCACATAAACGCGGGATCCGAGAAAAAATCCATCACGTAGAGCATTCAGGAATATTAAAGAACGACGATAAAGCTCATGCAGAGGAAAAAGCGTGCATGGCACACGCAAGCAGTTATTTTATTTGTGCTAGATAAAAGTTTTAGAGCTCTTCATCTGCCACATACTCGCTATCGACCCCGGTATCATAAGATGGCAGCGGTGGATTGAACATAGGCGCGAGAAATGGAATCAGCTGCGGATTGAGCGTCTGCGCTGTTCCCCCTCCTGATGAACCGGAAGACGATGGCTTCCCATCATCGTTACTTCCCATGAAACCATCAGGGTCGTTCATGCGGACGGATGCCGGTGGAATAAGTGCTGCGGCTGCCACTGCAACCGACAATTTAGTTGTAGCATAGTACTCGTAAATGTCTGAAGGTGAATACTACATGAAGTACTCGTATATAATATGCGCCTTCGGAGTCTGTTAATAGATATAGCAGATCTTCAATAATACTATGGCTCTGGTTATTCTATACGCGAACACAGTTTAGTATGCCAGAAAATAAGAACTGCGAAGTAAGCACAAGGAAGCTGTGATTTAATTCTTTAAACGGGAATCAGTGAGCGTCATTTACAACTATAATCAACTTATGATAATTAAGGTCATGCATTTGAATCGACAAACGTTGGAATGTATTAGTTTCGGTCATTAGAACTGGTTACTGCTAAGATTTTTATTTGCCGCTGAACCTGCATTACCAACCAAAAACGCTATTGGACAACATGCATGGCGAAAAACTGATCTCATTCAAACAACGATCTGTTTCTCACCTCCCCATGTTCCCTTGATTTCTGATGCTATGTTTTGCAAAGCTGCAAAGAAACGTCAGCTGTAGATAATGCATTTTCAACCATTTCAAGCAATGTGGCAAAAGTATTACCGGTTAAGTCGCCGTCTCCATAAGCTGGCTGCACATAGCTCGTAGAAGGGGGAAAACAATTAGGATGCGCACAGGACAGTACTTACGTATGTATGTTCGCTATGTTCTCTATTCTATCCTGTTTTTTTCGCTAGATAACTATTCGAAGACTATGGTACTTATTAAATGCTGCAGTGTTGTACACATTCAAAGAATGCGATATTATTACAGTAAAAATACTACAGTTCTAGTAGGCTGCTCTACAATATTATTAGGAAGCAGAAATTTACCTTACCAGTTCACACGACAGGCAAATGAGCGAAACAATAAAGCATAAAAGCGCCAAATTTCTTTGACACCCCTTCGGCCAGCCGTTGTCTAATGGCAGTTTTCCGGTCATTTTAGATGGTCAAGCCGTCAAGGTCAAAACTGAATACAGTTCGGAAAACAACAAGTCTTTGAAAATTCTCGTTGAAAGTCAGCGTTGTTGGTTCCGTTTAACCGCATGACAAAGTTATTAATAATCGCTTCTGCGCATAAAGCACCATTGAGAATTGCTTTGTGCGAGAAATTTAAAATGCGAAAATTGTCATCGCATTATTGTTATTAATGGTCTGATGCATGACTCTGGAGCATCATATTGGGCCTTGGCCATGACGTTTTATTCATTCCAGCAATCGGACGGACTGCTAATGCCTTACAAGGCCAAAATTTCAACAGAACAAAAGTACTATGTATGTAGAATTGTTCGTTATATTTACCATGAACATAATTTTCCAAAACCAAGGGCAATACAATACAATTTCGAACAGTTCCCAATGATCACAAAACCGATGAACGATTACGGACATGCCCATCAGAGTACAGTACTGATAACTTTATAACAATGAGTCAATCGTCTAAAAAAACTGGCAAAGATTTTAAAAACATGCACCGTTTTCAAAAGATTACTCGTGGCTATCACAAAGGCTTTATGGAATACCTGTTCAAATTAAGCGAATTTCCAACGGGGTTAATTAATCCTCATCGTCATCGAGGCTATAGTTTTCCTCTAGCTCATTCACCGAGAACTGCTGCTGAAACACCCCTTGTAACTGCGCCGCAAACGCACCCGCCAGACTCTTTTTAATATGCTCCAACTGGTGCATGTCGATATCTCCCATTCCGGCCATCCGATCACCACCAGTCACCAGTTTAATCTCAATGGGTCCACCGCCCATCGACTGCAGCTTTTCCCGAATCAGGTCCTCAATCTCACGGATTTTCCGATTAGTCGGGTTCATATCCGCAATAATATCACCAAATTTAACGGCTTTGGATTTTGGTTGTGTGCCTTTACCGGTGATGGTCCGACCGAAAGGAAGGAATGGGGAATCTTGTTTCTTAGCCGATACTGGCTGCTTGACTTTCACTTGATCCTTCACATTTTCAGCATGCACCGCTATAATACCCCACATATTTATGTACTTTACTCAGGTCAAGGAGGCACCGTAAAAACTCAAATTTACAGTTTTCAGCTGCTTCCCTCACTACAATTATCAACAGTATGTTTATCCAACTTCGGCGTACATAAAGCAGCCTATTACTTACCGTTGGCTTTCTCGATAGTCTTGGCATATTGCTTCAACCACGTTTCGAAATCGGCTCCAGCCTCCAGTTTTTGTCGAGCTTCCCGGATTTCTGTTAAACTTTTTTCCGTTTTCTCGTACTTGCCCAACGACGCAATCATGGTTTCCACTCGCTCTAGCAATTTCTCTCTGATGCTTGGGCGTATATTTTTCTACAATAATGATAACGAATGATTGTATTGTAATACTGCATTAAAATTAAATACCAAATATATTTACAGAATTTTTGGATAAAGATCTTGAATTAAAAATAAATGGCCTGTATAACAAAATGAGACAACGTAAGTGGAGTATATTACCCAACCATACCGTGGGATCCTTTAATAACTCCGCAACGTATTTCATTATCACACGGGCCTTCCGCAACGCAGCTCGTTTCTCCTCAGAGTTGACTGAGCGATCTTTCGATGCGAGAATAGCAGTTTTCTCCATTCCCTTCCAGATTAGTAGAGATACGCTTTTTTCATCACTGCTCATCTCATCCTCGGCATCATCGAGATCCTGCACTGCTTCTACCACTTGATCAGAGTCTGCGTATATTTTTTCTGGTGTAATGTCCCCAGCTGGACTCCCCTTTGCCATCTGCACAGCTTTCTTTGCCCACTTTTCCGCTGAAAAATCAAGAAAATGAACATGAACTGAATAATCTGATTTTAAAAGCAGTTCAGATTTTTGGCGTACCATATGCGACATCGTCCTTCAGTGTGGCTGCCTTTTCCTGGGGAGTGGAATCATCGAGTGGTGCGGCAGCAAACCAGTGGTTCAGCGATGCCAACAGCAGTCGAATAAACTGGTTTAACTTGTGCTTAAAGAGTTTCCTCGCTTCTGTATTCTGAAAACATAATGCCACTTGGATGAATGTACGGTAAAATAAAGCAGACAAAATGAAGCAAAAGAAATCCTGACGATGCTAACACAGACATCCTGATACAAATCAGGTAATCCAATCGTAACTAGTAATGGTATCACAACACAAATCGCGATATGATTCTACCTTATCCATGGAACGCTTAACCGCCACCAGTTCATCCTCAAAACTTTCCATGAGCGTATACACATCCTCCGGCTGAACTGGATACAACATGTGAGCTTCCATCATGCGCTCACTAATATCGACCAGTGCCTCAAACAAAGTTTCCTCAGCCGGTAAAAGTGGAGCGAGAGCAAAAAAGTCCAGCTTTTTGATAGCTTCTGCTAACTTCATTCCATCGCCTAACATTTCTTCAGTGATTTCAATATCATCCGGTAGCGACTCTTCTGCCAAGAAACCATAGCAGTAGATAGATAAATGTTCCGAAGAGTCTGCTAAGTGTTATATCGGATTATCATTTATTACCATCCGATTCCGATTCCTTCGCTTCCACAATTTCTTCTGCCTCATTTTCTGCAACAAATATTTTCATCATGGAATGCAGCAACCGGAACACTTCTTCATAGGAATCTTGGAAAACCGCACGGACGTTAGGGCTCTGCCGAATGAAAACTAAATAACTATCAGCACGACGAGCTTTCTGACAGGTTATCACCGTTTACATACCGACACAAACAATTCCACCATTTCGGCATATTCATCCAAACACGACCTAATAGCTTCTTTCCTAATACTCTCATCTTCAACTGCAAATCCTTTAGACATTTTCAGAATCCGTGCGAATTTCTGCAGTATCAGATCCTCGTCTTCCGACAACTTTCCCAAGTTCTTAAAGTCTATTCGCAAGAGCGCCTTGGCAATATCTTCCCGTTCCACCCAATCCAAACCCCGGAATATGGCACGAATTTTGGCCTGCTCGATGAAGCTTACGGGCGCACCAGTATTCGGTGATTTGGCTGCATTCTCCACTTCCGCATGGAGGTCTTCTTCTTCTTCGTCGCTTTCGTCCGCCGTTAGCGGCTTTCCTGTTGCAGAGCTCTGCTTGGCACGCATACTGGCGTCTTTTTCAATGAAGAATTTTGAATTTTTGAACAACTTGTAATCCATTTTTTCGCTGGCCTGCCGTAACTCATTTTGAATACCCGCTTCGCTGTCCGATTCACCGGGGACGATTTTAATGTCGGTCATTTCCGATTCCGGAACAGGTGAAGCCGCTTCGTTCAGTAAATTTTCCACGAGATCTTTTCCCATGATTACAAGGGGGTCACTGGATTTCTTCGTCTTTTTCTTGTCAGATTTGGGAACGTTGACTGGATTACAGGTAATTTCGCCAATGACAGGTTCCTCTTTCTTGAAATACGGAATGGAGCAAAGACGGCGAGAGAATATGTTGACCTCGTACATGCAAGACTGCGGCTCGGTCACGGACTCAATGTAATCGGTAGGCCATTTGTGAGTGTCACAGAAAAACTAAAATATTAAAGTCACTATGCGTATCAACCAATTCCAACATTCAACAAAAATTTTTACAGTAACCTCTAACTACGAAGTTTAGTTTTACTAATATTCACAGATAAATGGGTAACCATAATCAGTCACCTTTCAGTCAGCGCTGCTACAAATACAGTATTACTCGTAAATTGTTAAACAGGTTGCGCCTTGATCGGCTGCGAAGGCATGACAGGAAAAGAAAAGCAGAGTATACGAAAATGACAAAACTCTTTGAAAAAAACCGAACCAACAAAAACCAGTGCTTACCTTCACGCGAGTTTCGCGTCGTTGATTGGTCAGATCACATTCTGTTCCATTGACAAAATACTGCATATGGTATCGATCTTGTGGCTTCTTTTTCAACGCATCCTGCAACACAGAAACAACCACTTTAACCTTTAACAAATGGCTACCTGCTACCACGACATAAAATGGCAAAATGGCTAATAATGTTTCAAAACCTGACGATTGAAAAAGCAACATAGCACACGAATGCGACTCAATACATCAGAAATCAGTAAGCATTAATGCAATGCAAAATCCGGTAAAATTGATGAAACTGCTCGTGAATACAAAAAAAGTGAAGATACCGTACATACCTTCGACACACCCGACCAATCTTGAGAATGCGAATATTTTCCCAACTCGATAATTGGAGGCACCTTTACTCCGTTCTCACGATGGAATTGTACAATATTTTTCCCATAACAAAATTCGTAATGCCACCAGCCTGACGTCACCTGAAAACGAAACATGCGCACATTTCGAAAAAGCAACTCACAAAGCAAAAGAATCGATCGGATTACAAACGCCTTAGTTTGTTTGATGCGCTATTTGGAGTCGTACCAATTGTATGCATTGCCGATTGCTTTCCACGGGAATAAGGATCTCTTCAATATGGGATGTGGTGAGGTTGATTAATTTATCCTTCTCGTCCACTCGCGCCGGAATGGAAGGGATGGAACAGCGAAATGGCCTGCCTTTGCGATTGAGCATCGTCACATAGCTGCCAGCCGCCTCCTGTTGGGAATGCAAATCATGAAGGAAAATCCGACGGTGAATCTATTGGCTATTTATTTTTGTAGCCGTCTTTAGATTCATTGCTCTGTTGTATGAAAACTACTGTAGAAGATAAGGAGCATGCAGTCAGCAGTCCACACGCCAGGCTGCTGTACGACAGTAGGTTCTACTTGTTAATGATAAACATAAAACACCTACGAACCTCGATTGCTTCATTCTGTGGTTCCACACGTTTCTTACTAATAACAATGTTATACACTCCATTGTCACCAAATGATCCGATTCCATAGGGAGAAGCTGCATGTACAGGAACGAGAATTCCTTGGAGTAGTGCTTGAAGGATAACAACAACAGAGAACGCGAATGTACGCTCCGATAAACTCCGCCGCGACCAACGCAGCCCCATTTTCAGATGTACTCACGAATAAAATTCCCTCAAAACGCCATACGCACACATGCACAAACGTAAAACAGAAAATTTAAGGAAAACAAAACAAGTTGTAAAACTAAATACAAGTAAAGCCAAGTTTGTGTGGAATTTTCATTTTCTACAAAATTTGCTATTGCAGAAGTTTTTTGTGGCCAAATCAAAGCAGCGCACGTCAAGCATCACATAAATACCCGACAACTGCCAGCTCGAGTGCGGCTGATGTGGCGACACTCGTTGGTTAAGGATATTTGCGTTCCAGGGCGGAAGACGCCGGAAGTGGGAGATTTGTTTCCGGTTTCTATGTTTTGAACTGTTTATTAACAAAGCAAGATGATAGAGATAAAGCACAAAAGTTTAGCATCCAAAAGTACCAAAACTATTGAAAATATCATTTTGACACTTTGAATGATACTCTGGACGGATTGTTTCGGTGTCAAGTTCATATTGATTTCGATCCCGTACAAAGGTGCCTCATTGTCTGCGGCGGCGTCGTTTGATTGGTCAACTTGGTTATGTGGTGATGGCTGACGCATATTTTGATTCACTTGGCATCAGCTGGCTTGCCACCGCGCACACATGCATTTTTCTTTTTTTGGCACAAATCTTCAGTGATCGCTTCTCATTTTCATCCCCTTGAGCAACGCCTGAATCTAAAAAAAATTGTAGCAACCATCGATATGCAACGAAAATTATATTTATATAATTTTCGTTGTTCTACATGTACGGATCCGCTTCGTAATATCGGTCGCGCCATTCGCTAAGTGCGCCTGCTAGTTTGCTGGAAACTTCTCCGTTATCACTCTACGCAGCCATCCACCATGTCGCTTGTTGAGGCAGAAGAGCCTGGAACTCTGTTCCATCCTCCGCCGTACCTGCAGATGGATGCTCACGTCAAGGACATGACGCAGTACCAGCGAATGTACGAGGAATCTGTTAACTATCCCAATGAATTCTGGCGTCGTATTGCATCGGAATTCTACTGGAAGAATCAGATTGACGCCACCCATGCTTTCCTCGATGAACACCATTACAAGGACCAGCAGGCGCACGCGAAAACAGGCCATTCGAAGACCAATTTCGATGTACGCAATGGACCCATCAGTATCAAATTCATGGAAGGAGCAACAACGAATATCTGTTACAATGCTCTGGATCGCAACGTGGAGAGGGGTTTTGGGAATAAAGTCGCGTATTTTTGGTATGTCCGATCAGGTTTGTTTTTGTTGTTTCTTTTTGTGTTTTATGTTCGGGCATTACATTTTTTTCCTAGTTTGAGAAAAATCAATTAAATTAAAACAATAATAATAAAAAAATAATCTTTGAGACTGCCATGGACATCGGGTAGAATTTTCTGGGCTGATTAGATTAAGAAGTTTGATTTTTTAGGGAGGGAAATAATCCATCGGACGAAGGACGCATCACCTATGCTGAGCTTCTGGACGAAGTGTGTCGCTTCGCCAATGTCCTGAAATCATTTGACCTGCAGAAGGGTGATCGTGTGGCGATCTACTTACCAATGATCTTGGAGCTTCCCATTGCGATGCTGGCATGCGCACGAATTGGGCTGGTCCACTCGGTTGTGTTTGGCGGATTTTCCGCGGAATCTTTGGCGGAACGCATGCTCGATGGCCACTGCAGTGTACTGATTACAGCAGGTACAAATTAATTTTACGTGAATTCAACCATTTTGCACTACCGTAGAGATCTGCATTATTTTGAAATTGTAACAAGCATAAGGTCTTGTACTTCTACGAACTCACTCCCTTTATCCGCGGTTGATGAAAGAGACAAATATCGCATGTCTGGCAGTTTTTCAAAATGTTAAGTTTTTGTTCGTGTCTTTTTGTTATTTATTGGTACGTATTTTCCTTAGCTTTTCGCAGATTTTTGGGTCAGTATGTGTACGCAAGTTAGCAACAGTTTCGTCGGTACAATGCAGTAAGCATTCGAGAATGCCTTGGCAGTTAGTGCTGTTTATCCGCGCAAATTGCTGGCCGCTCCCATCTTGTCCATCCTCTTTGCACAATACGCTGAAGATGGGAACTGTCTGATTAACAGGGCAAACAGACCTTGAGATAACTCGTTGCTGGAAGATTTGCGCGTTGTCGGCTTGCGTCTTCGGCTTCCGGTTGAATAATTTCTTATTGATCCAGCAATTTGTGAGCAACATGAGAGCAGAAGAATCGATCAGTTTAGCCAGTGTCTCAACAAGGAGATTGTGATTGATTCTGGTTAAGGAACAGTTTTCTAGCGGCGGGATGCGACATCTTGAGAGTAATACTGCGGTCGATAGGGGATCGTTAATATCTGACGCGCGATGCAAATGATCCGCAGTCATATGATGCTTTTGCTCGTTATCTAACGCAGGAGCTGGAGTTGTTTTCACCTGGGGATGCGTGAGCAACAGCAATTAACACCAGTGTGCCAAGTTTCGCGAAGACATTTTCACATTGCCGCCGGGTTGATGAATACCAGTCGAAAGCCGTTTGACTAGTCAAAAAGTCCTTTTTTATTAATCCTCGCTGGAAGTATCATACTTCAGAATACCGAAGCATCAGCTACGACAAATTTTGTACAGTCTCCGCGAGTACACAGTACCGAAAACTTCAAGACAAGCAGATGCATGGGATAATTATACAACTGCATACCGAGTAGGCATACAACAACACGTGCGTAACAGTGCGTTGTATGGTAAATATTTTTATAGGTCTAGATAAAGTTTTCCATAAAATAGAGTAAGACTTTTCTGCATTAAATTTAGCGATTCAGTGAGAGGATTTTTACTTTACCAGATGGTGTTTGGCGCGGCAATAAATTTATTGATCTAAAAGAAATTGCGGACGATGCTTGTCACCGGTGTGCGGCACATGGACACAAAATAACCAAAAAAATTATTATCAAGCACATGGGATGCATCCAGGTATGCACGCCCCGAAGGCAGCATTTATCATCCGCTAAACTTATTGTGCCACCATAGCACTCGAATGGCTTGGCGAATGGCAATGGACATGCTGCGGGAGATCCATTAGATCGCATTGATCCCTACTGCAAAAAAACTCATCATAAAGAACTCGTTACGCGTTGGGATAGCAGTGTGGACTCTTGGTACCATGAAGAAGTGGCCAAGGTGCGATTCTATGCTGCGTTCCGCATTTTCAGAAGGGCAGTGTTGTCATTGTATGGTTTTATTACAGGTTTCGAACATTTGTCCACCAGTATGGATGGATGCCGAAGATCCGTTATTTATGCTGTACACTTCCGGTTCAACCGGTAAACCAAAGGGAGTTCAGCACAGCACCGGTGGTTACATGGTTTATACTGCTTTTACGTTCAAGTAAGTTTTAGAACGTACTTCCTTTTGCAGTGATTGATTATACTGAAATCATTGTTAAATTTTTATTTAGGTGCGTATTTGATTATCACGATGACGATATTTACTGGTGCACAGCTGATGCTGGCTGGATCACTGGTCATTCGTATGTCGTTTACGGACCGCTTCTTAATGGTGCCACGGGAATCGTTTTCGAAGGTCATTCGCATAATATTGGTCAGTAATTTCTGTCTTTCGTTTTTGAATTATTATCGGTTTTTAGGTATCCCGACGCATCCACACGCTGGTCGTTATTGGGAAGTTGTTCAGAAGTACGGTGTGACGAAATTCTACACCGCTCCTACAGCTATCCGGTCACTTATGAAATTTGGCGAGGAGTTGGTGTTGAAGTAAGACTGTCGATTCTGATTTAATTATGCGATCCACGTCATCGGTTTTTGCAACATATTGCCGTATACGCAATATTATAATTGTTCATTCCTCTTTGTCACCGACACTTGAAAAAGTATGGTGTCGTGGCTAACACAGCAAATTTGTTTTCCAGATACGATCGACACACGTTGAAGGTCCTAGGCACGGTTGGTGAGCCGATCAACCCCGAAGCGTGGTTATGGTATCACAAATACGTTGGCGATGAACGGTGCCCGATCGTGGACACGTTCTGGCAGACGGAAACCGGAGGCCATGTACTAACGCCGCTCCCCTGTGCCACGCCTCTCAAACCCGGTTCAGCTACTCTGCCCTTCTTCGGTGTCGTGCCGGCTATTCTCGATGAGAATGGCAAAGAGCTGACAGAGCCCGATGCAGAAGGTTACCTTGTTTTCAAACGACCATGGCCGGGAATTATGCGCACGGTGTATGGCGACCACAAGCGCTATGAAGATACGTATTTTCGAAAATTTCCCGGATACTACACCACTGGAGATGGTAAGCCCCGTTACATTATGATTTTAAATTCTGACTATGTACTGTAAATTGTAAATAATATGACGGGTTCTTGTGAATTGATTAGCAAGCCTATTATAATTATTATAGCAACTGTTTTTTATACCCATTGTTAGAATTACACGGGAATTAATACCAGTCGTATATCTAGAATATATTTTAACGTAATTGGTTTCTTTTCTTTTAAGGTGCTAAACGTGATGCTGACGGATACTACTGGATAACTGGACGAATTGACGATATGGTCAACGTATCGGGGCATCTTTTAAGTACCGCGGAAATTGAGTCTGCACTAGTTGAACATCCAGGCGTAGCGGAAGCCGCTGTTGTATCGCATCCGCATAAGATCAAAGGCGAATGTACGTATGGATTCGTTACGATGAAGGATGGATATAATTTCACACCTCAAGTTCTCGGTGAATTGAAGCACAAAGGTTAGTTATGTTGTATCGAGAAAATTGAAACTAATCCTGTTCTGATGACTGATGGGTGAATTTATGCTTAAACTTTGTAACATTATTCAGTTCGAGATAAAATCGGTGCATTTGCTGTTCCGGACTTCCTGCAAGATGCTCCCGCTCTGCCGAAAACCAGGTCGGGAAAAATTATGCGGCGGATTTTAAGAAAAATTGCAGTGGGAGATCGTAGTCTGGGCGACACATCGACGCTAGCGGAACCGGGCGTGGTGGATGTTCTGTTTAAACTGCGACCGGCAGATGCTTGAAATTGTGGATATTATTTTGAAATCAAGGTGTGCAGTCATATATTACGTTGTATGGGCGTCACAAAAAATGCAAATGCCAAAAAGAAATACCGATACGTTATGAGTTGTTGACCGTATAGTTAGTTTGTGCTTGTTTTGGGGACATTCCGCTGTAGTGCTTTGCGGGAATGGTAGTATTTCATGACCAGATTATTTTGAATTTTTCAAATTTTGACTGGTTTGTGGTTTTGATTTATGTGGCCAGCGGCAGCTTTGTGTGAAGTGTTCTTAACATTAAAGAGAACCAAACTGCTTGTTTTACCAGATACAGTGCGCCTATAGCAGATTTGAGACGGTTTCAGGTTTACTTTATTTTCACTCCTAAATCATAACGTCCTTGCGAGATTTCTAAAACGTTGCTACAGTACAGTGATTGTTGACCTTTTTCGGCAGATTAAACACTTCGTACAGAATCGAATTGGCAAGACAGCGGTAGACTAGTCATAAAAAACTTACGGAAAGAGAACGATTTTCATTACTTTAAGTGAATTCCTCTGCAACGAATTTATCAGAGTTTCACTTAAACCAACAGAAACTGGAAGAACAACGAGTTAGACTGCAACATCTACAAACATGGGCTGTCGAGTAACGAAAACAATTTCGCTTAAATTCGCCGCCGGTGTTGCTGTCCCCATTACTAACTCCGTTACTCGCGTTTCACCTGTTTCGTATTCGCCGGGTCGCTTCTGGTTCGAATGGTCCACAGGTCTCGAAGGCCAGCGGAGAGAAGCTGTAAGCGGAGATAGGATTATTTGTCAAATAAAACAAACAAAGTTTCTACCGGTGTAGACTATAGATATCTGTTGGCATGGTGTGCAAAACAACACTTTCAGCAGATTGGCGCAGAGGTTAGCGCGCTGGGCTCATAACTCAGAGGTCCGTGGATCGAAACCACGATCTGCTACTTTTTTTTGTTTGAAAATTGAGTAATCTGACTGTCAAAAATCTATTTTATAGATGAACCGTTTTTATAATTTTAGTTTACGTATTCGCATTATTCTGCTGCCCAGTGCCCAGTGCATCGGCATTTCCATTTCTATAATTATTGTTTCTCGCCAGAAAAGTAATAAGGAAGTAAGCGTAGCGGGTCGATGGTAAGCGCGGTGGGGCGATAGCTGGCGCTTACCCTGCCGCGCAAAAAAGTTTGCGGCAAACTGCAGTGGTGTTTTTGTTTTCACAAATCGTGCCAAACTCATTCAGTTTTCCTGCAAATTCTTTTCCAGTTATCCGAAAGTCGTAGTTTGAGTTTTGTTTCGATCCTCGTTTTCTGGGCAAAGAAAAGAACGTTAAGCCCTGTCATCCATCGGTTTGGTAAATTAAGCTGACAGGTGACAGCATCTGCATTTTGGAGACTTGAATCTCGATGCGTTGATCGTTGCAGTCACTTGCTGTGCTGACTAAAAAATCCGACGTCATGTCTCTTCCATTCAAACGCGGGCGTGGACGGCCGAAGAAAAACTCCGTTTTCTTCAGCCCTGATGGTGTAGGGCCTGCCTGTGGCGTCCGTAAATCACTACGAAACACTGCAGTTCCCGGTGTGTCATACAAAAAGCTAGTGGAATCCATCGGAATCGATTCATCGGTTCCACCGACCTCATGGCGCAAAGCCATCGATCATTCCGCGGAGATTATCCTCTTCTACCAACTTGATCTCCGGGGAGGTTTTCCAAAGTTGAGCAAAAGCATTCGCATCCGCGCCGAGGATTGCGTGTGTAACGGCCAAAGCGGTTCCTTGTTGATTCCGACAGTGTACGTTGACGAGAATCCTGTGAGCTCCTCATTTGTAGAAACCATCATCGGGCGACAGTATCTGGCGGATGGCGATGATCTCATGAAGCTGCTTGATCATGCAGGGGTCTTTCAGGACGGGACGGATGAGGCCAAAGCGGATGGAGATGATGTAGGAAATGGAAAGGTGGATGGAAATAAGTGCGAAGCAGATTATGGGGAAACGTGTATGCAGACAAATTTGCCTGCGGACGAAGGCATTTCTGCAGAGGCGGAGAAGATTAGGTACAACTTGAACAGTTAATAGTTTAGAATGTTCGGTTCACGTTCTTCTGTTATTTTGCATTATCGAAAATTTGAATTATTTTATCATTTAATTTAGGGCTATTTATTTTTTGTCACCTGATTTACGGTATACATAATTTAAAGTAATCTGTAATTTATAATTAGGCAATTTTTTATGCCTCATTAATCATTTATTTAAAAATAAAATCATATCTCCCACTCATAGACTCACACAAGTTGATGCACTCCGGTTTGCCACTGCACGCAAACGTGCATTTTTTCAAGTTACTTTGTTTGTTGTGGATATATTGTTGTTTCCCCGTACTGGTCGGTTTCTGAATGGTGTTCTAATGGAAAAATTGAACAAATTAAATTTCTGTCTTGGAAGAACAATTTTGATGTTTCAGTGATATACTGCCTTCCACGGATGCCACATCTGCCGTCAATGCAACGGTCATCTGTACGTCGAGCCACCCCGTTATGGATCTCACTTCTATGTTTACGCTACCGACATCCTTGCCTTCGAGGCATTTTGAAATGGAGCCTATGATGGTCACGGCTTCCGGAATCTCCCCTTGCATGGCCAAAAATGAAGGTCCGACTGTCCGCCTGTTTTGCAGTTTTAACGAATACATTAGTTTATGCGCTTTTAGCATGAGGGTTTTTACAATGTATTTTTATTTATAGAACTCGAGGAACCGGCTCTCGGTTTCGACGGCGTCGATGGTGATGGAACGGCTGATTCCGATTACGAGCAACCGCCTGATGAAGGTAATTGATATTAATTTAGACTGTGTGTATTGATGTGGTGGAATTAGCTGACTGTGAGCAGTTTTTCTTCGGTACATGCTTATCATATGTTTTAGATTCGGATGATCCCGATGACGTTGACGGACATGGAACCACGCGGAAAAGCACTAGACTAAAAAGCGCGAAAAAACGAGGTGCTAAAGGTGGGTTGAAAATTGATCTTCGGTGGTTCGTTTACGATTTTTTGAAAATGTGCCCTTTTGCCAATTGCTGTAGCAGTAGTTCGACTGTTTCTCGCTTTCGGTTTACTTCATGCTCATAGTTTGAAACCGAAGTTATGCACGATAAGGTACTAAAAACCTAGAAGATTTTACGTTTTCTAAAATTTAATAGATTTTATTAAATTTAAAAATATTGGGACATGTTTCGGAAAATGATGAATTTGTTGCTTTGCATTCAGCGTTAGTGATAGTGAAGGCGCTTTTTGTGTTTTGTGGATAGAAAAAAGCTTGAGCTAACTTTCTCGTAATTATTTTTATCGAAGGCAGCTTAGCAGTTATTCTGAGCGGGTCTGTGATTTGATTTCATAATTTGAGTTCTGCTCGACACCGAAACGTTGGTTTCGGTCGGTTGTTGACTTGTTATGTGTGTTGGTCATGTTGACTCAGTTGACTGAACGGTTTTCTGTACTAATACATAAGGGACCTGGTACATGGTGATTGTTACAGCTTTCTTCGAAAATTATTCAATTTTTTTAGTGTACACCTAAGTCAGAAGCAGGTTGGGTGGTATATGATCTGTTTGCAGATCATTCGTCTGAAGTCGACAAATCGGCAAAAACAGCGAAAATTTCTCGTTTGAGTTCACGATATGATAGTGTTCACTTTCCTGAGCAATGCAGTCGAGGATGCTGCAAGTATTGTCGCCGCAGCTCCGCGCGACAAAAGTGCAGTATATGCAAGGTACGCTTACATCGGTCCTGCTTTCCATTGTACCACTGCCGTCCCGAGTCGCCGCTGGTGGAAACTTCTAATTGAAATTGGATTTTTAAGTGGCTGTACAGTGAGTGCTGTTTGCATTTTTAAGTTACAGTTTAAAATTTTTAGCGTGCAGGTTGTTCCCATGAGACATGAGCGGCATTGTAATGTTGGTGTTGGTTTCTCTGTCAGTTTCCAGCTCCAAATTTATAATTTGTATTGTTAAACCGGTTTACAGTATACATAAAATCTTTTTGACCGGATTCTTATTAGTCGGAGTAAGTAACTTTTTGAGTTGAATAAATTTCGTGGTTGGAATGGCATAATTATGGCTGTTACCATCAGCTTGATATTGACGTGAGCAGTATTCAGAGAAGCAGTCAACAGCTAGGTTTCTGTTTCTCAAGGCTAATCAACAGCTCAGCTATTTATGAAGCCGATTAGCGGAGCTTTTGTTTTTCCTGTGTTCATGCAGGATAAATTGTAGAACGACCTGTTTGTACGTCTCATGTAAAATCATGTTTGGGGAGAGCATTTTTGTGGAGAGCATTCATTTTCATCCAAAACAGTCATTCTGAGCAGGTCTGTGATGTGATTTCATAGGCTGATTCTGTCTGAAATCTGCTCAACATCGAACGATGTTGCTTTCGGTTGTTATTTGTGTTTGATGAGTTGACTGGAGATATTCTGTACTAATACATAATTGATTTAATTATGGGTGAACTGTGCGCAGTTTTAACACAAAAATTAGCTAGGTTTATTTAGTGAGCGGGTGTGAGTTTATTTGGTGCAGGTTGGTTATTACTTTATCTGTTTGCAGATAATGTTTTGGGAGTCAACAAGTTGGCAAAAACAGCGGCAGGTGTTAATTTAAGCTTGCGATATGATAGTATCAATCATATCCCAGAGCACTGCAGTCGAGGACGTTGCAGGCATTGTGGGCGCAGTTCCGCGCTACAGAAGTGCAGTAAATGTAATATGCGCTTGCATCGGGCCTGTTTTCCATTGTACCACTGCCGTCCTGAGCCGCCTTTGATGGAACCTAGTAGCTGAAATTGTGATAATATGTATTTTCAACTCGATTGTCGCACAGTATTTGTTATTTGTATGTTATATTTTATTACTATTTGACCATGTCGCTGACCATCATGGTAGCCTTAGCATTTCTTAATTTTGAAGTGGCTGTATAGTATATTATTCACCGCACTTTTCGCTTGAAGGTTCCAAGCGCTCCAATCAAAATGTTTAGTGTGCAACTTGTTTCACATGAGCGGTATTGCAATGTCGGTGCTGCTTTTTCTGCGAGTTTCCAGCTAAAAATTCATCAAAATTTGTAATGTCAGTCCGTTAAGTGAATTCTTGTTAGTTTGGTTAGTTCTTCGAGTCAAATGAATTCTATAAGTAGTCAAAAAAATAGGAGAAAGAATGGAGAAATTATGGCTGTTGCCATCATCTTTGATTTTTGCAGTATCCAGTAAGGCAGTCAACAGCGAGGTTTCTGTTTCTCAAGAATACACTACGCATGCTCCACGTTCGCCGACCGTAGAAAGCAAAATCCGCGTGTTTAAAGGAAGAAAACCGCCTAATGCTCACAATATAACAGACGTGGAGGCAGAGACAAATCTATTCAAGACGTGTAAAGCCGATAAGCGGAAATCTTGCTTTTTCTGTCCTAGCAAGATAAATCGTCGAACGACGGTATTGTGCGTTTCATGTAAAAATCATGTTTGTGGAGAGCATTATGGTGCGGTATGCCTGCAATGCATGGAAAAAGCGGGCTTATGTTGATGTTACTGTAATTGCTGTGTTTTTGACACTGTATACTCTTTTCTTACTGTTACGATTCTTACGAACACTGGAAATTATTCCCGCCTGGGCCTCGTATTTTTGTTTCAAAACTAGTTCTGCGCAGCAATCTTCTTCCGCGGGTTAATCATGATCAATTTCTGTAGATCGATCTTGTTGTAAGTTTGCCACCGAATACACTCCTACGAAGCACAACTAATTCATCGTATAAATACATATGGTAGATGCTACTGCAAATGATAGGAAACCGTTCCATTTATAGTTGCTAAAAAAACGGGACAGTCTTTTTACCGCAGTATCACTTTCACTTACGTAGTACTCACTTTATACATAATTAACACGGAAGGACTACCGTTTTCAGAAACCGGAATACTTATTTTGCTTGAAAATACATTTGTGTTTTGCTCGACCAAGTGGACTTATGTACAAATACTTGGCATTCAGTAAATATGTTATTAAAAATTAAATTGAACCTGATCTTCTTAGTTTCCACACGACTATCGACTTTCGTATGCAACAGTGTTCGCTTTGACGGGATTAACCACTTTCCCGAACCGAGTACTATTGGCCGATGCAAGGAGTGCGGCAGTTCATCCGCACGGAACCGGTGCATCAAATGCAAAGTCCGCCTGCATCTCAGATGCTTTCCCGACTTCCATGATTCCGGTTAAAATACGCGAAGAGTAGTGTTTTGCACTTATGTGAAATTTGTGTTCAGCATTTTTCTTTAGATTTGCGGTTTAGATGAAGGGTTTTTCGCAGTGAAAGCACTGAATGGCATTATTGTATTGCTGACCGGTGGTCAGTTTGATTACCACTACGAGTATGCTGACAGATAGGTCTTTAAAATCTGCCTTGGTTGTAATGTACTGTTGGTAGCCTAAAATGTTTCTAGCCGGAAACGAGCTAGTCGAAAATGAGATTGTCGTGCGTATTGGTAAGCTCGTTGGTTTCAGATTAATATTCATATCATTCTACTGTAGCTTGACCTGAACGGCTACAAAAATCTGATGAAAGAATTTGCTTTCTGATTGATATACTGCATCGGCAGTTCTTAGCTTTCTCGGTATAATTCGAACGGGATTGGGTACCGAGAGGTATCGCTAGTTGGTCTGAATTAAAAGCACAACTGAACGGATGCTAGCGCAATAACCATCCGAAACAAAAACAGGAATAAATAGTCATTATTTATTCTGAATTTGTCAGATTTCGTGAAACTAAAGAATATATTAAATTTTTCTGTAGATTTGGATGGGTTCTCGCTGTACCGTACCGGTTCTCGTAGACAAAAATTATGGATTCTCGCTGTACCATTAAATGGAAAGACTGCCTCGGCTACTGGTAAAACTTTGTTTACATTGTGCTAATGTTTGCTTGGTGTGAAAATATATATTCACATTACATAGTTTGTCCGTAACGTTCTTTACGTTTTTATATGAATATGAAGTACGGTAAAACCTCTCGTTATCTTAACATCCTCAACTAATGTGGAGCAACATTAACGTTGTTTGTGTAAATGGTAATTACTGTAAATTATTCAAAAGTATATCTCATAGAATATTTTTTGCCAGTTTCCAAGTACTAATCATACTTTATGATGAACTCAAAACGAAGTTTGTATTTTTTAATGTACTCGTATGCAATACAAATTTGTAATGTACTACAGATTCTCGCTACCGCCTTAATGTTGCATTAATAAAATACATGTATTGCGGCGCCTCCAACCCCAAATTATCACAGCGCCACTGGAGGAAGTTTCCCTTTATAAAATACACCCCGGTATAACATACGAAACTGATGGAACCGTGCCTGTTTTTTATAGAGAGGTTTTACTGTAACTGCTTTATACTGATTAAGTTCTCGCTCGGTACAGCGTTAACTTTCGTTTTCGTCGTTAGTGCGAAATGTACTCGTACAATATTTATGAGGCGTCCTGTTGCTTTATCTGTATAAGCCTGTATAAGGCAGTCTTTATACTTTCTTCATCTCTATACTTGAACTAATATTTTCGATTAATAAAGCACCCTTTTTCTAACAGTGGGTGAGGAGGAGAGACCAAAAGCGCTGTCATGGAAATTAGGGAAACAAAAGCGATGCAAAATGTGCCCGAACAAGATGGATCGAAAAACCAGTCACCAGTGCCAAAGTTGTTCGCTGCCTGTGTGTGTAAAGCATTTCATGCGCTTCTGCTGGAACTGTGTGGATAGGTTTCGGGAATATCCGACAAGTATACCGGAATGTTGTTTAAATGGTGAATAAGTCATCCAATTGTGTATTACAGGCGACACTGCTGTGAGGATGCTCTAAATCATTCTCATATGTTTCCATAACATAATAGTATGTATTCATACAGACCAATCTTTGTGCAATGACACTTGTGCTTTGCCGAATACTTGTTTTCTGTTAGCCAAAAATAACAATATTTGTAAGAAAGCGGTTAACAAAACAGTCTATTGATGGACAAACTTGGATTGTTTTTGTAAGTATAAAAAGATGATGAAATCATGGGAACGTAGTCCTTATAACCACATTTTTAACATTTTCATTACCCAACAGCAATATCCGGTCAGCAAAAACACTAAGGAAGTAAAGCAATTGGTATTATCATTTCATCACAGCCGGAGCGAGTCGCCTCCAAATTAACAGTTCGTTATCCCAAAGAACAACTAGCAAACATTCAGAGAATCTCGGAATTAAGAAACTTCTATGATAAGTCCCGCTTCCTCTTCTCTTTCTTATGCTTGTGGCTGCGCTCTCGGCTTCGATGCGAGCGATGTCGTTGATCATGTGGACTCCGACTCCGGCTACGTTTCCTTTTCTTCTCTTTTCGACTCTCCTTCCCGTCGCGACTACTACTGCGTTTGCGCTCGCGCTTAGTTTGCAACAGCTCCAACAGCGATCCCGGTTCCACATTCTTCACCTCCACCACTTTCTCGGTTTTATCCACCTTCGGCGCAGGTGGTGGCACAGGCAAGATAATTTCCTCCAGATCCACAATTCTTCGCTCGAAGCGTGTCGGTTTTTCTTTGCTCTTAACGGTGAACACCACCGGGGTGGGCAGTTTGGGCTCTGGTGCGCCGTTACTCTGCCGTTCCTTCAATTTCTCCGAAATTCGTAATGATGCCTCCACTGCTTTCCGTTTTAGCTCCGCTATGCGCGGATCTTCTACCGGCGGTGGTGGCGGAGGGGGTGGAGGAGGCAGTGGCGGAGATGACGGTAGCGTAATGACCTCATATGAAACAGGAGGTGGCGGCGGTGGAGGAGGTGGTGGTGGCGGCGGTAAAAACTCCAGTATCGGTGCCGGAACGACTGCCGTAGGTGGCGGTACTGGTACATCTTCCTCCACAACCGGCTTCCGGAAACTCCTCTTCATCTCATCATAGAGACTGTGGTAAGGATGATAACCATGGATAAATCCAAACTTTGGATCATCCGGACCGTGCCGATTTCGAATCATTTTTTCAAACTGCGATCCATTTTTCACTACGTATGCTGCCATCTTTTCCATTGCTGACATCATCTCGGGAGTGGGCCGGCCGCCTTCCATTAGAACCGTGCTACGTGAACTAGCTGCACTAGCTTGTACTTTATCAATTAGGCTGCCGTACAGGGAAGAAAAAGCGCTCGGTTCCGCGAAGACTTTGGCAGCAGCCGGAGGGAGAGTCGGACGAGCAGCGGGAGGTGGTTTCTTGGCAGCTAATAAAGAGGGATGTAGATAATGATCAGAGTCTTCGTCTTCCGAGGACGAGGAGCTACTCTCTTGCGCAGGTTTATAAGCGCCGCTTTTGATGGAGTCGACTAGGAAACGAAAATATGGATGGAGGACATCGGTAGGCTGGAGGAAACGGAAAGATTCGTTATTCGCCTGTTTAGCACGGATGACAACTTCCAGCTGCTGGCCTTTGTCAGCGATAAAGTTTGCCGTGCGCTCGATAATGGTATTCAAACGTTTATATTGAGGCTGCAAAAAACAATTCAAGATGTACATTACAACTTTCGTTAATTCCTCTAATTAGTCGAAAGTCAAAATTCGAGAAACAAACAACACCTACCAAACAAATGTGTGACGGAATGTCGAAATCTTCGCGCGGAATAAACGGCTGCATTTCCTTTTCGTTTTCAGCAGCGGTTTCTGAAAAAGCGTAACAGTGAACACGAAAAATTTTCTCAATAATACGCAAGAGTGCACATGTACATACCGTAATACATATACGTATGTAAAAACGCTAAAAATCATTTAACTGGATCTACATAACATTTTTATGTAGATCCAGTTAGATCCAATTACGTAATCTAGTTGTTTACCCGAAACAGCAGTAGCACTAGGAGTTTCATCGTTTTTGATTTCTTCTTCATCCTTTTCCGGGCCCTCACCGGGAGGTGGTGGTGGAACCGAGTTATAATTAAATCCAATGGCATGAAATCCTTGATCTGAGTTATTGCCTGTAGCATTTTCAGCCGGCGTACGGGCAGCCGGAGAGGTGAAGGCGGTGCCGTCGCCCGGACATATTCCCTTTCCATGATCTTCCGTTTCTCTTCCACTTTCCTCAATCGCTCTTTCTCCTGAATTTTTACCAGATCACGGTAGCGCTCCGTCTGACATTTGGCTTCCAAATTGGACTCATCATCGTTTGGTTGCGGCGCCACCCAGGAAACCGCCGTCGAAGCATCATATTCCCGGAGATTGTGCAAATGCCCACGACAATCATACCTGCATACAAAGAAACACGATTACAAAGGAAAATTCACAACGTGCTTATTTGTACGCAGCCGAAACATAAACCAGATTAATATGGTAAATATTTCTGGTAAGAATTACACTTTGTTAAACCAGAATCGTCAAACGCGATGAACACTACTCCCGACGTTCTCCAATGTCAGTCCGTCATACCTAAAAGCACAAATAAGTGTTATTCAAAATTCCATTGAAGCAATCGGAATAACAAGTTCGTAAAAATTCTAGCTAAAGCTCTTTGATGCTTTTCCAACGCCATCAGTCTTTTCTTCCGTCACCACTGTGTAATCTCATTCCGCAACAGCTTAAAGCTTAACTTCACGTGATCGAACTCAAAATGTATCAATCAGTCAAGAAGAAATTTTACGCAGAAAACGGCAACTGATAACGAACTGATATCGTCGCTACTGAAAGGCAACACATTAAAGATGTATCACAAAAATTCTTGGTTTAAAGCGCTTTAAAAATAAACAAAAATATTCACTGAGTACCTTCGACACCAATTTCCGTTGGCAAACATCAGGTGTTCCAGCGATTCCACACTGTCCAGTCTTCCATACAGCCCACTTTCCATGATTTATTACGAACAACCCGTGATAGTAATGGGAGAATCCACAGGCCTAATCCTATAGTGACACTCTCTAGCCATCCTATCTACTCCCGATCAGCCCGTTTAACGCACCTGTCGATCATTAAACCCGGGTCGCCCATCCACGGAATCATGAATCGTCCGCTCTCCACTTGGCCCGCTATCTCGTCATTGCGGAAAATGCGGCTGGCATAACCAAACACCAGAAGGTCTTTAGGAGGGGGTTGACGTTTGGCTTTACTGGCACTGCCAGCATCGTCGTACTGGTCTTCATCGGAATCTGAATTCTGATAGGTTCTAGAGACCTGACTAGGATCGGAACGGTGTTTAGTGCGCCCTCGGCGGCGAGATGGAGGTTTTTGAAAGCGGTCCATACTGGCGTCAGCGGTATAGATAACTGATCAGTGCTATGATACAAGAAGAATTAAATGGATGAAAGGGGAATCCTCCAGAAAGCATCCACACTGACGCAATTTAGGACCGACAGTTCTGAAATCTCATTGATCACACGGATGAATCAAAATGTCACGGCAGGCACTAAGCAGATAGATGGCATCATGGCATTACCCTTTCCCATACGGTAATATACTTCCTGAAATTTCAAACCTCATGAATCTGTTAGGAAGGATAAACTAGAGTTCTACAGAATCGTAGAAAGTAAGAAAATATTTGTTTTCACTTTTGTTTTCACTTTTAACTTTCTGTTCCGTTTTTCTTTCTGTTTCCGTAACGTGCTGTACGATTTAACCCCTTAGACACCGCCGTCTGGTGGCGGTTCTAACTGGATATGCTTTCCAATAGATATACTTTCCATATGACATACCGTTGGAACATGTGTTCTGCCATTGCATGAATTATGATGCATTGTTGATACCGTTTTTGTGTTTGCCTTTTTGTGTTTATACGAGTAGTAATAGTTTTCAGTTTTTTACGTTTGTACTTTGCAGTAGTTCGAAGTTCTGTTCTGATCTTTCAGTTTTTTATCACTTGACGTTTTCAGGTTGGTTTCTCCGGATAGAACGGCGTACGTCAAACGCTTCGCATTATTAAAGTCCTACTCATTGGTGCAGCTTGTTACAACTGCAAGTTAGCTGCAAGTAGCACAACAAATCTCCTCGAGATTGCTTGCCATTACCCCGTTCCGTATGCCTGCAAGTGCCAATCGCACTCTAGAATGACGAGTTTTCAGAGAAGGATATCGCTGCTCAAGCCCATGAATGATAGTAGAAACCAGTTATCATGGGGGAATTCTCTGCCACCGATCTCGTACAAAGAATTGATCCGCGTCGTCGGTGTGGATCCCGATTTGGGACCGTCGTCCTGGCGCAAAGCCATCGATCATTCCGCGGATACCGTGGTGTTCTACCAGGTGGACATCCGCGCAGCAGTACCCTATATGTGCAAAAGTATTCGCATCTTGCGTGGTATGGAGAACGGCATCGAGCAGTTGCTGCCATCCGTGTACATTGGTAGCGCGGTGCTCGGTTTATCATACGTGAAAACGGTTATTGGACGATCGTATCTGGCTGACGAAGACGATCTGATGAAGCTGTTGGAGCATGCAGGCATGCTGCAGACCACCGAGGAAGCTGCGGCGACTGTCCAGGAATCTGACTGTTATCTTTCTGAACCGGTAGCGGATGATATGGAGAATTCTGTGCCTTATCCTTCTCATCTGGCCGATGAGGCTAGTCCCCGAGCGAAACGCGTCAAGCGTGCTGCACACGGTGCGCCGAAACCTGCATCCCGACAGTCAGTCAACAGGTGTGAATTTTTTTTATTGTGCATACAATATTAATTGCTTCGAGGGTAAGGTTACGCATAAAGTGCATCAAAACTTTCGCAGCGACATGACTTCGGAAGTCACGCGTCTGACAATTTTATCACTTTTATGTGCTAATTGTGTGGCTGTGTGTAGTAAACATGGAATATTCGTACACCTTCGATTAATTTGTCCACGCCAGTTTGCTGTGCTGACAAGTGAGTTCAAGATTATTGCTTTTTTTTTGCATTGTAGTAACCCCAGTAAGGTTGGTCTGCGTACGGATACGACGTCTGGACGACACCCAACTGGTGGCCGTGAAGCCACAGATTTGACGAATCTCCTGATTTTAACGCCAACTAATTTTGGCGCGAATGTACCCAGCACATCCACCGCAAACGGTATTTTGTGGTCCATTTTTTTACGGCAGATTGTAGTCACTAGTCAGTTTTCGAATACTTGTATTAATGGAGTGCATTGTAGGGCCTCAGATTTTTTATGTGACCAATAATACCGCTCCAACAAAAACAGTGAGCCAAGGCGAACCTGGCAGCGAAGGTTAGAGGCATTATGGCAAATCAAGTGTTACTTCAAAAATCAGTCGTTCAGATTTACTGATGCTGCTACAGTTGCTTAAAATTGTCATTTGTGTATACGTATATTTGATAGGAGCGTCGGAAGAGTATTCCCTACATACAGAGAAGCCTAAATCTCAAGAAACTGTGAGCGATGAAGATGTTGAAGTTATAGAAAAACGTAAGGCTTGCTAAAAATTCTGCGGCTGCGCAGTATTGCAGATGATTGCGACTAGGCTCGGCTGCGCTTTACTGTATAATAATATTGTATTTTGGAATACTGTGCTGTCTGTGCAGTGTGCATTAGATTGTTATTTGCCAATTTATTGTGCGTTGCATAGCCGATGCGGACGATAGTGAATGGGATGAGGGACAGGAAGGAGGTATTGGCAAAAGCGGCTCAAAATCTAAAAAGCGTCCTTTTACCGATGAACAGCACAGGTCTGTAAACTTGTGAGCTGTGGAATTTCCTTGTGTACTTCTGTTGGTTTTTAAATTTTATTGTGAAAGTTTACTGGGTTGACAAATCTTGTGCAACAAAGTCGTAATGTCGTAGATTTATTATTACACAACGCTTGGACATGGAAGATCAGTTTCTAGACACCAAAATGAAGAAGCCACTCTGGGACGAAATTGTCGAATCGATGAAGGAATACTGGCCGCTGATGCCCCATACGGCAGCTAATGTCGCCAAACGATTTGAAAATTCTTTCCATAAATACAAGACCGAGAAAAGAACTCATCATGATCTCGGCAGATCTCGATCGACATGGCCGTACTTTGATCTGTTTGATTCTGTGTATGGTCGCAGACAGCTGCCGGCGAAAACGAAAGCACCTGAAACTCGTAAGTTTTTTTTATATTGTTAAGAATTTGTCGGCTTCGACAGGATTTCGCTGTCTGATGTTTTTGTTATCTATTTTGGTTGTTTTACAGGGGCATCTACTGGTCAAGTAGAAGGAGCAAGTTCAAGCGAGTCGCCCACAGCAGGTGACGATGCAAATGAAGGAAATTCCAACAAGAGCAGCGAGTAATCGACGCGTTCTCCGAAATAAAAGAGCAACAACTACCATCTCCTTTTTCAGTAGAAGTATTGCTGTAAGTAATGCAGCAATTACTGTTACGTTTTATAAAATGTTGGATATCTGTATTCTGTACCTAGTTGTATACTCCGCTGGCTTCTGTTGACCTCTACTAGAAGATTTGTCTTATGCACTTTTATTTGTAACATTATTGTTATTTGCTCTATAAATATTCGCTTGAAAGAATTGGGCCCTTGAGATAATGTATAGATATTGTACAGCTGTATTAGTGTAAACTGTACTTTATCGGACAGCTGTTGCATACTGCCGCGGCACTGGATTAGTTTAGGTTTTGGCTGACTTCGATTTATACGAGTAGTTTTCTTTTGATAATATTATGTAGGATATTTATCAATATAGATATTGCCACATAGGCTGTATAATACATAACTACATACTAAGTTACAGCGGATCCGTTGGTCTCGCTTTTTTGTTCCTTTCACGAAGAAAACCTAATATTGTGATTATTAATTCACGATCAATATTAAGTACGAGCACAAGTAATTTAGCATTTGTTTGACGAGCAGTGAAAAGTCGATATTGTACTCGTATGTCAAATGGGCAGTTCACAGTGCGTTCATTCGGATGGATCCATTACTCTGGGAGAAAATTAAATCAGTGTTTACGCACTTCTGAATTCTGATGGCAAACATCGCTCGAAGAGATTGACAAAATAATACCTTTGTAGACAGTGAGACAGATGCGAGAGACACTCTGACTGCAGCCAAGAATGTGATAAATTTTGGACATTGTTGTTAATCGCCGCTTTAAAGTGTTTTTACGATTACTCTGGAACGATCTAGTTCTTTGTTCTTACTTTGCGGTTTTGGCCATTTCTGGAGGAGTGCTGCCTTATACTGCATGTGCACATCTGCAGTTACTGCCCCAAACTGGAATATTGACAATCAACTTTAATCCTCTTTGGAGCTTCTGAGAATCATGCCAGTAGGCAAGCAGAATGCAGCAGCGGTAACGCATGTTATTGGTGGTCGACGCATCGAAGAAGCGTCTGGTGAAGGGCCATCTGGTGATCCTTTAGATCGGGATGACAATTCATCCAGCAGCTCCCGACCTCCTGATGCCAGTAAACTGCGGAAGAGTGCATCGGCTATCAGCGCTACAAAATCAGCTTCTCCACAAAAAGCGGTCCAGACCAAGAAAGACGCTCCACGTTCTACTGAGGTAGCGAAGAAGAAAACGCAGGTTCGGAAAAGGATTCCAAAGAATAATTCAGCTAGAGCCAAACGTACAGCGGCCGAAGTTGGTTCGGAATCGGAGACGGATAGCGACGGCGTCAAGGAAAAAAATACAAAGAAGAAGGTGAAACCCACGTTTGCTCGCAAGCAAGGAACACACGCTGACTCCAGTTCGGATGCTGACTTTTCCGAATTCAGTGAGGTAACGGAGCCGCCGAGCGAAACAACCAGTGGCGGAGAAGATTTGGAGAGAAAAAGCGAAGAAGGCGGACCAAGCACCTCAGGTATTTAAAGAGAACTTTTGTAGACACTTTCCAGCAGAGCAATTCAACTTCTGGATTTTTTTACAATAAGAAAGCCAATATGACTTTAGTATATTTAATGCACTACTCAGCTAATGGTAATTAATTTTTGTTGCTCGCTTCTATCTTATTAATCTTTTCTGGGGAACTAAAAAACGTTTCTGTAATCAGATTTTATTTAGATCGCTAGTTTAGAGCAGGCTTTATATCGGAGCTAAATTTTTATGTCTTAACTTTTAACGTTTTAACTTTTAACTTTTAAGAGACACAATTATGATCCTGACTATATAATTTACTCTACCATTTTTAGAATTTATACGTATGTTAAACTGAAGACAGTTAAAGATCCGCGTACATTGTCTTGAATGCAATAGATTTATTACGATTTATGCCTGATTTTTCATTAATTTTTAGGTAAACCATGTGAGTATTGTGGCCGGAAGTTCACCTTCGTAAATCGCCCAGGAGCATCGGATCGCTTTTGCAGCAAAAGCTGTTCTCGGCAGTACGACGGTGGTTTCACTTCGCGCATAAAACCGGTTAAGCGAAATCCAACAAAGACGCCAGCATCGCCTAAAAAGAAACTCGGGCGTCCGTTCGGCTCAAAAAGCAAAAAAACTAAACCGTCTGCAGCGCGTAAGAGTGACCGTATCAAAGAAAAGGAGCATACGTTCCCTCCGTTTGCCGCCTATTTCGGCGGCGATGATTCCAATGACTCACTTGCAGGAGAGAAAGAATCCCGTCCGGGAAATGTTCCATTTAAAAAAGGACCCACGACATCCAAACACAAAACTCCTCCAGAAACGGAAAAACCCGCGAAAAAGGAAGAAAATTCACCAGCAAAAAGCCAGCCTTCCGAGCGTGACTCCCCTGAAATCCATGCGCCTCCACCATCGTCTTCGAATAATTCTTCCATTGCTACCACCCCGTCACCTACAAAAAGTCCGGAAAAACTGGACGTTGATGAGGCGAAAGAAAACCCAACAGGAAGGAGGAGCACTAAGCGCGCAAAATCTGCTATCGGGCATCTGTCACCTAAATATCGCAGTTACGTCAATGACAGACCGGATAATGTCAAAATTCTCATGACTGAAAAACCTCTGGTCAGCTGGGATGTAAGTGGAATTTGTGCACAATGATCTTATTCAATTAATTTCTCTGTAGTGGCATGCAAAATATTATTGATTACGTACGTCTTCAAGACTTTCTTGCAGTCAGTGCTTTGGCTCCGAAATTTGTTGCTTTATTGCATGCATCGTATTGCATATAAACCATAAACTAGAGTAGCTTTTTGTGAACGTGTATGGATAGGAATTAGGTTATTGTTGCGCGCGTGATTGGGTTTATGATACAACTTCCGAGTGCGTTTTTAGAATTGTTCCACACTCATACGAAATAAGTTGTTGTGACGCGTAGTATTTATCTATTTTTTATTTTTGCTAACCTGCTCACTGTCTTGGAAGTTTCGTGTCCCCATGGAATCCCATTTCACTATTTGCTTTTCTTTTTGCAGTATTCAGACGTGGCCGCCTATATTGGATCAGTGCCGGGATTGGAAAATTTAGCTATTGTAATGCTGACGGAACAGATTGATGGACAGTGCTTGTGTCTGTTCGACGACAACACCTGGAGAAAGGGATTCAACGTAAAAATGGGCCCATCTTTAAAATTAAGGAAAGCTATCGATATGCTGAAAGATCTCCAGAAAGACGAGGCTTTGAAAGCATGGCACGAAGAGCGACCGGCGCTGTTCAGCGCTGCTGTTGCTCACTTGGAAGGGCTTCCTGCCCTGGGCTGACTCTGGTGCTGCATGATCTCTTGTAATTCTGCTATTTCTATTTCTGTAACCCGTTAGTTGATCGTTGCATTCAAATCTTTTACATAATGCATGAATATTTGCATGCGGCTTTGATTTGTTTTAAATTGTTATTATATAGTCGTCAGCAGCCGTTGTTCCGGTCTGATTTGTTTTATATGTTACTTAGGTTTCTTAATGATTAGCTTTGATTTGTTTTAAATTGTTATTATATAGTCGTCAGCAGCCGTTGTTCCGGTCTGATTTGTTTTATATGTTACTTAGCTCTGTTTATCCGGTTACTGTAAAGAAGCTGAAAATGTAATCTTTCTGCCTGTCCTCCTAAATATTCTTTCCGTTTTATTTGTGCATTTTTTTAGTGTTTCAGCAGAAACACTTACGTACCTTCGTGAATCGGTTATTGATGTAATAGTACGGTAATATTACTTTATGAGTGTAATAAGGAAACCTCTAGTAGCCGGCTCGACATAAAATGTGCGATGACAATTCGTGGAAACTGTTATTGAAGAAAGTGGCACTGGTCAGTTACACCTGTGTCAAAAACTAATGCTAGGGCCACACTTCAAGTGCGATGCAAATTTCATCGAACTTTTTTCCTTCGCACAGTTCGAAGCTTTTCTCCGCACCAAAAAGTGCGAGAGGTGCGAACCGAAGAAAAAGTTCGAACAAAATTTGCTTAAAACGTGAGCCCTCACACTTCATCGAACTTCTACGAAACTGGCAAGTGAGATCTGCTCCGCCTTCACCAAGTCATGAGCGCAAAACTGACGGGATTCAGGTCGAGAGCTACTGCATTTCGGTTTGAATTTATAAATCTTAAAATTATTGTGACAATGAAATAATCCTTAATGATTCTCTCAAGCGGAATTGAATTCCTCCCTTGAAAAATGCGTCCTAACATTCTGCCGAAAAAACGTCTGTTGTTGACCATCCTGCTGTCCAGCGTTTTGATCACGCGCTATACTGTCCGTCTACTGTTAACGTCGTAACGTCTACTGTCAACGTCTAGAGTAAGTACTGTCCATTACAGTTGTATGCATATATAAATACGTGCTGATTTTTGTACAAAATCATATACACCTATAACCTCTCAATAAAAACGTCGCTGCACTGGCGGGTCTATAATTAAATGATTTCGTTTACAGAATTTTGGCTAGCGGTTGTTCTCAGCACGATATCGCAATTCGATATCGATTAGGGAAAATACATTTGCACAAATATGTACCACTAATTATTTTATGCTTTTTATCTGTTTTAGAAACATTCAGAATCACATCCGGTTGCTCGGTATTGGTCCATTCCTTCGCACTTGTGCGAAGGAGAAAGAAAATCCCCTCCCACCAAAAACGGTGCGAAGACGCTCTTTGCACTCGTTTTAAGAGAAAAATGGGCGAAAGGCGCTCATACTTTTTGTTCGATGCGAAGGATCCCTTAGAACATTTTGCGCTCACACTTATTAGCACTTTTCGTCTTCGCACTGTGCGAAGGAAGGGCTTCGCACTTGAAGTGTGGCCCTAGCATAACGATCGATTACATAACAATTCTTTTTTTCAAACTTAACTCTGTCGATTACGTGAACAGATTGAAATTCAATAATAGCGGAACACAACGGAAAATGTGGCACCAGAAAGAATTTTTCTAATTGTTTTTTATCAGAAAACATTCCCTTGAAGCAGACAGCATTTTTTATGGGAACTGGAAGCCGCTACCAAAAAATCCTTTCGGGCGTTTTTGTGAATGTTCTGTGGCAGCAACACACGCTTCAGGGCCGACGGTTACGTACATTCTCGCAGTTCAGCTTCGCTGCCAGTGTTGTGCTTTTCCGCCTCTTGAATTTTGCAGTTTGCTGTTGCACACTCAAACGAGAGTGGAAATTTTAAACTTCGAATACATTATTCGCATTGTGCAAACAGTTAAACTTCTGTACGAATCTCGTACGCACAAGACTGCGAAAAGTATATTTTGACGTGAGTAAACCCGCGATGGCGGAAAATCGCAGAAGATCGGCTTTAAGACCGCTGAATGGTAACCTGGATTATTCGAGGAGACTCACTGCTCCATCTTGTATGACGTACAAGGATCTGATCAGGATTGTTGGCGTCGATCCCGAGTTAGGCCCGTCATCCTGGCGGAAAGCGATTGACCACTCCGCGGACACTGTTGTCTTTTACCAGGTTGATCTGCGCGCCTGCGTCCCGCATATGAGCAAGAGTATCCGCATTCGTTGTGCGGAAGACAAGGGCCACCTCGTACCGTCTGTGTACATCGGCAGCACACCGTTGAGTTTATCCTTCATGACGACCGTCATCGGACGACCGTATCTGGCCGATGAAGACGATCTGATGAAGCTCCTTGAGTATGTCGGGGTGTTGCTGGGTTCGGAAGTTATCCTCGGGCAGACAAGCGAATCTGTTTGCTTTTCTCCAGAAACCGCGGAGAACATCCAGATTGCTTCGTTACCAGATGCAGCGGATTTACCAGATGATGAAATAGTGGAAGCAGCGCCGAAACGAGCGAGGCATTTCGTGGATGATTCGGAGAAAACTGCGTTTGATGCGGACAATATGACTACGTAGGTAACAAGAAAAGTTGAATGAATAACAAAATTATAAAAATTACATTTGGTGCGGATAATATGGCTGCGATTACGAGTGATGATAAAAAATAAATTAAAAAATAATAATAATAATAAACTGCATTTGATGCGGATAATTTGACTACATACTCGTACGCATCATCTTTGATGTACGTTCTTCGTTTGGTAAATGCTTGAAGAGTGGAAATTACTGGATATATGTCCGCACGACTGCTACTAGAGCATAGTGCACAGAAATAAATACGTACGCATTACAGTGATTACACTCATTAATTATTTCTTAATATAAAAGTAAGTTCTTCAGCGTATAGCATATATAATTAATAGTATTTAATTCTTCAGCTTACGCTGTGTACGACTGTTAAAAGTCAAAAACGAAAAAAGTGATTATCTGGTTTTTCTTATTCTTGCACATTTGCAGTGACGAAACAGAAACTGCGAATGATGACCAACCAACTCATCGCAGTGCCATTGATCTCGGGGATCTCTTTACTGGAGCATTACCGCCTTTGCCATTAAAAGAGGCTCCTCGAAGCCGTCGAAGGCGAAAAACACCAAAACTATCAACCGGTAAGTTATGAATGCTATAGTGCGATAATAATGTATTGATATTTTTCTTTTTTATTGAGATATGCTGAGATTTATGCCAGACTTCTGATCAAACTGTCGTGATTTAAATTTAGGATTGAGAGAAAAGAGTGACGCCAGCCACGAAGTGGAGGTGGGGGAAGGTACGCGTACATTACGTATCTGCAGACTGCTATCGAGACAGTATATTTTTGCTTGACAAAACGTGTGTCATAATGATTAGTGTTAAGTAGCCCCAATGTTGTTTACTTATGTTTGCTTTAATTTGAATAACTGTTAACGTATTATTTTCGTACAAATAATTTACGTCAGAACTTGTATTTTGAATTACAGTTAATAACTTTAAACACCGGAACAGCAGTTGATCGCTATTGTACAGTTTTATGGTTTTATTATAGGAGACGGCCACGAAATTGCACCTTCCACTGCCCATACAGTTCGGAATGGTACCACGGAATCAGTCAGCAAAGAAAAATTCAAAGATTTGTGTTTAGATGGTTTTGTACCCGATAGCACAAGCGAAGGTAATTCCTAGTGATCATTTCAATCATTTCAAACGCTTTTTTATTAATTCTGTTATTCTCCATTACTGCCGTTCTTACTCTCTTTACTTGCAGATTACTATGTGGGTTCCCGGACATTTGAACGTCACTTCGCTTTAAAAAACCCTCCACGGGTACTCAAATCCGCCTGTCGCCTCGAGGATACCACGTCTCCTTGGTGTTTTCAGATGGATGGTCCGGACATGATGATCCTGGATGAAAGCTTCCCAAACATTTTCGTCGACAACCGATACCATTTATTGGATTCCAAATTTCTGAAGCATACGCTTACACCCGAACAGTATATTTGGTACTTGATGTCGCGATTATTGGGCGGTACCCCCGGATTAATACGTTTGGCCACGGTGTACGATGTGCGAAAGGAAGAGAGTGATGGAAAGCGACAGTATAATTTTTACGAGAGCGTCTTAGGATCGGATTTCTTTCGGGTTGTCGAGAGTATGCGCCGTTTGATTGCTTTATCGCTACGACATTGACAAAATTTTGTTCTGGTTTTTTCAGAGAAAGCCAGTGATTTGGTGCGTGAAATGATTCCGGAAGGGGAAATGGATTCATCTGCATTAGCTGGTATTGTTAAGAATTTACCGAGTTTACCGCCTTCCTTGCAATCTTTCTTTGGTCATAAGTTTGCAAACTGGATGGATAAGTATCGTCAAATATGTCGTAAAAGAAAGAAGGTTAATTAGTGCCTGATTTGTTTAGGTTTCTGTTATACGTTGTATTGCTAATGCACGCTGATTTTGCGGTTGTGTAGCGCACAGATATGTAAATGAAGTTTCCGTTGTATCATGGAAATGTTCCTGCATCGTCTTGCTGAGGAACACATTTTGATTCTCAAGTTAAGACATATTTTGTGCACCATGCAGGCCACCAGCTCGCGCTGTATGAGATGCACGAAAAATGAAGAAGTAATCAGTGTCGGCATGATTGATCGAGCATTATGTCGTCAGGATTTTACGATGCGCCCTAAGACCAAAGTTCTGTGTCGTTTCAGGTGCTAGAACGTTTTTTTGCGCAAGTATAATTTTTTTCGGCGTTTTTAACATTTTGATGATTAAGTATTTAAAATCTCTTTGTGGGCGTAGTGTGTCAATATTAAACAAATCACGATTTTGACGCAAGTGTCCAGTCTACAATCTTATTCTAGCCAGCTACGCTAACTTATATGCAAATGCAGCATAAGTATTTAGCGGCACTAACCTCTGTGAAAGCGAACTTTGTTCAAACAGAAGCGTGTGAATATCAACTATTAATCAGAAATTGCTACATATAAAACGCTAATGCAGCATCGTTTATGTACATTAAGCAGATTTTTTGTTTCGTTCATTAATGATCGGCTTTTAGGGAAGGCGCAAGTCAACATTATCAGCTGCACACATACATGTCGGCAGAATCATCTGTCAAAAAACCACTCGTGCTGAGTATACTTAGTGAGTAGTTTTCCCAACATAATCCATAATGGGAACTAGTTACTTATAGGATAGACGTGCAACACAGACCGCTCGCAATGTCGGTGTAGTAGTCCAAGTTCTAAACAGTTTTGTTCAAGTGTTTATGCAAAACGTTGTTCTAGATACAAGAATTTCAGATCAAAGAACTATGTTGGACCGAAAGGAAATCTCGATAAAAGGTCAGTTCTACTACTGCATTATACTGCCGTTGCATAGGGTACACTAGTGCCTTATCGAATACGCCGGCTGCAGTTAAAAATTAAAGTACAGAGTAATAGCTCTCTACTATAAAATTTTAATCGCAATCCATCGCATATTAACAGGAATTGTTATCAAAGGTTACCGGCGTACGAAGTAACTTCATGTTAGCCTAAATACTCAAAAAACGTGTTACTAAATTACATAATGTATAATCTTTATACCGTATACAAGTATTCATTTTAATTGGTAATCCTATTGTATTTACCATTAGCCGCATGCAGCTGGAAATAAAGATAAACGACATGGCGCGATATGTGCTGTTATTGTTCATACAAAATAATCCGTAAAGTGTTATTATGTTATTTATAATTCCCTCAAGTGTCTCATTATTGCGTTGCCTTGTCTGACTGCAGGAGCAAGATGCTGTTCATTTTTCCCTTTGCGGTACATGTTTGCGGTGGTGGCCTTTTTGGGCATGTTTAATTTGTATGCATTGCGGGTGAATTTGAGCGTCGCCATTGTGGCGATGGTGAACCACACTAGCATTGCCGGTAAAAGGAACGAAACGATCTCGTCGCAAATCGGAACCGTTTGTCCTGTTCCTGCTGGATCTCAGCATAAAGCTGTGGTAAGCCAATATTATTAAGCGTTCAGTTTCCATATGACTGATATCTATCAGTATAATTTTTTGCACAAGTGCACCGCGAAATTTATTTTTTTAATTCTTCGGATATGCAACGCGTAATATTGAACATGTGCAAAGTTTGTATATGTATATACTGCAACAAACATACGACTGCTTTCCATATCAGTGTCTACCAAATCTTATAATTATTACTGGTATTTACTTAATAATGAAAAAAGTAGGCTTTATTTGGCCATTCCATGAAATAAACACGATTTCGTCAACGAGAATTTAATGACCTTTTGATATAACTGCAGTCCAACGGGGAGTTCAACTGGGATGGTCCAGTGCAAGGGTTGGTTTTGGGCTCGTTTTTCTACGGTTATATATTCACATGTTTCCTGGGAGGATGGCTGGCCCATAAATTTGGAGGGAAATACATTTTTGGACCGAGTGTTTTGGTTGGAGGGATTCTCACGCTTCTCACTCCGCTGGCAGCGCGAACGCATTACGGAGCACTGATAGCTGTGCGCGCATTGCAAGGTTTAGTAAATGTAAGTACAATTTTGCACTCATACTTTTGTAAAACGTAAAACTGGAAGTGGGCACATTGGTTTGTACTCGTACATATATAAATTTCTTAAACTTGAACATATTTTTTTCGCATAAATATAACAATTAAACAAGAATAATAATAAAAAACATACAGATTGAATACAAATAATAGGATACACATATGCATAAGTATCATGTGTATGCAATATATAGTAGCAATACTCCGTCATGGCAATGCCGTCATGGCATACTGCGCAGGATCAATTTTTGCCGTGTTATTATGTGTAGGATTAAATTGCGGGCTCATATGGCTTTCAAAATTGCACTTTTTCTTGGTTAGGGAGTCTGCTTTCCAGCTATGCAAACTCTGATTAGCAGCTGGAGTCCTGCAACGGAAAGGACAAAACTTGTTGGATTTGTATTCTCTGGAATGCATATTGGCATGGTAAGGTTATGAGAGGCAGATATGTAATTTCGTACCTCATGATTATTATATGAGCCTAATTACAGTATTGCACAGCGCTACGTAGAGACTTGACTATCCGTATAATGGAAAACGATTTCTGCATTAAATGTACGCGAAAATTATTAAACTCTGATGGTGGTCAAAGAATGTATAAACGAATTCACATTACGGCAGTACTGGAATTTTTTTACAGGTGTTGACGTTGGCAGTATCCGGCTACTTGGCTAATTTCTGGGGATGGGCTAGTATCTTCTATCTTTTCGGCGTGTCCGCCTGCATATGGTTCGTCTTGTGGATATTTTTTGTCTACGACACACCGTTCGTGCATCCATATATCTCCGAAGACGAGCTACAATTAATTACCAAAGATACCAGGAAGAAATCCAACGAAAAGGTACCGGATTTCCCGTGGCGGAGTGCGCTGACCTCTCTACCATTTCTTGCGGCGGCGGTAGCGCACTTTGGCGGCACCTGGGCATTTTTCACCCTGCTGACCAATCTGCCGACATACTTAAACAACATGCTACACTTTGATTTAGAAGCCAACGGTTTATTATCCGCATTGCCGTATTTAACAGTGGCCCTCTGCACACAGGCCTCTTCGGTCATATCGGACTGGTTACGTCAAAAAGGTCACCTGTCGACAACCACGGTGCGCAAAGGCAGCCAGCTGCTGGGATTGGTCGTACCATCTTTATGTCTCATTGGAGTCGGTTTCACGTGTAATTCATATATCGCGATGGCCTTATTGGTCGTGGGTGTCGGTTTGGGTGGAATGGCGTTTGCCGCGGTGTCGGCAAACTTCATTGACCTTTCACCACAGTACGCTGGGATTTTATTAGGGATTTCGCAGACACCGGCGATGTTACCGGGGATTGTTGCCCCGTATGTTGTGGGCGTGATCACCGGTGGACCCAATGGACAGACCATGGAGAACTGGCGGACGGTGTTCTATATCACCGCGTCTATTGGAATATTCGCCGCGATTGTCTACTGTATATTTGGCTCGGGAGAAGTGCAGAGCTGGGGACAGCGCAAAGCCAGTCTAATTCCGGATGCCGTTGATTTCAAATCGAAACCGGAAGGTGTAGCGTGGGTGCATCGCCGGCCTAGTCGGATATCTGCTTCGAATTCCGAGGATAGAATATCGGTTAAAGAAATTTAGATTATTTCTGGCATGTGTGCACGTGCTTTAAATGAACGATTGTCACAAGGAAATCGAGTGTAATACAGTATACATAATTCAATTTACATCAGTTACGTGGCCATCGAACTCCCAAGTTATGAAGGTGTAATTAGTGTACGCTATAAACAATGTACTCGTATTTTTGAGTTAAACTGTACGTGATTATACAAAAGAAAGAAGAGAATAACATTAGTCATGAGAAAAGAATAACATTAGTCATTATGTATGTAAAATTCGTAACGGGTATCAGCGTTTTCAGCCCAGGAAAAAGCCAGTTTCTTCTTTCCAGCTTTCTGCCACCGATTCGTATCGCCGAATGACGAATAGCAGCATATTTTCGTACAGCATCTTCGCAGGCTTGGTGTCGAAAGTGAACATTCGATCATTTCGATTAAGCATATTATTCGTAATTATGAATTTCGCAGATGACTTACAGAGTACTTGTCCAAAACTCTTACTCGTCCACTGTTTTAATAACTAAACGAAAACAGTTTTTGTTAAAACTGATGCGCGGAATGCCGAAGACGGTGCGCCAACAAGCAGAACATCTTTATCAAATTCGTACTGCAAATGTTTTTTCCATATTTGACTGTCGGGTAAGTAAGCAACATTTTCTGTGGATTTCCTGTGGATAAAATCCGATAAATCATGCAGTGTAAAATATAGTTAAGCTCCGTTTAGTATCTGACAAACAGTTGGAAAAAAATACGAAAACTATTTACAGATATTAAGCGGCCAATAATGGCCACTACTTTATATATGGAACAAACAAAAATTCGTAGCTATCGCTCCCGCTGAACACCACTCCCTCTCCCGGCATTTGATAGTCCATCCTCCATCGTGAAAGTGCACAAAGCATTCAATGTCAGCAAGAAAGAATATCCGCGATATCTACTCTTTCATCACATCGGTTGAAAGAGCGGCATGTGGATCGGCGGAGGAGGATGAGGCAACAGCAGAAGAGAGCGAGTCCGCAGAAGACGCTTCTAAACAGTGAAATGAGTGAGTACACTCAGTTACAGCAAAACAGGTTCAGTATTTTTTGTTCAAACGCTTATTTTCATCAGTTACAACAAGCAGTTGTTAACTGCCTATCACAATACATTTACCAACATTTACAAATTACATGCAGATTACACACCAGCAAAACTTTTGCAAAAACAAAGTAAACTGCAATTCTCAACCTGGCCTTGGGGTGCTCTTCAGTAAAGATTCCACTTCAACTAATTTAAGCATTAAGGGTAAAATTATTAATGCACAACAAATTAACCGTGGTCGATAATTATGTTTAAGTACATTAAAATCCAGCAATGAATACAGAATGTACTCTACTCTGCTACATGGGGATTCTACAGCCCGTAAAGCCTAAAGGATAAAAAATCACAACTAACTAAACTGCTGGACATTGATAAATCATTAACTGTACTGTCACAACAGGCTTTTTTAACCTTTTCCATCTTCCAAATTTGTGCTACCATCCTCGCCATCCTTCATATTGTGCAAATTTTCCAGCACGCCAAAGTGGTTCACCAGTTTTGTAAGATCGTCAATCGTCTCAACATAGTCCCCTTTTATTACACTCTTTATGCTGGCCGGGGACACGATCTTCCCGTCAATATGCACAGTGGGCACCAGTTTGTATTCTGTCTTCTTCTTGCCGGTTTTAACCGCCGTGCAGCGCACCTGCACACTGCGTGAGATCTTGGGAATGGGCGCCTTCAGATCAAGATCATAGAACATGAGCATCTTTTCATTGCGATCGATGAATTTGCGCCAGTTCGTCGCGGGCTGCGGATGGGGCTCCAACCGATCAGCCAACTCCTGAAATGTGATTGGCTCTGTTTTGGCTTTCTTGGGAGCTGCCGATTTCTTGGTAAGGGGTGCGCGCGGCTGAGGACCCTTCTTGCCCGAACGCGTAACACGAGGCGACACTCGTGCTGGAGTGGTCTTCGTAGACGACTGGGCAGGTTGCGCGGATTCCGGAGATTCTGGAGATTCTACAGACATCTGTGCGGAGTCAGCGGCTGTTGAGCCGTTGGCACTGGCCGTCGCTTCTTCGGGGTTTTTTCGCTTTGGAGCACGCGATCGGGGTTTTGGACGTCGCATTTTTATACTAGAAAAGTTTTGTTGTCGACCTTATATGACTTATATCTTATTCGGAGCAACAAAGGAGAAATAACTTCGAATTTAACTGGAGCTTGCTCTGTACTTAAAAATCAGCAAACAGTCGCGGACAAAGTTTACAAAAGCGATCACGGATTAATGCGCAAAAAACGAAAACCAAAAATAAGAAGTTCTGCAGACTGCATATGCGAGCCATTGCGAGGCCAGTCACTAGGAAAGCATAGCGCAACTTCCAACCCGCGTGCGGTTGTCCATGCCGACACTCATGTCTCATGGAATAAACGAAAAGGCTCGTTTTGATGATTTTTGTATTTTGCATTTTTGTTATTTTTGCAGCGTTTTTTTACTTCATCCTTTCCATGACCGTTTTCGTTCTGTAATAACTGCTGTTTTTTAGGGTTGTAAAATATTTTTGTGTATTTTTCGAACAGCAGTACCGCAGGCTCGGAGAATACAACCAATATGGACGACGTGGAAATGCCCGAGCATTTCCATTCTGGTTCTTTTGACGAAGTTGCCACCACATTTCCTGACGTTCCCTTTTCCACCAAAGCGACGAAGTCCGCATCATCCGACCACGACCCTCTCGGTGACAGAATCGCCGTTACCCGTGAACCCAGCACGCGTGATAAACTGTATGCCGTTCTGTACGAAGTGGAACTGATCTACGACTCATTCATCGATCTCATCTCCTCGCAGCCCATTTTTGCCAACGATCCCAATCTCTCCGTGCATTTAAAACCAGCCGAGAACGCTGTCGCTCCGGGACATCCCTCTGACTTCGATCTGCCGTTTTTCGAGTCCAGTCTGCAGGAATTGATCGGATTACTGGCCGAACGACAATCAGATTTTGACAAACTAGTGGCCGATGCAATTAAAGAAGCTGAGATCGAAGCCACGATTCAGGGATTATCGAGTGAAGCAGACCGGTTAAAAGACCAAGTGATGGTCTTTCAGACCCGTTTGAAGGAAGCCGAGCAGATTCTCTCCAACGCCCTGCACATGGCCAAACAGAAGACGGAGACGGTGAAAGCGGCGGATGAAGCGCAGCTCACACTAGACGACATTATCCGCTACGCGCATCGCATCAGTGTGGGCTTCTCGGCCGCGGCGCCCGCCAACTGGATGCCCGGCGATCCGCGGCGACCGTACCCGACCGAAGTGGAGATGCGGGCGGGTGTGCTGGCCAAGTTGCAGGATATTCCGCCGCCGCCCAATCAGATCTTAGCGCTGCCCACGGAGAATCTGACGCAGGTGTCCCATAAGTTTTTAGGCAGTAATGCCGGTCCGTATACGATGTCGCCGCAGCCGAGTAGTCAGAGCGGAGCGATGGACAGTCCGAAGACGCCAATGACGGCCGCGCTGCAACGCGAAGTCTCCGCGGAAGAGCAGGATGTGGAGACAATGAGCAGTGATTCGTCTAGTTCGTCAAGTAGTGAAGAAGAGTGATGCATTGATTAGGTTTCTGTGCTAGCATTTAACGCAGTTGTTGACTATTGAAGTTCCGAATCCATAAATCATTAATTTTTGTTGTATTTTCTGCCAGTTTTATCCGGTATGGCTGCGAGCTAAATAATTCGGCAGTAGGGAATTTTTTAACATTTTTAGTGCGTAACACTTACTTTTTATAAAAGATTATTAAATAAGAAAACTGCTCAAGACGAAGTCTGATTGTGAGATGTGAATATTACATTCAAAATCATTAGCGATACCTTTTTGTTACAGTGGCATTGCTTTTAATTTGTTATTGCGTTATGCGCATCAATACGAGTACAAGTCCGTCATGTTCTTAGAGTACCAGGCAGTTCAGCAGAAATTAAGCGTTAATTTTCGATATGTCGATATTAAGCCATAATTTTCGTTTTCGATTATTTTTGTTGCACTCGTATAAATAATTTTGTTGTGGCACAGATAAGAACAGATGATGCATTAGTAAACAAACTTGATCGAAATTAATTAGTGGAAATCTTGAACATAAAACCCGTAGAAGGTACGAATGTACCCATACAGCAAACCTATTCAAACAAGAAAAACAGTTAATAACAGCGCATCGTTCGCTACGCCTCAATGGCTACAGTCTCCACCGTGGTATCACTTTCGGCCACTTGGTCATGTGGCTGCTCCACAATTCCGGAAGGAAATGCGTTGTCAGAGACACTGACAGTGGTATTGCCATTGCTTGATGGTCGAAGGTGGTCATTTGCCAAGTGTTCACGGAAGGCTTCCATAGATGTCCCGAACGTTGTTGCGCATTCGGCCACCGGGCAAAGTAAAGTAAACGAAGGCGACGGGTAGGCATGTGCGTGGACTTGCTGGAAATGGCGTCTCAGGAAATTTAAATCGGCCACAGCGTACTTCCGAGCAGAGCACTCTTTGATTGGGCATAAAGCTTTGCCCTGCAAGACATAAGGAAAAATACAATCAGCTACAAACGAAATACAATCAGCTACAAACGATTTACGTACGGTGATAGTGAATTAGTGATACATAAGTAATCAAAAATGCCAGCTCAAGCATTTTCAAATTACGACTACAGCCTCGGTATAGTACCGCGGCAATGCCAACCGTCAGTCAAACAAACGCAATGTCTGCGCACACAGGTAGCGTTGTATTCACCTGCAAAGTGCCCAAAATCTCCAACTCTTGTGGAATGAGTACATCCGCAGGCGAGGGCTGGGTGTTGGTAGATGCTTCTTTTACAGGAGCAGGAATGACTGCAAAACATGGAATCGATTGAGTTTAGTCTGCTTGCTTGATTCAGATAGAAGATTATGAAGAAACGTTCTGAAGTATTATTAAAAGCAATGATTTATAGTTATACTATATCTAGCTCTTGTGTTCGGTCGAGTCGCTCTCGGCTTCCGCTGCATTCCGAGCTGCTGGAACAAACCATTGCAGTAGCGCTTGTAGCTATCTTCTAAATCGTCGACGGCGGGTCCACAAACATTCCGTACATGTTCTACAATAAAAAAGTTTAACATCTGGCAGAAAATAATCAGTTTACTGCGTTATAACAACACTGCAGCAAATTCCTACCAATGATAGCTTCCACACAAAACGCATCTAATAACTGATCGACCATTAATTTCTTTCCGCTGCGTTTCAATTTGGCGACACCTTCGGCATCGCCCAGTAGGTGCAGGGTTAAATTCCATGCATAACTCTTCCAGGCTGTCGGACTGCTAATATTGGCTGTAGACAGACTGCGTTTGAGATCATCCAGAACGGAGTTTTTGACATAAACATCATGGTTATCCAGCAACTGCGTCTGCTCAGGGCCGGGATGTTTCCAGTAGAAATTTACCGCTTCTTCGCCGGCCTTCTCTTCTAAAATGCAAAACTATTCAATATCGAACAATAAACCGAAATCTAAATTTAATTCAATCAAACATGCACTCAAATATTGAATTTTATCAGAAGCAGTAAAGCACTAATGCAAATATTAAAATTACATATGCGCTTACCGGTATCGCCGAGCGTTTCCGTTTCTACCACTACAGTAGATCCATTAAGGTCTGCTTCCACGGGCGGATCACAAACTTTAGAAAGATTCTGTTGCGATCTGCCAGATCGTCTGACAATGGTGCGGTATACCACTGGAGCGGCACTGCAAAATAAACCAAAATCACTAATTACAGCCTTTAAAAGCTGCATTCAATGACATGACATTGAAAAACATGACACTGATATACCGATATCCGATACTTACCAGGTTAGTGATGGTTTACCGTTTTAATACTGCATATTTAAATGCGGTTCACATTATTTATTACTTAATTCTTATGCAACAGCACAGCCGAAGCACTCAACAGCGGTAAATTATTTTTCTGATCCTTGTCAACAAATTATGTTGTAAAATGAAACCAGTGATACTGCGCTTCTCAAACCGAATGCAAAAAGTTATACTGTACTGCAATATATTTCGTACTCATTTGGTAACGCGCATGCCAATCGTCCTTCACAACTGAATTTGTGGCTTTACTCACGTTTGCACAGGCTGCTCCGGAACCGCTTCCATATCCCTTCTTTTTATCCCGGTTTTATTTCTAACAACAGGCATGCTGCCGATAAATTCCAGCACTTTCTGAAACTCGGATTCCGTCGTAATATTATCCTTATCCAGCAGACTCGAAACGGGCTCCGTGCCCAGATCGTAGTCACCCATGAAAATCGACGCCACTAGACTGGGTTTGCCTGTCGCAGGCAATCCCGCATTGGCATCCCCTGACTCCGGACGTATCCGAACGCAGCGCGAAATGCCAGGGAATTCCGAGCGCAGATCCAGCTGATAGAAAATAATCGTCTTGGACACTTCGTCCACGGCTTTCTTCCAGGTTTGTACGGTGGGTCCCGTGCTGGGACTCTGATCCGAGGGATAGTCCAAAAGACGTTCAAACGTGAAATCATCCTCACTTACGGAATACCGCTCCTTGCGCTTGCGGCCACGTTTCGCGGTGGACTTCTGCTCGGGGCTGACGGGCGGCTGTGAGGAGGTGGATGGTTGCGGTTCAGGCAGATCCTCGAAACGCTTTGGCTGATGCTTAACGCGCTGACTGTGTCGTGTCGTCGACATTACTGCTGCGAGGGCCCCTCAACTTGAATCAGTGTAAAGCACTTGCAGGGTATGCAACAAACAAGCCAAAACAGATAACTTTCTGTTATTTTAATAAAAAGCAACCAAACGATAAATTAGAAAGGAAACAGTCAGCTGAACATTTATGAAAACTGACACCGTAAAATAACGTCGCGATCAGCATTCGTGGACGCCTTGGACCATCCAAAGTGTAACTAGTACTAGTACTGTAAACAACAATCAATCAGCTGCGCTTCCTTACCCATGTGGTTGTTACCTGTTGTCTTGGTGTCCGCTCATTGTGCCAACGAGTGTATCACGAGTGCAGTTTTGTGTCACTGGTTAGTGGTATCACTGTATACTGTACGTAACTGAATGCAGTCTGACTGCCTGTTTCGTTTTTTTATTTCGTCTTTTTATTCGCGTCAGTAGCAACAAAATTTTTTGCACTTTTTACGTAAATCGTGAGAAACTAAAACACAAGCGAGTTACACAACATCTACAAACACAGGCGGGCGAATGACAGAGAATATTTCGTCTAAATTTGCCGCCGGTGGTGCTGTTCCCATGTAGATGCTGTGTTTCCCCGCTGTATTTCGATGCTGATCCGTTGACGCAGAAACTCTAGTGCTCGCGGTTCGCCTGACTGCTGCTGGATCATCTTTCCTAGCACGTTCAGTAGCTGGGTGGTTTCTGGTCCGAATGTTCCGTAGGTCTCAAAAGCCAGGGGCTTGAACCAGTAATCCTGGGTGATGTTGCGGTATTTCTCGGTCTTGCTCCGCTCGGCTAGCGCTGCTGCCGCTCCGGCTCGAGTGGATGTGGCTGCGATGTATGACAATGCCATGGTGCTGCGCCAGGTTACATTCCAGGCCAGCGCCTTTCCTCTTTCCCACGGGGTAATTGTCACTCCGTCTGGTCGTTTGCCATCTGTACGGGAGATTCCGGGAGGTTCCAGCCCAGTTTCGATTCCGGCCGATGCAAAGGCGCGCTTTATTACCGCTTTGAGGCTTTCGTGGGTCGGTTTCCGTCCGGCACTGAACTTGCAACTTGAACCATGATATCCATGCTCATCCGCTTGGTCACCGCCTGTTTCGTAGTATTCAGTACTTCTACAAAACTTTTACTTTTATAGAAGTATGAAACTTACGATTGTATTGTGTACTCGTACCGCAAATCTGAATTCACTTGAAACTACCAAACTACCATCCGAATTTTCCGAAAGTGTAGCATAACTTCATTCCTGCTCAGTCCTCCATGATGTATTTTTTTGTAATGGCTCTTGGCTTGGCTGTGCTGCAGCTGACCTCCTGTTGCCCTGCTCAGCATGAGCTCACCGTTAATAAAAGTGGGTTGCCCGGAATTACTGTAGTAACGCAGTTACACTGCAGTGCCAGTGATGTCCCATTTTATTCAATGGCTCGGTAAATTACGGGAAATTCCCGCACCCGCTTGTGCTCGGAAATCGGTAGCCGGGTAGCGGAAACTTTCTGCTAGGATCGGTATGTCTGTATCGGTATGTCCCATCTGAATCATAACATCTGTTTTTTTTAGTGAACCAGATTTTGAACGAAGCCAAAGAACGCAACGGCAACGGCACCATGTGGTTGCAAGGACACGGACGAGGTCCAAGCACCAGAGGGTTTCCAATAGCGGAATGGCCGCCGCAGACAGAGATAATCCGAGCGCCAGAAGGAGGCACACTGTTCATTCCCTGCAAAACAGCCACAACACCAACAGCTCGTCTGTATGTATGAAACATTAATTAGACAGTGACCGCTTTGTTTGTTTCACGATTCTGGACGCAACTGCAAAGCGTCGTTCAGGAAAGTCTGCGGAGAACGCAGCCTGATTTCTCGTTAGTCTGATATGTCCGTATTTTGTTAAGCAGAGGGCTCACTGAATCAGGTTTAGATGCTAGAACTACGTAGCAGACTGGCGCAATAAGCCAGCGAAAGTGATTTTCCGAGCGAACAAACCGGTTTTTTTTCCTTGTAGTTACATTCATTATTTCGTTTTAAGCAGGCTTATTTATGAAATACTGTCGTCAGTTTTGTCGATATTACAAATACACACAGGTGTCTCACATCGAGATTCCGACGGCATTCACATACAACGGAAGGCGGGTTTCTGTTCCCACGCAAGGGATATCCAGAAAGCCGCTCGAAGAAGTAAACTACTGCTGAAACTGCTCTAAGGAATTCATTTCCGGGGGATACGTTCTTAAGCGCACATGGTTCGTTGCCGACTACGATCTGGCAACCGGTGCGTTTTCCATCGAGTTGGAGAACTTCACGTACGCCCACACCGGTCTGTACAAGTGCCTGCACTCCAACGGGAGCCAGCTGGTGGTGACGCAGCGCTACTGGGTCAGCGCGACCCTCTTCCGGCACGACGTCTTCGATCCGCCCATGCAGAACCTCACAGTGCGCTACGGTGACCCAGTGGAGATGGTGTGCCCGGTGCGTTTTACGTTTCTGCCTGGATACCTCGCCACGCGCTTCCTGTGGCGCAAGGGAAACTATCTCTTACTTGCCGAGTCCATCCCGGAGATGAAAGATAAAGCCAGGTCGCCTTATGGCTTCAAAGGGCGCTTCCAGCTCGGAATGGGGGAGCCTTGTATGTGTAACGCGACGATGACGATCGACAGCGTCACATGGAAAGACGCCGGTTTGTACGAGTGCTGGTTCCGCATCGACGACCGCCTCGATGAATGGATCGTTCAGGAAGCTTACTTACACGTGATTTAACCGGAGCCACCATTTCACTAGCGATTTGGGCAACGGCGTGTACATACATCCTGTAAGCAGTCGTTTCTGTGGTTGTTCGATTTTTACTCGGGAATAGTTAGACATTTTCGTCGAAGTTTGTTTCTTACCCTGGAATAGTTTTCTTAACCTGGGCTTTTTCTCGAGCTTAATTTTTTTACTAAGGATCGTCCGGACTGTTTTTGTATTTTTTGATAGTAATCAAATGTCGGTAGACAATGATTACGATACATTCCATTGGCTGTAATCTTGTCTGAAATGAATTGTTGGGCTGGTTCAGTTTGTGTTTGCCGTGGTACTTACTAAACAATGATTAAAAACCTACAGAGACCATGCGCAAGTATAATTTTTTGGTGCTTTTAACCTTTTGATGATGAAGTATTTAAAATCTCTTTGTGCGCCTACTAGTAGTGTGTCAATATCAAACAAATCACGATTTTGACACAGGTGTCCAGTCTACAATGTTATTCTAGCCAGCTACGCTAACTTATATGCAAATACAGCATAAGTATTTAGAGGCACTAACCTCTATGAAAGCGAACTTTGTTCAAACAGAAGCGTGTGAATATCAACTATTAATCAGAAATTGCTACATATAAAACGCTAATGCAGCATCGTTTATGTACATTAAGCAGATTTTTTGTTTCGTTCATTAATGATCGGCTTTTAGTCAAGGCGCAAGTCAACATTTTATCACCTGCACACATACTCGTACATGTCGGCAGAATCATCTGTCAAAAAACCGCTCGTGCTTAGTACGAGTATACTTAGTGAGTGGTTTGCCCAACAGTGATCCATAATCCATAGTTTGCGAGGGCCAAACCAAAAGCGGAGAGGGACATTTTATTCTGCCACCCGGTACAAAGTAAATAGCAGAAACCATCCGAAATATTCTGAAGAGATGCAAAAAATTAGGCAAATTACAGCAAATCGTAACAGATTATTATTATTCAAGCGGTATTAATTATCAAATCTACAGATCCGCTACTCATTGTTTATTGTTTAAACTCACTACTCATTACTTACAACTCGTATAATTATAATAATTATAACAGGAGTTGAAAATTCTTTTCCTACTCGAGAAATCAACGTTGGTTTTCAGACACGCAAATGTACACCGTTATGGACCTTGCCAAGAGTTTATAAAATAATAGAGCAAATGGATAACAGGCCAGCGGAACTTCTTCGCAATATCGTAGAGCACGAATACGGCCGTCAACTGCGGAATGGGTGTATCTAGAGTTTCACATAAAAGGAGCATCTCCAAAGTAAACAACCCAAACGATTAAATTGTTAATATAATAACTGATTTGATAGTAATTCGATCCAAAACGGACGAAATATAATAATAGTGGGAGTATCGTTTTTCTCATGGTAATAACGTTTTTCCTACTCCTTTTTTTTACTTTTGCCTTTGAACGTAGGAAAACCATGTACCTGCCGGTCCTCAATAATCTGCATCTGTCAAAAGAATTACCTGTACATGTGATGAATATTGTGATAAAGCTTTGAGTTTTGATGAATGAATTTATCCGTCCAGCTGCTTGAAACTTCCAAAATTTACCACAGATGTGACAGAACTAGAAGCGCGTATATATGTCAGCGCAAATTCCGCCGCACGTAAACCTGAAATTAAATAGAATTAGCAAAGCTAATTCCGGTTAACGCAGCGGAGGTGCTCGCAAGGCTGGACGACTTGGTTAACCAGTGTCCAGCCAAGAAAACCCATTAGGGTGTGTCCTGGGAGGCAGATCCCGATGCTGTATAAGCAATGCAGTTTCGGTTGTGGACGTTGCATTTGTAGTGATTGTGCATTTCTGTTAGTGCATTTGAGTTGCTGTCGTATTGGAGTAAAGATGTTTTGCATTTAACAAGTCGTTACGTGTTGTTGTTGTTGCACCCGTAGACTGCGTTAACAGACGCTTTATTTTTGATTTCAGTTACATCACCAAATCCAGCATAAAAATATTGGCCGAAAAATTGTCTGTCACTCCGTAATATAAATCCGAAGAAGCAAAAACGTTCAACAAAATTCTATTTTCTACGCAATGATCGCCTTTAGCTGCAAGCGTGCCATTACACCATTACGCACTAACATAGTCAAAACAACCAGATTTCAAAGTCAAACATCTAAAGAGATTCGAATTCAGTTCGAATCCAATGTTCAATACTTAATGCAACGAAGGCTTCTTTATTTTTTTGTTGAATTACGACAGATTGTACGAAGTGGTTCGCCTTTCTTTGGGGTTATAGTAATCATAAACGACCACGCTCTGATCCTTCAAATCCTTCACTTTGTAAATACGGTACATGGTCAGCTTCAAACATGTAGGCGCCTGTTCCAACTGAAACACATCGGTGCATTCAGAATAACCTAATGCAATTATTTTCCCACAAATCGGAACATACCTGGTCGAAATACAAGTTGACCTTTGTATCCTTGTTTTCGAATTCGGTTTTACGCAAACTGGGAACAGTTTTGATTAATTTGCCAATCTCATCCTCGTCGAACTGGTAGCCAGAAAGAGTATTGACCTCAATTACGGCCATACTACTCATGCCTTCGCGTAGATACCTGAAAGCAGTTGCGTACTTAAGAGAAAGGCAGTTTTGCCGTCGGCAAAGTACAGTTTGTACACCTTATAATGTCTATGACCAGTTTACCACCATGTAGGCAAACATTTTTTACCGGCTGCAAATTCCCATTCGAAGGTCAGATTTTGACGCAGTCGTGGTCAAATTCAGATCGAACGCAACGTCTTCCGCCGGTTTGGCAACATAGTATGTCCAACTCACATAAGCCAGTGCTACGCCTTTCCTTGTGCATTCAGGGAGATTGCTTTTGGTTTTTTCGGAAGCTCGACGTTCTGCAGAACGACGGCTGTATCCGGGGTGATCGAGAGGCTACGTTTGGACTCATCATAATTGATATCCAGCTGTATTGACGGTGGATTGACAAACACCTTAACAAACTCCGCTAATCCCATCAGACCCACAACAGTATCCTAAAACAAAACATCCAAACTATAGTAAAATACGCTAAAAATTTGAATAATTAACTGACGATTTCAAAACGAGTAACACGGCCAGTAAGATACATCCAGATTCCAGACTACTCTAAAGTTACATTTTTTGGAAAGCCAAAGAGGAAAGTCAAAATTTACTTGACTTTCCGCGTGCATACGTAGTTCATGGACAAACCGAACAGACTTTACAGATACTATAGTAAATACTAAATACCTGTGTAGACAAGAAACCACCCTCAGCATTCTGTTTGGATATCAGCCATGTGACAACCGGAAGCGCAGATGAGAGTTTATCGTTGGCCATATACGCTAATAACGCGTAAGCGGTGGCCTCCACATCCTTAGCATTGGTCGGGTATGAATGGTCAGTATCCGCTCCTTGATCAGAAAGGGAAGCAACCGTGGTCCAGTACGCAGCTGTGCTGTTTTTTATCGTTTTCTGTTCCAACAGATCCAATGCCATAGCGCTCTTGGCACTCTTCGCCCGCGCTAAAGCATATGCGGTGATGGCTAGCGAATACGAATCATTGTTCAAACTGGTGAATTTCGATTCCAAATACGTGACAGCTGTCTTAACGGATTCGTCAAACCTCGATACGGAAGCTTTGCCAGACTCCTTGTACTGCAAAAAGGACAGAACACAGTAAGCTGTCAAGGCCACTCCCGAGGAAGCGCCGCCTTGGTGCTGTTTATCGATGACCTTTCCGTTTTCAATATATGCCCCTTCATCGTTCTGTTGATCGACCAGAAAACGCAGCGCTGTTTTTATCACATCATCCTCAATACTGGGAACAAATTCCACAGCTTCAGCGAAAACCCGGGCAACATAGGCAGTCAACCAAGTCGAGCCTTTCGGATCGGATGGTCCCCAGGCGCTGTAGGAGTTATCGCTGTGGCGGTACTTTAATTCTCGCTGATAACCCAGCTGCATGTTAGCTATAAGTTTCGATTTTTGCGGCTCAACCAACTTGTTGATCTGTTTGAGATATTTGGCGACGACCAGATTCGGCGTCGTAGTGGCCATATTCTGTTCACCGCACCCGGTAGGCAAGCGAATCAACTTGTCCAAATTGTTCATCGCTGCACCCAAAATATCGCCCACCACGCGCACCTCCACTTTATCGGAGCCGTCCACTTTGCCGGTCGGATTGGCTGGCAGCGCCACGGGAATATTCAGCGGAGACGATTTGCGAAGATCAAGAAATACCGGTCGCGTGAAATACTGCTTCACTCCTTCGGGTTTGATGGGAAGCGTCTTTTCCAGCTGGTCCGCCGCAAATGTCGACTGAGCGGTGACCTTTAAAGTTAGGTCACCAATCTGCTGCGGGATGACCGTGAAGGCAGCTGTGGTGCCTTCGCTAGGCTTTGCAACGACGTTCTTCTTAAATACAGCGGTGGTGTTGTCGGGATTGCGGATTTCCAGTTGAACCGTCACATCTTGCTGCTGCGACATGTAGTTGAACACAAGGACTTCAGCTGTGAGATTCTCGAAGCGGACAATGCTGAATGGTAAATTCAATACAGCAAAGAATGGTTGGAAAACTTTCAGCTGCAATGACCAAACGAATTTAACAACAGATAAAGCTGCAAGTACATCAGACAGAACCTGCTGCTTACCCTGGCAGGATCTGAGGTCAGTCCGAGTCCAGTGGAATTGTTTAAACTGAAGGCTGAAACCTTCCACGTGGTAATTGAGTCAGGTACTTTGGAGTGAATTTCCGTAAAGCCATTAGCACTATAAGAGCAAAAATGTAACATTTCATTTTTCGTTCTCGGCCCGGTTTTAATTATAATTTTTTAATTGTTCAAATTGGAGCTACGGCGTTTAATTCTTCCTGCTTACTCAGCCTCTGCGGTTTCAAACAAGAAACTCTGACGAAAATCTTTTCGCGTTTGGGCCGGCGCTTGCAGATTGTCGGCTTCCTTGCTTGATTCAGAAGTCGCTGAAGGCATCGGGGTACTGAGTTCGAAAAACCCACTCCGATTCTCAGTAGGTAGTGCGCTAGCACCGGACGCTCCCCCAGCAAACGACCCTATCGATACTGCAGACATCTGAAGGCTATTTAGGGATGCACTGCTGGCCGATGCACTCCGGGAGGGCGATTTTGCCATCATTGAGAACATGGGCCTCCCCGCTACGCCCGAAATGCCAGACAGCCAAGGTCTGTATTGGTAGGGTTCTGTTTCCGTTGAGCTAGTCAGTTTATCATTGGTCAAGATAAATTGTCCGGAAGTGTACGCTTTCTGGACATCATAGAAATGCAAAGGGAATTAAAGGTGTGTCATATGTTCAGCACCTTCTACAGGCAGATTTTCAATTACCTCAAAGTAATCCTGAGTCGAATATAGATTAGAAAGAGTGAATTTGTCCTTGCTCACAGCCGAATTCACCTAATCAGGAAACTTAATTAAAACCATTGAAAGTTATGTAAAGTATCAATGCGTATAAGGAAATCAAATTTTTTACTCCATGGTATTGGGATTTTGTATAACCAAACACCATACAAATCGTTTTCCCTTTCCAGGAGGTCATCTTAAATGCTTCATAATACAGTTTTGTCAATTACTGGGTAAGCGTAAACTCACTTCGTCTGAGGAAATATCGTTCCCACTTTTCATTAACAGCAGACCTTCGTCCATAGCCAGAAAAGCCACAAAAGACAAAGGACTTGTAGTGACTTTAAAGGACGCATCTTCCTCGGGCTTAGCGTAACCCAGACCACTACTTGGCTGCGCAGAAATAGTCACCTGAAAAGCCCATTTCAATAATCAAATGTAATGGTCAAATATGCTCCCAGCACTTAATGCCAGATCACATCTTGATTGATACGTAATAATTATAATTTTAACGCTATGTTACAATGTCGTATGAACACCATTACACTTTGTAACTTACAGCGTTCTTCATTCCCAACGCAGGCGCTAAGACCAGAATATTTCCCACGATTTCTTTATCCGCACGGACGTAATATACCATTAACCGACCGATACGGCCCATGGATTCCATCAAAGGAACGGAAATAACGACATACGAGCCAGCTTCCGAAGTTGAATTGCTCCAGAGAAAACTGTCGTTCGAATTAGACTGGACCTTAAATGGACAAACAAGTGTCCGTCACAAACAAAACAAAGAAATTCTGCCGACAACGAAAAAAACGATTGTCCCAAATCGTGTTTCTTAAATTTGTACTGTGAGCGACAGTAATACTTTTACAAAGGAATAAACTCAATAAAGACATATTTGAGCACATTCAGGATCTTACCAGGAACTGGATGACTTCGTTAGTCCGTGTGGTCATATTAATACCAAAACTCCCAGTTTTCCCTGTCTGTAGATTGTCCGTCAATGGCTTAATTTCGAGGAAACTGCTGCTGGGAGACTCCTTTCCCTTAACGGTTAAGCGTTTCTCCTCTTCCATGTAGATGACCTTCAATTCCATTCGACGCGCATGCTTGGGAGTTGGGATATCCGTCCTGATGAATCCATCAGCCGGAACCGCAATGGAAATTTTTTCTGCAGGAATGGGTTTAGGGGATGGTCGAGGAGGGCGTGGCCAAGGAAACGGTCGATGCCGCTACGCAGAAAAAGAACTGGATTAAATTTTTGATACACACAATACTAGAGGTAGAAATATTTCAACTTTTTATTTTGTGCGGCTTTGTACTGCCAGCTGAGTGCAATTCAATAATACAAAGTACAAAAGCAAAGCGGCTTTATACGCAAGCGCATCTGCTTACTCGGTGAGAAAATCCCACATCATCGCTGGAGGTTGATCGTAGCGGGCCCACCGGAACATCATCGTCAGCGACACTATCATCCGAATCCTGAACAACTACACTTTCGTTCAGATTTTTGTCACTGGAAATCCTTTTTCCCCAACTAGCACGTTTATCGTAAAATGACACTTCGATGTTTAACTGCTTCGTTCTGGGTGGAAGCGGACGTCCGGTAAGATCGGCCACACGGGCGCGCAACGTGTACGGGAAACCGGGCAGAAACGTGTCGGGGTTGTTTAACAAATCTAGTTTGTAAGGCTTATTGGTGATGGATACAGTTGTCGAGACATTTCGTGTTTGACCAGTTAGGGTTTCCGTAAAGTTAGCACGGATTTCGAGTCTGTCGTAGGAGTTGTACTTTCGATCCTTGTCCAGTACAGAACTAAGAGGAACATTAATCGCCGATCGTCCGTTAAAGTCCTGCAACATTCCAGAAATCCGGTGTTTCAATTTATGCCAAAAGCACAACTATAACAGCACGCATTTAAGTGGCCCCTGCGGTCCATTTTAAGTCAGAGAATTTAATTTAATTAAAACATCGCTCAATGTTTGCATGGGTTTTACCGTGATCTGGATAGATTTATTCAACGGAGATGGTTGAGGATTACTGTGAAACCCGATGCGCAGCACTTCGTCCGCCCATTTCGGTGGTGCAATGACGGTCACTTCCAGTTTGCCTTTAACCGCTTCACCAAATGTGTAACTGTAAAATATCCTTTGTACATGCGTTCACAAAAACTCTGAATGATTTTAGCGCGTTACTTTGCCTCCACGAAAAAGTTCAGATCGGAGTCCGACGGGGTCACGTAAGCCGGAGTGGACAGGATTTTAACGTCAAACCGCGGCAAAACTGTAGACAATCACACGATATTCAAACTCAAAATGCCACCACCTTATCAGTTTTTTAATTGATTTACCATATTCATCAACAGAGAATTCCTTGCTGCCGATTACATTTTCTCCATTCGAACTGCGGGCTTCGATCTTCCATACGCCCAATAACGGTTCCGACGACAACTGGACATCGCCGGCGAAATAACCCAAAACTGCAACAAGTGAAATCCAATCGATTGCGACGACTGGTTGTAACAATATAGAGCTGTTGATTGTATTGGTTGGTTACTGATTGCATCCGTCGTTGCTTACCAGTAGGGTCTGACGCATTGGAATATTGCTTGATTATATTATTTTGTGGATCCTGCAAAATATGAGCTCACAATGATTTCGGAAGTTTTGTGTAATTTCGGAAGTTTTGTGTAATATTGTAAACAGTGTAAACACGCACCCGTATTTGCACAGTCAGCGGGATATAAACAGGAACCAGTTGTTGGTCCACAGTGACAATACGGAAGCGAACGGTGTCTCTGGCTTTATACAGAGGCTGGTCAGTTTGGACAAAAGCGAACTGTGTTTTAGCGGCATCCGGCTTATCCCCGTCAACAACTTTAAGATCTCTAACATCGCGATTGAAAAAATCATTCGAATCCGATCCATTAATCTTCAAAATCACGTTACTGGCTGGTCGAGTTTTGACATAACTGGATAGATCGCCAATCTACAAATCAAACAACTGTTCACTTACCTGTACTTCTGTTAAACCATAATATCGCTGGCTTAATTAAAGCAGACTATTATTTAATCACAAGACAAGAGCATCACTTAATAACGTTCCCGCCTGTTGTCACCATCGGATGGATGCTTACAGGAAGTTCCACTTGGCTTAGCTGGTTCGGCTTGATTACGAAGGTCTTCTTGAACGTAAAATTATTCGACGCTGAAACTCGATCTGGACGACCGTCTCCATCAGCATCTGAATCATCCCAGCTTGGGGACTGCGGTAGCAAAATGATATCCACTTTCACATCGGACGATGCATTGTGGCACAGAATGGAAACAGGGAGTTTTTTCCCCGAGTGCACCGTCTTCGGCCCAAAAATCACGTAATCCAGACCACTGCAGCTGCAGATCAACGCTGCTAACAACAGCAGAATTCTCAAGCCAACGGCTTGCATGATTACGGTTGACGCAGACAACGATCCAGAATACAATTGTATAATTCCTGTCAAGAAAGTCAAACAATAAACTCAAGCAACTTAAATCAAGACCATGCAGTAAAGCACGGCTGGAAAGCAAGTGTAGGCTTCCAGTCGGCAGCCAGATGTACACCGCAACGGAAAATTATTACTACGTAGGGACTAACAATGCTCAGTCTTCTGTTTATGTATAACTTTATAATTAGCCGCCAACAGGCCTGCTAATGAATAACCTGCCTCAATAAGCCCGGGGAAAATGTTTTCGAGAAAATGGGCTGGAAACTCGAAAATGATTGCGATCTATAGTAGATCCGGTCGGCCGACGATTAACAAAATGTTCGCAAACATACCGTGCATCCGCTTTCACTAGTACAGCTACTGACGTACGAAAGTGACCGGTATGCGACTACTGTATGTACAGTACTCGTACTAATTATTATTAAGGAAGCCGTATACTAGCAGAAATAGATATCTATATATTAAAGCACCAACCTATTTAAAAATTTAAATAAGTTATCAACAAATTATTTTATGATTGACAAGCCAGCTGCAGTGATATTTTGCTTATCAAATTGTCAGCCGAATTCAAAAAAGTATTCCGATGTGCAGTAACAGTAAACAAACAAACACTGTAAACAAACAAAACATGAATTCTTTCCACGCCCACGTGATTGCTGCTCTAGTTGCCATCTGTTGTCTTTTGCTTTAATTGTGACGTCTGTGCGAAGTTTGCTCTGTTATCACGACTATTACTACAGAATTTACATTTGTTCTGTGCCGGCTGGCTTCCTCAGTTTATCTTTGTCAAACAAGTCCCCGCCAACAAGTTAGCATATAAGGATCGTGAATGAATTCCTTTCGGTCTGCCTATGTACTTAGTCTTCCGCTTCCTCCAAAATTGCTAAACATTAAGAATTCAGAAACAGGCAAACTTAAATAAAAAACAAAGGCCGAAGCCTTTGTTTTTTATTTATTTATTTTACTGTATTTAATTTATATCACCAAGTCAAGCATCAAAAGATTGCTTAATCTACTCAGCATTGGCTGTTCCTCAGTAATAAAAAATCTGGAAAAACAACGCACTACATTTTAAACAAATGTGTCAGGTGCGATCGACTTAGCTGGAAGTGCACCATGATTCCCCTGCACAATAACCCGGTATCACCATCACAAATTCACAGTGAAATCAACTAGATCCAAAATCCAACCAAGCGATATCTAATTAAAACTCGCATCAAATGTCCCATATTAATTAACAAAGGCCTTTAAATTAGTCAGTTACAACAGACTGTAGGAAGCAGTTCGCCTTTCTTTGGGGTTATAATAATCGTACACCACCACGCTTTGATCCTTCAAATCCTTCACTTTGTAGATACGGTACATGGTCAATTTCAAACATGTGGGCGCCTGTTCCAGCTGAAATGAAAAGAAACAGTTAAAATTATAGTGTATTGTACAAATTCAAACCGATCAAAGTATACCTGGTCGAAGTATAAGTTGACCTTTGTGTCCTTGTTTTCGAATTCGGTTTTACGCAAACTGGGAACGATTCTGGTTAGCTTGCCAATCTCATCCTCATCAAACTGGTAGCCAGAAAGTGTGTTGACCTCAATTACGGCCATGCTGCTCTTTCCTTCGCGTAGATACCTAAAAGCAGTGACATCAGCGACAATTTTGTCAGTGCGAAACGTAAACTTTTACGTCAACGGTTCTTGGAAAAAAATAAAAAGTATATAAAATAAAGTAAGTAAAATATAGTATTTAAAATAACTTATATAAAATAACGTACATAAAATAACGTTTGTATACCTGCTGCAAATTCCCATTCGAAGGTCAGATTTTGACGCGGTAGTGGTCAAATTGAGATCGAACGCAACTTCTTCAGCCGGTTTGGCAACGTGATATGTCCAGCTCACATAAGCCAGTGCCACGCCTTTTCCTTGAGCATTCAGGGAAATTGCTTTGGGTTTATTGGGAAGCTCGATGGTCTGCAGAACGACGGCGGTATCTGGAGTGACAGAGAGACTGCGTTTAGCCTCATCATAGCTGATATCCAGCTGCATTGTCGGTGGATTGACGAACACCTTAGCGAACTCCGCTAATCCCATCAAGCCGACAACAGTATCCTAACACAATCCAAATCAAATTAAAGCACAGTACTAGTGCCTACATTGTATTCAAATAAACCGGCAACCACAACATTATTCAGCGTACTTCCAAACTAATTGCGAGTACCATACAAGAATTGATAGTTTCGAAATCCAAAACCAGTATCACAATAATTAATTATGCTTTTTAAATTAAAATCAAACAAAACATTTTTGATATATTACCTGTGTAGACACAAAACCACCCTCAGCATTCTGTTTGGATATAAGCCAAGTGACAACCGGAAGCGCTGAAGACAGTTTATCGTTTGCCATATACGCTAACAAGGCGTAAGCGGTGGCCTCGACATCCTTGGCATTGGTCGGATATGAATGGTCAGCATCCGCCCCCTGATCCGAAAGAGAAGCAACCGTGGTCCAGTATGCCGCTGTGCTGTTTTTTATCATCTTCTGTTCCAAAAGATCCAATGCCATAGCGCTCTTGGCACTCTTCGCCCGCGCTAAAGCATATGCGGTGATGGCTAGCGAATACGAATCATTGTTCAAACTGGTGAATTTCGATTCCAAATACGTGACAGCTGTCTTAACGGATTCGTCAAACCTCGATACGGAAGCTTTGCCAGACTCCTTGTACTGCAAAAAGGACAGAACACAATAAGCTGTCAAAGCCACTCCCGAGGAAGCGCCGCCTTGGTGCTGTTTATCGATGACCTTTCCGTTTTCAATATATGCCCCTTCATCGTTCTGTTGATCGACCAGAAAACGCAGCGCTGTTTTTATCACATCATCCTCAATACTGGGAACAAATTCCACAGCTTCAGCGAAAACCCGGGCAACATAGGCAGTCAACCAAGTCGAGCCTTTCGGATCGGATGGTCCCCAGGCGCTGTAGGAGTTATCGCTGTGGCGGTACTTTAATTCTCGCTGATAACCCAGCTGCATGTTAGCTATAAGTTTCGATTTTTGCGGCTCAACCAACTTGTTGATCTGTTTGAGATATTTGGCGACGACCAGATTCGGCGTCGTAGTGGCCATATTCTGTTCACCGCACCCGGTAGGCAAGCGAATCAACTTGTCCAAATTGTTCATCGCTGCACCCAAAATATCGCCCACCACGCGCACCTCCACTTTATCGGAGCCGTCCACTTTGCCGGTCGGATTGGCTGGCAGCGCCACGGGAATATTCAGCGGAGACGATTTGCGAAGATCAAGAAATACCGGTCGCGTGAAATACTGCTTCACTCCTTCGGGTTTGACGGGAAGCGTCTTTTCCAGCTGGTCCGCCGCAAATGTCGACTGAGCGGTGACCTTTAAAGTTAGGTCACCAATCTGCTGCGGGATGACCGTGAAGGCAGCTGTGGTGCCTTCGCTAGGCTTGGCAACGACGTTCTTCTTAAATACAGCGGTGGTGTTGTCGGGATTGCGGATTTCCAGTTGAACCGTCACATCTTGCTGCTGCGACATGTAGTTGAACACAAGGACTTCAGCTGTGAGATTCTCGAAGCGGACAATGCTGAACGGCAAATTCAGCACAGCAAAAAACGGTTGGAAAACTTTCAGCTACAAGAATGCAATCAAAATTTAATTACAGATAAAGGGACCAGATCGTCAGACAGAGCCCAATACTTACTTTGGCAGGAACCGAGGTCAATCCAAGTCCAGTGGAATTGTTTAGACTGAAGGCCGAAATTTTCCATGTGGTAATTGAGTCAGGTACTTTGGAGTGGATTTCCGTAAACCCATTCGCACTATAAGAGGAGAAAACTGATAATTATTCTTTTCTCGATTGCAATTATAATTTTAGAATTATTTAAATATGAAAAGTGGGATGTGATTTGTTGTGCTTACTCAGCCGCCGCAGTTTCAAACAAAAAGCTCTGACGAAAATCTTTTCGCGTTTGAGCCGGCGCCTGTACATTGTCAGCTTCTTTGCTGGATTCCGAGGTCGCTGGGGGCACCGGTGTAGTAATTTCTTGGACATGTGGCGCGCGAAAAATTTGGCTGCTACTAGAAACAGCGTTGGCAGCGGACGCTCCACCAAAGATATCAGGAGCAGACATTCCTAGAGATATTTGACTACTTTGCGGCGCAGCGCTGGCCATGCCGCGGAAGGAGTTGGGCGCTGCCCCCAAGATGGGAATGCTTTCTTCGGCCCAGGTGTTATAACTGAAAGGTCTGTAGTAAAAGGGTTCTGTTTCCGTCGAACTGGTCAGTTTATCATTGGTTAGGATGAACTGTCCGGAAGTGTACGCGGTCTGGACAACATAAAACCCAAATGAAGAGTTGCGCGACACATGATTGTGAACAGATTTTCTATTACCTCAAAATAATCCTGAGTCGAGTAGAGATCAGAGAGCGTGAATTTGTCTTTGTTCGCAACCGTATTCACCTAAATAACGAAATTATGACCACTTAAAGATATTGCAAAAACGCATTCTTGTGTTTGTAGTGCTAATTGTACTACATGCACAAGGAATGGTAATTAATTTTTCTGCCCAAGAGACCCTTGGATTGTACATAATCAGGAATAAAAGGAGCATTTTCCATGGCCGAAAGTCGTATTAGCGATGTCAAAAAAGGTTTGTCAGTCTGTGCGACACAATAACACTCACCTCGTCTGAGGAAATATCGTTCCCACTTTTCATTAACAGCAAACCTTCGTCCATAGCCAGAAAAGCCACAAAAGACAAAGGACTTGTGGTGACCTTAAAGGATGCATCTTCCCCGGGTTTAGCGTAACCCAAACCGCTACTTGGCTGCGCCGTAATATTAACCTGCAAAGGATTTTAAAAAAATTTTTTTAAAAATAAAAAGTAAACTGAAGCTATGTTATTGCTGCTGTTGATATGATAGCAATGGTTCATAACTATAGTACAGCTTTAACGCTATTTGCGTCCACTTTAAGGCATAGTTGAAGTACAGAATTGTGGTTTACGCCTTTACGGGCTGCAGATCGAGAGTGATGCAAGCAGAGTGCAGCAGACTTACATCGTTCTTCATTCCCAACGCAGGCGACAACACCAGGATATTTCCCACAATTTCTTTATCCGCACGGACGTAATACACCATTAACCGACCGATGCGGCCCATGGATTCCAGCAGAGGAACGGAAATAACAACATACGAGCCAGCTTCTGAAGTTGAGTTACTCCAGAGGAAGCTATCGTTTGAATTAGATTGAACCTTAAATGAAGAGACACACATTTGTCAGGAAACTTAGCAGAAAATTTCAGCCCAAGCCAAAAAATTAAGTCCCAAGAGTATGGTTAATATGAACAAAAATGTTAGTGAGCCATGAAAATCTTACCAGAAAGTGGATAACTTCGTTCGTCCGCGTGGTCATATTGACACCAAAACTCCCGCTTTTTCCGGTCTGCAGATTGTCTGTCAACGGCTTAATGTCAAGGAAACTGCTACTTGGCGACTCTTTTCCCTTAACCGTCAGACTTTTCTCCTCTTCCATGTAGATGACCTTTAATTCCATTCGACGCGCCTGCTTGGGAGTTGGGATATCCGTCCTGATGAATCCATCAGCCGGAACCGCAATGGAAATTTTTTCTGCAGGAATGGGTTTAGGGGATGGTCGAGGAGGGCGTGGCCAAGGAAACGGACGATGCCGCTACGCAGAAAAAGAACTGGATTAAATTTTTGATACACACAATTCTAGAGATAAAAATATTTCAGCTTTTTATTTTGTGCGGCTTTGTACTGCCGGCTGAGTGAAATTCAGTAATACAAAGTACAAAAGCAAAGCGGCTTTATACGCAAGCGCATCTGCTTACTCGGTGAGAAAATCCCACATCATCGCTGGAGGTTGATCGAAGCGGGCCCATCGGAACATCATCGTCACTGTCATTATCATCCGAATCATGAACAACTACACTTTCGTTCAGATTTTTGTCACTGGAAATCCTTTTCCCCCAACTAGCACGTTTATCGTAGAATGAGACCTCGATGCCTAACTGCTTCGTGCTTGGCGGCAGTGGACGTCCGGTCAAGTCAGCCACTCGAGCGCGCAGCGTGTACGGGAAACCGGGCAAAAAGGTATCGGGATTGCTTAACAGGTCCAGTTTGTAGGCCTTATTGGTGATTGAAATTAACGTGGAGACATTCCGTGTTTGACCAGTCAGGGTTTCCGTAAAGTTAGCACGGATCTCGAGTCTATCGTAGGAGTTGTACTTTCGATCCTTGTCCAATACAGAACTCAGAGGAACATTAATCGCTGCTCGTCCGTTAAAGTCCTGCAACGTTAAACACACAGCTTTAGTATCAAGCGTTAAATGGTTACCGCTGCCCACCACTTAGTAAGAAAATTAATGATTAATTTAAGGAATAAAACACAGGCCAATAGTTGTATGATATTACCGCGATCTGGATAGTTTTGTTCAGGGGAGAAGGCTGAGAATTGCTCTCAAAACCGATACGCAGCACTTCATCCGACCATTTCGGTGGTGCGATGACGGTTACTTCCAGTTTTCCTTTAACCGGCTCTCCAAAAGTGTAGCTGCAAGACATCCCTTGCACACGTATTTACAAACTGGGAATAATTATGATACGTTACTTTGCTTCCACGAAAAAATTCAGTTCAGAGTCTGACGGGGTCACGTAAGTCGGGGTAGACAAAATTTTAACGCCAAATCGCGGCAAAACTGCAGAAAATTACACAACATTCAGAATCAAAATATACTGAATTTATTAAATAATTTACCATATTCATCGACAGAGAATTCCTTGCTACCGATGATGTTTTCTCCATTAGAACTACGGGCTTCGATCTTCCACGCACCCAACAACGGTTCCGAAGACAACTGGACATCGCCGGCAAAATAGCCCAACACTGAAACACGGAGACAGTGAAAAACAGTCGGTTGCGGAAACTTCTCTAATATTAAAACATATTTACAAAAATCCTACATATATCGGGTTGCGATGTTGGGTTGCACTCTTGGTTACTTACCATTAGGGTCTGAAGCATTGGAATATTGTTTAATTATGTTGTTTTGTGGGTCCTGTAAAGAAATATTTTACCGGTTAAACAAAAATATCATGATTCAGCATACGATTGACACTAATATTAATAACTTCCGAAAATACACAAACGCTTGCGTCTTAAGCTCACGATATAGTCCGGCATAGTAGCAAGAAGCTCGCCATAATTTCCAAAGTTTTGTACCATGCACTGTCAACAAAGTATGCACGCACCCGTATTTGCACAGTCAATGGAATATAAACAGGAACCAGTTGCTGGTCCACAGTGACAATACGGAAGTGAATGGTGTCTTTGGCTTTATACAGAGGCTGGTCAGTCTGGACAAAAGCGAACTGCTTTTTCGCGGCATCCTGCTCATCACCGTCAATAACTTTAATATCTCTAACGTCGCGATCGAAGAAATCATCGTAATCCGATCCATTAATCTTCAAGATCACGTTATTCCGGGGGCGAGTTTTGACATAGCTAGATAGATCGCCAATCTAGAAAGGAAACAACAATTTGTTAAGTAAATTTAAGTTAAGCCAGATACAGAATATAGTATATAGCTAGCACTTGCACTTGTACTCATACGGCCTGCTGATGTACGATCGTTTGATCATTTATAGTACTTCTATAGATATTTAATGCGCATCACATTTAGGCGTTTTTTAAGCTATCCTGTAAAAATCAGAGTCGAACGGTGTAGGAGGAGATGTTGGCCGAAGAAACGGCTCAGTTAGCTTTGTATATGTAATAAGCGGTTATAGTTATTACGCTCCCTTTTTTGCTCAGTACCGATGTATATTAAAGCGGATCAATGTTTTCTATGCGGTTCATTCATCCGCTTTAATATAAAGAACACAACCGGAACTGACGAAAATTTTGTCCAAAATGTCATGTTATAAAAACTAAACCCAAGTTACTTATACTTAACGTTATCTATGTATTGTACAGTATACCTATAAGAGTATGATGCATTAACGTAATTTAATGTACTACTGAAGATTTAATTAACTTACTACTGATTGAATTCGCAAGTATATTTTAATCGCATTGTGTACATATTGGCGAGCTTCGCTCATTAAAAACACTCAAATTCGTAAGTCATTGAGGCTAATTATACATGCACCCCATAGGATTCAAGATTTTACGTTTCTGTAGATATGCTACCTATGGAGAGGCGGGTATTTGTGAAGTTGTGACTACAGATTATACATTTATGATTGGATGCTCACCGGAAGTTCCAATTGGCTTAGCTGGTTCGGCTTGATAACGAAAGATTTCTTAAACTTGAATTTCCATTCTGAATTTCGGTTTAGAGGGTTATCCCCATCATCATCTGAATCTTCCCAGCTTGACAACTGGGGTAGGAGCGTGACATCCACTTTCACATTGGATGATGCATTGTGGCACAGAATGGAAACGGGCAGTGTCTTTCCCGAGTGCACGGTCTTCGGCCCGAAAATCACAAAATCCAGACCACTGCAGCTGCAAACCAGCGCTGCTACCGGTAACAGAATTCTGAAGCCGACGGTATGCATGATTACTGTCGATGCAGATAACGATTCAGAATCCAAGTGTAAATCGCTAATTCGCCTAAGAAAGTCAAGCATGCACAATCGAACCCAGGGCCACTACGGTATATTTATATATGGCTGGAAGCGTCAGTATATAAATGTTACCAGCCGGTAACCAAACGTGCCGCAACGCAAATTAATAAGTAACACGAGAAGAATGCTAAATCTTCCGTTTAAATCTTGCGTGTAGAAGCCGCCAACAGGCTTGCTAATGAATAACTTGCTCCAAAAAGCCGCGGGAAAACTTTTTCAAGAAAATGGGCTGGAAACTCGAAACGCGATGGCGATCTACCGGATCCGGTCGGCCGATGCTCAGCAAAAATGTTCGCAAAGATACCGTGCATCCGTTTATGTTGACGTACGAAAGTGACCGCGGTATGCGGTTAACAGACATGATACACGGTATTAATGGGCAGTGGCATTTATGATTATTATGATGGATTTCGTTTCAAAGCTTTAATATCAGTATTATGAGTACGTTTACCGGACTTATATATAGAAGAAGATTTCTTGCTTGATGAAGGTTTTTGCTTACTACAAAAGATAATTAATTAAACATGGCCGTAATTTCAACAAAATGTGAATAATCTACAGTACAGTATTTCATCAGAGATACCCAACCGTGACCCTACAACGTACTGTCATGAACTACGAAGTACAAATAGGTAATATTGTTTTTTCTAATTTTACCGCAGTGCATATAAAGGAGACAGAGGAGTATAATATAAGACAACTTCCGTTCATGCACTGCGGTCACGTTCGCGGAATTATAAAAATATAGATAAAGCGTAAATAAAGGAAGTACATTACGCACCGCGCAATTTAATACTTATCTATAAAACGCAGCACAACTGGGAATCTATACTTACAGCAAATCATGCTTAACAACGAGCAAATTCAGAAAACACACGCTACTCTTCGCTAACCGTTTCCTCTGCTGCTGCAGCCTCTTCCGCCGGCTCACCTTCTTCCATTGCCGCGGCTTCCTCTGCCGCTTCACCTTCCACACCTTCAGCCTCTTCCGGCACATCTTCAACACCATCCACCGCTTCCATCTCCTCGCTGTCTTTTTGAAGTGAGCGACGAGGAGAGATAAGGGAATAAATATCCGGATGTTCTTTCGCCATGTGCTTGCGCATTTCGCGGTACGATCCATCGAATTCCTCGGCACAATCCTCCACCGGGCACTGTATGACGAAAATTGGGTTCGGATGGGTAAGGCGGTGCACCTGCTGGAAATGTCGGCGCAGATAGTAGATGTCGGCGGCTGCAAATTTTCGATTGGCACATTCCGGTAGCGGGCACGGAGTTTTATCCTACAATAACCACACTAACTTTACGAATATTCCGAAGCGTTCTAATAATAAGTGCAGCATTGACGACAGTATATACTACACGAAAAACACCAAAACCACAACCGGTATAACTGCAAAGGAGCAAAATTTCTGCCACGAGAAGTTAACGAAAAAGGGAAAACACCAAGAAAAATGGATACGAAAACGTAATGTATTTTTTTAAATAACGAGAAGCATGCTGACCTCAAATTACAACAAAACGAGGCAAGTATAAGAAGTAGCAGCACATACAACAACATGGCGTATGTATAACCGCTAAAAAATTTATGTAATTTTTTAATCATTAATTCTGAAGTTTTAAAACAAAGCAGTTCAAGACTAATAACAGATTTACGCTTCACAAAGTTCTGGTTCCCAGGTTTATGTTCGTATCGTAAATTAACATCTGGACGTTGATTAAAATAAGTTACAACAAGTTCAAACCTTGGGATCAGCATTGCCGCGGATCCAAATTTTCGTCACTTCGACCGTATCGTCACCACCCATTCCTAAGTTCTCCAAATAGGTATCATCATCCGGTGCTACAGAGTCGTGATGTATGTCTTGATGCACATGGTTCTCTTCCACTGGCTCGTAATCAACATCTACAATTATATATAGCAACCCGTAAATATTAGAAATGCTCGTACTGTACTCATTTCTTCAAATTTCATAGTAAAATAATGCTATAGAAGTATAGTAACTGCGAAGCAAACCTTCTATTTCTATGCTGCGCTCTCGTGTAGGCAGTCCTGTTAGATTTTTCCGCGGTCGTCCACGCCCACGTACAACACTTCCCGTGACCGTCGGTGCTTTACGGGCTTTTTTGGAGATGGACACAATTTTCTTCCCCACGGGCTTTGCTGGGGAAGCAGAGTTTCTGGGAGCATTTTTCGGGGTTTGTTCGATGTTCCCCTATCAAGCAGAAATTACGGCGATTCAAATAATGCTTAATGGCAACGAAATGATTAAAGGGCATTTACCAGAACAGCTAACAGATTACTGATGGTAGCCTGTTGATCCCGGATGGTAGCCGCTTGCTGCTGCATGACGGTCAGCATCGTGTTGACCGTACTGGTGTTTTTCGTGCATGTCTCGCACTCCATAATTCGCACTGGCTCCAGCTGTAATTTGCCAAATACCGTATTATCTATTCAACTAGAGTAATGATTTCTTTTTACATGAAATAACTATATCCCCGTTTACTTACCAAGCTGACCATGGATGTCGAGGCACTCGGAACGCTGTCACTTTCAACTACAAAATAAGTATATGGATAAATGTTTTGGTAATTACTGCAAGTGTAAGAAATCAATCCAAACAAATATCATTAGACGTCCAGCTGATAGAACAAACAAACAAATTAAACATTACAATTAAACGATCCGGAAATCTCTATTAAGCGACATTTGTAACAGATTTACCATGTTTTAGTTTTAACAATGCAACGAAAATTTCGGCAGATTAGGCGAATCGTCGCAGTGTGGCGATTTTGTCGATTTAAATAACTGCCAAAGTCAACCAACCAGGTTCACATTAGGAGAGTACAATACCTGAAGGAAGAGAATGCGTGGCGGCAGACATCTTCGTACCGTGTGCTTTTAACTGCCTCACGGGAATAATAGAGAGCAGTTTCCGGTTGATCCGAAATACGAAAAAACAAGTAGCCGACCAGCCGGAAACTGGAAAACACTGCGCTAGAATTTAGATGGATTAAAGCGTATATGTTACGCTTACTTCGAACAGTTCCAAGGACCATAGTCGTATTAATTTTAACGATTTTATTAAGCGCTCCTTCCATATAATTCAGTAATAACTAATAATTGCTGCAGTTAATGAGAAACTGTTCGTCAGTAATGATAAATAAATAGTTTCAAATTCAGATTTTATAAACTGCTGCAGTATAAACGTAATGGTAGATTGATAGCTAGAATGCTGGATACTTAGGAAACTACTCGAAGAGACCAGAAAGGTGAAAAAATTAAAACGGGAAACATTCGTTGTTCGTAAAGGAGCTTATAACATCCAAAGACCAAAGTTACTTCTTGCGATTCACTTACCACTGTTACCAGCAGTGAAAAAGGTTGACGATAAATCCAGGAGCTTGGACAAAAGAGTCGTTTATCAGGGGGGGCCAACAGGCAAGCAACGAAGGGTCTTCTCCAGATTTTCCGCGACACTCTGGGGAAGCCTATGCTCACTGCCTGCGCGATGGAATAAATTTACTTACGTTTACCATTTTACGGTTTACCCCATCGGAAGCTGTGCCACTGCACAGCAACAGCGGCATCAAAACTGGCTTGATTGACGATTCACAGAAGCAGCACCCTCGGAGCGGTTGGCAAATGCTAACGCTACTAATGGTTACTGATTTACTGTGGGAACAGTGGGATTCTTCGAAGTTTCGAACAACAAATAAACTCACCAATCAATCTGTTAAAGCGAATTCGTACATCACAGGAAGTCCTTTTTAAAATCGCGAAATAATAACAGAAGAATAAAGACATCATAGTAACAGCGCTTTGTGGTAAAACACTGCGCAGTGTTTGCGCTACTCCTGAGTATTTCATTGCATATGTTCCATACTCATGTCTCGATCGTCCTGCCATGCTTTATGTTTATTAATACGTTTTATTCCATATTAAATTTTGCATTGTAATCAACTAGCAGGGGACTGCAAGTCTTGCATACTGTACTCATATCATTTTTTGCTATAACGAAAACAGCATCCCTTAAATCTGTTTCCAGCTTTCTAGAAAACGAAACCCGTGTATCATCTCCCGCAATTTCAACAACTTTTTCTTGGGAATTTTATTGTCGCACGGCTTCAACATAACAACAAGACCGAAAATAAACAATACAATTGTAAACAAACGATCCTCAGTTTCAACGATAACTGCGTAAACACAATACTGCCTGTAATGCTTCCACAAAAATTCAAAAGTAAACTTGAACAGCGAGCAGAAGCAAGGGCTTGCCGCGAATACCTTAACCAACGATGATATTGTGATGTGTGCATTATGCACAAATTAAAGGAACTGTATTAATACATTTGGTACACTACGCTTAACATGTATGAAATAACATACACTAAATTGGAAAATAACTGCACGTTCGTATCGACGTTTATTCGTCCGCGCTCACTGCACCATTGTCCTCGTAATCTTCACCCTGAGATTGCGGTTCCTCTTCGACGTCTGAAACTGGAGGAGGTGCGACATTCTTCTTAGGACGTCCACGTTTTCCTACAAAATAATCACCATCACACAAATGTCACTCACTATCTTGTACGTAAATTTATAAGTCAGCAAAATATTTCTCAAGAGTTATATATTACTAGACTTAGTTACCGTCCGAATCCACATTAGATGTCCTACAAGCTAAATCAACCATACTGCCAGGTTGTTGACGTCAAAGTGTCAAATTTTATTTACCTGTGCCCGCGGATTTCGGCTTTGCGGCGGCTTTAGCTGCACCTGCAAAAAGCGATTTATAAATGGGGAAAAGGTCAACGAAATTCACATTCGTGACCAACCTCCAGCCTTCGGCGGACGTCCTCGAGGCCGTCCAGTTCCTCCGGTTTTCTTGGGGGATGACTGGGATTCTGTTAAGCAAACATAAAAACGAATAAAACACCAAGAACATTTAAGACTGCCGTCATGAATACTCACGAGATTTTTTGGTGCTGGTGGAGCCCTTCGGTCGTCCGCGTTTACCAGATCCAGCTAGAGCCGAAAAACAGTTTAAATTTCTTGACGAATATCTTAACAAGTTAATATATACCAGATACACTTAACAATATATAGATACGAGTATATATATACTCCTATATAGCAAACAATATATATACAGTATGTAGCAATATATAGCAAAGCCTGTATGTACCTGGCTTTGCCGGTGACACTGATTTCTTTGGCGTGCTCGCTTTAGCGGGACCTACAATGAGCGAGAAAGTAAGCAACAATTGCTTAACAAAATACAATTAGAATGACAAATATTAAGCATACTCTGGCTGCCTTCGGCTTTCTTTGGGCGTCCTCGACCCTTGGCCGGACTGGAAGACCCAGCTGAAAGAAAAAAGCAACGCTAATCAATGTCAGCAGAATGAAAAACATAATATAATATATATGTATATATTCAGGAGATGTCTATTATGAAATCATCCGTACCATGTGCAGCAGCAGCCGTAACCGCCTTCTTGCCACTTCCCGGAGGACGTCCACGACCGCGTCCAGATGATGGTGACTTCGCTGCTTTCGGTGTGCTTCCACCAGCTTTTTTACCGCTTCCGGGAGGACGACCGCGCTTACCAGTACCGGCAGCTATAGAGTATTAAACGTTAGATAACAGCTAAACCAAATGCAAAACTGAGTTAAAATCCTGCACAATAATTTAAATACTCACTCTTTTTCTTGGTGATACCGGCACCTAAAAATAAGAAGTCAATATAAGTAACTGATTTGCAGTTTTTTAATTCATTTTCCCCGTAGTTAAAGCTCAATGGCTTCACTTTTACATTTATTCTCGTTAGACAGAAAAGGGCATACCTCCAGAGCCTTTGGGACGACCGCGTCCACGTTTAGCGGGAGTGACCGCTTCTGCAAAAGACCGGCATCATCACCACCCGTTTTCACACACAGTAAGGTTAATCTATTTGTTACAGTATTCAATACCCCTTGCTTCGGATTGTTTGCTGGGGCTACGTCCTTCGCTCTTTTTATGCGAGCCAGCATACGAACCTTGGCCGGGTGATTTGCTGTTGTAATGTCCTGATTCTTCAGGTTCGCGTGTTGTGCTTTGATCCATATTGGTTATGTCTTCGGCAACGGGTGTAACAACGGTTTCAGAAGGGCCAGCAGAACCTTCGGCTTCCTCCTCGTCTTTTGCTGTTGATGATTTAAATGCCGAAGAAACTTTATCGGCAATGGCACTCCACATAAAATTGACAGTTGAATAATCTGCAATTTTGTCTTCTCAATATGCCGTAGTATGCAATAGTAACAACACAATACGCACTATTAACATACGTTTTAAATGTTAAAAAGTGACTAACAAATCTGTAAACCGTCACAAAGGAAACAACTATAACGAAAAACCTGCCACTGTACAGTTCACAATCAATGAGCATTTTAATGCTATAATACAGGAAAGGTAACCTGACTGAACAAGGAATTCGAAGCAAGTATTAATATTTTATTAACACCTTCTGGCTGTGATATATAAATTTGAAAATAATTAACAGTAGGCAGGTAAGCTTAGCCATGTTCAACTCATTTCCCTGTTCGGCTAGCTGGCCAATACAAGATTGGCGCCACTTTTTGACCGTTGGTTCAGCCATATCCGCTTATTGCAGATGCAAACGCCGACTATTAATTATCAGAATGTTCGAAATATTTATGCACTTAATAGAAATAGAAAAGCCATTTAATAACCGTTGTTATACCACTATGTAATATTAGAACTGTCGCAGTTTTTTATACGTACAGGAAATCGTCTGTTAATTCGAAGTGATCGATAATTTAACGACAGCCACGAACCATTAATGAGAACACAGTTATTTCGTTAAGCATAAAAATGAAAGCTCAAATTTGAAGCATTGTCTAAATTAGCCAATCTGCTGAAGCAAGCTAAGCAAACTAAAAATATGGTTCCAAGTTATACTGTTATCCCTAAAATTTATACGCACAGAATTGTGGAATAAAACAAATACAGGACAGCGAAGTTACAATCCTTTCATCCGAAAATGCGAGGATCGCCCTGTCGCGCGTAAGCAATAAAATCGTTACAACCGTACGTAAGCTGGCTGCGCAGTGCGAACTGAAGAAAAATGGCTGCTCGTCAATGAAAATATGAACGCATACTGCCAGATAAATACCCAAATAAGCGCGAAGTGCAATATGTTTTACAAGAAAATACCTTACTTTTTCGCCATAGAATACAAAAATACACTGACACCTTAAATATTTTTTAAAAAAGTTTGAAAATTATTGATAGCTAGGGATGAAAAGAAAGAAAGTGGAAAAGGGAGCACAAGCAAAAACGCTGCCCGTGTGACGAAAAACGAGGAAAATGGTAGTGCCTCTTTCCTATTTCTCCACAGCCAGTTTAATTAACGCAAAATAAATCAATAAAAAGATCCTTATTCTATTTATTTTTCGAAATATTTGCTACAAAATCTGACTTACCTAAGAAGAAGGAAAAACCTTGAACCGAAACGGTCAGCAGAAACCGAGAAACTAGTCTGTAAATTTGCAAAATGCGTAAAAGCTAAAATCATAGCACGTTCACCGCAGATGCGCAGCAAATGGATTTGTTGCACACCACACGCAGCTACAGCGTTTGAATTCCCCAATAAAAGAAATTTGCTCGAGCCAACCAACAGAACAGGGAAACCATGCGCTAAGCTGAGTGTGTGCCGCCTCATTAATCGAGAATAATTCGGAAAAACATTGAATAATTTTTTATTTACTACGCAGAAATTTCCTTTAATATGCAAAGGCCTTTAAATAATGTTATAAATTTATCCAGAAATCTGATAAAGCTGTGCAATAAAAGAGGAATTTTCTACTCACCGTGTATAATGCTATTTATGAAATAAATAAAATGCCCTGTACTTGCTCACAAATTCCACTCGAGTCACTTGATAGCAGTAAAATTGAACCATGCGATTGGCGGCCCAATGAACATGAAAAATTCATTTGCAGAGGAAATAATCCAGTTTGAGCAGGCGGCTGGTCGCTTCAGCACAATCTTCACAAAATTTACCATGTTTTCAATTTTCATCAACAAATAAATCCGTATTGTCTAGTTCTGGTGTAACAAATTTGTTTTTTTCTTAGTAGTAGACTCATTTTTCATAATCGTATATGTAGAATTACAACTTCAACTTATTCTACCGGCAGTGACACCGTGCTTTCAGATTTCGGTAGTCTGTTTATCCAGCTCCAGCGGGCTTTTCGCAGCTTCCTGTCGCAGTCGCCGCTACATATTAGTTCGGTCATGAGCGAAAACATATTTTAAAACCGAAATAGAAACGCTATGCTATTTAAAAAAATACTGAGTTATCAAATAAATGAAAAAATACAAGCATGCTGTATTAGCCTGTATACACTATGCACACTATACACTATGTACTTTTATTTAAGATTTGCCTCACAATCGGCACCTCATTACTATTCGCTATCGATTAAACACCATACGGGTACGGTATTTGTGAAAATTAATGTATTATATTCCCGTACGTTCACTTCAGGCATCCACGGGCCATTACCAAGCTAGTTTGCGTCTTTGTGAATTTTGTCATTTAAATTTAAACAAGCTGTATTTACTGTTTACAGTGAATCACAGTGTAATTTATGTTTACGACAATCGTAATTTGACTGCTCCCGTAAATTAATAGAAAAAATACATTTCATGACAACCGAAAAAGCAGAACTATATCAGGTACAAAAGTACGGGCCTACAAGAACTTTCTACAGCAGTAGAAAGTATACAAGTTCTTCGTATCTAGCATCAATCTTTAACAAAGGAAACAATGTCACAGTCCGTGTGAGAGCAATACTATAACAGATTCTCGTATAATTCATCTCGCCCAGAACGTCATCCAGTGCAAAATCCATAAAGGCATCAGGAACAAGAATGTCACAGGATCCAACCAGTTCCCGTATTCAAAATATTCAGAGATCATGGCAGAAATGCTGCGAGTGCCCATCTCAAACACATCATTAGCGACGACTGGATCATACACTTCCGGTAGTTTATGCCAGACATTGCTTAACACTACAGGAAAAATGGGATACAGCAAGATGATCAATCCAGCGTGAACAATTCGAGCCGGCGAAGGTTGGTCGTTGGAGGTCCAAACTGCTACCGGGACCGCAAATAATGCGACAAGCAAAGCCAGAGGGAAATTCAACATCGACAACGCATACAGGCCAATTGCCATTTCAATTAAGCTGAGACTTTTTAAGCAGTTCGCATCACGTTTTGTCATAAACCTGAAATAAGAAAGACATCCATCCATATGCATGCCAACCTTATTAAACTCGTACTGCAATGCATAAGTTAGTACGCACTTACCCGCCCAGCATAACCGGGAGCAGAAAAGTAAATACATTACTTCCAGTATGATGGTGCCCAGCGACTGCGGCAAATCAGAGAAATCCAAGAAAAACTGTCCCATAAAGGAAGCTACGCCAACAACATGTGCCATCACTAGCCAAGGCAGAACCGCGGCAACGGAAGTCTTATCAGTCGAGACGGAAGACAGGCTGTTGTCTGCTGGAGATTTTGCAGAACTGTCCCGTGCCCACAGCGCCAACGCATTGATAACCAAAGGAAGAATCAGCAATCCAAAAGGTGGCGTATACATTCCAATGGATATAAAGCGGTTAGGAGAAGTCATTAGGTAAAAGAAAAACGACTGGTGGAATCGTTCCAGTAAATTATTCAGGCTCCTACAAATGCCTTCCAGCGCTCTAGAAAAAGGATCCCACTGGGAGATCATAATTACAGTAACAAGTACGTAACAACTATGCCAAAAGCATCTTACACACGCATATAGCATTACAGATATTTAGATAAACTTTCGGAGATCAATATAAATTTTTAACAACTTCCCATTGCTTGTTTACTGGAAACTTACACCGCTAAACGATAGAATCCAATCCGCCCTCGACCGCTTCCTCCCATGCTTTGGATCCCCTTAATCGTCAGTGATTGTACATTGTACTGCTGAAAAAAACCATGATTTCCTTCCGAGCCTCCCCAAAGCGGACGACTTGACCATCCTGAAGGTGGTTTTTAGATCCCGCAGATATTTTTCCGTGTAGTCATGTGGAGTGCGCTCCAGTAATTCCACAAAACCATGAATCACGAATGGCATGCCCTGCTTGTACAGCAGCAACTTCACCAAATTAACCAAATCCAGATTTGGTAACTGCCCGTTGATGCCGACGATGCGCAAATCCAAGTAATCGATATCGGGAGACGGTATTTCCAGATTAATTGCCGCCTGAATCGAACCTGCCCGTCCATACAGAGGAGCATTTACAGCTGCAGAAAAAACGAAATGAATTTTAAATGAACTGCAAATGACTGTTTCAACTTTTCAATCATGCAAAACAATCAACAACGTACTGGCTTGACGGATAAATTACGCATACTCTGTTTCTAATCCTGAAATCCTTACCGGCACTTTTACAGCCATGATACGCTTCCACCCATGCTTTCGCTCCAAAATGCTCATTATCGGTCACAAGAAAAATTATATCCTTTGACCAGTAGTTCTTATCTGAAAAACAATATTAAATTGTCGGGGAAGACGTCCATAATACATGAAACTGCACATGTGTTACAGAAACTTCCACTTACGCCGGAAATGCTGCGCTAAAGCTAACATTAAGGCAATGCTCCCTTCGGTGCGAATATGTTTTGTGTTAGCAGGACGCAATGGTGCGGAAATGACGATCGATTCCAGACTATTGGCCCGGGAGGCCCGTACAATGGCGTACACGCCATGTCCATTGCGAATCTGAAAAAGAGCAAAAACATAACTTCCAACGCGAAAGAAATTCATTTCGCTCCGTACTGTATGTCGCATCCAGACACCCTGCTATCTCGTAGTCACCTATTATCACGATAAGCCCAAATATTATTCTATTACTAATTACCCAGAAGTCTAGTGCATAACTAATAACAGAAAACAATTACGCATTTACTAATAACTTCGAAATCTGGAAAGTCAGTTATAACGAGCTATTCTGTACGCCTCTGATAGTGCTGTCAAATTATCTGTACAGTACGGTAGTTAGCAACCAGTCCAGCCATCAAGAAAATCACCTTGTCTGGGTGCTTTGGAGTAGAATAATTATAATAATGATCGTAAACATCCAATCCCAAATCTTGGAAGCTCTTCTTTATCCGTTCCCGAACGTACCCACTAAAATGCGAAAGTAAGGCAAACACACGCTATAACGCATAATTGATAATCGGGATTCACAAACAAACGCAAACTGCTAATGCACGGTTATGTACCTATCCTCTTTGGATAGATCCATCAGCATGCGATGCTGTTTGAGAGCGTAGTTCTCATTCAAGGAGGAGAATTCATGCTGCACTAATCCGGGAAGTAGCGCATTCTCAGAGAAGTAAGTCTTGAGAGTAAAATTGTCGTCAACCAAACAGAAGAGCCAGGCGACGCCGATGACATAGGCTATCACAGACAGCTTCATATAGTACGCTCCCAAGAGCTTAGCGAACTGATCGTTCCTGCCTGGATCAGTAAGCAGTCCCATGGCGGAGTTTTATAGGGCCGATGCAGAACAATAGACAGATCTCTGAAGGATGCAAGATTCAACTCGTACGCTACACCATCACCTGCTGTAGCAGCAGCCGTTCGCGAACATCACCATTCACCAGCAACAACATCCAAGACTACAAGCATCCAGCTACCAATATCGTTATCAGCGTTACATTTCAGAATTTGAACTTTTATAGTTTAGCTGTTAGCAAATCTGTGAAGCTCAAACAACAAATACGTACAAAAAGTCGGCAGAATTTAAAGAGCCCAAAAGGAAAACGACTTCAATCACACCGCATTACAAAAAGCAGAAAAACTGAGAAATAAAAAGAGAAAACTGAAGAAGTTCACAAAGTGACAAAATACAGTACTTATTTCGAGTAGCGACTAAATTTCAAAAAGCAAGGTAAGTAAAATGCAGCGCATGTACCGTGCTCACTGTTCGTTTCTCCCACAGGAAACACAAAAGGTTCGAAGAGCTTGTGTGTTGTGGTTTTTTCATTTCTAGCTTTTTCAGACCTGAAGCCATTAGATAATAATAATAAAAGTATTCGAACAGTAATAATACAAACAACTTGGCAGATTGTTTATTTCCCCCGAGAATTTGTTTGTTTTAATTGTCACGTTGTTGTGTAATTTGTGTTTGCAAAGTAATACTGCCATCTCTGGCGGGCTATTATTGCTAATGCTGTTCCTTCGTGGACCATTTCAATATTAAATTTTAGAAATTGGTAACTTCATGATTATTATTTATTAAGGGAAGCAAAAATTCAAATTTAGCAATCCCTGCTGTTTTGAGTTGTGGAGCGATTTTATGCTTGATGTCTCCATAGCTCCACAGCCTCCACTGATGATACCTTGAATTGTTCAAATACGACTTCTCAATCGAGTGATCACTGCTTTACACTGATGCCTCGACGAGCCTGCTTAAAACTAAGTTGCTCAAATGGACGAATATTGTCTTGATTCCCACTTGGCGATCTGTGTCCAACCGTGCCCGGAGTTAGATTTGTCCAGATTATCTGTAATTACTGGAGCTGGAGGAGCACCATCCCACGAGCTGGATGCTTATCATCAGGTGGAAACGACAATTTCTTCGGTAACGAGTCCAACGTCTATCTGTACTGTCAGTAATTTTCTTTGATTGTTCGGTGCACGTTGCAGAGTAATTGTGCGAATATAGAGTGAATCAAAAATGTTTTCAGTCTGGAAAAGATCTGATCGAATTCGAAGCCCTTGAAAACGCAGCGCAGAACCCACGAATCATTTGTCTCAACAGCGTCGTATGCTGCACGACTGTGGCGCTCGCACTCTGCGGATTCTGTGCACTTACCAGACAGCGATTTCCCAGGAAGTCTATGAAAATTATCAAAATCCTCAGCATCCGCTGGATCTTAATCCGGAATTTGATCACTGCGATTCGGACGTAGACACCGTGAGCATTGCCGAGCGTAAGGGAATTCCACGATTCACTGCCGATTATTACTTCCACACCGCCGAAAGATATGAGGAAAGAAACCGTACTCAGTAGAAAGTCTAAAAAGACGAATTCTCCTGATTGTGGAAAAGTTGTGCGACATTTATTTCCCAGCAAAAGTAGCGCTCCTTCGCTTGCCGGTGGTCTAACTGGTCAAAACACAGTCGACAATCGAGTAGAAAATGATCAATCGCTACCGGCTTCGGCACGGTGTGTTCAGCTTAACGATGGGGAAATTATGGAACAACTTCAAGACAAAGTTGTCGAATTAAAAGCGGAAATCGCCAGATATAAAACAGAAAATGCGAAACTGATTAAAAGGCGTTTGGAAAATGATGCTGTAAGATAAGAATTGCAGCATACATAACGCACGTTCTGATTGTCGGAGATGGTCAGTGACACGTTCGCGTTTGCAGTTATTTCGACAACTGGAAAAAGATCGATCAGAATTTGATGTGGAAAGGGAAAAGATTGTGCATGATTTAGAGGAAATGAAACTGAACGAGCTGAGGAAACTAGAAATGGAGAAGAAAATTCTGTACAAACACATGACGGCGCAGACAGAAGAGGACACAAGACGGTTACGAGAATCCAACGAAGAATTAATCCGAGAGGTTAGAAGTTTATTGATTTTTAATACTTTAGCCAGATGCGGCTAGTTTGTTGACAAGAATCTTAGAGTGTTTATTGCTTTTATGGAAAACAGTTTGCCTTTTTTTTGCCACTAGTATTATTTGTCTGTTTCTGCATTGATGATAAGGATTGGAGCAATATAACGCACTGTATAACGAAGTCAAACGATGTACGAATTTAAACAAGTATGTATGGCACTAATGGAAGGTAGTTTAGCGTGGTATAACTGTGGCAGTCGAATTGCTTAAAGTTTTTAAAATTTTTGATACGAGCATGCTCAGCTCTTGAACATATTCATCCAGTTGCCTTTTGAAAATAATTAGGTGGAAAACTATAAGGATGAATTAAGGAAGTCTGACATCCGGCACGAAAGTGTTGCCAAACGTCTGCGAGATCGTATAAAATCCATGGAAGTACAGTTGGATGCTGTTCGTGATCAGGCTGATGCTCTGGAAGAAGATAAACAGCAGCTCGTTCGGGAGGTTGTCAGGGTATGCAATCAGTTGCACTAATACATCGAAAAATAAAATGTGCATATTGACACTTTCATGTTATGCTCGTATTTAAGGTAACTAAGCACCATGGCGTCAAAGGTTTTTGGGAGCGAAGGGAAATCAGACCGATCATCGCTAAATGGATCGGAACCATCACAGAATGGCCGGACTAATCCTAGTCGTAAATCGGACACTTCATTATCACCGGGTCAAGAGCAGCAATCTTCTGCTAGGCCCATTCTGAAGACTGTGGAAGATACTTCCAGTGCCATGTCGTCGCCTAAATCCGTCCGATTCGATACGGACACCGACGTGAAATCAGTTTCCAGTCCAAAATGAAACTGTTTCCGATGAACTGATCCACGATAGTGGCACTGTAAGTTTGTAACTGCATTTTGCACGCTCTGAGTATCTGTGCGCGAAGGCAGCACACTTTGCATGGCTGGACTCGCTGCTGGAGTAGTTACTAATAGCAAAAGTACAAGATAACTTCCTTTGTTTGTAGTATCTTCATAACTGTCTTCTTACGTAGATCGAGCAAACTTTCCGCGATGGTAAGAAAGTCCGATTTTATAAAAATGGGACGAAAGAGGAAATCAGCCACGATGGCAGATGCACAACCACCACATACTGCAATGGTGATATTAAGCAAATATTTCCCGATAAAGAGGTAATTTCGTATGTGTATATTGCACATGGGCTGCCGGAAATCGTTTTTTTCATAGGAAGTGTTTGGAATAAATGCAAATTTTGATTTGCGCTGCACAATATGGTCGCCCTTTAGGTATATTTTTACAAGGCGAATCAAAGCATTCACACAAAGTTTCCCGATGGAAGAGAAGTTTATCAGTTTCCAAAGTACGACATTAGCCGTGAGTCCGTGACTGACTGATTGTTGATTTAATTTTTGGAAATTTTTTATGCTCGTAGTAACCAGACGGAAAAGCTGTTACCAGATGGATCTAAAGAAATTCAGTATCCGAACTCCGTGATAAAGAAAATCTATCCTGACAGCAACGAGGAAATTCGTTATTCCGATGGGACCGTGGAATTCTGGAATGAAAAAGCAAAAACCAGGACCATTTGTTTTTCCAAGGGGGAAATAGAAGTACATACGCCGCAGTGGAAGGTAAATTCGCGTACTAATTATAACTTTTTGAAACGGGATAAATGCCCGGATTGACGAACTCCAAATTAATATCTGGTGCATAACCGTGCATTAGATTGGCGAATTATCCTGTTAAAGGTTACTTTCGTAAACGGTGCTTGTATGTATCACTGGCTCCATCTTTGCTGTTTTGGTTATTGCTTATCCCGAGAAGACGTGTAGTCCTAAAACATGGACATTGATAGCTGTTCAAACGTTTGTTCCATTTCTAGCAACGAAAATTCCCTGATGGATCTGAAAAAGTAGTTTTCACGGATGGCAGATCGGAAAGTCGATATTCTGATGGGCGAATCCGAATTAAGGATCCACAGGGAAAGCTGCTCTTTGACAGTGGAGGCAATAAAGTTTTTAATGCAACCGGCGGCATAACGATATGAAAACCGACTGCAATTGTTTTACAAGAACTGATAATTTAGAAATTTGGTTGTTGTTTGTTGTTTTACGCTGTATTCAGCTTCATTTGCATTACGAATATTACCTCAATTTTGATCTTTTACGGTTTTACTTGTTAAAACAGTGTTGTTGCTCCTGACTGGTGAATGACATTATGACATAATGTGGCTTGACCTTGTATTGCGAAGATCACTTGCACAGTTGCACTTAAGTAATAGTGCTGCATGCAAAATCACTGCATAACTGATTTGACAAGTTTCATGATTGTAAATTAAGACCATTCTGTAAATTCCTGGTGCATCGGATTTTGATACTACCCGGTAGTAAATAGTAATCCGAACATTCCTGGTCAGACAGGTCCAAATTGTACCTTCAAAAAGACTTGTTTTTGGCCTTTACAATGGTTCAGGATAATACTCGCATGGTATTCGAGTGGAATTTTAACATCTCTCTTATCTAGCACGAACAAATTCTCTCCTTTGATTGTAAAGTAATTTACTGTGACCGATGTTCGCCTATGTACACTTCCATTTATTGTGAAAAAAATGCGAATTTGCATCATAAATAATTAAGAGTACGAGCCTACGAGGTGTACCAACAACGGTCATCTCATGTATAATTTATTATGATCTACCGTCACCTCCCGTGACAATAATTACAAGCCTAAAAAATCAGCACTAAAAATTTTGCTGCAAACTGCACAAGATAGAAAAACACACATACATTTACATGTTCCCCGGTGTCCAAAATGCTATGATTATATTTGCGAATAGTACAAAAGAGCAATACATCGCACGTAATCCACGGTCAAGCTGATGCCTCCATTTAAAAAGCGTGATGAATACAGAAACAGCTTCGCAATGCATATCAAAAGCGGCTAGGTTTGTTATCTGCTTTTTCATTACTCGTACCGAAGAAAAAGTGGAAAAGCAAAAGGTTTTTGGAAAGTACGCTGCTTCCAGTTCGGAAAAATTTCACATGCCTCCATTAGCTCCAATAATGGCTGCCTGTTGTTTGTATTGTCGAGCCTTCAACTTGCTCCAGACTTTGTAATCCGTCAGTGCAATAATATTAGCTGCATGAAGAGCTGCAGCGTCAGCGGTCAGCAAAGTAGCACAACTCAAACCTAACAAAAACATAACCACAACTACATTTTGTAGAGACGAAGAATTATGTACTTTTAGACAGAGGCACATTTATCTCTTATTACCAGTTGGCAGTCGAAGCGAAGACCACACATCTTCGGCAATGCGTTCCGAAGGCGGCGGACAGTTGATAACGGGAGAGGTCACGTTTCCGGAGAGCACTGGACCCAGTCCATTGCTGCGACCGGCCACAGCAATGAAGACAGTTGGTACATCGTCGGCTGTAATATAAAAGCACATGCACGAGAGGTTAACGACAAATCGTCGACAACACATAATCGAAGTACAGCAGATCAAAAATTCAAATTACTATAAGCTCACTGGTAAAATGTTGAAAATTTTATTTACCATCATACACCGCGGCAGCTCTCAGTGCGTCTTCGGTTGTCTTATGGGCGGAAGTGACACGAAGGACAGTATCAATACCAAATGGCTCCACTTCTTTCTGGATGGACTTGGCCCAGTTCAAATCGGAGGCCGATCCCATAAAGATAACCACACGACCATTGACCTTATGCTTGCTCCCGAACATGTCCTACGAAACAGTTGAAGTTTTATGTCAGAAAAGAGAGCACCGATAAATTTTCAGCAAAACTGCTCAGCTGTACAGGCATCAAATACAATATCGTAATATATAGATATTCGTGCGCTACAAGTAGCTAAGCAGTTTAAAATAACTTAATGCAGTGGTTTTCGCTTCCACTTGCTCGTAATTTATGTAATTTTTATTATATGAGTACATTACGGGATATGCATTAAATGTTGATTTAAGCACAGAATGCACTCACCATTAACTGATCGGCAATCCAGTCAAAGTTCAATTTGACCTGCTTGAGTTTGTCCTCGTTAACTTCCTTAGCATCGCGATAAACTTGCTTATCCTTCATCTGCAATTTATCGCCGTGCGGCCACAGACGCCATGAATCGCTATCGATAATGTCGGCCAGGATGATTTCTCCTAAACCACAAACAACCGCAACCTGTCGCCAACGCGTGAGAGAAGGGTCGGAAAACAAGCGATGTAAACTTCGCAATTCGCACCGTACCGGTTTCAGCGTCCACTCCGAATTCGATCTTCATGTCAACCAGAACACAGTCCCTGGTGCGCCAAGCTTTTTCCAGCACTTCGAAGATGGTACGCGTCTGCTGCAGCATTAAATGGATCTCATCCGCACCGATAACCACTTCTTTCTTTATACCACCCTTCTCCGCTGTGTAGGTGAATTTCTTGGCAATTATTTGTTCAGTGGACCATTGCGGATCATGATTTTCATCGTCCTAAAGGAAGTAGGAAATGCATTTATCTGTTAACTCCACAAAAACGTAACATTACTAAACTTGGCTATTTAATTTTATCTTTTAACTTTAAATCCTGTTACCGCAACAGACTGTTGTACTCAGGCGGTTACTGCATATTAAAATTGTGAACAAAAAATGTTATGCGTACCGTTTTAGAACCAGCTGATGAAATCTTTTACACACCAGAGTAAAACGTTTCAGAGCAAAGAGAGAAGACAAGATACCATTACCTACTCGCAAAATCAACAGAATCTGTGCTCACTTTGAAAAACGTTTCCAGTTTTGGCGGTGAAAAGGTATATCCTTCGGGAACGCCTGGATTGCGTTTCAGAAATGACCCAGTGGCTAAGCGACGCGTAACGAATTCCAAAGGAATCATATGGCAACGCCGGGCCAAGAAGGATACATCGTCGTGTTTGCCCAGAAAATGGTTTTTAATCCCTACAAAGTACAAACCACAAAAGTTATCGAACTGTTAAGGAAACTTTGTAACAAGGTAGAATTACCGTCAAACGGTCAGATTATTGGCTATGATTGCAGTTGTTTTCGGTTACTTTCGGTTTCCCCAAAAATAACATACAGATACATCATACACCGGCACATACAGATATATAATATATCTATAGATATTCTATATGTAAGACTGCAAGTACATGGACAGCGTTATGATAATTAATAATACGAGTATTTGTGGCAAGACACAAGCAGTACCCCTAAATAAAAAACTGAAGCCTTCTGTTTAAAATTGTACCGTGTCTGAAATTAATGTTCAAAATTTATTATTTTAAGTAGTGTAAATATGCGCAAGCATTTTGATCTGTGGACTGGCTGTTAACGAATAAAAGCAGTCGCAGCTTCCTGTTACTTCACAATGTAATTGCTAGGGGCAAAAATACAAATCTGATTCTACAAATTTAAATTTTAAAGAACTGATTTTTAAAAGAGCGTAGATGAGATTATCAAAAACAAATAAAATTACATACGGACGGTCCTAGCACACGATTCTTTAGTGCTTTGCAATGTGCAGTGCTAATTTACCAATTTCGGTGAGGTATCCGAATATCAGGCATGCCGTACGGTTGGACGTAACAGATTTTCCCTCCATGGTGTTCCGCTTAACGCCATCTCCTGCTGTAATAATGTCCTTCGAATGGATCAGAGCAACGCCGGGGCGATCCGGATCACCAATATCGTAGATAATCTTGGTTTTTCCTTCACCAAGAACTTTCAGGTCTCTGCTCGGCATCTTTACGAATCCAAAGTTACGTGCGTTTCTATTAAATATTTTCCACTGCAAATCACAAAAGGGTAAGAAGTTGTAATATCAAGCACTGACGTGTAACAACTGGTATCAATAATGTCCTGTATAACAGCGAACGATCGCAATATTACAAATGAACCTGGAAAAATTCAGAACCACAGAAATGGTAAGACAAGTGGTCCAGCGAAATGGCAAAAAGCAGTCCAGCTCTGAGGCTGCAGGCTAATTTCTAAGAAACAACTTCATTGGGCGGAGACAGAAATCGTCTTTTGGCCTTTTACGATAAGATCCACAGTGGCCAGTTGGTCAGATCAAGATACTAGTACATATCGTCAGGCTTCAGCCGGCGCCCGGCGGTCATTCTTACGCTACTTTGTGCAATTGGCCTTGTTAACCTGGGGCTCTGACCCACATCTGTTGAATAAGTTACTAGTAAGTATATCTATATGAATGTGAAACAACATTAAAATCAAACTTACAGGCATTAAAAAATGCACACGAAAAAATTACGATGTTGAACATCCCGCCACGTACACTTAAATTTAGCGTGATGAACATCTCCTAATGTCCTAAACCTAAATCATAATAATATTGTATCTATATTGCAGAGTGTCGATTAAAAATTTAAATGAACCGAAAATGTACGTACAGTCTATAATTTTCAACACTTTATTTTGCAAACAATTTTGCTTGCACTCTGCAAAAGTGCACCAAACTAAAATAAATTTTCACAGCTCATTTTTACTACCACTTCTGGCAAGCCAATCAAAAACCAAATGTCGGAAAAACCGTCAGCAAAATCAAGCCCGAGCGGCAAGCACTGGTTCTAAACTCCACAAATGCAATAAAAAAATTATTACGATTCCCATCTGTCCAAGCATAGGTAGCCAATAGAGAGACTTCTTTTTCACAAAAGAAAAAGCAGTTAATAATGCCTGTACTGCGGCTTAAGTTCCCACAGATTCTTGTGCGATCCCGTGTTGCTTTTAACACAATATTCCAGCATGATATCTTTCAGACATCCAATCGGTTGTTGTGTGATTTCCACCAAATCCTTAATGCTGATATACTGGTGCTTCTCGAAGGCCGACAAAAGCCGCTCAATGACAACGTCCTTTTCGTCCCGCACTTTCTTGGCCGGTCTGTTGGTGGTGTCCTTTGCACGCTCAACTGGCTGCGAAATCGGCTTAAAGTTAACCACCGGATCCTTCATCAGCTCGATCTTGGGAGGTGGGTTTGTTTCTTTTTTCTTTAACCGATCCTTATCCATTAGAACTTTGTTGTCCATACCGCTTAGAGGTACAATGTCACAACGCCGGGACACTTGACCTTCCATGATGAGATCTGTCGCAAAGAACCATCATTTCAAAATCTTTTATCTTTTAATCAGCGTCTTTTAATCAGGAAGGAAGCAACAACAAGCACCAGAAGTATTCTTTACAAATAAATATAACCCCTTTACAAATTACAGCAGCATAATATCAATAAAAAAATTGGTAATAATTAGTCAAACCACCACAAAAAATATTACAATCAGCTGTAATTTGTTCGACAAAAAGAAAGCTTCAAGAAACCATTCTACCGTTACCTTCCTGGTTATCGATGAGAATAGCCATTTTCATAGGTGTTGGTTTCAACAGCATTTCGTATTCCACAGGCGCACTCTGCCCCGGTTTTTTCTGCATTGTTAACCTGACTTCAACGTCAGCTACTCCATCAGATTGTCGAGCCTCTCGTATTTCACACTGTCCCACCGCTTCACCGTCTGATTGTTCCCAGATGCTGGATAAATATTTCGGAACTTTTACAAGCCAGATGGGCTTCGAGCTGGAACTGCAGTCCAAGGTCCGTGCAGAAGGGACAGACAACGAATGGGCCACGCGTAACTCCTTATTAGGAGACTTCTTCTCGGTGGATGAAGGCTTCGAATTCGTGTCAACAGGGACTGCTCGTTTCTTTGCCGAACTCATTTCAAAGATCGCAAATATTTTCCCGATAATGGCAACCAAAGTGGCATTGGTTCGAACACATGACTGTTACACATCCAGCTGCAATCTGCAGAATCCAGGGCGTCACGCCGTCACTACGACCATAGTCAAATATACGCCCTCATGTAACTACACTGCTACGACGAAGGCAGGGTGAAACGTGGGAATTTGGGACCGCACTGAAGGTCCTTCGGAATAATTACTAGCAAGTCGCTGCAAGTGCTTTATCGAATTATGATGGTTAACAACCAAGAAAAAAATTATTCCAGTTAATTTCAGATCCCTTCCAAAATGCTCGAAAGCCACAAGTGGAAGTGACAAAGTCCAAATTCCAAAAGTCCAAAAAGTCCAAAAGTGGCAAAATTCAAAAAACTAGTCTTTCTGCATTGAACTACTGCAATATTATTGGGCGTGCAGCGTGCAAACGTGCGCGCACCGTGCAATGAACGTAAAATGCACGGCATATGCACGGCATGACCGAGAGGCTCCAGTAATCGACCAAACTCTTCAGTAAATTCGGACATTTTTGTCAGCCTCGATAACCAGCTCATGACCAAACTTTGGTCTTCCCAATTGTAGGACCAATTTACCGACCAGCTGATAGAGCGGACCCTTTTTTTGTTAACAAGAATATTCCCATGATCCCATCTGCAGAGAAAGGTGAGAACGGATTTTCTCATTTTTCTGTACTTACTTTTTAATTGACGAACATAAATATAGGACAGGGAGCAAGAGCCAGGAGTACTGAGGTATAACTAACAAACAAACAACTTTTGCTTGTAATTTAACGGTTAAACTAATAATTTAATTAAGTATTTTGTAGTTTAACGGAAGTGACGGTTAAACATCTTTGTTTGCTTGTTAATTCCTACTCTCACACCTCGCAGAAAATCTAAAAATTTAATAAGGCTTATTTTATATTTTTAATACTTTTAAGTAGTACGACTCACCATCGGTACGAATACCCGAGTGCCTCAAACTGCCAGTGCGTTGATTTACCACTTGTAGAATTCATTTGGTGATTTTTAGAAATTAATATTAGCTCGGAACTCCTAACGTTGCCTGCGGTGGCGCGGCCGCCGCGGCATGTTTTATTGTCCACTGTTCATTCTTCGTTTACTTTTTTCGTAATGAAATTCCGCATTAGTCATTTACGGGGGTTTATATGTATAGTGAAATCATAAAGAGAAGATAACTGCGTTAAAATGTGACTTTCGCTTGAAATCTTACTTCCTGTATACGTTAAAGATCGACATGGATCACATCGAAACCGAAGAAGTATCCGGCCCGACTGAGGATGATCAGACTGAAGAAGACCTCTACGAAACCGCTGAACAGAATGGCGGTGAATTCGAGATGCACTTATCGGTACCGGCTGACGAAGAAGACAGCGCCGATGTCCAGCATGGGATGCGCACGGGTGTGAAGAGTGACAATGGACTTCCGGGCAGTGGACCCGGTGCGCGATCGGTTCAGAATGAAAAGCGACGCACAAAACGAGCAGCCCCCGTTCTATCTGGGAACGATATAGAAAGCTCGTCGAAGCGCCGGAGAAGGCTGATTGTCGTTAGTCCAACCGAAGAGCTTCCAGCAGGACACCGCCCCTTCCAGCTCAAATGGTTGCTGGAGTTTGAGTGGTTGCGGTTTGATCCGGATAAGAAGAGGATGTATTGCAATTGGTGTGCGGAATGCAATAAGAAAAATGCATTTGGCAAAGCAGACGGTACATATGTTACACCTTCAAAACTAAAATTCAATCCATTCAGTTTTATCATATGAATTTAACAGTCATGCTAGAAATTTAGATAAAAACTTACTTTATAGTTTTTAGTAACCTACGTATTTATGCCTAATAAATTCTAGTAAGCAGTGTGAGCACTTATCGGGAGTAAGGCTTTAGTCTTTGTTAAATAACTTATATAAATTGTTTACGTACTTGTAAGTTGTAAGTAGGTAGATACTAGTACAGTAAAAATATTTATTGGCAATTACGACCCAGATAACAAAAATGCACGCGCTGACATCCTACTTGAATACAGTAAAATACTTCTGTACTGGAGTAGTTAGTATCTAGTAAGTATCTGCTTACAAAATTTAATACGTAAACATTTTATTTAAGTTATTTAAGTTTTATTTAATAAGATGTAAGTGCGTATCTCATTACTGTAAGTGCGTATGTCATTACTTATTAACCTGTGCACTGAAAATTTCTGAATTAATGGCAAGAAAATGTGGAGGAACGTACATACTTCTATTGTTTTTTTTTTCAGGAACCAATAATTTTCGGAAAAGTAACTGTGAGGAGCATTCAAGAAGTCGTGACCATAAGGATGCAACAGTGCAACGCTCGCGCCAGAATTCCTTCCAGCACGAAGTTCACGTCCTGAATGAAGCCACCGGATCCGTTGTCACATCGGCTCGTGGGGCGGACGGATCGACGGTATATCAAGCGAGCACGATCAACTATGCGAACCCCATGAGTCCAGCGGAAGTACGTTTTCATGCGAAGAAAGCTAGCATGCTCTTGTCCGGTCTTCTTGTTACCAAAAATCTGCCTCCTTCTTTGTCCAAAGATTTTTTGGAGATAATGCCGTTCATGTTTCCTGATTCAAAGATTGCGGCTGATTTAGGCAATTTTTAAAGAAACGGTTGTGTGTGTTTAGTGGTCACTGGTTTGGTGGTCAAAGAGTTTAGTGGTCACTTTCGGCAGAATCATTATCAGGCTTGTACATATTAACTGTAGCACTGCAGAGTGAAAACAATAATAACTACTCGTAGAATCGTATTTGATAATGAATCTGGATTTCACAATAAATTACTAAATAAATTATTGGAATTATTGCATCATAAACTTGTAATGCCGAATTGTTCTTCTCAAAAGTCGAAACTATTCAAAAATTTCGCCCGTTTCGTTGGCCGGTAGTCGTATCTTTTGGAGACTGAGAAGCTTTGCTATATTGTGCAACTCCGCCGAAACTCGCACTTCACTTGGCGAAACTTCACTTAATTGTAAAATATATGTGTTGGAAACATACAAAAGTTTGATAACCTTTTACAATGGCATAATATTAATATGAAAGCTATTGTGGAAAATATTGAACTAACCAGACAATTATTAAAGCAAATTTAATAGCCTACTCCAACCTACGTCCTGTCCTAACAATTACAGCAAGCGTTTTAGAAGCAGCCGCTGTGATTCATTGAATGGAGGAGGATGGGCATCAGCCATCAGGGCGATGAATGCCGTACTGTACAGTACTAGTGTACAACGTAGATTGCGGCGTAGTTGACTGAGTAGTCTATGAACGTGCCGTCCTCGTACTATTGATCAAGTCGTATCTCGAACTGCATCTTCACTCTTCAGTCTTTACTTATGAGTGCTTTAGGATCCAGATTTCGTCTGGAATCGGCCAGGAATCTGGATAAATGCTGACTATCTTGAATCCTTGATCAGTTTTATTAGAGTACGATTCATCACTTAACCGGGAGCATTTCAAAGGCTGCTGCTGCCTTTGTTGTTTCTGTGCGCGATCATGAATTATCAGAGGCTGCATTACTATTTAATCAGTACGCTAGCGGTTCAGCTTTTCTGAGTGATATCATATTGATAAAAGCAGGCATATTGGCATATTTTGGTTATTATTTTGCATGGATCATCTTCGGCTAACGATTGCGAAAGCCGAAGCTGTGCATTTTGTAATCGGTACAAGCGATTATGGCTATGGCAGTGATTTATCAGCGTTTGCACTTGCATGGAGTCCATTGACTGAGATTGCAGCATGCTTGGAGTCGGGTTCTGGCCCATAGTTCCTTGATTCAAAGTGCTGCATTATTCGATTCCCATCAATGCTCCAGTGATAAGTGTTGCTGTTTTTTGTGTTCCTTATCGATATTTCAGGCAAGATGCTTCACGTTAACAAAGCCCTGATTCCTTTGAAGTTGTTCTTCTTCAATTACCTTGGAGGTGAGTCAGAAACGTGATTTATTCATTTGTTTACATTCAGCTGTCTGGTCCTTGTTTGCAGTTTCAGACATGTAGAATCACAGCCTAAACACTCATAATACGTAAATTGCCGCTGGCCTTGATTTTTGCGTTAACATTGACATGCATGACTTTGTATGACTGATGCGGAAAGTGAGAGTCAAAAGGGTTTTAAATTTCTGGATGAATTAAAAGCAGCATTATTTTTTTATATATAGACTTCTCACTTTTGCTTGCAGATTTCGAGTAGGAATACCAAATCTCGAAAAACATGATCATTGCATCGACAAAAAATGCAGCAACTTCGATAGTTACTAGATGCAGATGGATACAAATAGTATTATATTAATTTAAATAAATGCATAGCAGTGACTAATTTAAAGCCGACAGGATTTGGAAAATGTTCATACATAATAATAAAATATAGCGTATCCCGGACTGTTTTACATACCTGTGTTACTACATCTAATAATTAATATATCGGCCTGTGCTCCTGTTTTTCATACAAATTCGAATCCCTGGACGGTATTCAGCATGTCACAGACGAATATCGCGAAATTCGAGACTAAGATCCCTCGCCTTGGAGTTGAATTCGGGTCTCGAATTGATTTCACTAATGCTTTCTCACGACACACGATATGTGTGTGGAATCTGTAGATGATCTTTTCAGAATTTGCGTCAAATCTTGATTTAATGCAGTTGCTGGCGGCGCATGGATTTCTTTCGCTTGCTGACTGGGAGCAGTTCCGTAATCTTCCCAAGTAGTAGTGGTATTTTTGTTATATACCGTATGGGAAACCTTTCTACGTTTAAGTTGCAGAATTTGGATTTATTGTTGCCATTAGCTTAAATTCTGACAACGAAATGAGAAAGCTAGTATGGGATTGGGTGTACATACAACATATTATAAGAGTATGTATAATAATGTATCTTTCGCTTTCGAGGGGAAATATGCACAAAATTACTTACATTAACAAGTGAGATGCCTTCCCAAAAGTGTATTGTACTCTTAAAAAAAATTCTGGTGCGGGTCTATGAACATGGACCAAAAACGGCAATCATTCTTGCTAAAGCTCAAGTGATTTTACGATGTTTTTGTTTTGTAACATTGCCAATATTCTTTTATGCCGTATAAACGTTTGCATATAATATCTACTGTACTAATTATGGTTGTGTTCGTTTCAGGGTTAGCATGCATTGTACCGTACATGCCGGTGTTTATGTTTCATCTCGGATTTAATGAAAGTGAAGTTGGTGTAATCTATGGAATTTTGCCGTTTATTGGTTTATTATCGAAACCATTAGGAGGGATTGTAGCAGACAAGTTGAACGCTCACCGGTTGGTCTTGGTGGTGGCCTTGACCATTCAAGCCGTTTTCACCTTTGTTGTTTATTATTTGCCCCCTGTTCCGCTGGTAACAAGTTCGCATTCCCTCCAGCTATCTTGTAATCAGCAGTTAACGACCATACGCTTGAGTACGAACGGGACGATCTTCTGCGGAGAGGATTCCTCCAAGCTGGTACAGTGCTACTTCCGTGATCCTGATCCATATGTATTCAGAGCGCTAAACATCAGCCCACAGCCGATGCCAATTGAATTCACTGTCACAAAACGCTCCTGGCCGAACGTGACTAATGACTCCACCAACGCAGATCCGAGCGGGACGATGTTTCCGGTGGAATTATTTTATCAAGGTGAGCTGGGATTTTAATTCGAAAATTGTCTTCGCTGTCTCTTAAACCCATCGCCCATATTTCTCAGAGCACTTTAACAGTGTAATTAATGTGAAATTGCTAAATTTGTCTGTCCGTTAACCTTTTTATGGATCTGCCCGAGAAAATGTATAAGTTTTACCGAACAGTTATACTTCGTAGTGTAAAATAAGAGCTGTGTTACGACTGCGATATTTAAAATTCTGTGCTCCCTTCTGCGGGACTGTTCAGTTTGAGCTGTCCGCTGACTATAAATAACAATGGCATGGTAGCGTTTTTCGAACTTAACATAAATATTTGGCGAATTTCGAGCTTAATATGATTTTGTATTTTGATAGGACAAAACCGGACAACGTGTGTGGACTCTGTCTCGTCCTCGAATTGTTCGGCCAACATTTGCCCGGACAGTTCTACACAATCTACGCCGTTCGTTAGATTTTCGTTTCAGTTCTGGTTGTTGTTAATTGTTCTGACCATATCCCGAGTGGGCTATGCGGCCACTTATTCCATTAGCGATTCTGTGGCGTTTGATCTGATCAGCCAACAGAAGAAACCCGTATCCTATGGAATGCAGCGCGCATTTGGCAGTCTGGGATGGGCGTCGGCAGCTGTTGTTGTGGGATTTTTGTTGGATAAATTTTCCAACACCGTCAAGGATTATCAGATCGAAGATTATGCACCGGCTTTCTATGGATTTGTTATTTTGATTGGATTTGCCATTGTTACTGCACTGTTCTTGAAACCGTCGGAGAACATTCGTTCAACACAGGTGTTGAAAAATATTGTGAAACTCTTCGAGGACGGTGAATTCATCATTTTCAGGTCTGCATGTGCATCAGTAACGACATCTGTATTTTAATTTATGTACTTTACTAATTTACCATTTTCTTTTTGTTTGTAAACTTTTTACATTTTGTAATTAATCTACATTCTACAGTAATAAGACGTTGTAGGCAACAGCTTTTTATAAAGGCTAATTCGCCAACATTTCTGCTGACACTAACCATAAGATTCTTCAATCTGTAAATTTTTCACAGATAAATTGTAGTTGCACTCAGATTTCTGCGTAATTGAGTAGCGAACTTACGGAAAACGGCAAAAGATTTTACAAACATGCAAAAGATTTTACAAACATACAAAGTACCGGTTTATTACAGCAGTTGAACTCTGTCTATATGATTTTAGTATTGGAGCGTTTCTGGTTGGAATGCTGACCGGTCTTTTGTACACGTTTTTGTTTATCTACATCGAATCCGAGTTGAAAGCGGTGAAGCTGGTGATGGGTCTCACTCAGCTGGCTGAGTGCTTCGGTGAAGCGCCGTTCATGTTTCTGTCCAGTTGGATTATAACCCGGATGGGTCATCATGGCGCGATGACGGCAGCGTTGGCCTCGTTTTGTATTCGTTATATTGGTTACTCATTGCTGGGAGAGAATTACTGGTGGATTCTTATCCTGGAGTTGTTCCATGGTCCTGGATTCGGTTTATTTTACGCTAACATGGCCACATTTGCTAACACAGTGGCACCGGCTGGTGCGGCGGCCACGATGCAGGGGGTGTTGGGAGGGATCTATGATGCATTTGGTAAGTAATCACGAAGCTGAAAGCTAGTAACGCCACGCAGACCACGATGTTTTACTAAGAATTGGTTAGATGTTTACTAAAACTGTTAAAAAGTGTATATCGCCCACATAATTACGCTTGGTTTTGCGATCGGAATTACGATATAGTTTATTTTTTTTTGTGTATCTTGTCATGCAGGCACATTATTGGGCGTTGTCCTTAATGTTGATCGAACTACAGTGCTGCGAAATTTGTAACTGGGCGGAATGATTTATTTTTGTTGTATCTTTTAGGAATTGGTTTTGGTGGATTGGTGGGTGGTGCGGTGTACTATCGATTTGGAGGCCGGTTGGCATGGCGAGGATTTGGTGTTGCCGCCGGGATCGCGGCGATTCTGTATGCAGCCACGGCGTTCTATGTTTACCGACGTAAAGCCCGTGCCAAAATGTTGAGTGAGCTGAATAATGGGTCACTACAAGATATTGCCACCACTACAAACGGCTACGAAACACCGATCCCGCCTGATACTCCGTCAGAAAAGGAACGATTGACTACGTGATTGGACTTGCCAGTATGCTTGCAAAAAAAGAGTGCATTTTTCGCACTCGGTGCAGGAGAATTCAGTGTTCTCATATTATTTAACTCCCTTTTCAGTATGTTTTTTACCGCGTGCTTTTTGATCTATTTGCCCGAAGATATTGTTGCACGAATTGATTTCATGCCCGATCTGCGTTGCTTCGAGATTATGATGGTATACAAAATAAATATCAACATCCGAAGCTTTTGTTATTCATTATTCACTTCACAAAAGCTCGAAACGGGATTAACGTATCGCAAATATTGCAGCGTTCTGTCTTTTTTGCATCACTTTTTCTCAGTTTTCGTCTCGGTTTTTAAGGCCGTTCCCGAAATTTTCTGATTAGCAGTGGTTGCGAGTTCGTTCGCTTTAATCTGAGCTGCCGTGACTGTCTCTTTAGCTTGCTGTTTTACTACTTCCAGTTGTTTTTCCGCTGCCTCTTTCATCTCTTGTCCCTTGAGGACAGCCGCTTCTTTTGCCGCCGCTGCCGCTTTGGCGCTTAGTTCTTTGGCTTCTTGGGTCTTCTGTTCCGATGTGCACATATTTTGCTTGGATTTGGATGCCATTTTGTCGGTGTATCTTTGGCTTGATCAGTCTGCAGCAAGTCTTGTGGCTCTTTCAGGCACGGAAGAATTTTCAAATTCCAGATCAGAAAAAGGGATGTCTCCGTCGTTTGGAATTACAGATAGTGATAGAGATATCGATTTCTTACTTTAACTAGGAAATATCTGAATAGAAGTACGTACTGCAGGTTAATCTAAATATTTAAATCGCGCGGCAGCACTTTGGTAAGTCACCGTGCGATTATAATCAGTTTAGTACTAGTAAATTTTTCAGTTGTTTCCGGAAGCTCTGCTAATTGCAAGCGGAGTACAATAATATTATAGAAATGCTTAAGTACAGATACTGTACAAAGTACTGTTGTAAATTATGTGTTTCATTGCGCACTACAGTTTCATGATGAAGTACGAAGTATACAAGTTGTTTTTAAAAAAATGCGCAAAATAAGAAAAAATTACAAACGTTACAACAAAGAAATTCTGCCAAAGAAAAATCTCTTTTATTTTATTTTTTTCGCCGTGGATCACAGTAGCCAGAAAAGATTTGGACATTTCTGATTTTTGTTTTCATTTTATACTTGAGAAATGCATTAAACTCATAGGTTAATTACGAATTGTTTGTGTGCAACAATGTGCTTAATCATTTCAATAAGTAATTGCAGTTTTGCGTAACCTTAATAATTATTATTAATTTTGTATCACACACAATTCTGTAATCCATGATTCCGTACGACTTGTCTCAGGCATTTTCGAATAATTAAGTCGTACGGACGTTTTGCGCTGCCCCGGCAACATGCCAAAAGGTCATGATTCTCGTCATTGAATCTGTGTACTTTGATTCATCAAAATTTTAATCACATTACATTAGTGCAACTGCTATACTTTTGATTCCACACTTAGAATATCAGCTTGCAGTAACTAGCCTAACCTGCGGCACTCCACAAGAGCGCAAAATCGGATAACTCATAGTCGCACACACCGTTCTTATCTGTAAAAGAAAGTACAATTGCCGTGTACAATGGCCGATAGCAAACTGAAGACCGAACCGGTGACGAAAAGCCCTTCATCGACCAATTTAGGAATAACACCGGCGGGCAAACCCGGCGATGCGCCGGTATCAAAGGAAAACCTGGCGGCTGCCAAAGTGACCTTAAATAGCGGAGCGGATGCCCAGCTGAAGAACACAGCCGGTGCACAAAATCCCGCAGCCGTCAAATCTAACGAAACGGCAGGAACGAAACCCGAGGAGAAAAAAGAGGACAAGAAACCTGCTGATAAGAAGGATGCGGATAAAAAAGATGAGAAAAAGGGAGAAAAGAAAGATGAGAAGAAAGACGACAAAAAGGATGACAAAAAGAAGTAAAGCAGTTATGCAGCCTTGCTTGTCACTGTTCTTCCTATTTGTTAACTTCCATACAATTTCGCATAAGTTCAGCATATGATACAAGTGTATAAGTATCAAAGATCACCTGGGTAATAAATTCTTTAATAACCTATTACAGCAAGCTTAAGACGCCGGAAATCTATCATACAGTAACAAAATAAATTATTGCATAAGTGTAATGCACAGGCTACTAAAGTCGTTACCGACAAAATTATAGCAATTCAACACCGTAGTTTTATAATTTTTACGGTTTTATGTACCTACACCGGAAGCGAACTGGAGGAAAAACAGTGTGCTTATTATACAGGTTTTGTAAAGATCGTTTGACAATATAACAGATAACCGTCTTCATGAAATAATTTACAACAAAGGATTATAGGAACAACAAGTCAGCTTAATGTTACTGTAACTTTGTCTACTGTAATTACGGTAGAAGGATAGGTAGCTGGGTGGATGTGCTTGTGGTGGTAATGGGATAATTTGCCGGGCTAACGTTCAGATGCAAATCACCATAAACCTGTGTTTTAGCACCATTAATATTTAATACTGATTTATCCAAAAGCCCCAGCACAGTGTACTGTAATGTGTAGGAAGATGGCCCGGCATCCAGTGCATACGTTTCCGGTAGTATTGTGTCCAATGTAACGGTAATGTTAGACACTCGTGAATCTGTAAGAGCACAATGCATACTCGTACATGGTTACAGGTATGCAGAAAACAATAATATTTAACATAATACTCATTTCTATTCAGCAAAATGAAAAAATCGTATACCTATATGGCTATATCACTATATGTACAAGGAAAGCATACAAGGAAATCGTGGAATTCATACAAGGTGCATTGTAGAGACGCATCATATCATTCAAGTACATGAATGTCATAAGATCAGTACGTAGTTACTGCACCATGCCATTTGCGATTACTTAACTTGGTCAAGAAGACATGCTGTTTAATTCCCTCATTTTGCACCGGTACGGATTTTTTCATGAGAAATAATTTAATTACGATAAACTTTAATTACAGTATTTTTTAGAGAATTTGGTCGCTGATATAAAGGTGATTATTTGACCTTTACCTAAAGCCCGAGCCCATGCTTGTCGCAGAGTGGAAGCGGTTTCGTTCTGATCAGTCTGCACTGCGCTGTCTAGTCGCACCGAGTCTCGAAATCCCACAAGAACTGCATCATCCATTAGATTGGTATCGTTATCCATAAGAGATTTTAGTAAAAGTTTCGTCGATGGTCCTGACTGAATAGCGGAAACACTAGTCATCAGTAACAAATCCCGGAATTTCTGCTCCACGGCGATCGGTGCCAGTAATGTATTGTTGGTGACAACTAACACAAGTTGATACCGGGTTACAACGGTAACGTTGTTTGTGGGATCCGTTACCGCTTCGTCGTGATTCCATGCATGGACCACCCGCGCGTCACTTCCTGAAAAAAGCAGAAACCGCAAAATGTAGATCATGCGCTTACTGACTGAGAGGTTGATATTTTTATTATTATTACTTAAAATTATTACTACTTAAAAGTAGTAATGGCTGGAAAATACGATCTTACGAATTTATTTTGGTGTTCTTACCAATAGCAATTTTATAAAGGGTGCTGACAGCATTTTCTACGTCGCTAGAGGATGTAATATTGACGAACGAGGTAGAGTTGCTCGCTTCGACCACGGTGAATATGTTCAACGGTTCCACTTCCGGTGTCGGGTAGATTTCATCGAAATTTACTACGTATGGCACATTGCCATCCATGACGAACTGCCGAAATTGTTCCTGCTTCGCCGAAAAATCGATGTGGTGGTTTCTTGATAAAATTACTACCACGTAGTATAACTGGTGCGTTTTACTTCCGGATTCCAAATCATTAATGTATGGAGGGAATTCGGCGTAAGCAGCCAGCTGGATGAACATAGCATCCGATCCTGTTGCATATACATACTAGTATACAAAATTTTATGATTCAAGAGGCGTCAAAACCATCTGTTTTAATCTTATGAATTAAGGGAATGTGAGCTTTGGTTCTTTTCGTAATGAAGTTATATAGTTGTAATTGTATATTTTCAGCTTTTAAAAGCAAGTCAGCCAGTCTAATTATACGAGTATATACCTGCAAAAGGCACTAGAAAATGATGTTTGCAGTACCGCTCACATACCATAACTACAGATAAGTCACATAAGTGTAACCGTACAGAATTTACAATTAATTATTGCAACAACTAGAAGGTAAAATATTCACAATTTGTAAAAACAACTCATAAACTACAGTCGCTATAAATTCCGGCTGTGCATCGACATCAGTCACTACCGTATTCACTATTTTTTTGTATACTTGTATACAGCAATGCAAATTGTTTCTTGAGTAAAGCTTTGTATCGCGCGGTTGATTGTACTTGTAAGATACAAAAATGATGTACAAAGCTTACCTAGCAATCCCGACCACGCTGCTTGGAAAGCCACAATTGCACCATCTCGCACGGTAAGGTTTTCGTAATACAACCGCAGCGTATCCTGAATTATATACGGTTTCACTGAGTGATCTTCATCCTTAGGGCGAGCAGCCAGTGCATTAAAAACAGCGACTTCCGGAAAAGTCACTCCGTTAGCAAAGTAGCTAGCCGAAAACTGGATGGTGGCATTAGCAACCGCTGGTGCGCCTTGACCTTTATCCAGCTGATCGGTAATGAAGACATTGTACGCATTGCTGAGATAACTATGAAGCGTTATGTTGGCCGCCGTTATATTAATGCTGATGGACTTTTCCGGATAATAAACAACGGCATACAAAATGTCGTAATTTTTTTGGGAAGAAGTAGTTGATAAAAGTGTGATGTCCAAAAGAAAAAGCCGAACAGCGTCCAGTCGGATACCTTATCATTAAAAAATATAAAAAACATTTGTGATTTGCAGGATTTAACTTTCATATTTCATAATTAAGTTCACTCCTTCCATTCCAACACACCTAAACTGATCGCCCACAATTTTCCCAGTTCCTGGAAAGCTAAATCCCGTTCTGCAGTTGTCGAATACTGCAGTATAATGGAATCGGTAAATGTTGAAACAGGCGCTGTCGTAAGCGTGGTGGCTGGCGCACTCTGATAGCAAAATTATAAAAAAACAAATTAACATCACATGAATTAATACGAAAATTATTATTTTTGGTTGTTCACTGTAACATCTACAATTATTTTAAACTTCAGACATCGACCTACCGTTCTGTTGAGTTGTTTAAACGCTATTGCATCCCGATAGACAACGTCCGTGTTGTTAAAGTATCTAGCAAAGATTGCCGCAAATTTCTGCTGGATGCTTTTGGATGTAAAATTCACTCCGACCGGTTTTGTTATTCGAAGCATATAGCGTATATCATATACTGTTTGATTGTTTGCTACGGACAGAAGCGGGGCCAAGGTTGATTTGAAAATATTTGGATCCACAGTCGAATTTACGTTCCCAGCATCTGCAACCATTATGACAATTCTGTATATTATACAATATTTTCTTCACAAAATATCACAAAGTTTTTGTGACGCTTCGCATAGTATTGTTCAAGTATTTGGATGTTGAGCTTCCCAAGTAAAACGATTTTTGCTTGTGCTAATTAAAAGTCAACGTGTTAAAACTTATCATTGACTGGAATATTGATGCTATTATCTTGCACATAAGTAATCAATTAACAACAAACCTCGTGATGCGTTTTTCCAAAGGTTGAAAAGGTCACGCATAATCAGACTTCGTGCCTGATTATTATTGCCTATAATCTGAACCGAATCGACAATAACAATCAAAGAGGAGTCTTTCGATTGGTCGGAGCAGTTAATGTTGCGGAACTCGGGACTGTCCGTACCCGATCCGATTGTGTCGTTAATCCGCTTTTTGACAGCCTGATAAATGTCCCCTGACTCCAGGGAACTGTTGGAGGTTAGCACAGTTACGGCGTAGCGGATGGAAGAGTTGAAAGTACCGTTCGGCACAATGGATTCTTCATTCAGAATGGTCAGATACGCTTGTATTGCCCAGTCTGTGGGCAAATCAAACATACTGAGTTATTAGCACACGAAGTTCAAAATAATCAATTCAACGGAATTTACCAAAATTCAGAGTAAAATTCTTCAAAAGTGGTAGAATGTGTGAACTTTGATTAGTCACGATCTCTCCAATGGTGACATAGGAATGGATGACCTTTTCTTTGTCGTCGCCATATACTGACCACTGCTGTTTGCAGCTGTTATCGACGTCCACTTGCGGCCGCGTATCGTCTGGGAAGTCAAGGTTGTTGTTCCGTTGCTTGAAAATAGTGGAATTCTGTACAAGCCCTTGGAATTTGGCTTTTGCCGCGCTAACATCTATCTTCTGATTAGACGATGGAATTACGGAATACGATATTTCATGTGGATCATCATCGTGGTTTGTGGTGTTGGCTGACTGATTGGTGGGTATAACATTGTCGTTGGTTACGCTTATCCTTACATCAAATACGTCTTGTCCTGAAAACATTAATTTTGCAATACATAACCTGTACTCGAAAATATTATATCTGCTGGTTTGTTTTTATGGAAATCATTTCTAAATAACCTTGCCTAACACATCCGCCCATAGCTTCCGAAGTTGTGATAGTATTTGGTTTCGTTGCGTTTCATTTGGATAAGAAAAAATGATAGTGTCAGAAAATACTGCTCCGCTCTGTAAATGAACCAATTAATGAGATCATATCATTGATATTATGTATGTAGTAGTTACAAATATTATATTACATGTCACTCAGGCACTCGAGCTAATTACATATAATGGCAAGCATCCAAATATAAATGGTTTTAGTACAAATTTTCTGTACCGGTGTTATTGTTGATACACTCGAATCCGTACTAGATGGCGCTGCAAGCAATTGTTTTTAATGCGCAGTTCACGTTGACACTGACAGTCAATACTACAGGTTGTAAATATACAAATTATTTCGCTTACCAGTGGTAGTTGTTGTAGTTGCCGGTGTTGTAGTTTGCGGGACCACATCAATATCGGTGACCGACAGCAGCAGCGAAGAGTTACGAATCAACGGTACCAGTTCACGAAATTTGACCTTTAACGCCGTCGTATTCCACTCGCTGTTGTTGCAGTAAAATCCCACTCGGAAATATAATTTTGTTATCGGCATGCCTTGGTCACCGGCTAAGGAGAATGTCTGTTCCGACCCGGCATGGTACACCCAGAACCGAATATTCCACGCTTTCGGCCCTATCGAAATGGAATTACAAAGTACATTAACCGGTGGTAGATTATTTACACTCTGATCATATAGCTTACCAATGATACTGGTCCATGCTTGCTGTAAAGCTTTAATAGCCAAATCGGGGACCTTATCAGTCTGGTATGCTAGATTGACCGTATCGAAAATAACGAAAATTTTTGTATTGCTGCGTGTGTATTCCAGTATGGCTGTTGGCAGTTGACTGGTTTCTGGTTCCAGTTTTACATACAGCGAATCGGCACTGCTGGTGGCCAGTTGCCGGAACCGGCTCTTGGCGGCTTCGATATCCCACGAAGAGAGTTCGCTTACGAACACCACCGTGTACGAAACATTAATAATATTTTCACTGGTTGTTTCCCGATTGGAAAGGGCAATTTGAACTTCCACTGCATCGTCTCCTTAATAAACAAAAATTCAACAGTAACGCAATATTTTACCGAATTGATTACGTAAAGGTCACTTAAAAATTTTTGTTTATTAATTAATTTGATTAAATAATTTCTGATATGTTCGCAGCGCCAGGAAATTTCAAAGTTTAAAGGTGTATTCTACTTGTTTATGAAGGTTATGGTGCCTGTTTGTCAGCATTGCTGGAGTTCAGCACAATACGTCTCACCTAGTACTTCCTTCCATAAATCGTGCAACGGCCGTAAAAACAATGAGCTAGTTTCCACCGTCGCATTATACACTCGCACTTTATCATGAATTAGATGCACATTGGTATTCAAAAGATCTTTAATGCTCGTGGTGCTGTTCGTGCTGTTTTGCAGTACGAAGACATTAGCTGGCATCCAGAATAAATCCTGAGTAACCGCTACATAACCGAAAAGTGCCGTCATGTTGACCACAGGCACAGGAGTGTCCACCATAAACGGTATGCTTGTCAAGTCCAACAATCGCTGAAACTTTTGTGTGGCTTCGATGACATCGGCATTCAGATATTTTGTGCTGCACTGGATGATGAAAGTACAGTTGTTAATTTGTCGATCATCAATCAGTGGACCCACCGAACGAATTTTTGTGGTAGAGTTCAACGAAAGCTCCATTGTCGTTAAAGGAACATCTGGAAAACCATCGAAATTAGGATTTAAACGAACGTGAATTCGAAGGAATTTTTGAGAATAATTGTTTTATGAATCATGTGAAACAGGATTAATAATTATGGCATTTATCTTTTTTGTTGTTGGTACTATATTAAATAAAGATTATAATATAATAAACGAAAATGTATAATGCTAGTAGTATTTATAATTTGTTATTTTATAATACGGACAGATGCTTGAACATGCACCTATAACTATTTATAAAAATAAAAACCCAATTTCTACAGAAGCGCTTACATGCGTGAAAATTTGTATAACATTCTGACTGGTTTCCGTATATAGCATTTATATCACGGAAAGCTTGACCTTAAATTTACCACTTGCTTACTTAATATAAAAGCCCATAATTTTCGAATTAGTTCCATGCCTTGATCACGCTCGTCATTGTTAGCATAGGCAATTATGTTACTGTGTGTAACCGTCAACACGCCATCGGGATTCGGCGCAACATCCGCCACGGTCAACGCCTTCAAATCGGATGACCATTGAAAAGGTGTGCCGAGAAGTGCCGGCATGCGTGCAGCGGAAATCAGTTGACGGATTTTCAGCTTGACCTGGTCCACGTCCACATGCCCGGTACTGTCGCCAAACAGAAGATACATCACCTTGACCGGTTCAGCACCGAATTCTTGTGTTGATTTGGGAATGATCTGCACCAGGTGCAGTTCGAGACGAGATACACCTTTGCCCAGCGTCTTTTGCCATAAGCTTTTCAATTGGACCAGTAACTGGGTTTTGGTGTCGTCGTTCGAGTAGGTCATCCACACTGAATCCATTAAAGCGAAAGGGTCACTGCCGGTGCCCTTTGTCTGCATGGTATCCGTAATAGCGTTGCGACCTTTGGTGACAGCGCTAATACCCCAGTAGCTGTTTTTTAGTAGTAACTGGTCGAATTTGCTCCTAATTGCGTCGTCAATGACTTCCGGTTTGAATTTAGGACTGGCAATGACAAAGTGTGCAATTTCCTTTATAGATGTTCCTGATTTTGGTGGTTCTTTAGAAGCTTTCCACGAGAAAAATTGAACGGATGAACAATCATTTTCTGTAAATTTAGTATGAGTTTTAGTTGTCTTTCGTTTAATGACGAAACGTAAGAGCGGAAATAATAATAATTTATTCTTGGAGTAGTAATTCAGATAACTCATTATACAACCTGTTAAAATTAAAGTGTTCGAAAGTTTGTACATACTGGCCGTCAAAAGCTGGCACCATATGTTACGAATCTTTTCAATTTGCGAATTCCTCGCAGTATCCGTCTGGTAAATGAGAAGGCGAACATCCGTTGTTACAAAATATTGCACTTGACTAGATTCTGTTTTGGCTGCAAAATTCAGTTTGCCAGTATTCGAATCTGAAAAACGACATGAAGTTGTACGAGTTCTATACGCACTGGATTTTCCAGATCACCATTGCAATTCAAGCCACAACACAAGAAAAGCGGTTTAGAACTCTTATCGTATTGTGTGGTAGACCGTATTGTCAAGGTTCTTGTGTTCGTATGGATTTATGACTAAACTTAGCCATAATAATACTATAAATTTTACGATTACAAACCTGTGATGCCGGCTGATTGAGCTGATATCCACATAATCTATAGGAAAATAAGTTAAACTTCACAATATTTCGAGTACAATAATTATTATACATACTAGTATAATAAATTGACATTCAAAATACAAAGAAAATTACTTTATAGAAAATGACAGTTAATTAAAGTAAGTGATGGTGTTGTAACTATGCACGTAACCTGATCCTGATGTATCAAAAGAATTTCCCGATATGCTTGATTATCCATAAAATTTATAACTGCGACGGTTATTCGCAACTTTCTATCGCAATAACGGAAAACGTTTTGCCGCATAGATGATTTATAAAACTCAGCTCAAACTATCTTACATTTACACTGAAGAGACAACAGTACTGTGCCATATGTACATAGATAAATCTGTTGTACAGTACTTTCTTCTACAGTGTATTCCTGTTTTAAAATTTCAGCAGGATGCTCTTTGACTTTACTGTGGTATATCCCGAAGAAACTGTAAAAAACGTTGCAGCTGAAATGAGATGGAGCGTTTTGAATCTGAAATTTATAAAAACGCGTTCTCCGGCCAGTTCTTACTTACCTTTAACTGCAGCACAATAATCACGAACAGGATAACAGATAGTGTACACGCCATCTTTCAACTATCAGTAGATTACAGTAACAACTGCAAGGCATCCGGTGAAAACCAAATTCCCAAAGGCAAGAAGATAACTTTTATCGACCGCACGGAGTGCGGAGATGTCAGTACCACTCGTTACTGCATATTTTAGTAGCACAGCCTCACTTAAAAATTTGCATGGTCTGGCAAAATGCAATTCGGAAAAGCTGGCATTTTTAATCGCGAGTTGTATCGTGCGATTGCAAACCATTCATGATTAAAGTGTACATCAACTGCAAGGCATCCGGTGAAAACCCATAAAACGTGAAAGGCAAGAAGATAACTTTTATCGACCGCACGGAGTGCGGAGATGTCAGTACCACTCGTTACTGCATATTTTGCAGATTCAGAAATACATTTTAATACATTAATTAAATAGCTCACTGTTTTAAAATTTCAGCATGTGCTCAAAACAGCATTTGGAAAATGGACTATTTAACTACACGCAGATTACAGTCATGTATTCTAACATTTGTCAAACTGCGCAGATTCAGTTTCACCATGCCAATTGGCAAATTTGTATTCGATTGATGGTTCACTCAAAACAAAGTGCATCACACATTAATAACATCACAGAAGATCAAAAGATACAGTTATTACTAATGCCTAGATTTTTTTTCGCAATGGTTTTTCCTCTCACCATCAGTGACTCAAATGAGTGCTACAATAATTATACGATCTCCATAAAACGTGATCGCCAGTGTCTCGTGTTGTGCGCATTCATATTCATCATCATAGAAAAAATGTTGTGGCGTGTTGTCGCACAATCATATATAACCATGAATACAACCATGAAACCGGTGTAATTTGTTGTTGTTGTATAGTGCAGATTCAAAGGTCTGCGTGAGCGTAATTATTATTACCGATATGACTACTTAGCTATAATTATTTCGGCTTTATATCGCGTGCGCACTAAGAGAAGTTTCCAGGACGTCTACGGACGTAAACACTTTGCGCTATTGTGCGCAGCGATCGGAATTAATTTTAGCTTATGATTCATTCAAGTGGAATCAAATCGTGAAACAAGTAGCACTTGTATTACAGTGTACTGTATGTGATCGCATACTGCAGATTGTAATGTTTTGCGGCCTGTTCTTTTCCACATTAACATAATGCCACAAAGCATAAGAAATTACTGTTAACTTCGTATATCTGTTAAAGAACACTGAAAATATGTTTGTGTATTAGCGAAAAATATAGATAGGGACTATTTCAGTACCTTGTATGTTCAGTTCAGTGCATGTGCGTCATAATAATTAAATTTTACAGTTATCGCATGTGCTTTGCATTAGTACCCATAAATTTCACTGTATTTATTTCAATTAAATTTATTGTGTTTCTTACTGCAATGTAGTTCCACGCTTCAAACTGCATGCAATAAGTTTTTGACCAGATCGCAAAAGCGTAGAAGGAAGTACTGCAAAGCCATTCAAAAATTTGTTCGCGGTTAATTGTTTTAAGTAATTAAACATTTTAAGCAGCGCTTCTTAATTTCGGTGACTCAGATCTACACTGCTGCCATCGACAGCGGTTAATTTGATTAAATGTTGATGGAAACTTTTCTGAACGGCCAGTTCATCCAGAATTCCTTTGGCCGCAATAAAGACGATGTAAGATAACTGATGCCGTTGTTGGCGTTTTGTTTTGCCTCCCATACTCAAAATGTGGTGGCTAATACTGTCTTCGTATACGATCACTTCGACGGCTTCAGCTTCGACCGCCTGTAAATATCACATATGAAGTTTTACTCAAATTCGTCTTACTATTTTGCTTAACCTGCTTTTTTGTACGTATAAGTACATTCAAATACAGTACAGTACCTAAAGCGTTGATCCACAGCTGCTGTAAATTGGCTACGAACACATTTTGCTCCTCGGGATCAGAATATGTGAGAGGATAGGTGTCCTTAATAACCAAGAAGTTGTACGGAGAGGGCAAAAGACCGGCGCCATTATTCTTTTGCCCTGGGGGAACCGGTCGTGCGCGCTCAAAATTAGTTTTGAGCCGGTTGAGATCCAAGTGCGCATCACTGGAAAGAATTACCACGACATACTGGATGGTGTGGATTTTGCTGTCAGTCGAAGATACAGCATCGTCATATAAAACAATTTGAGCAAATTCCGTGCGGTTCCCTAAACAACTTTGAATTTTAAAGACGGTAACAAAGTTGTTATTTTCATTTCTAGCTCACCGATCGTTTTATGCCATGCGTGGTCTATTTTGTCCATAAACAGGGTCAGATCACTGGGATCGCGAAGAGTAATGCGAAATAGATCCGTTATTAAATATACGTTGAGGTAAACCGTTCGGTATGTCGATTCCGTTGTGTCGCTATCATCCTACAATTAAAATTAATTTTTTCAACTTGTGTTGTACTCTAAAGCTTACCGTACCTGGAGAATTTATGCCAATAAATGACTGTGCATGTACAGTACTAACTGAGCAATATAAACCGTCTGCAGCAGGAAAAGGAAGCGTAAACGTATACCCTAGGTGTTTCAGTGCATAATTAAATATATCATCAGCATCATTTACCCGAAACACTAAAAATTAATTCGCTTAGATTTAAATTTTGTTTGTAATGACAAAAAATTTATAATAAATTTTTTGCATATTCGAAGTAAATAAAGCGATTTTCTTCGCTCATGATTAATCGCTGACCTGTACGTTGGTTGCTGATCCCGCTGACCACTGCGGCTTTGCCTTGCCATTACTGCCAATTTGATTGTTTGTGCTGCCCTGCAACCACGATTTGGACTGTTCCATTTTATTCGATACAGAGCTGTCGAACTCCGGATCATCTTCGACTGGACTGGATGCCGTGGTTGTTGTCGTAGTGGGCTGGGTCCGGGGTCCTTTGGGCTTAATGGCTCCATTGGGAAGGGGATTGCTTTTAACCATAACCGGCACTTGACGGACGGGTTTATTCGAAGCCGGCGTTGTGCCGGTCACAATGACGTTCTGCGCTAACGTCGGCTCGTTCTTGTAAGCGGATGCCGAATAGGTGGGTCCGCGAATATTCGGTATGAGTTTGACGAATTCACCACGAAGGTCACCGAACTTCCAGGGTCCTTTCAATGTGGAGGTAAATGTAATTAAATAGCTAATGATTAGCGCCTCTTGTACACCGGATGTTTTGCGCTTCGGTAGAATTTTAACATTCCACGCATCCGAACCTTAGAAACACGTTAGTATTTATTATACGTAATTGAGTACGTACAGCTGCATGCTGCAAAAAATCGAAATATTTTCTACCTAATACTTTCATCCAGTTTTTCCGAATATCTTCCATAGCACTCTGATAATCTTGCTCTGATTTCATATTGTACTTCAGTACAATGGTATCGTAGAAGCCAAAAGAGCGCACGCCATTATCGCCAAACGGTCTGATTTCCGGTTGGGGATCACTTGTAGAACGAGAAATCAATTTCGAGATCTTTGCACCATTGAGACTGTTGAGAAAGTTGTCGATGACCTTTTTAGAATTCACCTTCTCGTCGTGCAGAATATTCACAGCGTACGTGATCTGGTGCGATCCATCAAAATTCACAATGTCCTGCGTTATTACTAGATCAACAATAGGTCTGTGCGAACTGAAATCTGCAATGAAATAAATCAGGCAAATAAACTTCGATTAACAACAACAAAAAATCAGTAAACTGGTCAACGTGCCAACGCTTATAAGAAAGCGCTAAGCCATCAACGCTTTTTCAGAATTGCAATTTTATAAACCATAATCTTTCACAAGATTAGCAAAAGTAAATGCGCTTAATTTCAGTTTGTACTATCAATGAAAAATAGTAGAAATGGCTGTGTTAACTTTAAAATATTTTTTCTCGTCCGGAATTAAAAATTGATCTTCATTTGTACGAGCTGTAAAGTTGCAGTTGTACCTGATATGGCTTCCAACCAGGTTGTGCGAATATTATCGAAAACATCATTTCTTTCTGCTGCGTCATTCCAGCCTTCAATCGTCACTACGTCATAGATAATAAAAGATTTCTTTCCGGTTTCAATTACAGCGGATGTGCGCGGTGTTTTAATAGTATCCAAAACTGTCAGCATCGTTTTCGAAGCAGAAGACACCGCGATATTTGCCTGTTGGTCCAGTGTTATATCAACTTGCTGAGAAATAAAAGGCAGCAGTTGTTGAATTTGCGCATGACCCGATGTCACGTCGGTTGCAGTAATGGATAAATCAACTGCATTTATTCTCGGAAGATCATCTTGAGCATCGTCCATTGCTTTTCTTGAACTAATGCTAATTTTGAGGTTCTGTAGTTCCGTATCTTCAGTAAAATGTTATTAAACATTTTGCGTAAAGAACTAAGTGGACAACGATACAACAGCCAAAATAAAGCTTACCTAATAAATAAGCATATATTTGTCGAATGAAGTCGGTGCTGTTATTCAGCGTGTCATTGGTGGCATATTGTAAGATCACAGTCTCCTTTAAATCACCTTTAAACAAAACAAAAACGAAAATTTAACATAATTGTGATATGGTCAGGATCATGTAATGGATCAGGCTAATAACTACTCTGGTGCTGTTAATTGCTGGAGCAGTTATCACAATTCAGGCGGTCAGAATGGGTAATATAATTATTATTTAAAAAGTTGAAGTTTAAAAAATTATAAAAATTCCGATTGCCCAAATTTTTATTACTTTTTGTAATACTTTTCTGCACCTATGTGTTATTTAATTACCTGTTGCGGACAACGATAACACCTGAAAATAGCGAACATTTTTAATTGTAAGATATATATCAAGCAGTTTGCTCAAATTGTCAATATAAGTAGTTGTGTACATTGCCCATGACTCAAACTTGGTTTTATTGAGGAATATACTAAGTGACTGCCTTCTGCGTTCAAAATGCAAGAATTACGCGGTGTTCAGAAGCATTTACTGACCTGCAGACATGCAATCAAAATTAAAACAATTAGTCCCAAAATTCCCATTGTGCACTAATGTCACCGATATTGTCGGCACGGTTAAAATTATTTCATGTGCAGCAGGAATTGTACAGAATATACGGGAATTCTGGTGTGTACAACTGCTACTAAATTTTATATCTTAAGAAGATGTTCCATGCCAGTAAACCGAAAAGTACATCCTCGTAATATTTATTGTTGTTCTTGAGTACGTTGCCTTCAGGTTTAAAGAATCCACGTTGTAAAGTATACGATGGGATTATTGAACTTTCACTTTTACCTTTGCGGAAACAGCGATCACCACTTGCCTTAAGATATACAAGACTAATTATCGTGTACCATTGCCAAGATTTTGCAATATTGTTGTGGCACGTTGTAATTAAGTAGTTGTCGCATCAGTAAATATAACTGCTTTCGAAGTGAATAAACATTCTACCACTATATATGTGTAGCAAAATTTAAATTAAATGCTGATTTTAATTACAGTAGGTAAATCGGCTTACCTTTCACTTGCAAACGATAATATGTTTACTGAAATATGTACAGTGACACACCCATGTAAGCGAAGAAATAGTGCCATTTGGTGAAAAAAATTTCTAACAAACTTAAATATATGAATAATCTTTGATAATAAAAAAAGTGTACGTCAAAGAATACATACTTTGTTTAACGGCTTTTTTATAATATTACATCATTTTATAACGAACTTTGTTTGCGATTGTTTCCTGATTCCTTGATAATTTACATATAACCTGGTTGCAATGCTTATAAGCAACATATGGCAGACTGAATTTTTTGTTTTGCGGGCGATGAATATACAGATATATATTTTACAGCTGTATATGCTGCTTCCTGTATCGATTAACGGTTGTGTCGTTATTTTCATAGGTCACTTTATCACACAGTCGGAATTCAGTCAAACGTCCAGGCAGGCATATATATAGAATACAGCAAGTGGAAAAAATGCATAACGGTCCAACTAGACTGATTCATAAATTAATAGCATCCATAAATTTTGTAGGTACAGCCCGTCACCATTCCAAGACTTAATAAAACAATATTAGTAAAGGGAATTTTTAATTAATACGCAGTTAAATCCTTTTTTTGTCAAGCGCATTCATGGTCAATCTGAGCAATTGTATATATAGCGCTTATTTTCCAAAGACCTTATCTACGATGTTTCCAAAAAGTCCTTTCTTAGGCGGCGGCTTCTGATTATTGCTTGAACTGGAATCATCGGACCCTGTAAAATAATACACAGAATTTACATTACTTATTGGTAAACACGACATTATCTTTTAAAGGCGATAACCGAGCAAGTATTGAAAGTTTTGTCCGCACAGATATCCTCTTTAAACCTACCACATTCGTCAACGATAGGTTTTACGCTCGTTATTCGGTATTGCTTTAGAACTTTAAAAGTGTATTAATATGAAATTATTCATTTAATTTTTTTATAATGAGATGAATCCAGTTGTAAGTCAGCTTACCGGTGTTATCGATAGTCGCCGACACCTCAGCCTCCTCAGTGGAAGGCGCCGCCGATGCCGAACCTCCGGCAAGCGTAAATTCCACGCCGCCCAAATGGGAATCAATGACTTCCCGTTCGAATACCTTGGACACTTGACCCACGTTGAATCCTTCGCGCGTCGATCCTGTCAGATGGTACCAGACTTTGTTGACCGGCTTTCCGCCCTGATCGGCCGGCAGTGTGCCCACGTTCAGTTGTTCACGAATAAAGGCAATGTTGAGACTGGTCACCACGTAAGCATCTACAAAAATATGAGAATGAAAACTGCTTCTTTTAGTTATATATTGTCTGCCAATTTTTATGCTTACTCAAGGCGTTGTTCCAGTTAACTTTGAGGCGCTGCAGGAAATTGTCCCGGATGGCAGCATTATCGTACGACAGGTAGACGACCAGCTGGACGTCAAAATTTCCGGGTGCTGTTTAAAGTTCAAATCGAAAAGTTTAGATAATTCATAACTTGATTATTATTATCCATATAAATTATGCATCCAAAGATGCTCTCCATAACAATACGCAAGTGTTACACTTACGAATATCCTTGTTGTTTCGGACGTTTTCGCTTTCAGCAAAGTTACCGCCTGCAATCAACAAACTAAATCAAACAAGTACCAGATAAAATGAAAATTTTTCTCTGCAAGCGAAGTGTTATCTGAAACGCAAGCATACGTACAAAGTTTAGACTAGATCGTCGAAAACAGTACGTCAAGCATTAAAATTAATTTTGACATCAAATTTCGATTCCATAATGGATATTCTACTTTACATAAGCCATGGTGTGGAAGAATGTCTTACGCCAATAACAACGATACTCGCTGTGACAAGTTTCTGGAAAACAAACAATTACGTCACTACGTACCTTCACCATTATCCGGTGCAACTGTAACTTCGGCGCTGACTTCCGTGCTGCTCTCGCCTCCCTCATCGGTAACAACACCGGTGATATGTGCGGAAATAATAACGCCGGCAAATTCAGCGGCATTGGCGGTCACATCGAAGGACGTGGTGCTCGTGCCGGTAATGGTGAAGGTAATGGTAAAGGCACTTCCGCTTGGCACTCGGGAGCCGACATTGATCTTCACGTTGGTAGCACCATACATCGAGCCTATCGATGACAAACAAAATCATGGCAAAATATTTAGATTTGTCCATACACTCATAACTCATTTTAAACGTATAAACGTATATAAACGTATATACGTCGATAAATGATATAGATAAAGTTTATATTGTATAAACACCTATACAGTATGGATGCGTATATGAGTGTATCACAGAAGAAGAAACCACAGTGTGTAACTACAAAGTTTACCGTATGTCTTAATCCAGAGCTGCAGGATGCTCTGCATAATGGTGTCGAGTTCGGCATCGGTCGTGAAGGTAACCTTTACGGTACCGGTCACGGTAAAGAGTTGCCACCAGCACTGGCTTCCGTAGAAGCGCCTTCACCGCCTTCCACAACAATGCCAGTAATACCGGCGCCGTTGATCAGAGCGGTCCATTCGCCCTGGATGGTGTCAGTGGGCACGGTGGTGCTGCTGGAGCCGGTAATGGTGTAAGAGATGGTGAATCCACCGCTAGCGGTTGGCTGTTTAGATGTGATCTTAATGGTAACATCTCCGATTCCGTAGGTCGAGCCTATTTACAGAAAATCATGGGCTCTTGATGACAATATGCAGCTGTTAAGCACTTGCATTCAAAAGGTCACTAACCGTATTGTTTGATCCACAGGTCCAGGATGGCCTTGATCAGGGTGGTCAAGTCAGCATTGGATGTTACTGTCACCGTGACGGTGCTGCTGAAGGTGAAGCTATTGTCACCTCCTAAAGCGAACGAGTACTGTGTAAATATCCCGCTAATTTCACTAGGTCGGACATATTTCGCGCGTACCCGATCCGCCACCGTTGCCTTTCACCGAAATCTCGCCTTCACCGCTTCCTTCACCACCACCGTTGCCTTCTGTGGTGATAGTACCAGTACCAATAACCACGCCATTAATGCCGGCGTTATCGATGAAACCATTCCATTCTCCCTTAATGGTATCGATAGTGACGGTGGTACTGCTGCTGCCGGTAATTTCGTACGAAATGATGAAGCCAGATCCAGTGGGATTTGGTACTTTGGATGTGATCTTAATGGTAATGCTTCCGATGCCGTAGGTTGATCCTAGAATCAGAGAATGCAAAACGCCGGATGGTTCGCTTGTTTCGATTTAATTAACGATTCAAAATGTACCGTATTTCTCGATCCACAGATTCAGAATGGCTTGGAGAAGAGTGCGTAAATCAGCGTCAGTGGTAACCGTGACAGTGATTTTGCCAGTGAGATCAAATTTATTGTCACCACCTACAGAAACAGCCGATTATAACCAGTTATGTTTAACCACGTACAGTCGGTACAAATAAATATATACAGGTATATAATTTATGTACATTTATGGACATATATATGTAATCATTACCTGAACCGCCACCATTGCCTTCGATGCTAATTTCGCCTTCGCCGCCACCTTCGCCTGTGTTGCCACCCTCGATGGTGATAGTGCCGGTACCAATAACCACTCCATCAATGCCCGAGTTATCGATGATGCCATTCCATTCTCCCTTAATGGTGTCGATGGTGACGGTGGTGCTGCTGCTGCCGGTAATTTCGTACGAGATAATCCAGCCCGATCCGGTGGGATTTGGTACTTTGGACGTGATCTTAATGGAAATATTCCCGATACCATAGATCGAACCTAGAATTGTGAATGTAATAATACATGTGGTACTTAACTGGAATAGGATTAAACTATTACCGTATTTCTGGATCCATAAATTAAGAATGGCCTGGAGGAAAGCGCGCAAGTCGGCATCAGTGGTAATGGTGACCGTGATTTTACCAGTAAGATCGAATGTCTTGTCGCCACCTGCAAAGATTCCATGATGACCGTCATAAGTTTTAAATATATTTTTATATGCGAATTTTTATGTACCTTCGCCGCCACCATTGCCGTTAATAGTAATTTCGCCACCACCGCCTGGAGTGCTTCCACCCTCTTCGTTGCTGTTAGGCGGAGTCGGAGAGCCTGCATCTGTTCCGGGAGTGGTGTCTTCGCCACCCGGGGCCGGAGTTTCTTCACCGCCAGGAGTAGCCGGTGTTGTCGTGTCTTCGCCACCCGGGGCGGGCGTCTCTTCGCCACCTGGAGTAGCAGGAGTTGTGGTGTCTTCACCTCCAGGAGCGGGGGTCTCCTCACCACCTGGAGTAGCCGGTGTCGTGGTGTCTTCACCGCCCGGGGCGGGAGTCTCTTCGCCGCCAGGAGTAGCCGGTGTTGTCGTGTCTTCGCCACCCGGGGCGGGCGTCTCTTCGCCACCTGGAGTAGCAGGAGTGGTGTCTTCACCGCCCGGGGCGGGGGTCTCTTCGCCGCCAGGAGTGGCAGGGGTTGTGGTGTCTTCTCCGCCCGGGGCGGGGGTTACGTCGCCACCCGGGGTGGGAGTCTCCTCACCACCAGGAGTTGCCGGTGTCGTGGTATCTTCACCGCCCGGGGCGGGAGTCTCTTCGCCACCTGGAGTTGCCGGTGTTGTCGTGTCTTCGCCGGTTCCCGGGGTGGTGTCTTCGCCGGATACGGGGGTGCTGGTTTCGCCTTCCACCGTTATTCCGGGAATCTGGGAAGTTGTGATGGTAATGGTCCATTCGCCCTGGATTTTGTTAATGGTGACAACTTTGCTGCTGGATCCGGTGATGACGTAGGTGATGATCCATCCACCGCTGCCGTTGGAGACTTTGGATGTGATCTTGATGGAAATGTTACCGATGCCGTAGGTTGATCCTGGTAGCATAGGGATTTGAATTCAGTAATTTTCTTCTTTTAAGTAAGAAAAACTGGCTTTGAAATGCGAGTGCATAAAATTAAATTTACCGTATTTCTGGATCCACAGTTTCAGAATGGCTTGGATAAGTCCTCTCAAGTCGCTATCGCTCGTTACGGTGACGGTAACTTTACCGGTGTAAGTGAACGTGTTTTTGCCGCCTATCGACATTTGTATGAGCTTGGGGAATCTGTACATCGCCATTGGACAAATTCTGACTCTACCTGGTCCACCGCCGTTGTCAGTGACTGTAATTTCTCCGCTTCCTTCACCACTTCCATTACCACCGTCGGTAACACTGCTTCCACCACCAATAACTATTCCGGTGATTTTCGAACTGGAAACTGTAGTCTGGAATTCGTTGCTGATTACGTTGATATTGATGGTCACGCTGCTGGTGCCGGTGATGGTATATGTGACGTCATAGGTTCCTTTGCCGGTAGGACGAGAACTGCTCACCACGATCTTGACATTGGTTGCTCCGTATCGAGAACCTAATCATCAGCAGCTGTCATTAATTTTTTTAATTTATAGGGATTTGCCACTGCCGAAATGACTGCGTGAGAGTTAAACTTATGTAAGCAAAATAATTTACTGCTACGAAAAAAATCGAGTTATGAAGTGCCAGCACGTGTACGGTATTTATTTCTCGCTGATTAATAAATGACTTCTAACCACAAAGTAATAATTGTTACGATGGAGTTCTTTTAATTTACCATATTTCTGGATCCAGAGTTTAAGAATGGCCTGCAGAATTCGATCCAACTCAGATTTCACGTTGTACTTAACGGTGACATGGCCGTAATTGTGAAAGAAGTAGGACCTAAACAAATTTGACATTACAAGATGAGAGTTTTATTAGTATACGAGTATCGGCATTTCGATAAAAGCGATGAAGTCAGCTCTTACCGCCGACAATTCCAGTTCCACCGTTGGGAAGAAGCCCGGTAGCGGATGAACCTTCAATCTGTTCAATGCCGGGGATGTGTGCGCCCTGGAGAAGTGAGATGAAAGCGTTGATCATGGCCTGAATGTCGATGTCAGCGCCGGTGATGCCGGTGATCTGGAAGGTCACGTGGTGAGTACGGGGACCGCGGCCACTGTCGGTTTCGCGGGTAACGCTGGATTTCTCATCGGTGAATTTGTTCGGGAACCCTGGAACAAAAATATCTACGTTAGACAATTCATCGCATATGGCTGTTATCAAAAAAGCGTCGAGGCGATGGATATAACAGCACAGTCCGGGTGCAAAAGGCAATAAGAGAATACGCAATTTCAAAGCGGCATTTTTGAACGAGCTGCATTGACCAAATTTTGCGACAGCTGTATGGATGAGCAGTCAAATGAGTACAAAATAAAATATTTACTCCATAAACTGTAAGCTCTGCATACCGAAGTTAGACATCCACAGGTTCAAGATGGTCTGGAGCAGATTGTCGCGTTCGCTGGGAGAACCATATGAGAACAGTCCGTCAATGGTAATGGTCCACTGCAGACGACCTTCAACGAAAAAATACATGAGTTAATATTAAATCCAAAATGAAGTCCCTAACGGCAGTTCGCTGTCAATAGTTCCAGTACGTTGTTTAAATAAATTTTTTGATCCAATGAAGCACGCCAGATCTTCAATTCAATTACCTGAAATGGTGCCGGTAACAACTCCGTTGATGTGTGCATTGGCAATAATTGTCAAGAAGTCGGTGATGTTGGATGTGACATCGACCGTTGACGTGCTGGTGCCGGTAATGGTGAAGGTAACGGTGTAGCCGCCGCTACCATTGGGGACTTTCGATGCAACATTGATTTTGACCTTTCCACTGTCCACTCCAAACTGTGAGCCTGCCGACCAAATTGTTACGATTATGTGCGTTCCAGTTGTGGGCGATCATTTTCGATTACCGTATGTCTTAATCCAGAGGCTCAGGATTTGCTGCAGAATCTGATTCAGTTGGCTGTCGGAAGTGAAAGTGATGGTAACAGTGCCGCGGATAGTGAAAGGATTTCCTCCTACAAGGATACGCCGAATACAGAAGAAAGTAATCAGGGTGTGAAGGGAGAAATATCATTAAGAATCGTAAGAATTAATATTATACTATTATTTTCTACTATTTGGAATTAAGAAATGAGTTATTAAGAATTATTGCGAACTATTAAAATTATTAACAGAATTATTGAGATAGAAGCCTTAAGATAAAAAGAAGAAGCCATGCAATTGCACTGCATACCAGCTCCACCGCCGTTGACGTTAATATTAACGTTGTTGTTGGTGTTAGTATTATCACCACCGTTCGAATTATCGCCACCGTTGACCGTGACTTCCGTTGACGTTTCAACGGACGCATCCGTGGACGTGGTTTCGAAGGAAATGCCGGGAATGTTGGCGCCCTGGATGGTCGTGATGAATTCGGTGGAAATGCTGCTAGAGTCGATCTGATCGCTACTGTCACCGGTGATGTGGAACGTCAATAGTTTCATGCCGGGCAGACCGGATCCGGCTTCGGAATCGACAGCGATCTTCAGGTTGGACAGTCCATGGCTAGCTGCACAATTAACAATTAACGAAAAATTATCATAAGCCACGATAAGTATTTAAAATATAAAGCTTTTGTTTTCTTATGAGAATTCAGTTATTAATCGGCAATTACAGTAAGTTTTCTGGAAGAGGGCGAGTATCTGCTGCAACAGGCTGTCGCGCTCAGCGTTGGATGTATACGCAAAATTAGCCTGGACTTGGATGGTAAAGCTGTAGATAGCTAAAATAAAAATTGTTTGTTATTGTACAGCACAAACGTATGCACAAGAGTAATACTTTTGTGACTCTGCCAGACACCCAACTGCCTTGCAGAATTTTTGGCTGTCCGACAAACCGCATGAATATAATTCATTGAGATTTTAATAGCAAAAGCCGAAATGACTTGCCAAAAGTTAAAAACTGTTTGTGACCGCAGTTTCAAGGTCAGTTCATTAGTCATCTCTTGACTAGCGATTTTAAGTGACTGGTGCTTTATTAGCCCATTAAGAGTCAGAAAATTTACGACCCAAGAAGTATTTCGTTGTTGGATAATAATAAGCTCTGAACAATACCTAGACAGCACTTTGAACATGTTGTATATTACCGTAGACAACGCTGTATTTTTCACGTGTCGGGGAAATGCTACCGCCATTGATTGACAAAGCCTTCCGTCAAACATATGTTTGCCACCCTTTCGCTTTCAGCATTTTTTCTGCCCAACCCATTTGTATAGTAAGGTCACCGTTACTGTACTGCGCATCTGAAACTGTCTAACAATAATACCGCTGCATAATGTCGCAGAAAATTTGGAATATGCATCAGCATCGGTGCAGTAACTGAAAACTTTTATGCTTTCACATTAAACCTATCGCTTTTTGGCATAGATAAAATTTTTTAAAGTTTTGACAAATCTGTGATCTAAACTTTATCCCCTTTAGAAAATACAGCGTATGTTTCTCTTTTTAAAATATGATTATTTATAACATATCTATTCAGCAAAACTTTTCAGTTCCTAATTATTTTGTCGATATATATACATACGCCGGGTGAAATAGCATGTTCTACCGTAATGTTTCTTCAGAAATCGGAACGCCTCTAGTGTAAAAATTATTTAACACACCTGGAACAGTGCCGCAGCACACAGGACGAGGAGCACGGAAACCATGGTCACCACAAGCGGGAATTCTTAGCTTCCGTTCCTACGAGTCAGGCGCACCACCACAATCACAGTCGATCCTCCACCACCGCCGAGTTCCGTTGACAGGACAACGAAAACAACAGCTGAGCATGAAATCAAGCACTAGAATCGCCACCCATACGGCTGGTTAGCCCTTTTATAGGGTGGATCGCTTCTTCCGCCTCGGGCGCCGACCATATACTCGTCGCCAGCCGCAGTAAAGAAGGTGCCTGGTGGCTGGTGCAACTTGCTTCTTTTGTGAGCATTATAACGCACTTTTTCAGAAAGCCTATAATGGCCTATTGACGGACATAAAAAAATATAGGCTTGGTTAAATCCCGATGTTGGCTAAAGTCTTAGTATTCTGAAAACTCTAATTAAAATTGTATATACATTGAATTACGCCATCTGTCTTGGGGCTATAGACTTTGCTGAGTAATACTCCTCATTTTATTTCATTTTGAATAATGCACAATTATCTAAACCACAAACTGTGATTTTATCGTTACTCTATTAATCCGGAGTGCAGTTCTGAAAATTTATCATGTTGCGAGTATAAACTTCTCTCCAGAATCTATGTACAAGTAGATTGCCAACAACATAAATATTATTGTTGCGTTTGTTTTGATTTATAATTACGGTGAGACTCTGCGACGTACTTTGTTGCTGGCTTCCTTTACAGTAAATATTATTCCTGCAGTTTGTATGTATACAGAATTATGTCCGCTAACATAAGATTATACCCGCAGATGTTTTGCACAACTTCTGTGAACTGTGAGCAAATGTGTATTTTGCAAAAAACATACGAGTTCGGCCTAATATAACGTGTTTGCAGAATTTGATAAGTTGCCGACTCTTGTTTTTTCCCCAGTTTTATTAATGCATTGTAGGTATAAGCGAAAAAGATACTATGAATTATCGATTAAATTATGTCATTTTTGCGTCAACTGTTTTAAGTGGCTGTCGAAGCCTAATGTAATAATATCATTATGTGGCATCCACTTCAGCATCCTTCAAATCGATCAGAAGGTACTGTAATTGTATTTGTATAAACATCTGAAATCAATATCGCATAATAATACACATGTTTTGTGCAGTCTGCCGATGTACTTTAGCACATTAATTTTAAGATTTATATATCTGTAGTATAGACTACAGACTACAGCTTATAAGCTTCTTTGCTACTTATGACGTGTCATTCGTTGAATTTTGTGCAACCACACCTGTTGCAGATCAATCATGTTTTTTTGGCATTCTTCTTTCGGCTTATTTTTTTACCTACAGTTGCATTCAGGAGTTTTTTCTAGCGACAGCGATCAATCTACCAATCATTCACAAATAAAAACAGCATTAGTGTACGTGGCTAATCAGCTGCGTGGCTTCCCAAGAAGCTTTCACTGCTGGCTAAGTATTATACCTGTGCAGCTGATCGTCTGAAGACCAGACATCGATGTCCATAAATGTAATAACAGATGATTTTGCATATGGGAAAGGTGACAATAAAAATGGAGCCCTTTCTTTGATCGGCAGTAAAAATATTACTGTACTCATCTGGACTGTCTGGACATGCTGAACCAAAACAAACACGATACATGCGTAGAAAACATTTTTAGTTGGTGCACATTTTTCCGGTGCAACTTTAGATTGTAATGTTACAAAACATTAATACCATTATACTTCGATATAATGTTCCACGAACAAAAGTATTTTAAAATCTAAATCGTTTTCAAGATCGTACTTACGTCGAAACAATATTTGCACTGCAAAGCTGTAAAGAAAAAAGCTGAGACTTGCGCCTTTTCCGTAAATATATAGGCAGTAATAAAAATGTCTAGCTATGTATTCTGCCTGCCAGACATGCACACGTTACAGTAGAGATATGTACATAAATCTGCATGTACAATACAGGAGCTACTTATTTATACGAATATGATCCAGAATGGATGGCCGTGTCCAATTTACTTGATAATGCCAAATATAGAAGTTACGAAAGGTTAAAAAGTTTGGCGACTGTCTCTAACATATGCAACTAGTACTACTGTTAATTATAATTTTCGAGTATTACAGTATAAGCAATAAAGCAAATAATTCGAATAAGCACTAAAGGATGACGCTCATTTGTCCAACAGCGCGGAGTCTGGAAAACTACTATTTGACACTGCTTCGTAATGCATCCTTCACAATGGATTTCACCCTTTATTATTATTTGCACATCAACTGCTTTGCCATCCTAAAAGCTAGATTCCTTCATCTTCTGCGTATCCTTAAATATTATGACGCTATATTAATGGTGAACGGCGAATTTTTATTACAAAGAGCAGGTATACAATTATTGCGCTTCTATATATATGTTACATTATAAATGTACATGTAAAACAAGCGCGCACCTCTCGGTAATACGGTTAAAAGGAAGAAGTGCACTCAATGGCAATGTTTTACCAAATTAACCAGGATCACGCAAAAATCACACCAGGGATATGGGCCTCGAAAAGATTTGTTCTGAAGTTGTCCCGTGCGTCGTCCATATCGATTGTGTCCTGACTATTGCCGACCACATCGTACGAAACCAGATTAGCTGATCCATCCTGGCGTTCCCCAGTAATGTGCAGTTTGCCGTCGGATATCCTATATGGCCCTGACATTTTCAAGCGTTAAGAAACCACTATAAAGTGTGACTAGCCCAAGCAGCAGATAGTGATTTAGCTGAAATCGAAGGAGAAAGCAGGCGTGCTGACGTAGTACATTAAAAAACATCATTACTTTTGGTTCTGAATAACTTTTTACAAAGGTCACTTCCATGCAACAGTGGCACAGCAGTTTCCGAGTGATTGTGGAAAACTGCGTGTAACACGAGTATCACCATGTGGTACCGCTGCAGATAAGTATCTTCGAAATATTTGAACTTACAAATTGCGGACAACCATGCAGCCAGAATTTGATTGAGCAGCGTATCCCGTTCGCCAGTCGAATCATAAAGTAATTTCGCTGTACTGGAGATTCTATAAGAAGTACAATATGTGCCGGTCATTAGGGTGATAAAGAGGACAAGAAGCATCATTGTGAAGAACTCTGTTCGAGTGAAATATTTTGACGACAGGGAAATCCGTCGGTATTCAGGCAGCTTAACTAGTCAAAAGGTGTTTACTTCCACAATACTCTAAGGTGGAAGCGTTGCATATCAAGCAAGAAAATTTAAAACTTTCAATGCGGAAGTTCAAAAATGATCGGCACATTATTTGTGTATCGGTAAAACCACATTCAAAATTGATGAATATTTTGTTCTCACCACACCCGCATTCATTGTATGATTTATAATAGACTTGCAAGAGCGCGTTCGACCGTCCGTTGCCATGAATCTGTAAAGTTCATTACGTACATTTAAAAAATTCTCATTTGACATTACGCGGGCGTGGTGACTAGTGCGAGGACTTCGTTCTCGCTTCTTTAATTTAGGAACCGGTCACGTGTGCAATTTGGCATCATGAAGAATGCGTTAATATCTTGCAAACTAAATGTATAATCGTAATTCTAACGGTATCTAATAAACTAAAACTCAAAATTTGCCAAACGTAATAATACCACAATAGCACCTATAACGGTTTGTGCGCTGATCCAATTCCGCGCATTAGAGTAACGATTGACTTCTCGAGACAAATGAAGATGAACGAGAATTTACACCTTGCTGCTTGCTGTATGTTAGGGTATATTGCGGCATTAGCTGATCGTTGGGGCACTTTACGACATCAAAAGTACTAACCGGCTCTGTTTAATTCATAAAACAATGGCAGTGGATTTTGGATTAGAATTTTGGAATACGATTTAGATTTGAAAAGTCAAGACCATCACCATCTACCGTAGGCATCCAGCGACACTGCCTACACAAGTAACTGCATTTCAAGATCTACGAGTCTCATTAAAATTTAAAAGCATAGCAAGAAAAGAAGAGACAGAAAAGTCGTAAAAAGGCCATGTTCAAACTATTGAAAACACCACTGCGTAAAACACACTGTGAAGATTAAGCATACTGAATGCCGGTCAAATGGGATTCGATCAGGGTGGTTTTGAAGGTATTACGGGCTTCCGTCCAGGTTAATCGGAAGAGCACTGATGCCGGTGATGACGTACGACACCAATTTAGTGGGAGCGCTGCCACTTTCGCCGGTCATCTTGATCTTTACATCCGACACTTGGTAGCTCCCTAAGGTCATCCAAATCGATTAGTACAACGTAAGCTTTTAATATAAAAGTCGTTGTATTGCATGCTGCATGGTTGAAAATTCAATTCAAGTTTGCTCTATACGTACAGATAGCATTACGCCACTGAACCAAAGATCTGGTTCAAGAAGGTGTCACGCTGTTGAGTAGTTTTATAGGTCAGTTTGACAGTGCCGGGAATACTGAATGCGCCACCGCCGCCACCGAGCATGGTTCCGACTAAAAGAAAAGGAAATTGAAAGTTCAAAGTTCACGGTGCAACGTTGGATTTATACGGACATATATGAGCTAAATACATATGCCATAGGAAAAGTTTTTAAAAAGTCGTACAGCAATAAAAATAAATAACTGGTTGCGAAATAATTTTCCTTACCATTTCCTTCGGGTGTCTGAGATTGCGATGAGGATCCGCCAGCATTGGCATTGCCTTGAGCGCCAGCGCCACCGACAGATGATCCTACAAATAAAAAAAGAATATACAGAAACCCAGACAGATAACCTTTTGGACACTCTTACCACCACCAAGCGTGAATTCAACACCGCCAAGATGCGCATCCACGACTGTTTGTTCGAAGATTTTGGAGACAACGGCGGTGTTGAAGGACAGAACAGTGCCTCCTGTAAGACGATACCAAACTTTGTTGACTGGGCCACCACCCAGATCAAGCGGCAGTGTTCCGACGTTCAACGTGTCCTTGACAAAGCTGATCTTCAAACCGGTCACTTGGTAGTCATCTGAAAGAAGGAATTTTTCACATAATATTATTGTGTGTTTTTGACGTTGGTGTCTCGAATGTAAAGTCTTACTCAAGGTATTTCGCCAAATAACTAGTAATCGCTGGAGGAAATTGTCTCGCTCAGCCGCCGAGCGGTAGGACAGGTATACGGTTAAGGTCACATCGAAGTTTCCGGGCGCTGTATTGCGAGAATTAAATTTACACAGCTATACAACTTACAAGTAACTGAATTAATTTTCATTTGCGCGTCACTTACGGATGTCCTTTCCGTTCTGTTGGTTTTCGCTAATGGCGAAATTGCCACCGTTGTTGCCACTGTTGTTACCGCCGTTGTTGTCCGTGCTACCACCGCCAACCGTCAGGGAAACGCCGATAATTTTACCAGCGGCAATGAGTTTATTAAATTCGGCGTTATTTTGATCGACATCAATAGGCTGCACACTGGAGCCGGTAATGCGGTAGGTAACGGTGATATAGCCAGGATTAACGGAGCTGGAGGTCACCTGGACAATCTTCTGACCGCTGACGGTAAACAGCTTGCCTGATAAATATTGATTTTTTGGGTAAAGGCCACCAGTTAGCAAATAGGTCGCTGTAGTTCTTACTGTAGGTCTGGATCCATAATGCCAGAATCTTCTGCAGATATCCGTTGATGTCACCAACGTTGGATGTTTTGATAACTACAGTGTTGTCAATGGAAAATTGCTGGCCGTTGCCAGATGCCGAACCACCTTTAACATAACGAGTGCTGAATAATGTGGCGTGCCTTATATCACTTTTACGGTTTTACCTCCATTGTAATTAGAACTGCCGCCACCAGATACAGACACACCGGTGACCTTTCCATTGGCAATCAGCTGGTTGAATTCGGAGTTGTTCTGGTCGACGTCAATGGACTGCACACTGAAACCGGTGATGCGGTATGTGACCGTGATGGATCCCGGGTTGACAGAGCTAGCGGTGACCTGGATGATCTTCTGGCCATTGATGCTGAACAGCTTACCTAAGGTGGTCAACTTGTGATCAACAAACAACTTTAATTGTTGTGCCTACTACAGATCGCTGGATGTTGTGTTGCTAATTGGTTAAAAGCATTTAATTTCTTTGCGTGAATCATTCTAATAATTGCTAATAATTCTGATTAATTATTCTAAAAGAGAAATACGGGACATACTGTAGGTTTGAATCCACAAGGCGAGGATCTTTTGCAGATATGTATCAATGCTACCCAAGTTGGTAGTCTTGATGACAACGGTATTTTCAATGGTGAAGGGTTTGCCGTTACCGGTGGCACTACCTGAATATGAAAATCAGTATTCAAATCCGGATATGTTGACCTTAAAGTTATTCTAACATGGCTACCGTTACCTCCTCCATTAACATCATTGCCGCCCTCATTCGACGAACCCTGACCTCCACCGTTCACCAGAGCCACCACCATTGGGGATTTCGACACCATTGATGGCGTTGTTGCTGATGACGTTGTTGAAGCTGTTATCGGTGGTGTCAACCGGGGTTCCGCTGGTGCCGGTAATCTTGTAGGTGATGGTGAATTTTCCGTTTCCGGCTGGCTGTTTGCTGACGACCGTGATCTTGGCACCAGGAGACACATTCCAGGTTGTGGCTATAAAAGGTCATTGTGGTTTTTTACCATTTGAGATACTGCCTGATACTCGTACTAAATATCCAAATATTCAATATTTTGCTTTGTAATTACATTTATTACAAAGCGAAATCGGGACTTACAGTAGGTCTGGATCCAGAGCTGCAGGATCTGATTCAAAATGCTATCTAGTTCAGACTGAACCTTGAAGGAAATGACCAACTTGCCATTGAAGGTGAACGGCTGGTTGCCTGCTGACATTATAAATGTTGCACTAGTGTTAGCTAAATTATTTAATGTCTGTAGGTAACTACAGTAAAAATAAGTCCATTATTTAGAGGGCTATACGGACAATTATTTTGTCTTTTCTTTGAATAAAACATATAATATAGTGCTATACACTCGCTCCTCGCACAATATGTAAGTACAACCAGTGTCGTTTATACGATATTGTACCAGTGTCGTGCGTATGTAATCAGCTATACGTGCAAGTTCAACTACAACTAGTATATGATATTGTGCCATAATATTTAATATTAAACCGTAATAATTATTATAATATTACGGTTTGGTAATATTATGATTGTAGATATGTTTTCTTATACATCTACTGATGTACAATCAGTGTCTTGTATACGTTGAGTAGTAGAAGAATAGCTTGTATTGTACGCGACAGCTAGGTCGGCCAAAATTGTCACCAAATTGTAATATACATAGATATAGATATGTCCATATATTTTTTACCTCCACCGCCGTTAATTTGGCCACCACCGTTGCCGCCGTTATTAGGGACCTCAACATTAGGGATGTTGTTGTTTCCAATAATGCTGTTGAAGTCAGTCTGTGTGGTAGTAACAGGAGTATCGCTCGTGTAGGTGATCTTTATACGTGATGGTAAATTTTCCATTTCCGACAGGCTTTTTGCTGTCGACCGTAATCTTGGCGCCAGGGATTGCTGCAATGATAAAATTACGTATTTTTTCCAGTAATCTACCAAATTATTATTTCAGTAATCCACGCCCAGCAAAATTTCTTTAGCTATACTATATTCCAGTAAGGCCACCAGACTTACAGTAGGTCGTAATCCACAACTGCAAGATTTGGTTCAAAATCTTGTCAAGCTCTGCCTGGGTCTTGAAAGTAATGACCACGTTTCCGTTGAACACATTTTGGCCGCCTGCAAAGGTTCCGCTGTTAGTACTCAGCAGCACTTTCTTAAAATTTCACAAACTTATCACCGCCGGTCAGCATTATCGCGGTATCGCTCCTGGCCATGGCCATCGTTACAAGAATATCTGAACTAAATATATTTCCATCCTTTTACCTCCTCCATTGTAGCCATTTCCACCGCCATTAATATTCACACTGCCACCACCGTTGATAATCGTGCTTCCGCCACCGTTAATGGTGCTGCTGCTGCCACCATTATCCGGTCCAACCGGGGTCAGACTCTGCACGCCGACAATCTGTGCGCCTTGCAGGATGGGGATGAAAATGCCTGGATCAGGGACTGAATGTCGACATTGGGGCTGCTGGATCCGGTGATCTTGAAGACCAGCTGCCAAGTGCCGGGCATGGGACCAGATCCCTCAGAAACAACGGTGACCTTCTGATCCTTGAAGCCAGTTTGGCCGCCTGTAGTTATGACCAGTTAGGAAAAATGCCGCAGTAGTGATTGCTGGTACGTAATTATTAACGTACCAAAGTTTTTGGTCCACAGTGCCAAAATTTGTTGGAGGATCTTGTCGCGCGCAGCGCTGTTGGCATACTGGAAAACACCGCTGACTTCGACCTCCCAGTTGATAACACCTTTACCGGCAACTAAAATAAATTATTGTATTACGCTACAACAAGAGTTGTAAACCTATATTTTACGACCAAGATTTAATCTAGATATTTATAGCACTGTTTTTTAATTTGGCTGCGCTTACTTATAGAGGTGTACTTTGTTTATGATGCAAAATATATAAGGTGACCACTCCGTACACACCCTTTTACTCCGTACACAACCTTTTGCACTACCTTTCATTCCGTGCACATCCTTTTCGGGCACTACCTTTCATTCCGTGCACAACCTTTGACATTACCTTTCACTCGATACACTACCAATCCACGCTACCTTTCACTCGGTGCAAAGTTTTATATATATATGCACTTGTAATCTACGAGTATATTACAAAAGAAAAGCAGAAATCGATTTCTGTCTCCACGGATTCCAACTATATACTGTATATTGGAATAGAATTATCCAGATGCAGCCCCACGATCCGTAAAAGTCTTATGAAACGTTTACTGCAATAAGTACTTTTAAGCTCTTTGATAACTGTTATGTATATGTACTTATGGTAATCTGGAGTATTTTCTCTAAAACTTTTGCACTATGTCAATCTCAGAAAGCACTGTCCAAACCCTGTGAAGAAAAACCGGCACATAAGGGCGCAAAGAATTATTTTGTCCCGGGAATTCGATTTTGTAACTGCCGATGATGCTTTGAAATATGCAGCAATAACTGCTGTTGACGAAAAAACGGCAGTTCCGGAAATAACTTTGCTGTGAAAAAAGTTAAAAAAATAAAAGGTAGTGCACGCAGATAAAGGTAGTGCCGAATGGTTGTGTACGGAGTAGAAGGTAGTGCTCAAAAAGGTTGTGCACGGAAAGAAAGTAGTGCAAAAGGTTGTGTACAGAGTAAAAAGGTGTGAAAGGGTGTGTACGGAGTGGTCACCAATATATAAATGTAATTGACCTTGACATATTGTATGTTGCTGGTTACAGTGTGAGGTAACATGGAAAGCCAAAACGCTTTTCCTTAATTTTTATGAGAACTCACTTCCTCCGCCAATTGGGATACTGATAACACCGCCTCCAATTTGTTGGGTTTGCTGGGTCAGGGTAAGACCGGGAATGCTCGCACTGGATAAAACCTGGATAAACTGCTGACTGATAGAGTTCATATCGATGTTTCCGGATGCTTGACCGGTGATACGGAAGCTCAGGGTTTTGCCTCCAGGAATATTAACGGATGGAGTTTCAGATACAACGCTGACTTTCAGGTTTTTAAACCCTTGGCTGCCTAAAAGACAAGTCGAAAATATTAATTTTAAGTTTACAGAAAGTCTGTTCTCCCTTGTAACCGGCTTGAATTAATAAGATTGTTTCTTACCGAACTTGGACTGAAATAAGGCAAGAACTTGTTGAAGAATGCTGTCGCGTTGAGCACTGGAGGAATATTGAAGGTCAGCTTGGACATCGATGTTGACGGTGATGGTTCCTAAGAAAATGAATAAGCGTTGCAAGTCTAAATTAAAAATTTTCAGTTGCTAAATGCATTTGCATCTATTTGTAATGTGTTACTATTGGTATTGTTACGACATATTGTAACAACCTTTGTAGTATTTTTTATAAAAAATAATTATGCATAATTTGTGCACAATTATGCACAAACTTGTTACGATCAGTTTTTATCATTCAGCAGGGACCTGAATTTTTGTTAAAAACGGACACACATTAATTTTGTTAAAAATGTAACAGCGAACCACAATTCGGGTTCGAAGTGGAGTATCAACTAACGCTTACCGGCACCGCCTCCACCAATATTAAGCTGTCCGGATTGTCCCGAAGTACTGCCGCTGAGTGTAGTCTGCACACCTGGAATGTTAGCGCCTTGCAGAATGGTGGTAAACTGGGAAACAAGACTGTTGACATCGATGCCAGCCGGACTTTGGCCGGTGATCCTGAAGGAGACTTGCTTGTAGCCAGGAAATCCGGGGACAGCCTGTTCACCGACAAAGGTGACCTTTTCGTTGGACAGCTTGCTGGAAACTGTATAAAACGTTTTGATTTAAGAGCTGCTCTTTACCAAAGTTCACCTCTGCATTTTCTCATCGAAAATAACCACGTACCGTCGAAGCTTGATTTCCAGACGTTGAGAATTTGCTGGAGAATGCTGGAACGTTGTGCAACGCTGGTGTACTGGAAAAAGGCGGTGATATCGACCTGCCAACTGACGGTGCCTGTGTGTGCCATAAAAAAAATTACGGCACTGATAACATGACTCGAACAGTAACAGACATTGATCAGCTCAGGAATGCGTTTATCAAATCCATGAACAGTTATGGTTCTGTAACTGTTAACCTTTGTGGGACACCCTAACGTTATTTATTACCTGCCGAAAATCCTCCCATTCCACCCATGTTCTGGCTCATGCCGCCGAAGGACATTGTCTGCTGCATGGCAGCATTGGCGGACAGTGCCTAAAGGTCACGAGGTAATTATTAATTTGCGGGTACGCAAATTTGTACAATCTTTGATTCCATATAGCACAAAGTCTGCCATTCTGAAGCCTATTAAATAACAGGAATGTATACCGCACAGCCTATTTTACATTGAAGAACTACAGACAGTACAGAATAAGATGCATGGTCGCTTTGTAGTGACTTTTTCTTTTTGTATGAGATTTAAAGTTGGAGATTTCAGCAATGGTGTCCTAACCCGGTTCTATTCGCGAAAAAAGCGCCCATGTATTCTTCATCCAAAAGATGTCCTTTGGATGGGTGTTTTTTGAGTTTCAAAAAGCCATAATATAGTTCCGTAGACCAAGTATTTTAGATGAAAATGTACATAAAAAGGAGGCTCCATAAGTATTGAAACATGTTAAAGACGGCGTGTTGTTACTCCGACGATGTCTAGCACGTCAAAAAATTTTTCATAGAACCGTAAAACACGGGCTGTAAATTCACTTATTATTAATCGATGTAGGATCCTGATTATGAGCCTTTCTGGAAAAAAAATAGTCGAACAAAATTGCTTTTTTTAGCCGGTTTTGGGATAGAGTGACCGTCGATAACATGTCGACTGTCTTCAGGAATATCATCAAACGTTATTCGTTTCGGAGTTTGCTATATTCTCGAGTTCTAATCGCTTGCAGGTCTAAAAATACGGCCTCTATACTGTATTTTGTTTTATACGATATAGCGAGTTTTACGTTCATTACAAACTGGTTTTATGCATATGGCAATACTTTCTGTGGAATAATTACTGGCTCACTTTAGTTTTGGCACGGAAAACCTTGGTGGCTTATTTGGCAACGACTGTTCTGCATAGCTTGCCAGACAAGTCTCTGTACCATCGCGAAGACATTTTTTGTACTCGTGCATCACCGCCCACCATTGAGGTTTATGCCATTGTTGTCTGACATCCTTGACCGCGGTTTGGCAATTTCGAGCATAAATGCGAAAGTAATTAGTAAGTTTAAAACGCTCATATATATCTTCTGCCAGGTTTATTTGTTATAGAAAACCTGTTCCTGTATAAAAAACATCTCTGGGCTGCATGCACATCTCATACAGGCACTGGAGAAGTTACATATCAATAACACAGTCGTGAATACTAATATTTACCATCATCATATTTTTGGTTGGTCACTTTTATAATGTACGATAAAAGTGTTTGCACCACCAAATCCACATTGTAGATATACGTAGGTATCCGCTTGTGGAACAAACTTTGTCGGCATAAGTGTTCGCAATCGAAATGAGCGAGCCTGTTAATTATGGACCGCCGGAAGCTATTGTGGAAATGCAATATCTACATGCGTTTATGTACTATATATAGTAGTACACGGTAGACTTTGGTACATGTAAAGCAGTATTATCTACACGCTTGGGTGTGTAACAGCTGCGGAACATTTTAGGTGCGTAGACTGTAGCTGCAGAATTCAGGGCGGGTCATGCTGTTCTTTTAAAGCAAAGTTACAGACCGCAGCAAAATATTTCAAGGTCAATACACTAATTTATAGAGTATGTAGATACTTTTTTCAGCCAAGTGTGGCTCCCTCCTAGTCTAAATTCTTTAAGCTTGAAATAAGCGCTTGCAAATTAATTACAATTAATTTATTGTGCAGGTATCTTGCCAATGCAAGTTCGGAAATAGATAATAGATATTCTCAAAAAGTCAAAATTAGAAGTGCAAGACTTGGCGAAAGCACCGCTTAGAAAATCGTGGAGATGTACTTCCTTACCTGGACAGAAAGGACCGAAGCGACCAACGCGAGGATAAAAGACGCCATTGTGAAAAAGCGTCTCAACAGATACCGGCTCTAAAGTGAACTACTACCCCGACCACCCGTAAAACGATTCGATGATACGGCCCGTTGTATCCTTTTATACGGATGTTTCGGGATCGCCTGTGAAGCGTATAGTGTCAATCTTGCCTTGAAGGAAAAGTAGCTGGCGAAAAGTTGACACACAACTTTTTAATGAACCCATTGGGAAAATAATTACTGCGACCACCTTGTACGTGCGACGTAGACTATCAAACATTCTGCACGTTTCAGCGTCGTGTTTGATGAATGACATTTACTTTGGTGCCTGGGAACTTTCGCGTAATTACTTGGGTATAACCCAGTTCAGTTATATATTAGCTATTAGAACTGTTAAAAATATGCAAGTAGAATTTAAATGCTTTAAAACCTGGGCTTTTGAAATTTCAGAAATTGTTTGCTATATTTAACACGAAAATTTGAGGCAAATATATATAAAAACTGCTTTATCACACTGGCATGTTTTGGCATCCTATCAAATCATCGTTTCAATTCGAGCATCCGGAAATGCCGGATACCAACAAACAGTCTAGCGACATCTAGCCTAAAGCAGTTTATTACCTGCAATTACATACAGATACAGTTGTATTTCCTGGGATTATTCTGTTGATTTATTATTTTCTATTTTACCGCTGCAGAAACCACGTACAACGTCTCAGGCAGCTAGCGAGACAATTAATTTTGCTAACCGAATTAAAGCATTAGCAACCCTTTTCACCCATCACTATGATTCAGAAACTAATACTAAAAGCGCAAGGCACAAGCTCACGATATCATCATCGCTTTTACTGGAGAGTGAATTCCACACCGCCAAGATGGGCATCCACAACAGTCTGTTCGAAGACCTTGGACACTTCGGCAGTGTTGAAGGTCATCACCGTGCTGCCGGTCAGACGGTACCAGACTTTGTTCACGGGGCCACCGCCCAGATCCTTCGGCAGGGTGCCGACATTCTGCTGCTCCTTGACGAATTTGATAGCCAGGCTCGTCACTTGGTAGTCATCTACAAATGGACAAAAACAATGATACCCTTGATTTGGCTTGCTGAAAATAATTATGATTTACTCAGAGCATTGTTCCAGATGACCCTCAAACGTTGGAGGAAATTCTCTCGCTCAGCCGCCGAGCGGTAGGACAGGTAAACGGTTAAGGTCACATCGAAGTTACCGGGCCCTGAAAGCAACAGGCACTATTGTTTCTGTGGGAAAGCACCAAATACCGGTATGCAGAGTCTTACCGACGTTCTTTCCGTTCTGCTGATTTTCACTGATAGCGAAGTTTCCGCCGCCATTATTTCCACCGTTCGTGGTAATGGTGATCGAAACGCCAATGATTTTACCGGCGGCAATGAGCTTGTTGAAGTCGGCATTGTTTTGGTCAGCATCAATGGACTGCGAGCTGGAGCCGGTAATTTGGTAGGTCACAGTGAAGTAGCCAGGAGTGGTGGACTAGGCGCTGATCTGTACAATCTTTTGTCCGCTGATTTTGTACAGCTTGCCTGTTGGAATAATTTTCATTCGTTTACTTTGGCGGGTAATTTTACAAACGCAGGCGGAAGTTTTATTAGAATAACTTAGTAACTTCCGCGCTATGAGATCAATATATTTATTAATTATAAATGTATACCATGACTCGTTTGTTACCATTTGCACGTGCAGTCGGTGCAGATAAAATTATACGAGTAGCACTTGCATTAATATCTGTACACAACGATATTGTGGCTTACTGTATGTTTGAATCCACAGAGCCAGGATCTTCTGCAGGTAGCCACTGATCTGACCGGCGCTGCTAACCTTGATAACAACTGTATTCTGGATCGAGAAGCGACCGCCACCGGCACCGTTGTTGTTGCCGCTACCATTATCGCCACCATTACCATTAATAACGACTCCAATGATACCAGCCGTGCCAATAACGCTGTCAAAGTCGCTGTCCGTCTCGGTGACGGAGCTATCGCCGCTATAAGTGATCTTGTAATTAATGGTAAACTGACCATTGGCTCCCGGCTGCTTGCTAACAATGGTGATCTTTGCGCCAGACCCGATATGGTACTGGGTGGCTGCAAAAATTTTCAACATGATCGCACCATTTCCCCGATTTCTGCACTGATATCATAAACTGATTACTGAAATATTATTAATTAGGTTCCCATAAAATACTTACTGTAAGTCTTGATCCAGAGCTGCAGAATCTGGTTGAGGATTTTGTCGAGGTCAGTCTGGGTCTTGAACGTAACGACGACATTACCGTTCCAGGTAAAGGAACCGCCACCTCCGCCATTACCATTATTATTTCCGTTTCCGTTATCACCGCCATCGCCATTACTAATGACACCGTTGATATTGTTATTGCCGATAACACTGTCGAAATCGCTGTCAGTCTCGGTTACAGAATTGTCACCGGAATAAGTGATTTTGTAAGTGATGGTGAATTTGCCGCCTCCGGCGGGCTGTTTGCTGACGACGGTGATCTTGGCACCGGGTGAGATGTGGTAATTAATGGCTACAATTAAAAGGAAAATCAGATTCCAATTCCTGCCAAAAATACAAAAACGTGCTTGTGTGTTCGGCAGATTCTCACTGTATGTCTTGATCCAGAGCTGCAGAATCTGATTCAGGATCTTGTCAAGATCAGCCTGGGTCTTGAAGGTGATGACGCTGTTACCGCTCCAGGAGAAGGAACCACCGGCACCTGTAAAGGATAAATCAGAAAATGTATTTCCGTTAATCGGCATCTAGAAATAGAATTAATCTAAAGACCACAAATGAATGCTAATTAGTGTGAATTATTTATTTTACTTATAATCATATTTACCATATTATGTATAGTAATCAATTAATTTATCGCGTATATACGCATTACCGCCACCACGTACCATTGTTAGACGAGCCATTGTCACCATTTCCACCATTATCCCCTCCGTCGGTGGAAATGCTCTGCACGCCGATGATGTGTGCGCTCTGCACAATGGGAATGAAAGCCTGGATCAGCGACTGCACATTCACATTGGCATTGCTGGAGCCGGTAATCTTAAAGGTCAACTGTTTGCTGCCGCCCGTGGGACCCGCGCTTTCGGAGACGACGGAAACTTTTTGGTTTTTGAATCCGTTTTGGCCGGCTGTTTGGATGGCACAGTTAGATACAGAAGCCCCAACACATTTTGTTAATATGGCCAAAAGTGGGAGATATTTACCAAAGTTCTTAGTCCACAGAGCCAAGATCTGCTGAAGAATCTTGTCGCGTGCAGCACTGTTGGCGTACTGGAAGAGGCCGTTCACTTGGATCTCCCAGTTGATGGTGCCTTTGTTAAAAACAATAATTTTATTCACCAGCTTCTAGCAGCGTTTGTTAGTTCTTTCAACTTCTCTGCCTCACTAAAAAAGTAAATAATTTTATATTTGTTGCAAAAGTTATTTTGAAAAAAATTGCACAATAAAGCGTTACCGGTATTTACAACGGCAAAGAATTGTAATTTATTATCTTATTAATGCAGGTTATATTTGTAATATTTATATAATTTTGTACAATTAATTTTCCTCAGATAAATTAGTATTAATGTGCTTCGGTTGCGGTTGCATGGCATATATCATAAATACGGAGTTTAATACTTACCGCCACCACCCATGCTAATTTGTCCGCTACCACCGTTCGACATGCTGCCACTTCCTGAGCTGCTAAGCGTGGTCTGCACGCCGGGAATATTGGCACCTTTCAGAATGGTCATGAATTTGGTAACCAGACTCTGGACATTGATACCAGCCGGGCTGTTTCCGGTAATGCGGAAGGACACCTGCTTGTATCCGGGGAAACCGGCGACAGCGCTGTCACTGACAACAGTGACCTTTTCATTGGACAGTTGGGAAGAGGCTGAAACAATTTATTTCTGCTATATCTTTCTGCATCCCAGCGTAGTGCGTCAGTATACAAATTTTTACCATCGAAGCTGGATTTCCACAGTTGCAGGATTTGGTTCAGCAGGCCGGTACGTTGGGTGGTAGATGAGTATTGGAAGTAAGCGGTAACATCGATCTGCCAGGTAACGGTACCTGAATACACAGGCGGTGAGAAACACTGATATTGTCGCACATTCTCCTGTAAAGGAAAATGGATGTTTGATACACTGACACACCTTTCATGACCGCTGCATCAGCAGTGAAGGTAGAGGCCAGCAGGACAGCGGCCGTGAGGGCGAACAGGAAAGACGCCATTGTGGATAGCGTCGACTCCGAACTATACTATGTGACTACCCGATATCACCGAAACGTGACCTTGTACCGAACTGACTGACGACTGCACCGCACCTTTTATATGCATTATCCGAGGAGCGTCTGCGCTACACGACGCCAAGCACGCCGCAGGGAACAACTTTCCCTTTTTGGCGTTGACAGTTGTTTAGCGCTCGCCATTATCTGAATCACAGCTGCGCATCAACAACCGTCGGATAACTAATCACTTAATACCGGTCTACAGTATAAGATGCAACGTATACTGTACGTATGCGAATATTACCTTATAGGCGTATACCCATAAATCAAAAGTGTGAAGCAGTTGATACTGATAGTATACAAAAGATAGGCACTAGGCACGGCCTAATACACACAAAACAGGTATATCTTCCTCCACAGTAATCGATCGCACTTGGTAAACAATGAAATTATTTATTACATATACCTCAAGCTTAAGAACTAAGCGTTATAATAAGACCCCTAGGCCGACTGTTAATTGTTCTTCCACGCTGCTCGAACACGCAGCAGGCGTTTCCGGATTCACGGAACATGGCTGCGTTTCAAAATGCCGCAAATGTGCATCAATCAAAGTGTTTATGACAATTATACCGTGGTTTCTGCCGCCGGTTTTTGATTCTGCGAGAGAGATAGAGAAAGCAAACCCCTGTTCGGATCTGTCGTGCAATAATTATTTTATCAACTTTTACAGCTGCAACTCCGATCACTTCCGATCAGCATCACCCAAAACACATCAGGTCTGGGTAAAAACAGCGATACAATCAAGTCAAGCAGGAATCAACGATAAAAAAATGTAAGAACAGTAAGACAGGATAAAAATATTCCTAGTAAATTCAGAAAGCCCATGGTCAGCCCTTTTTGCATGCGATATTAAAAATTACAAGAGAACAGAGCAGACACAATACCATCTATCACAACCAAAAATAGATGAGCTATCACCGACTGCAACGCCGCCAACGGTCAAAATTTGTGCAGTTTCCCACGAGCTCTTTGCCCTATTACGCTGGACGGCGGATATGCAGATGCACTTCCGTATCGCAGATCTGAATACCCGGCTTCTCACAGGTGATGATTAGTGGATCGGTTGGATGGAAAATATGCGTAACGAACCGCTTAGTACGACGTCCACCGGAGTTTCGAGACACGTTCAGCGTAAACTTCAGCGTTCCAGACTGCCGAGTGTAAAATCTGAAAAACAGCTCCTGGGGTTAAAAATGCCAACAACCAAATTCAACAAAAACAACTAAAATTAAACTTAATCACAATTCTGGCTAATGAACGAGCGATGGGTGTTAACAGAAAGCAGACACCCAACTAGCAGTACATTTTCCAAATGAGTTTGTTTCTGACAACCGAAACGTTTCTGACAACCGAAACGTTTCTGATAACTGAAACACATAAATGCATTTGATTTCGTTGTTCATAATAGACTCAATTGGACAACAATATATATCTTGCATTCTTGCAAGAAAACTTACCGAATCGGCTCGTCCGACTTGCTCTTCGCTCGCTCGACATTGGATATAAGCGAAGTATCGTAATGGAACAATGACATATCGACGTAAGGACTGGGAGAGAAATTCTGGCAGGCAATCGGAAGTTGAGCTAACAAACGCGCACACGTGTCTCGCATTCCTCCGCCAGCTCTGTAAAGCATCCAACATCGTAATTGCAATTAAAGAGCAATTTAGGGCAAAAGGGTTAGATACCGCAAACCATTTTTTAGCATTCCCGCCAACACAACCTACTTCGAGTTCATCGTTAGCCGTTTCACCCGTTCATATGCCATACGAGAATGCAAAGGGTCCACTTGAAAATCCGGGTGTTGTGCAGCTGCATTGCGAAATTCATCCCGGTGCTTCTCGTACCAGTTCAGCATACTTTCCTGACGGTGCTCGTACACGGCATAAAAACTGCATTCTTCAATATCGAAAAAACTCAGGAACTGTGGATAGTTGGATGGGTCTGCTGTGCGACTAAGCACAACATCTTCCGGTGCCCATTTAATGAGGAGGTTGTTGGTATCCAGCATTTGAAACTTCCACATCTTCAAGCGTTTATAGAAGGGATACTGTTTGTGGAATTCCATGAGCGGCCCATATGATTTCGTGTCTTTGGCATCTTTCTTGGCCATGCGGAAAAATGTCAAAAACAGCTTCTGCTTCATAGTGCTCATAAAAGCTTCTTCGCATGGTGCCACGATGGGATACAGAGTGGTCCATAAAGTCTGACCGGGATCATTCTCGCCGTAGCAATACTGGCCAAGGGTGCGATACGGGGTCAGTTTGCCATCAGCAACCTAATTTACAAGAGAGCAGAAACCAATGAACTGGAGATGTGCTAATCTGCATTATTACTACAAGTATATCTTTTCCAAATAAAAAAAACTACTGCATCCGGAATTATCTGTTTTCAAAACTTATATCAAGCACCAAAAACAGATTGACGCAGTTGTTAATACTCGTACGAGCTAATCTCTGAAAAGTCAGATTAAAATAGACTGCAACTGTTGGTTAACAGCGTAGTAATACCATCAAAACTTACAGTGTACATGCTAATCCGCTGGTGCTGTATGGACAGAATGGACAAAATGTTCCCACAAAGATAGACGCCCACGCTGTTGGATACAGTAATCCGATCAAATCGAAATTCCAACTCATCCCAAATAGCACACGTCTGAATATTGACGATGACAAATCGGTAGTCTTCCAAGGGTGAACGTTCATGTTTAGTCAGAGATTCGTTGGTTTGGCGGATCTCCGGGCCGCTATCCTCGTCGAAAACAGACGGTCCAGTAGTAACTACAATATCCGTGAACCATTTGAAAAATGAAATTAATAATTACAACGGGGAACTTACTTAACAGCAATATGTCAAATATACGCACGTTATTTTGCTTTACTACCAAACTGTAATTCTAGTGATGCGTTTCGTACCTATGATAAGGAACTTGCTGTCCATAGTGTACAGGCTGAAATCCCGGCAAATTTGAGCCGGATCATTAGCCTCCGGAATGATACGGATGCGGGCTTTTTCCCGGAATAACGTGGAAAACAGTTCCCGCTGCATCAGCTGCTGATCTTCTTCTGGATTAATCAAAGCATCAGGATTCGGGAAGAACTTGCCCACCGCCCCGGCTCCCTGATACCGGAACAGGATGAGGAATCGGAGATCGTTACTGAAAGCGGACAGGTGTCGCCCATCCGGGGAAAATTTGCGAATAAACAGCGGCGGATGCTGAACATCCAAAACCGTCATGTTCGGTGTGATGCATGAGTAGAATTCGCGATCAAGATTCTGCGAAAGCAAACGAGAACCAAGTTCTTAAAGAGCTACGATAGTACGTATAATTTTCATTAAATTAATCCAGTCAATTCACGTGTAAACGTTTGTGATCGATAAAATTACAGCGGAAGAAAGAACAGCGTACTCTCATCGGCACCATGCTGTGCTTGCCAAATGCATCCGGTAATTCCCGTCGCAAGAGCACCGCCGCCAAATTCGGCTCATTCACCGATTTCCGGGTGGACGCCGCCAGCGACTCCATACTCTGCCAGTTGCTGGAGACATTGACATTGCGGCAGAAACGCTTGGGATAATCGGAAGACCCGGGCTCCTCGTACGCTGACAGATCGGCACCCAGCGACGCCACCCGCTTCAGCGATTCACTCGTGGACGGCCCGGGCAGATGCTGCTCCGATCGATGTGACAAGGCTGCAGACAACCGTTTTTTCAGCAAACCAGACAACGCACTTTGTGATACAAAATATATACACGCATAAACACATTTAGACGGCACAGTAAAGCCATCATAACGACAAAAAACCGACGTAACGAGCCATTTTCTGAACAGTTTTGCGCAACAACCAGCAGTAAGATTCTTTTTGATAAAACCCACATGACACTCCATGTCCGTTGGGTATAACTGCCGGGGGAATGGGGAATTTGAATGCCGATGCAGATTCGGATCGGGCCAGCACAGGCGACGAGGACGACTGCTTGATGACGACCCGTGCAGGTAGAGGGGGAGCGAACAGGTTCTCGAACTCATTGTAAGCGCTAGATGATGTGCTAGGAATGCTGGATCGCACTACGGAGGGAGTAGCTAATCTTCGGCTTAACACGAAAGCTCGGGGGCTCTCGTGGTTCATGCTCCCGTCCGCCATCTTCAAATGCGAATACACCACTCAATGACTGCTGCAAACAGTGCAGAATATACAGTTACAGAGCTGTTCTACGATCCTATTGACACGATACAGAATGACAACCAGATTAATGTTACTCTGGTGTTGTCTGCTTCATAAAATAAGCGTTTCTAAGCTCTTGCAGTCAATTAACAATGGTAGGTGGTTTCGTTGTTAATTTACTGATTTACTGTTTACAGAACCTGATCATTCCACCCGATAACGACTCCACTTCTGGAGCCGTGATTCGTGAACCTACCTTTTGTTTCGAGGAATCCCTGAGCCCTCAATGGTGAGTAAAGTGAAGCCGAGATGCTAAAAATTCCTAACCACAAACAAAATAAAAGGGGATAAAAACAGATAAAAAAATAAAAAGAAATTAAAACCTGCTAAAGGAATTCCACAGCAATGTGGTTCTCTTTCTTCGTGTGAAAAGTGCTGTGAATCTGCGCGGGGCATGCGATGAAGCAGTTCAAACCACAACAAATTTTGAAAATTTCGATACGAGTTGTGCTGTTGTGCTCGTACGGACTACGGAAAAGCAATGCGGTGCGTATACAAAATCAGGCGGGGTTTGTAACGCCTTATCAGCTCACACCCCCTTTCCTGCGAGAGCTAAACCGAATCGGATTTTCGAAAGTTTTACGGAATGGAGCCTATTTGCCGTTGAGCACGATGAAAGATTTTCATTGGATACGTAAAATAGCGACTACATACGAATTTACTCCGCCTCTTCGTTCGTAGATCAAGGGCTACGAGCGATATAAAACTGAAGCGCTTCCGTGGACAGTCACATTTTCTCATGCTTTCTGGTGCCGGTGTTGCAGTACACAGTCGTATGCTTGCCGATAACTTTTGCTTCCTTGCTGAAGATCTACGTACTCTACGTGGGTAACAGTGAGTTACGGTTTGCCTGCTTGAGTTGCGCACGCATTTTCAGGTATTTTTCAGCCGTTAACGCCAGAAGACGGGTCACACCATCGGTAACTCGGCTTAGACCTTATGGTTAACGTTAAACAACTTTTACCGTACGTTTTCTTTCGTGCGTGCAGTTTCACAAATTTGGCGCATTCATCTGCCGTATTTTGACCCGTGCTCACTTTAAGACGCACGTTTCTACGGAACGTACGCATAGCTCGGTAGCGATTTAAAATTTTCGACGTAGCTCATGAAGTGACCACTGTTTGATTAGGGTGGTTTACTATGCAGTTCAGATTCACCATATTTTATATAAAAAGTAAAATGGTAACAATTATTGATATTCGGTTTCCAGATTTGCGCTTGTGTGATGCTAAAACATTTTTAGCTCCCACTTCCGCCCAAGGTGGCAGGTGGTAAACTTCGTACGTGTTGTATGCTGACCCAAACTGAGATTGCCATGAATGATGATGTAATCCGTTGCACTTATTTCATTAATCCTAAAGAGGGCTTATTTTTAGTTTCGGTTAAATGATTATAGATTTATAATTGGGTTTATATTACTTATTATTCTATCGGCTTTTTAATCCTTTTTTAAGCCATGTACTTACTTGCAACCTGAACCTACGATGTTAAACTTGTCGGTCACAGTCTAAACGGCGGCTTTACACGTAACTGATTAACCTGAGCGGTCCGCTTGACGCTGCTGGCTGAATGCGCGAGTTTGTTTTGAATTTTTCTTCACTCTTTGCAGTAGTCTACAATTTTGTGCCACCTGGCACACATTTACAGTATTTTCACATCGTTTGGCCAGCGCCGGCACAGATCAAGTTCTAATTGACTCGCGGTTACGTTACTCATCTGATTTATGTGTTACAGTTCAAAAATTTTTTGTGCTGCCAGGCCATGCGAAGCAGCGATTGACCAGCAATCCGTATTTCGGCGTCTTACATTTTCGCTGATTACAGACTGCAGGCGCGAACCACCTGTTCAGAAAAGCGTGCTCATCTGCTCTTGTGGACCATTAGAGTGATTAGACGATCCCCAGCCAACCCTCTCCTTCATCCCGATTAATTCCCTTCATTTGCGGCAATGAGCGCTAAAGCCATTTCGGAAGCCACGGGCAAATCCCTTTTGGTCAAGCATTTATCGATCCCCAACAATGCACTCGTCAAGCCCAAGTTCGTCACCATCGACGAGCACACAGATCTTCATCGATTACCTGACGAGCATCCGTGGTTATCCGTGGAGGCAAGTAAAAACAGTTTCATCTTTTCTTTTTGCATGGCGTTCCACTTGACATTATATTACACTGGCACGACAGCAGCAGTAGCGGCGGCACTGCCTACGCGAGCATAAAGGGATGTCGATTGTCTTATCGATTTCTGATGCAAATTGCCTGGACAAACTTGTAGATTAGGCGCGTGCTTGTCTCATGTTGCGTTTTCTGGAGAGCATGCCCGTAAGGAGGCAAAAATAACCGCCGCCGTGATGACAGGCAGAGAGTTGCGGTTGTATTTCTTTGTGTGTAAGGCTTCCTAACGATTTTTCAGCGGAAAGTGGTAAACGGGAGAGAAGAGAGAGAGAGTGAGAGGCAGAAAGAGCAACCAGTGGTTCAGTCGTTGATTGTGCAGTACAGTCTTGTCAGTCTAACGACAGATCGTGCTCACAATTCCCTGGCCGCAGACCGGAAGCCAGCGCAAACCAGGGAGGCAGGGACTCGTTTAATGATTTAAGCCGACCCTTGTCGGTTTTGACGTAACATGACAGTCATCTAAGAAATTTGCTCCTCTTCCGCTCCCGCTCTTTCTCTCTCGCTCTTTAGCTGCTTGTTGAAGCGATCAATTCGGGTAATTTTTTCCTTGCGCTTATTGATTGACTAGTGAAGATTTCTGCTTGTCTTGTTACAGAGACTAGTTGTCAAGCCTGATCAGCTCATCAAGCGACGTGGTAAACTCGGGCTTATCCACGTTAATTCCGATTACCAGGGAGTCAAGGAATGGGTGGAGGCGCGCCGCGGGAAGGATGTGGCGGTGGGCAAAGCTCATGGGAAGCTGAGGAATTTCATTATCGAACCCTTTGTTCCGCATCAACCGGTACGCACGGGTTGAAAAAAAATGAAGTTCGGATGATGCAAGAAATCTTTTTGTTGCTCTTCATATGCTAAGCCATTTTTTATGCAGTTTCTTCATGACTGCAAACGAAAAGCTCGCTGTTAGCATTTTGCTCGTTTCATCAAACGCAAAAACAACATTCTTTAAGAATTTTTAAAAATTCTCCTTTCGAAGTTAATGACTCTGCATTCATAATTTCTTTGGAAAAAAATATATTACTGTTTCGTCCTTTTGTCACACATTCTCCCTAAATTTATTATTTTCTTTATTACTGAACACTAAATTTTATAATTATTAAACTGAATTTGTTTACTAAACACGTTATTGGTCACGGGTGATTAAGGAGCAAGCAATAACTGCAAATACAGTCTGCTATGATATTAAATTTTGAATTTTACATTCTTGAATATTTGGAATTTGAATATTTGAACGTTCCTTTCCACCGGTTAGGACTTTTCGTCAACGATCATACGAGAGTTCAAGTTCAATCTGATTACAGAACGAAGAATACTATTTGGCGATTTTCTCACACCGTAATGGCGATACGATCATGTTCACCACCGAAGGCGGAGTCGATGTGGGCGATGTGGATTCCAAGGCGCTGCGTGTGGAAGTGGCGACCGGCGAAAAACCCACGGCTTCCGACATCCAGGCGAAATTATTATCCAATGTCCCAGCCGGAGTCCAGACGTAAGGAAACTTACCTGATTATCCTGTTTGCTTTGTGTTGCATTGACTGAATTTGGTTTGTAGAATTCTGTCAGAATTTATTTTCGGCATCTACAATTTGTATGTGGATCTCTTTTTCACCTACTTGGAAATCAATCCACTGGGTACGAATTGTCAGCATTCCTATATGAATATAATAAAAATACGTGGACTCGTTATAGTGGTATCCAGCAACCGCGTCTACATTCTGGATTTGGCGGCGAAACTGGATGCGACTGCCGACTTCATGGCCCACTCCAAATGGGGAAAAGTTGACTTCCCGCCGCCGTTCGGTCGCGATGCCTATCCCGAGGAGGCTTTCATTGCTGATCTCGATGCGAAGAGCGGAGCCTCGCTTAAGCTGACAGTACTCAATCCCAAGGGACGCATCTGGACGATGGTAGCCGGTGGCGGAGCGTCCGTTATCTATGCGGACACGATCTGTGACTTGGGCGGATCAGCAGAGCTGGCTAACTATGGTGAATACTCCGGCGCGCCAACCGAACACCAGACTTATGAATATGCAAAAACTATTCTGACGCTCATGACGAAGGAGCACCATCCTGAGGGAAAAGTATTGATTATCGGTGGAGGCATCGCCAATTTCACAAACGTTGCCGCGACATTTTCGGTAATTTTCTTGCAAAAGATGTTTCTCCTTGTCGAATGAACTGGAAAATTATGTTATCGATTAAGCGGGCTAGAATAAAAAAAATAAATACTGTAAAAAAACTAAATGAAAATAAATTTCGTTAAGCCAGTTTCTCCGTTTTCGTTTATTTTTTGGATGGACTTTTCACTGTTGATAAATTATGCTATTAGGTAATAATCATTATTACTCTTATGCAACATGTGAATCATCCCCTGTAGGGAATCGTCCAAGCCCTGAAAGAATTCAAGGTGCCTATAATCGAGTACAACATAATCATCTATGTGCGCCGCGGTGGACCAAATTACCAGGAAGGATTACGTGTGATGCGCGAAACCGGTCAGTGAATCAGCTTGGCTTCTTTCTGTTTTCTGTGAGAGAATAAACGGCAGTTTGCCAGAAAATATCGAGACGGTTTGGCATCTTTAGGTCAAGAATTGGGCATCCCCATACATGTCTATGGCCCCGAGACACATATGACGGCTGTGGTTGCCTACGCGTTGAAGTACAAATCGAGCCCTGCTCCGGCACCGCCAACGTTTTCGACGGCGAACTTTCTGCTTCCTGGAGGAATTGTGAGTGTTTGAAATTCTGATTTTGACCTAATGAGAGGATTTTTAACAACGATGTGCGCACACAGCGGATAGCTGATTTCTTCCATTACATAGACTGTTTACAAACTTAAAATTAAATTTCTTTTAGAAACTCACCATCAGATAATTTCCGAGTTAAACTTGACTTCTATGGCATTATTCCCACAATTTAAACGTTCACCTTCTCACCATCATTTAGCTAATAACACAAGGTATCCAATGCTATTCATACACCATACTGTAGGTATCCGACATAGTATGCTTTAAAACATAAGACATATTCAAGCCCTAATGAAGTAATATTTATCTATGCTTTAGTTAACTAATAATGATTGTATTTATTTGGTGAAAATCGGTAAAATCTTGGCTGTGGTTTTGCTTCGGCACCCTTCTCTACCTACTGGAGTACATCAGGACGTTGCCTTATTTTAATCATGTTTTAAAACCGGTATAAAGAGAGGCTTTGCCTCTTTGGGCAGCTGCTTTATTTTGCTTTAACAAAACTATTAAAGATCACGGGGCGTATGTTTTGGTGACAGTTTTTACAAAGTATTGCCGTTACGTTACTAATAGAGACTGGGTATTACGAAGCCATAAGGCACGACTGACGTCGATCGGTAACTTTTTGTTATTTTTCGGCAGCACTCCTGGACATTGCCGATTTTTTGCATTGAAGGTTTATGCTGTTCGAAACATTCGAATTTTGTATGACTGGGAATTAGTCTATGTAGAGTAAAATAATGGGAGCTCGAAAAAGTTCTCATTACAAGCAAGGTGATGAAACCATGCTGTCGTTGTAGACCGGTGATCAAACACCGGAACCCAAGTCGCGCAGCAGTTCTTCCACAAAAGGCCCAGAAGAGAACCAGTTCTTCCAGAAAGTGGGAACCTTTGTTGGCAAAACCTTGGGATTAGTCAATGGCGATGGCGTTTCGGTGAAAGATTATACTCTTTTTTCGCGCACAACAAAAGCTATGATTTGGGGGATGCAACCGAAAGCGGTGCAAGAAATGTTAGATTTTGACTTTGTTTGTTCGCGTCGTGAACCCTCGGTGGCCTGCATGGTCTATCCATTTGTGGGCAACCACAAACAGAAATTCTACTGGGGACATAAGGAAATCCTTCTTCCCAGTGAGTTGAGAAGCATGCATTTTTCGTGGTTCTGCCACAGATGTTGACAATTCTTGTTACCGTTTGCAGTGTGGAGAAATTTGGGCGAGGCCATGAAAAACCACCCGGAAGTGGACGTTGTCGTCAACTTCGCGTCGTTGCGCTCGGCGTACGACGCCACTCTCGAAATCATGCAGTACCCACAGATCCGCACCATTGCGATCATTGCCGAGGGAATCCCGGAGAACTTGACGCGAGAAATGAACCGCATTGCCAAAAAGAAGGGAATCAACATTATCGGCCCGGCGACAGTGGGCGGCATTAAGCCTGGCTGTTTTAAGATCGGCAACACGGGCGGCATGCTGGACAATATCCTGTCTTCCAAATTGTATCGGCCTGGAAGGTATGAGACCATAAATTTTTTAAGATAATTATCTGTTTTTTTCGGTCGAGGTAGATTTTAGAAGGCTTAATCAAGTCCGCCTAACACTGGGCATAGGGCATGAGTATACTGTAATAGTGCACATTTCTTAATACCCTTGCTTTTTTCCAGCGTTGCATACGTTTCGAGATCCGGTGGCATGTCTAACGAACTGAATAATATCGTCAGTCGAGCGTCAGATGGCGTATACGAGGGTATCGCCATCGGTGGTGATCGGTATCCCGGGACGACCTTCATCGACCACATCTTCCGCTATCAGCTGGATCCGGAGATCAAGATGATCGTCCTTCTGGGTGAAGTGGGTGGTGTGGAAGAGTACGAAATCTGCAACGCCATCAAAACCGGAAAGATTACCAAGCCGGTGGTGGCCTGGTGTATTGGCACATGCGCCAGTATGTTCTCCTCGGAAGTGCAGTTCGGGCATGCCGGTGCCTGTGCGAATGCAGAGAAAGAAACCGCCGTGGCCAAGAATACTGCCTTACGCGAGGCCGGCGCTGTGGTCCCACGGTCCTTTGACGAACTTGGCGAAAATATTCGGTATGTTACAGAAAACTAAGTACAGGTTCTATTTGTTTTGGACAAACATATGTAAATGTATGTAAGTGCAGGAAAGGATAAATAGTTAGACTGACTGAACAATTTAAGAAATTTAATAATTAGAAAAGAGATAACTCACCGTTACGTTGCGTAAAACTGACAGCTGCGTAGTAGTTGTCAGTTTTACGCAACAGTAAAATTTAAATGGAAACTTACGGTCGTTACCCACTGTACAACGAAGACAGTATTTATATACCGGTATTATGTACCAAGGCTCAGAATTATCGGTTTGTGTGATAAAACCGGTAAAGTACCCTGAAAATTACTTCATAGGAACAAAAAGACTTACATTTAAGTAAATGGAAAGTATCATGCTTGAATTGTTCCGACAGAGAAGTCTACAATTCCCTGGTGGCCAACGGCACCATCGTTCCCGCACCAGATACCCCACCGCCGCCGGTACCGATGGACTACGCTTGGGCTCGAGAACTGGGTCTGATTCGCAAGCCGGCCTCCTTCATGACCAGTATTTGTGACGAACGCGGCCAAGAGTTGTTGTATGCTGGCATACCGATTTCCGACATTCTCAAGGAAGACATGGGCGTGGGTGGTGTACTGAGTCTCCTGTGGTTCCAGCGCCGCCTACCACCGTATGCTGCTAAGTTCTTAGAAATGTGCCTGATTGTCACGGCTGATCACGGTCCGGCTGTCAGTGGCGCTCACAACACCATTGTAACCGCGCGCGCCGGCAAAGATCTGGTGTCCAGCTTGTGTTCGGGGCTGCTGACCATTGTATGTTATGAAAACAATTTTGTTGTTTAACACCACGGCTTTCATCCTGCGACAGTGGTTCTGTGTAGCATTTTCTTGTTAAATTTAGGAAAAGTTATAAAATATTATAAAGTTTTGCACACTTTATAAGGTGCACATGGACAATTGTTGTATAGGGTGATCGCTTCGGTGGCGCTCTGGATGATGCCGCAAGGATGTTCAGCGAAGCCTATGATAGCGGACAATCACCGATGGACTTCGTGAACGAAACTAAGAAGAAAGGGCAGACGATCATGGGTATTGGTCATCGTGTAAAATCGGTACGATTATGACACCGGCTAGTTCGTGTGGCATAGAAAATGTCGTAGCTTGATGACGGGTTTTTGATTTTTTTGCAACAGTTGTAAGATGACAATGTTTCGTTTGCCCCTCCTGTTGTTATAAAGGGACTAAAAATTAGCGTATCGCATAATAATGATTGCGGTTATTGTCATCCATTATGATCCATACGAACTTAAATGTTTGATTGTATTGTTGTACTTTGATACAGATCAACAATCCGGATATGCGTATTGTGCTGTTGAGAGACTACGTGAAGAAGCACTTCCCGGCAACTCCAGTCTTGGATTTTGCCTTTGAAGTGGAAAAGATTACCACCAAGAAGAAGCCGAATCTGATTCTGAACGTCGATGGCTTCATCGCGGTGTCGTTTTTGGATCTGTTTCGCTCTTCTGGCTGCTTTACACGGGAGGAGGCTAATGAATACGTGGAGATCGGCATCCTGAACGGAATTTTCGTTCTGGGTCGCAGCATGGGTTTCATAGGTAAATAATGTGGGAAGGTCTTGTTAGCTACAAGTAAATTCGAAGTTAGTGGTAACCATCGTGGTCACAACCCGTTTTCCGAAAAATATTCGGATTTCGGTATCTGAAGCGTGTGTTAACAGGCACTTTTCTCAGACGTGCTAAGTCTGTACCAAAACACTTGAACATACTGATGTGTACTTAAACATATATACTGATGTTTAGGTGTTTTCCCTAAATTGTTGGATCGTTTAATAAATGTTTAAATGTTGGTCATAGCCCCAGTCACTTATTGATTTAACAGTGATAGTCCAGGAGAGTGATGCTGAAAAATCACTAAAAAATCTGTTGTTTTTAGGTCACTATCTGGACCAGCGTAGACTGAAACAAGGCCTATACCGTCATCCGTGGGACGATATCAGCTACGTTATGCCTGAAGCTAGCTTCTCCGGTAAAACCGATGGTATTTAAATTTGGGGATTTGCAATAATATATCGGTGCTGATATCGTTATCAACGTAATAGCCCATTCCGGATTTTCCCGTGTGCTGTAAAACGTAATCTTTAATAACTTATAAATTTCCCTTTTATGATTCCAGTTGGTTGCTGGAATTCTAATTTATTTTAATTTTATATTTTACGTTTTGAATCTGCTTTGTGTTATTTTCTCAACGGTTTATGAATGTGTGAGTTCCCTGAGGGAACTCAGTAAGGAGAAAGCTATAACTGTCGTCTCTTGTGCAGAAGGAAAGCTGAAAGGAAGATTTTAATAATAAAGATATATTATGCTGCAGCTATTTTCGGTACTCATACTTTTGTTACATATTTAATCGTTGCAATAACTGTAACTGATTTTAATAGTTTTGGAAAAGCTTATCAGAAATTCGGGTTTTTACACGGGAATTGTTGTTTTAAGAGCTACATACTGTATATACGCGGTACGGACTGAAATTTCAGTGTATAAAATGAATGTATTGGTAGTATTTTGTTTATATACTAGTTTGAAGATTTCATAATGAAAAAGTTTAGTTTAGAATTTTAGTTTTAGTATAGTTTTGGAGTGTTTAGAATTAAGAACGGTGTTGTTGTGTTTGAGATTTTGCTGACAAAAGTTACTATCCGAGACAGACTGTCAGTGCAGAAGTGGCAGTTTGAGCGACTTGGATTGATCCTTGTTGTGTGCCCACAACATACCACAACAACGGAGCACAGTCGGCTAGAACAAATTCAAATAAAGAGTGCTTGTTTGTTGAACTATATACTTTTCCCCTCAACCAATCAATTGATCTTAATTTCTACCTGTCAAAAAACATGCCTCTTAGTCATAGTGGCTTGTAAGAAAGAAAATCAGCCTGGTATACACTATACGCTATGGCCAGATCGATCACTTTACTTAACAGTTAACACAGCTGCTGGGCATTTCTGTCACTGATTAATTGACTGCTATTTTGTGATGGCAATGCGAAACTGCTAGATCGGCTATTGTGTTACATGATTTTTGGCCCGTAATCACAAAAGGAATTCAAAAATTATCCATTGTACGCATTTTGACATGTAGGAAAAATGATGTGTCTCGAGTATGAATATCAATGGCATAGGTCTGACGCTTGTCTAATTATGCCTTACGTGCCGGTTGAAATATGATTCCGATAAAAGTTCCGCGACGTCCGCCACCATCACCTTTTGATTTCCAACCTTGCAAACGGCATAATTAATGCCAAGGTGAATAATTTTAGTGGAAAAAGGTTTATTGTCAAAATTATGTCTGCGCGTCGGGTAATATTCGATTATTCGTATGTTCATAGAAACTACTTCAAACTACAGAGTACAATAACTTGGTATTAGTCTTTTCTGCAATCGCGAATCCCAGTTTTCAAAATTTTTCAAATTTTAAATTGATTTTAATTGCGCTTTAACTACCATTCAATTCGAAGTTTTTCTTAAATTAAGTTTTTTATGTTTTTCTAACGTCGGTAGTAATAGTTAACTTTATAAATTCCTGTATTATCTGCGCATACTTACTTATATGACAAACAAACTGGAACTGCATCATGCATTCTATTTCTGTTAGTTTGGTAGTTGCATTGTACAACGTACAACCGATATTTTCCTGAAAGGCGACGCGTTTATTACACGTACTGATACACGCTTTACAAACGTTTCAGTTGCTAAATTCAGTACTTCATTAAAGTAGTCGTAATTAACAATCCCGATTTGAGTTAGAAATAAAAATTCTGTTTAACAGGCACGCAAAACGAGGAAGACATACATACACAGTATCACTAATAACCGGTTTTCATTGCAATCAGCGAATCCGTGTGGCTGCATTATATCAAATGTTATTATTGTATGTTGCCGTAACAAGTCGCCGCCAGTACCGCACAGCTGATTATGTGATACATAACTTATGTAGGTTCCGAAAACGGAATCGCCGCATCGTCCTACGTAGCTCCGAACAAGATGCATGCTGTTGTTGAATGATTAAGTTGATTGCCACAGGAGTGGAAATAACGACAGGCGGTTATTGTGTCCTGTCAAGTTCAATTTGACAAATGCATCGTTGGAAATTTATCACACGTAATGAGTTTGAGTAAAATGTCCAAAGATGATTTATGATGACACATGTGAGCATTTCCTGCAGCCGTTTCATTCCACTCTTTTCGCTTATTATTCCGTTTCATATTGCTGTATGTACGTATTGCTTGCCCAGTTCGGAAAAATATTGCACTGCATCTATGACCATAGCCGTATACGTATATTCGTGGAACCTCGTTTGGTATACACTCCCACTGGCGCCAGTTCTTTTGTAGCAGAGGGAAAGTTTTCTAGTATCGGTAACATACCGCAGCCAAAACTAAATGTTCAACCGGAAGTGCGCTTACCGCAGTGCCAGAATGTCAGTGTAAAACGACTTTTTTGTTATTTGCTACCTACTACTCTAGTCTACACATCTTGAGCGTATATTGTACCAAGCTTTCGAAAACAGGCAAAGGTCAAGCACGTTCTTTGTTTTTACTCCTGTCATGCAACTCATAATAATTATGTGAAATAGTTTTACGAGAACCGCTGGTTTCACTGGTTAAACAATACCAGTCTTATTATTAACTCTACAGTACAAATAAACTCATAATACTAAAAAACTGAAAATCCGAAATTGGTTTGCGCTACCACAATCAGATGTTAATAAAAAAAAGCCAAATTTAATATATTAAAAAATACTTTTGTGATATGTACGTACTACTACCTAGCCGGAAAAGATATTGTAGGTACTTCACTGATGATTCGCATGCGAAATTAGTAATGGTTAGATCTTGTACTCGATTCGTTGCGGATATGTAGTGCATCTCCACATAACACAGCATTTTTGAAAACTATTTCTACCACTCTTCGCGTGGACAGTATAACAAAATTGTAGAGGCAACAACATTGTTGTACTAGCGCTCTCGATTAAGGTTTACTGGAATAAAAATATATAACGATAAAACTCGTTTACAAAATACTGCAGTTTACCGCCAGATTTTTTAAATACACTATAAGGCGTGACATAATGCAGTGGAACATTAAATTCCATGTTGTTTACAAACGCATTTCAAATTTTTGAGTCCTTCTTGCTTAAAAATTGGGACAAAAATGGAAAAAACACATGTCGGTGCCTAATAAAATCGCAGTATTGTACGCAGTAATCACAAGTTCCAGTATTCTACTGTATTCCGATTTGTACTGTGCATGAGTGCAGTAATGGAGTTTTTATTGCGATGTAAGCTGTAAAGCCATCTGATGTTTCTAAATATCTGAAAACTGATTTTGGAAAAGTAAAATTTTACTGGTATTCTGAATGTTTCTTATATCCGAGAGCTTTCTGCGCGCATTGGCCATTCACAGTCACCTAATTGCTAAGAAATGGTAATGCACATTTTATTTTGTATAAAATACTATCAGTCAGTTTTCTAAAATTTACTGATAAAAAAGTAAAATAGCGCCCATAAAGCTATGTTCTGATGGAGGAGTGCCATCCGGCTATTTGCATATATGTTCAAATCAAAAACTCGAAATGTGCATATATACTAAAGTACCTAACATGATACTTCAAGCCAGTGCCAGTCGTAGAAATACATTTTACCTACGATTTATAATTCTGCAAAAGCGGTGCATTTATTGAATTTAAAATTAACATACAGACGGAACATCGTCGTACGAAATCGAAGGAAGACACGGGGTTTCAGAGGCATACGGCGTAGATATATCGATAGCGGTGTGTGGCGTGCGCGTATTATGAGTTAAAATTTATGATATTCCTGATGGGACATGCAGTTGTTATGCGCGGGGAAGTTTATGTCTGGTCATAAATCAACTTTCGCCACTTTGCAGCATATCGTTAAGTTCCTCCCTGGGAGTGAGTTTTAAATTAAATCCATAGCTGACGATTCTCTTGAGAGTTGCAACACAGCGCGGGCCATCTCGCTGGCCCGTTTTCCAAAACTACGTCCACGCCCGCTCCCAGCCATAAACCTATACTTGGGAAACTACGCTAGCTGTGTATAGCTGTATGGCTTTGTTTGGTCCGTGATTTATTTCTCAATATTCATAAACTTATTAGACCATAAACCGCCTTTCATGAGCGTAGTCACGATCCTCATGTTTTTCTGGCCTGTTTTATGTCGCTATAAATCTATGTCCGGGCTATCTGAATATGCTGGCCACTTTTACTGACATATTCACACCGGGTATCTTTACTTATTGTCCGACTGTGCACTTTGCCAACTGTAAGTCTTATGGCCCGTTTGGTGAAGCTCGCAAAAACGGAATTTCCTCAATAAAATCTATTATATACTTTCGTCAACGCTCGTTAGATTTTATTAGATCATTTATGCGTATTTGCTGTAGTCAACCACAAACACGTTAAAGCCCTACTCGTATCGAAGCGTCCAACTTCGCTTATATGATCGGTACAAGTTATAACATTCATCACAATAAATTCGAAGCGAATACGCTTACAAACTGTAGGAATCATCAAAAACTGCAAAAAAATAGCGTTATGATTAAGCGATCTATAATTCTACGGTTACAAAGTGTATCTAAACTTCTTGCACTTGCACAGAAAACGTAAAATGGCTACAATGAAATAAAAAATAAAATACTTGCTATAGCACGCTCATAACGTTGTCAATCGAATTCGAATTTTGGGTGCCAGATACACGGAACAGCGTTAACGAAATAATGTCGGACTTATTTCAATCAGCAGCGTGCTAATGAGTTATATAGCGAAACATGTGAAAGAAGTGACTGCTGACAGTTATACGCGGTGCCGGTTCTTAAAATGCAGGCTTGAACTGAGTAAGTATTTCAACCAAGTGATTAGGTGTATTGCAGTTTTTAAAAACTCGCTTCTAAATTAAACCTACTATATTACAGTTTTAAATAAAGTCAATAATGATTAACAAATGCAAAATTTTTTATTTGTGTCTTAAAAATTCAACTATAGTAATGAAATCAGTACGACATGCATGTACACATTACGATATCTCTTTACGATACAATTCCAGGTCTGTGCTCCAGTTGTCGTTAAAATGCCATCCATCTTTGAGCTTCCTTTCACGTGCCGTGGAAGATCGTTTTATCTTGTAAAGTGGCAGTTTGGCGGACCTAGGCGTAGCGAAAATGTGACGAAGCGAAAATGATCCCTGCATACAGTGGAGTTATTGAGGCGCGCATTTGGTACACAAAGCTGCTTTGATAAGCATCGTTGCATCCGCTTCACTTTGTATTTACCGCTGTGGATCTTATTAATGAC